TCCAACCGGTGTGGGCACTGATAGTTTGCGTGAGAGGTTCTCCGGTTTCTCCATTCCAGACAATGAGGTCTCCGTTTGTATCACCGCTTGCGATAAATCGCCCATCCCGTGATACTGCCAACGCCTGCACCCTTTCGCGATGCCCCTCCATCTTCTTCAACACTATACCTGTCGTCAGGTCCCACAAACGAAGCGTCTTGTCGTCCGAGCATGTGACCATGCGTCGTCTATCAGAGAAAACTGCGACTGCAGATACACGTGCCTCATGATCTTCAAATACTCGGTTGGGCTTGGTGCTTGGGATGAGCTGTGCCATTTTCTGGAGGTGGTATTAAGCACGGTCGAGGTGTGAGCGGGTGGGGAAATTGTGGGTGTCTAGCTCGAAGTTGCAAAGGTGCGTGCACGGGGTGTTTTTATGCTGTTTCATATTATATTGATCACTAGACGCCCAAAACATGAGGCTGTTATCATAAGCACCTTGCTTGACAATCTAAGTGCCCGAGCCCATCGCGTCCAGCATGTGTTGCCGCAGCTTTCCATATGAGTCAACGAGCCTGATCGCATGACTGCAGTTATTGAAAAACACTATCCGATTTGGAATGAATGGACCCAAGCCTTCAGCCATCTTCAATCCGTAGCATGCAATAAAAATATTACGTGCCTCGATCAAGAAAAGGAAATAACTGAATGTTGACCGACTATGTTAGAAGTTAGTTTTCGTAAGGGGGCTATGATGTATCTCACCTTAATTAACAGATGTTTAGATGATACAGGAGCGGGAAAATGAAAACAACTTGAAACTTCCCTGGCCATATATGTCGCCAGCTTCTTAAGACCATCATGTGGCAAACGGTCCAGGCCACTCTGAAATCTTCTTATCCGCACCTCAGCTGAGAATGTACCGTCATCTGTAGAGAAGGTGACCTCACCAGAATCCCTCATTACAACGATGGTTCATCGATCCGAGAGCCGTCAGAGGCGGACACCGTTGCCACCAGATGCGGAGGCAAGGAGGGGCTTGCGGAAAGACTTCCGAGGAAGCTAGAGAGTTAGCAGAAGTCTTGGAAACAGCCAAGAGTGTACCTAAACACGCTAACCTGCAGCTACTCACCGACGCGCAAAAGTATCAAAGACCTAGAGCAGAACCTACCTAGTGGATTCAAGTACCCAACACAAAACTCCAGAAGGCCATCACAGCCGAACCTCGCGAATTAGTGCAAAAACCATCGAGTTCAAACCCACAAAAACGAGGCCAAAGACCTAGCCGTCCGTACACTAAATAGTGTAAACACATACGCCATCTCAACAGAGATCAAACCACAATTCGACACTTCTGATCTCCTCCTAACCAAAGGCACGACCTGAACCGTCACGCACGGTGATTGATACGTGACGCCAGTGGGCGGGTCATCGACAACGCATATTGTTATCTGGGGGTCCATAGTGAGTACGCGCGGTGTGTTCCATGCACGCTCTACAGACCTGCGTTGCGCATGCGGGGACGCTTGCAGAAATGTCCACCCGGCTGTGTGGAAGACCGCTAGATATGAACCTAGAGAGCGGTGAATCTGCAGGATGCTTTTGAATTTTCAACAGACATACATAAAACCTGAACGTGGTGAGATAATAATAGTGAGCAGGTCGTCTGAATGCTGGAAGAGATGACTCTTGCTCGACCTGTAGTTTCCAACATTGTGCAAAGCTTAATGATACAGTTATACCAGAGTAAGAAGCGACGGCCATCCCAACTCAGGTCGAAAGTTTGGAGACTCACCAAAGACCATGGTGCCTACTGCAAGTCTGAATGAGGAAGATACGAGTCCCCGTTAACGCACCGGTTGAACGCCTATACCCATGGTCAGCGCTTCAACCTTCAACTGTCAATCCATGAGACTTGCTGGTGATCAAGTTCAATCATGCGGAGCCAAAGTGCTTGTAGCCAAACAGGTGCAGTCGCTGTACGGAGTTCAGAGATAGTACTGTGAGTCGCTTGTCACTCAAGAATGATAACAGGTCACCTACAACTAGGTTCAGCGCAGAGTACTGAGCGCTCATAGTATAAATGAGGCTACGACATTCTGTTCCCTCGCTGTCGGTTCTCGAGCACCATAATAGAAAGGGGGTATGGCATTAGCAAGTCTTTTCGGAAAGTGAGGTGACTATGTTCAGGGTAAGGTATAACTTGCCTATTCGGTTCGCGCACACCTTGATATTGAACCTGGTGAGTACCTGCGACTCTCACATGAGCCCCCCAGCACCTCTAATTAGAGGGCGTATGTGGGAGCCATAGGTCATGGCAAGCCTTCTTAACGCTGATGGATGGCTTCATAATTCTATATTGACAATACACCACCTGATAATCACATCTCTCTACACAGCTTGGTCTGCTTGTTGGCACACCTGAGTACTTCATCTGTACAGCACTGTGAGACAACCTGTGTCGCGAACACGAGGCCGATGTATGGACTACGCACTTTAATATTATCAGACGATTCAAATGAACAATTACCCAAAATCTTCGGCTTCAGACAAAACAGGATTCCACTGTCTCGACCTACAGTCCACCTCGTTCGTGAGTGGAGTCCGTCTTGAGTTCTTCCGAATAACACTAGTGGAACCTGTACGCCCTGCCAGGAGAAGTTGAGGTCAAAGATAGAACCGCTTGTTTACTGAATGCCTGCGAAAATTCGCGAGGAACGCCGCACTGAGCGATCCCTGCCCACATCGTCCCGACGGGTCATCCGAAAACAAGCTTCTCGTGAGTGATCCTTCATACGCTTCGATTGGCAAGGGTCGACAAGAAAGAATAATAGGCCTATTGACTCACCGGCATCTTTTGCCTGTGGAAGATACTTAGCCCAGTTCAATTCAAAGAAGATCCCAGGGAGGTAATTTCGCGTACATATAACAGATCTTCCTTAGGTAAGACCGCTGACCGCCAATTGCCCCAGCAGGACGCCAGGCATGGCCTTGGCAAAGATAAGATGTTCGGATATCAAAAATGTCGACAGGAAGCTGCCCTACCAGTCCCAATACCTACTCTGGTGTTCTTCACTCCGGCCAACAGCATCTGATGCTACTCGCGCCCGAAGTACTCCCGGGGCGCTTAAATGCTCTTCTGGAGCCAGTAGCATCTCTAAGGAAAAACAAGAAGTATGGCAGTGACGCAACATTTTGATCAGGAAAGCAGTGTCCTGGTCCCTGGAGCATGTTCAACTGCGGGGCAGAAAAACATGTCCATGGTCTCGGTACATTATTACGCATCGGCTGAAGCTCACGTACGGTCGAAGATAGCGCTGCGAAAGGCAAGAGCCAATGAGACGCGACAAACAACCGAGATATGGAAAGGCGCCTCTGCCAGCTCATCTCCTTCTTCCAGAAGTCCTTACCATGAAGACGACAGCCGTTTCACACGGACTGAGCACAATACAATAGAGATGAAATCAGTGACGAGAGACGAAGGACGAGGCCCGTAATGCTGAGGAACCTGACTTAGGACTCCAGCAGCACATTCCCAGCAAGTCCCCATTATGATCATCGGATAAATTTTGTTATGCAGTCGTGGGGCCCAGGTAGTGGCTGTCTCATCGGTTATCGGGTTGCAACGAAGACAACCCTATGGGGAATCACTAGACTTGAGACTCGGAGCGTCCTGAAGTAAATTCCAAGTAAGGCTCATTGGATTGACTTTGCTGTGCAGTCGTGGGGCCTGGGTCTAGCTGTCTCTTAGCAGTTATCTGATTGCAATGAAGAGAACTCTATGTGTGTGAACTGGTCGGTGTGAACGAACAGTATCAGATAAAACACTCACACCCCATGTCAATAAGTGGTACTTTCCGAGTCGTAAGCTTCCGCGTTTGGCTGAGCAACCTTTTAGCTCCATTTTGCGGTCGTTCACCACTGATCAAACCATCATCGGCAGGCAGAAGACGTCAATCCTGAGACAGATGAAACCACGCTCCAAGGTGACCAACTTCGTGCGCTTTTGGACCTGTGGCGCGGGTTGGAAACTGCTAATGATTGCACTGCCGTGGTTGGACCCTTGACGAACTCGTCACGAGAGCGAACTAGCCAGATCCAGCTGAGCTTGTTCACAGGCACTGGAGTCTGTTTCGCACAGGATCCGGAAATTAAAGCTCAAGAAGAAGAAAAAAGGGGCTTCCCAACTTATCAGATAGACATAAACACTCTCGGCAAAAATAACCGGCGTGGAGAACCGCCGCAATGACCGCAGTGTCAAGCCCCGCTAGACCGTCACTACGCCGTTCATAGGTTTTGCCTCCATGAAGTCATTGACGTTGCACGGTAATTCAATAAAGTTTTGACCAATCGCGTGATGCGTCATCGTGGAGCTAGTACTGACAGATTGCTGATATCTCGATGAGACAGCAAAGCAGCACCGAAATGGCGAAACCTGCCGTGAGTAGCTGGTTCGTTTAGCGATGAGCTCCACATGTTGGCAATCTAGCAGAACGGTGAGAGCCTGGTCCGAGGATCGTCAGATGGACTGAGACTCACGAAAGTTCCTGTGCGGAAGTCGGTTTTAGGTTAATAAATATCATGTCAAGCATGATATCAACGCCACATTGATGAAAGCATTGACAAGACGTGTAAGCGGGCGGAAGGTCTTGACCGAGAATGTCGCCTGTAACCCTGAGCCAACTTGATCTTGGACGTGAAATTCAATGAGCAAGATGTTACTCTTAATCCAGATCATTGTCCCCGAGTCGTAGTAAGTAGCACTGACAAGCGCTCCAACGAATCGAATCTTGCACGAGGGAAAGTCACGCGCTTACATAATCTGAAAGTTGGTTGCCCTTGTCGCACGTTGTTCAAAGTACCCAAGTTGGTTCGACGAGCACAGTGAGCTCTTTCAAAGTCTGCGATGCCCATCAAGCACTTGGAAAGTACGTTTTATTTTCCCTCGAGTGTTGGAATAGAAGAGCTGCAGTCGAAATTGACGTGTCACCCGAAAACGAAACAGACTACCTCTCCGAGCGGAAGCACACGCAATCATTTTCTCTGTCTGTATTATCGGACTCGCGCCTTGGAATTGATGCATCCTATTACCTCAAAATATTGACGGATAATCCGCCCTCGCGCGAACCTCTCCTCGCCGCGACTGGTGGGCTTCCCTTGGCGCTAACGACACGTATCGAGTCTGATTTGCGTACGCTCGAAAAACTACGAATAAAACCTGTGTTCGTTTTTCCTGGCCTTTTGCCCAGCAAACGCTGGAAACAATACCAACATCACATGGAGCACAATGATGGATGCAGGGACCGGAGGGAGGCTTGGGCAAAGTATGAGGCTGGCCAGGAAGACGCCGCTATAAAATTATTCGAGGGCAGAAGTGGGCTCCAGCAATGGGACTTATGGCGCATGGTCTTGAGGATATTCAGACATAGGAATGTGGAGTTTTTGGTTGCTCCATACGTCGCTTGGGCTCAGGTCGGTTGAAACCATCTCTTGTGTGATGCTTTACTGACGCATCATGAATAGTTGATTTATATGCAACGACACCCGAAATCATATATTCATGCAATCTTTGGACCGACAGACACCATACTCTATCCAGGAGTAGACAAATTAATTACTTCGCTGGACCTCACCTCTGCGACACCATCTTTTTCCTTCGTGTCCAAGCGCACTATCTTGTCTGATTTGGGCCTCAACGAGGACCAGTTCCTTGACGTTGGCATCCTTGTTGGTTTCGAGCACTCGCCACCCTTTCCACCAACTGTGCACGAGCAGGCATTGAAGGCCACGGTGGACATGGTCAAATATTACAAGTCTGGTCATGCTGCCGTTTCCGCATTCGCCGAACACCCCGCAGTGAAGAGTATGCAGTATCCCGATCAGTTCGCGCGCACGCGCTCAATGATCAAATACTCCCTCATATTCTCATCTGAAGGAAGTGTTACGCCACTTCCCCTCGCAATCACCACGCCAGCTCATGGCCCCAATCATCTCCAGCACCCGACAGCTGCGGATATACCTTCGGATCTTCATGAAATCTTCACGCACCGTCTTCCTGACGAAATCTATTTCTATCTCTCCCGTGGACTCTTGGGGCCGCAAGCCCTCGTTTGGTTGACCAGTGGGCAGATCGTTGAACCACCACCGTTGGATAACGGTGAGACAACTGAGTATAAACGGTTTGTCAAGGAGGTTATCACCGATGGCCAGACCGGTCCACGAGCCACAGCTCTCGCGCTCATTAGCAGTGTTTCACATCAATTCTGGAACAACCGAAAGGTGACGGGTAATTTTTGGTTTGAGGGTCCCGCACCCCACGGCCAGAAGTTCGTCCAACATAACTCGCCTCAAACTGTGCAGCTTGCAGAACGCGTGGCGGGCTGGAACGTTAGTTATGCCATTGTTGAGGAAGAACTTCGGAGACAGAACGTGAGTTACCGAAGCCGCTTACCAATCGGATCTTCTGACAGTCTGGACCGGCCTAGTCTTCTACTATCGATTTCGCACTTTGCCTAGGAGCGACAGCAACGGAGAAGCTTGCGTCTCGTACCAAGGGAAAGACCAGTGTCTCAAACGGTCAGCTGGACAAAAAGGATGAGGTGGTCGCTAATGTGGTATGGCGGTTCCTAGAATTAAGAGGGTAAGCGTCATGTTGCCAGCTGAGCACTCTTGTGACACTGCAACTATAGATTCCTCCTGAACTCTCACACCCACTCGCCACTAGCCCGAGCCATGTACACAGCAATCAAGCAAGCTCGTTTGAATGACAAATTCCAGGATCCACTTTATCTGTTCCTGGAGCTCGTGAGGGCTGGGGTGATGCACGGTCATCTATGGTCAGGCCGAGCGTTTAGTGGAGGACCAAGTTTCGGTACCGGTGAGCGGAATTCACATGTAGGTTTTCTTGGCTGATTATGATGCCGCAGATGATGAGAAATCCTGCATGCTCTTGGTTATGAGGGTCCTGAGCATTGTGCCTTTGAACTTCAAGGTGGGCCTTTTTCTAAATCTGACCGATCGTGGACGTCAGTTTAATACTGATTCCTAAATCTTAATCCAGTCTCAGCCTTGGTCTGCGCCGTTATCACGTGAATTACTGGTGTTCAACTCGTTTGTGCGTTCATTGACTCGGGCGCTCCGGACGCTACTTGAGGTGACGACATTGAACATGTTACTACGTTCTGACGCACGACGAGCGCGGGAAGATCTTCTCGACATTACTATATCCCTCCCATTCCAATCGGAGGTAAACACGGGATTCGGAGTACTTGCTAAGGTGTACCTGGACGCCCTGACGCACCTCAATAATCAGACGCGAGTACTCGACCCTAACGCAGAAGGTGTTAGAGAGTCTAAAGCAATGGCACTTGAGATATGCGAGGACACGTTTCCAGGAGTAAAAAGTCCTAAACAAGAAGTGGAACGGGGATTCCGGTTCTGGGATATCGTCAGTGTCTTTGTTTCCATTAGCTGTTGTGATATGGCTAACATGTGTTGTGGGTTGACAGGCGCTGACTGCCATGAGGCAACTTCACTCGGAGGGTGCTGTTCTTCGCGAGTTGATTGACCAGTTTGAAGCAGCAGAGGCGTGGCTTGCGCCGATGCGACCATGAGATTATCGATCAGACTGAGATTATGATAATGCAGAAAATATTTTTCGATCAGGATCTTGTGTGTTGAGAAGGAGGATGTTGAATAGAATATAACCTATTATGAGAAAAGCGATTTATTCGGAAGTTAGGAAGCGATCAATGGGTGCTCATGCAAAGGCCGTTAGAAAGGGTACTACTAGGAGCGACGGAGGAGACGATGGGAAAAGGGACAAAGGAATGGAACATGAAACTGGGAGGCATGGGAAGTAGAACAACTTAAAAAGGAAATAAGATCTCAGATATTCATCATACCTAATTTGGATACCGCCAAGAGAAGTATTACCTAATTTGTGCATCTCGCTGTTTATCGCCCGATCCCCAGGTTTCTCTCGCTTCTCAGGGCTCTGCTTCGCTTTTTTTTCGAACAGCTGCCACAACATTTTAAAACTGCAATCGAATATGCATGTCACTCGCGTGGCCTTTCTCCCTTCAAATTTAAGGCAAACTTCATTCGAATATTCGACACTCCTCCTCCCCCACACAGATGTTCCACCATATCATGCTACACCCCTCAACATCTCAATCATCTATTGGTGTCTCACCTTTCGATCCATACAATGAAAAGGTCAACCCAGGTCATCTCTATGTCCGCCAACCACACGCAATACAGATCATCCAGCTCGTAGAGGCTTCACCTCCTCCACCTCGCATATCATCCCTCATCGACTCCAGCTCATCTGGCTTCTCTTCTGGATCATCATATCCCTCAACATCTGACTCAGAAGACGAGGACTGCTCATCATATTGCTCCTCTTTCGCCACACCTCCCGATTCTTCCCAGGATAGAGAACCTGTGGTGTGGACAGATGATACATACGATGTTCGCATGAAGCGGATACAGAATTGGAGAGATCATTTGACCAAAGCCATAAGCGCTTCACCTGGTATGTTCTTTTCCCCGCAGTCCGTTGTTCTTTACTCACAAAATCTACAGAGCCTCGCTCATCATCATTGAAACGAAAGTTGAATCAAAATCAGACGGACGATGATATTGTAAGTCTTCATCGTTGTACTCCTCGGACTTTAGTAGCTCACACCCAATATCAGGTCTCGCACAGTCCAAAAAGATCGCGCTCGCGGGATCCTCAGAGCCCATCCAGATTACTCGGCCATCCATGTACGGCGTGCGATACCCCTTTCTCATCCAGACAAAGCCTGCGACAACATGGTCTCACTCCTCATATATCTGAGGCATGTCGGATAGCGGTCGAATACAATTTCGAATGACCGGCTACTTCTTGCACCGACCCATTTTCTTCTTCTTCATCTTACGCTTGGCTCTCCACTCTTATGACGATCATGACCCCAGCATTTGCATCGTTGTATGATAACCCACAATTATTTTTCATTCATTTTCCATATCGTACATACTCATTTCCCATACTATGTACCACCAACGGAGGGTATGAGTTTGTTTCTGTACTTTATCAATACTTGTTAATTATACCATATTAGCTCACTACTATGTACCATCATACCAAACGACTTCAATACAGAGTCTTGTCACCAGACGCTATCTGTTTTTACAACGAAGATGATATGACGTTCTGCGGATCTAGCACCCAGAATGAGATATGGCATGGGAATTGGCTGTGCTACTCTACTCAGTGACCTTGTCTTGTGTTACTCTGGTATTCGCTTTCGGTTCAGCTTCCGTAGCCCCGGAGCATCATTAGCACTCTTTGGCCTCTCCTACTCCCACGTCGAGGACGGACTCTGGTCTTCTGGGTGCAAATGAGCAACCGTGTCATTTCTCCCCTTGTGATCCACTCCGGGAATAATTTGGCAAGTGCCTCACAAGCAAATATAGATAGTTTTTCTCTTCAAGATACGGGACCGACGTGGCAGTGACCCACTCGCTGCACAGTTCAGCACAGGCTCTCTCCAAGTTGCTAATGATCGGACTCGATGCTACCCCACAGTTTGACGCTCATCCGGTAATTCACTATCCGAGTCCGGAATGCTTCCAAGGTCTTCTTTCCTCGAAACTCCCCGAAAAAGACGAAGAAGCATATGCTCTGAGAGACTATGCCGTACATATCGTACAATAATGACAACGACGTGCGGCAGTGATTCGAGGCTTCGTTCACATGCTCCAAAAGACCTTCTCAGTCCCGTTAGGCAAAGCAACGGAGCAGAGCAGGGTGAACAGTCTCGATCTCCGCACCTTATGCGAGTACTACCCACGAGGTTCAAGGAGATTGGTAGTAGGTTTTCTCATCCTGCTTGCCTGGATCAATACGATAGAGTTGCCATAACTTTTACTCAGGCGCGTATCCCCGCACTAGATGCTGGCTGACAGTACCTGCCTAGAATATGGCGTACCTCCCTTCCCCTATCCGCACTTTCCCGTCAGGCAACGCAGCGTGAAGGCGACCAGGTGCCTGTCAAACACCAAATTATGAATGTCTGGTTGATTAGCATGAACTCATCGATCGTATCGAATACATAATGATCCCCGTGCGGTGTGAGAGAAGTGTCCTTCTAGTGCACTGCAGTATACCGCTCCTGTGAGAAATGGTTTCAACCTATCTATATACTTGGTCGCCATTTGACCAGCTCACCGTGAGCGCTCATTCTGGGATATGCCGTTCTACATGATAGCCGAGTCCTCTCCACCAATAAGAACCCTCCGTCGGCGCTTACTTAGCGATGGGGAAAGCCTCACGGGAACGTAAAGACAAGAGCCCTGCAGCTGCCGACTTGATCACGATTATCTGATCTGTAGAAGTCCACAACAGATGGCCCTTTGACAGCAAAAGCCCGTCGATATGGTGTGTGGACCACATGGCTTCTGCCGCGCGGTTAGAACCTTCTACCCTGCCTCGAACGAAGTATGCCAATTCAATTCAATTGAAAGGCTCATCATCATTCCCATGGCCTACCGAGCTATACGTGCAAGGAGACGGCACTTTGGCTTCGCACTCACGTCAAGAACTACAGCATTCTCCATTCAGCTCAAATCCGTGCTCGGGTTTGCCCTGTTTACCCCTCGACTGACCGCACTCCACGGGCGCTTACACGCTCCTAATGTCTAAATTGATTTTCGATCTCGTTCTTTCAATCAGGAAGCAGATGGGAAACACTACGGAGCACTATGTTTAGTTGTCTAAGAAAAAAAAAACACGAATTGTCGCGAGAGAGCTTCGAGGAACTTCGGCCATCTACCATCCGAGGTCATCGTCTTCATCGATCCGCAGTCATCCGACCATCATGAAATTGATGTTCTCCATCGTATGAACGTGAGTGTGCCGAATAGTCTAGAGGGTGTAACAATCGGACCGATATCGCGAGACATTGCAGGAACGGGTGACGGTGGGAAGCGCTGTGAGTTTCTCGTTTACTTGTACATCTGGATTACGCCTTCTTGGCTTCGCTACAGAAACAGACTTACTGAGGTCCGAGGTCAATGATTGTGTACTCACCTTTGGTCGCCAGCGCAAATATCCGTGCGTTTGTGGCGTGAGGTCAGCATATCATCATCACGATCATCATCACTGCAGGAACGAGCGACGGTGGGAAGAGCTGTGGGTTTCTTATTTACTTGTATGTTTTCTTAGCTTTGCTAATTCTGTTATAGGAGGAGAAATTGCGGTGGAGCGTCGGAGGTCGTCATATATTTGCATGTTGGTCACCAGTCCAGAACTTTTATGCCCGTGGAGCATATCATCATCATCGGCGTCACCACCACCACCACCACTACCAATTGGGCCGTCATGCATTACAGCATGGGACGAATATCCTGGGCGTGAGTAAACACCTCGCTGTACTGATGCTACGTCTACGGAGATGACGCAATACCTGCTCGGTGAAACCCCACCGAAACTTGGCTACGAGGACACGACAGCATCAAGAATAGTGGCTAGAGGCCTCGAGGCAGAAGGCTTCTTGCGCCTCTGCTAGTTTCAGACGGTGCGCATGCAATGCGCTCGGACTATCGACCGCGGCCGTCCGACCCTGTAAGCACCTTATTTTCAAACCTTCTCATCGTTCCCGTTTGTTTCTGTGACCATCGTGCAGCGAGACCACGGTTGCATGGGTGTGTCTCATGTTTCAATTTCAGAAAACGGGATGCTTGTGATTCTTTCACTCGACCCCATTTCACTATGATATACGGTCGGTCGGGCCTGCAGGCTGAAGCGAGTAAGTATATACAGGCCGCATTGCAATACTTCGGCACCTTACACTTTCTAGGGTGCCTGCGTATTCTTGTAAACTGCGTATTCTTGGGTACGGTGCCGTAGAGCCTTTTGAAAATTCTAGCCCATGCTAAACTTGTACTAGCAAGGTCATTCATGACGCTAACAATGAGGAACGTGCGTAAAAATGGAAGAGTTTGCGCTTGTGTTGTATCCCTAGTCCTTTCGGTGTCAGTGCAATGCAACTCCGTTCAGTCGCACTCACCTGTTCCATTCAAATATGGCATGGGAGCATTCATGTGCTATTCAAGCCTGAGAGCACCTATATCCTTGTAGAGAGTAGTAACATCGAGGTGATCGGGTAGAGATCCATCCACTGAGCGCTGAGCCTATCGACATAGAAATTCTATGTCTATTTCAAGACTGGCCGTGTCTGGCACTACAACGAACCCTTGAAGTTCTATAGGACGATTCCCTCGGGGTCACCTATCATAAAGGCTGCTTCAGATCGGTGGAGCATATTCCTCTATGGGCACTCCCGCCTCAAGCAGGTCATTCCGTTGTATGCTGTTTGCATCATTGTGAAGGGTGTGGTGCAATGATGCTGACACATTTGGGACGCATTTCAAGCTTCACCTTTTCCATGCTATCGGCATGTCGAGCCGATTTCACACGACGCCTGGACTTTCTCTCTCTCTTGATACCGTGCATTCATTGCGTGTAACTGTGGGTGGGAGTGGCGAGCACGAGTCCTAGATCGAACCTTCCATGGGTTTGAAGTCATATTATCGTGCGCAGATTCTCGTTATGTGCACATCGCGATCGTTCGCATATGAATGTAAAAGCGATTAATCCAGGGCCCCATATATATTCAGGGTTGCTTATTAGAGCTTATTAGAAAGAGCTCCTCCAGATAGCCTATCAATCATTGTCAATGATGTTGACCCTGTCCGCCACCAACAGACATAGGGATATTGACTGTCCTCAATGTGTTTGTGTCTCAGAGGATGACCGGAGCTTGGGTCCGATTAGAAGCAGAGGCGATTTGGACAATATTCGCTCGGGTACCACCTCGGGGAACGGATTCACCCACGGTTTCTCGTATCGTCCCCATCTATGAAGCGCCTGTGAAGATCATAGAGAACAAGCCCGTTGATCTTCGAGGGGGGTTCAGACTCACGTCCTATAAATAAACCATGTAGTTCGAGCGTCAATATTTGAGGGAATGTAGAACCTAACTGAACATCCCGTGTCATTGTCTCTCCTCTTCGGAGCGTAGTCCCGTTACTGAACTCTGTGACCACGGCTAAGTCGGAAGAAGAAAGGACATACTAGACAAGAACATTGGGAATTGGCTCTTATCGATCTGATATTAATCCAGACTTCCAGAACCACCTCATGTTCGAGTTATCACGAGGATCGAGTCCCCATCATCTGGAAACTTTCACCCTCTAACAGAAGGTCGTTGCCTCTTTCGGGAAGAAGGTTGTTCAAAGTGTGGAGGTTTGTTGCCGGTCACCGTATCTAAGCAGGGGTAATGAAATGTGTGTTGTCTGAAACAGAGCCACTACAAGTGCTTCCAGTGGCAGAGGTTTTGCTTCGCGACAGTACTACTACCTGCGGTTGTCAACTTGGCATTCTTCGCGTGTTGTGTCACAGCCTGCGGTCCATCATGACCTATCAGAGCCTATCAGGGCCTTGGAGAGAGCCCACGATCATGACCGAGAGCTGCAACACAGGCCTAGAACACAACGTCATTTAGAGGTTTATACTACTTACTTGATACATGCGTTGTCGTTGCACATATCCACATGATACATAGCAGACGCCCGGAGACAGTAGCGGAGTATCAAGCCTAACGGAGTATGAAAGTTCCCTGTGCAAAGAAATAACTCCGCTAGGTTTGCACTCCGCTGGGTGGGCGCGCCGAAGCGCGCCGCTTTAATTTTATTCAAATTTAGCGTGATCCGGGGTGGCACACAGCCCGACAGGCAAACGCTAGTACTAGGGGAAACCACAGCGACCATGCACTCATTCAAGGCCAGACACTCCAGGTCGTCAGATACCTCGACTTTGCCTCTCAGCAATTCTGACACCAGGTCGCTTCCGTCGCGATTTTCACTGACAAGGCGCTGTTCACGTCTTTTAGTGGGACTAATCGTGATCGGCCTCTTTTTCTTCTTCTCGCGCACCAAGGCGAACGCTCCATCTTGGTTGGAGGAGCAGACTCCCGAAGAAGAGCACTCATTACCGCCGCTTGTACGAAGAATACCATGAGTATGAACGACGCTTGCCGCAGCATAATCTTTCATTGCCTTTCCCAGAGGGGCGTGATGCGAAGTTCTTTTGGGCTGCCAACCATGTCATCAGTATGAATATTTGTTGCGCTTTCATTCAGGCTATGACTCACAGCTTCCAGATTCGGGATGGGGAAATGTCATGCAAGAGCTGGTGATGAATGCGGCGCTGGCGCATACGACTAGAAGATCGTACGTCTACCTTGCCACAACCTCAATTCTTGCTCAACCTTGCCCGCTAGCTTCGTGTTCGATAATTTCACATGGGAACAAGATGCTATCGATTACGCAACTTATAATGGTAAACTCATACCTGCGCGTATACCCTTGTCAGCTATCATCGGTGGTGCGTTTCCAGTTTACATCCTTCCCGCCCATGCCAAAGTCATTCTCTTGTGCAGGCCCCATAATAGGGTCGTCGTTCCCGCCCGGGGACCCTGCCCCTCGTGCCGTCTCACAGGAGTATTTCAAGAAAGTATGCCCGAATCCTACGATCATCGACAGCTGGGAAGTGAACGAGCATCTTAGGCTGAACGCTAATGTACCTGCCCTGGAAATGTTTGAGAAATGGGTGGAGAAATTGAACTCCATAGACGACCCATGTATTGAGATGAAACGGGAATCGTTCCAACTGTTTGAGATTTGGTAAGTCACCTAGTCGTGGTGCTCACTCCTCTCAACTTTTTCTATAGGCTATTTGGTTCGAAACGCATACTTTCAATCTGGCCTATCCTTTCCAAGTCGCCCGTCCTCACAGACTTTTCGTGGTCTCCACTTGTTATTCGGGCATACACAGAGAATGCTGCTTTGTTTGCGCAGACTTCTTCCTCGTTCCGATTTTTTCCTTCGTTTATGAGTCCTTCCGATCAACTGCCAAATCCTACGACACTACACGACGTCCGTCCTATCCTAAAAGCAAAGGAGATAGATCCTATACGCGGGCTACTGGCTCTTCACATTCGCCGAGGCGACTTCGATGGTCATTGTACACATCTTGCCAAATGGTCCTCAGATTGGAACGGGTTCAACAAGTTCGCTGCCCTCCCTGATAAGTTCAAAGTCCCTACCGACGGTGGTTGGGGCGAAACCACGGAGGCGAACGTGAACATGTACCTCGAATCGTGTTTGCCAACTATTGAGCAGATTGTCGAGAAGGTCCAGAACGTGCTTGCTGATCAAAGGCGCATGTATGGTTCCGCAAAGGAGTTGAAAAGGGTATACATTATGACGAACGCGGAAGCGGAGTGGTTGCAACACTTCAAGGAGGCCCTCATGCAGGTGAAGAAATGGGATGCTATTGTCACCAGCAAGGATTTGAAGTTGAGCTGGGAGGCAAAGCCTGTCGCACAGGCCGTGGACATGCTGATCGGTCAGCGTGCTCAGGTATTTATAGGTAACGGGGTACGTCGCGAGTCGATTTCCATCATCATCAATTAGACTGACTGGTGTCGCAGTTTTCCAGCCTAACATCCAACATAGTGATGTTACGCATGCTGAGGGACCTCGCCCCCGAAGATACTCGATTCTGGGGATAGTTTCCCGTTTCTTGCAGAGTAATTTTGTAGCTCTGCGCACAAGTCACTGACGGCTTCACGCAGCCTTGGGGGTCGCATCGCGAACGTCCCGGAGTCGGAATACACGGAGTATCGCATCTCTTTGTCTGGCTTCCCCACATCGCTACCAACTCTTTCACTGCAACACATTCATTTTTATATTATTGCTCAGCTATACCTCTTCTCATGCATCCTCGATAATTTGTTTGCGGAAACTCTTTCGGGTTGTCTCTTCATTTCATGGCTCGGTGGACCAGCCACGGGGTGCTTATGAGGTCATTATAATTCCCTGTTACCAATACATGTCAGGACACACAAATCGGTCATATTGCATTATACTTATGGACAGGCACGTTCAAATTGTCATTGATCAGGAAAACAAGGAAGCTTCGCGGCACCGTCACTATCTTCAAACCGATCACAGTTCGCAGTCTATTGCAGTCTATTCCTGCAGGGTTTCTGCATGCGGCAGCCGTTCTGTCCGGTTCTCTCAGGCGGTGTATCTGGTACCTATTGGCAATAGTGTTTCTCAAGCATCTTTCTACTCACAGGCGTCGGAATGTTGTTTATGGTTATATAACGAGAGTGTGTGCATGCTGCAGACCAACCCGGTGAATCATGACCACTCGAATTCCCTTGATCTATGTGCGTCCAGTGGTCTTCATGATAGTGGCTGAGGATCCGACTGAAAGTTATAGGTTTATGTGGCGCCGAGGGAACGATCGCAATTTGCATCCACGACTAATCGGAGTGCCAGAAATCGATAGATTACCTTGTTCGCAATTCGCATCCACGACTAATCTGAGTGCTGGCAAAGGGATACGTGTGATAGATGCTGCCCGGAACTACGACGATGGCGCCAATCTCGGAAGAGGTATGTTCCATCTTCTTATCGGTTTACGGGGCACTCGTCTGAGAGGCCGGAATGATGCAGTACCTTGACCAGCTGGACGTCAAGGGCTCCGCCGCAATAGACACTAAGTCAGTTGCCTTTATGCAGTTCCAGGATGTATGTTCACACTGGCCTTCAAAGATGCTTGCAGTCAGGCTCTCCAAGTCTGATTCCCTGGGGCTTTTACTCCCCATAAGATCCGTGTGCCCGACCGGAGTGTACCTTATGACGAGATGCTTCGAGATGTAAATGAACTGCATCAGGAATGTCTTTTGTATGTGCCTCTAATTCTAATCGGTGTCTCTGGCTCGGTTCACGGAACACACCAGCGAAGAAATTAGCCTGAGTGACTTCTATAATTGGGAAGTAAGTGAATTGTGCAGCCACTGAACTCGTCCTGGAACAGGTGGCAGAGATAGTGACGATTGTCAAGAGCAATGAGTGGACCGGACCAGCGGTCTATGAAGGCCTTTACAATGCCCTGGAGCGGAACACATGTATCCCAGGGTCCCACGCTTCTCAGACACATTCTGTCTTTTAAGACTGTTCCGTTGTCTACGGAAATTATTCCATGGGTACACTCCTTGCGTGTGTCAAGCTACCCCGATATGTCTTACAATCCTCTGACACTATCTCTTGTTAGCCGTGGCTTGCTTGCGGCTACAAGTATCGTCTTACGCTAGGCAGGCGTTGGGATATAGAAAGTTTCGTGATGGCTACATGACTGCGAGCTAAGTACCAGAATTGGGAGATCGCATTTCAGTCACTGCGAACGTCATTAGTACGCACTACACATGTCTGCATATCATTACAGTCATCCACCGGCCAATGGTACACTACATGAAATTTTGATTGTCACAGCACAACACTTCAATATATATTTTCCCCTCATAGCAGTACACATAAACAGTCCACCACATAATTTTCAAGAAAATTATGCAGCCTTGTGAGCTCAGTGCTGCAAACAGTGATGGTGTCTGTTTGAAGCCGAAACCTGGCCAATGATACACATTAGGAAACCCTAGCTTGGGGTTACCAAATATGACTCGGTAGCCTTAACATATCATCACCAGAACATTTTGTTTTGTCTGCAGCACATCCAAATCTCACTCTGACGAGTTGAAAAAATATATACAATGGATTGGAAAAATGTTCTACTCGATATCTGTGTCATTAGATTTATTTTAAATAGCCAATTTTTACTTGTGATATGCTTATTAAAATGTGGATGAACCAAATATGTGTTTCATGATATAAATCATGTGAAATAAAAACATAACAAGCAGTAGATTCCACTCAAAATCGCTGGAAATAAGAGTATCGATATCACCGAATAATATGGAGACAAGTTTGTGGCCAGGAGGTTCGGGATTTAGAGTGTGGAGAGCAAGTGTATCATTGGCTGGTGGTGTTTCATTGGCCAGTGGTTCACTGTACCGATTTATGTCCGTACAGGTCGAGCATAAGCGGAGAAGCGGCCCTTCGCTGGCCACACTAGAACCCCGTGATGCAATAATATTTGGTGCCAGTAGTATGTCTCAACTGGAACAAAACATTAGAGATCGGCGGGTGGGCCGGTTTTCTGAGCTTATTACCAGTAGACGATGATCCTTCCGTTTATGTAGTAAAAGAGGTCCTTCGCCTGAGGAAATAGTCAGTTTGCTCGACGGGACTTGGACCAACTACAAAGGCAGGGCACCTTAGATATAAAGGCAGCTGTGGCTATTGTTGCTGACAGTCAGTGACAACAAATATTTCACCCATCCCAGATGTGGTCACAGATAATTACTAACAGATTATATGAAGATAACAACATGACTCCCTGTCACTGCTGTCTTCATGGACTGAATCTGATGCTTAGTTCTTCAGGGCTTCGGTGTCGCGAGTTTCATCCTGGCTATGTTGTAGAAGTCGGAGCTACAAATCCGTGCGACTAGACTTTCAAACTTGGAATGCACTCCAGCATACTGTGATGATGACGAGACACTCGCTTTGGGGGCCCACTGCAGAACATGGTTCTGATTGATAATTGTTGTCATGCATTCTGAATCGAACGACATTTTAGGTCCTCATATTCACCATGTCAGTGTCAGCAATGAAGCACAGCGAGACCCCCAACCCCCAATAAGCAAGAGCCCGTGGGGATGCGTGGGTAAGGGAAGACCAGAAAAGGGAACCCCCTAATCAACCCCTGAGACGATGGTAGTAAGCTGATTTGATATCAGCGCTGCCTCTGGCTATAAATTCAAGGCTAGGAGCTCGCAATGTCCTCAGAACTTATTTCTCTCTCAATCCCATCGTGAAAGTGTTTCCAATTTTTCGACCTACGGCTTTGCTCCAGAACACTGCGACCTCTCTCGCCCGAACCAAACCATCGTTGCTGGAAACCTTTGTCGCGTCGCATCATACTACCATGTCTTCCAGCCGATCCATGGAAATAATTCCGCGCAGGAACGCTGAACGAGGTCACGCAGATCATGGTTGGCTCAAAACGTTTCATACATTTTCGTTCGCCAAGTACGGAGCTTTCATCTCAATCTTCATTGCATTATCATACAGCTACTTGGCAGTTACCATGACTTTAAACACGAGTCTTTTGGTTCTCTCCGTGTTCTGAACGAGGACCGTGTGGCGCCTCGTACGGGCTTTGGCACCCACAGCCATCAAGAATTTGAAATATTTTCCTACGTGATCAGTGGTGCGCTCGAGCAGTGAGCACCCTTGCAATCATTGCTTGTAGAATAGTTGACTGACATCATCACTTCAGCCAAGATTCCATGGGCAACACTGAAATACTATCTCGCGGTGCCCTTCAGATGACCTCAACGGGAACTGGCATCTCTCACTCCGAGAAAGCCCATGGCCCTCAAGAGGTACATTTCTGTCAGATATGGGCGTCCCCTCGTCCCGGGGAAGGCAAGGGCAAACCCGCGTATTCTACCAGGTAAAATAGATTTCACTAGCTGACGCTCCTAAATATAACTAAACAACCGCCGATTCTTCCAGACATTTCACCGACGAAGACAAGCGAAACCAATTCAGGTTGATTGTCGCGCCTTCGGATTCGTCTGAAGTCTCGCTTGATAGGGAGGCTGAAGGCCCTGCCCCGATTCGCTCGCAACTTCGCGCATATGCGTCTCTCGTGGATCCCGGTGTCTCCCTCACGCATAAATTCCACCCAACCCACAGTACCGATACGCGTAAAGCTTATATTCACGTCGTTCAGAGTTCGGGATACAATCCTGGTAACGCCAGGGGTGTTAAGTTGCGCGTTGGTGCTCAAAACGAGGGGCCCGTAATTGAGCTCAGAGAGGGAGATGGTTCATATCTACTTGTGGGAAAGGATACTGAACTCAAGGTTGAGAACGCGGGGGAAGGTGTGGTTGAGTTTTTACTATTTGACATGGAGTAAAGCGTCTAATAGCTACTGACTTTGGTGATTTGACTGTAAATTAACGTCACTATGGTCTCATGTTTAATTCGAGTCAGAAAACTTGGAAAACGCAGGGGTCTTCTGGTATCCAAATCGCTGTAGCGGGCCCAGCTAATCTGCGATACATTGATTTGATCTTATGGCCTATCATGTCTACACACTGCGAACAATATATTGATGATCAGAGATGAGGCAGAGAAACGCAGAATCATTCACAAGGCCCTCAGACAGAGCAGTAAATAAGAGCGGAAGGACAATTTCACAGCCAAACAGTCGAAAACATTGCCAGAAGTACTCGCCATCATCTGTCGCGATGTCAGAATAACCAGGACTATTTCAGACTGCCGCCCACTCCATTAGTGGCACAAGCTCCAGCCCTGCAGTGAGTCCTAGAGACAAATAAGGCCTGAAAATCATCTGGCTGAGACACAATGTCTCGCACTGGCATGAAGCGCACCTACCAGATCATTCAATGAAGTGACCCACACTAATGGTGATTGAAACACGGACAAAGAGGGACTAGCTCGAGAAATCATACAACACGGCTGCTCTGAAACAAACAATTTAATGGACGAGAAATTCGTTGGAGCCGGGGATAGGCGCCTTCAACCGTCTCGCGCGCCGTTAGGGATCTTGTACTATATGGATGCTCTGAAACGATATGAAGATATTTTAGCGACACAAGTACATAAGATCAGAAAACACAATGCAAAGAAGAGCTCTCGGTTATTGTAAACGACGTCGCGGCGGTCAAAAGTTCCGTGGCAGTAAAGGGGCAGTACGGGGAGATGGGCTGCAATGCCGGATGTCGATGCCCAGGTGAATCGGTGTCAAACTGCAAGATGAGCTGGATAGGGATTTATCGATCAACTATAATTAACAATTGCAGTAAGTCCACCCTTACCTCAAATTTTACACTAATGCCCCACGCTATTCTTGGTCACTATGCGTTGACCTGAGAATAGTATCGTTGCATTAGTTGCAGGCATTCCTATTGCAAAAGGAGTGTTTACCGTTCACAAGCTGTCGATTCGGCGTCAACTGCTCTACTGCTTTATGATGTGTAATCTCCACCATAGGAATGCTTTGTGCCTTCCGCTTCCTTCGGTGTGTACTACGCGGAATATCATCGTGATAGGAGATAGAGTTTGGGATGTGGATCAAGACGGAGGATGTCGCAGGGATCAATAGATTCTGACATCGCTTATTTTTGCGTAGGGAGTAATCGCCATGTGATGGCTGAGTGTGATTATAGGGTGGTGGGTCAGACGGCAAGTGTAGCGATAATGACATAAGGATAGAAGAAAATAGAGCAGTACACGTTGCAAAACTGAAAGTTGAGGGCATGGCGCCATACAGGATTTTGCCGTTGAAGGCAGAGTTGAATAGGTCAGGGGCAGGGTGGGGGGCTAGCGATTAAGGGATGACAGGTGACGACATGTGTAGGACCAGGTTGGCTGGATGGCGTAAAACAACGTACGAGGGCACTTTTGATGCACTGATCCAAGCACGCAATTGCTAATATATATGCGTATGGGTGTCAGCCTAAGTAGGCATAGCTTCATACAGCAAAATACTTACGAAATAATGTAGTTCGTTCCTGCAGCGAACCTGAGAATCAGTACGTGTCAATACTATGTAATGTGATCATCTGCTCTCCACTATTACCTCAGGATTCTCATCACATGTCGCATTTCCAGAGTAGGTGCAGTATAGCGGGTTTTGAACGTTCAAATGTACCAAACGAGCAAATTTGTACATTCAAAGCCGCATATTAAGTGTGATCGATGCAGGGAAATTAACGTCTTGACCCGAGAAGGCCCAATCCTGCACAGTCTGATATGGCTTCTGGTAATCAGTGTACAGCTCAAATGGAAGAAGGCTCGGAGCGTCGGTGCGGCAACTGACACGTTCTCGCTGCAGAACACGCGTGAGCCGTCTTTATCTTGAGGGAGAATAATCATCCTATAACACTAGTCACCACATCAAGATCCGCTGGAGAAGGGCATGTATTCAGATAGTAATCCGAGCCTATCAATATATCAGATAAACGCTGGAGAACACTCTCGGCTATTGCCCACAACGACAAAGAGGCAGTTGCTGCGCACCTCTAAGGGACAATTCCACATGCATGAGAAATCGACTTCCTAACTTCATCGATGCCAAAAGCAATTCCCCCGGATGGACATGAGGTGATGATAGGGGGTAAGCACATTGGGGCAATGCGAAAGATATCTTGTTCGATCTCATTTATTTGAGTTCGACCGTTTGTTTTTAGTGCGTCGGCCCTGGTTATGATTGCCTGAAGGGTCCAGCGGGTGTCATCGAATGACTGGATCTGAGCATTCAGCGAGGAAAGCATCGCCTCGTCGGTAGCACCCATACCATGGGGAGCAGATATCAAGATAAAGACGCGACATAACCTGTAGCATGGTATCAAATGCACACAAGATGGCCTGGACAACTTACTGTTTCCGACTTTCTAGGTAATGGTTGAAAAGGGCGCCCCACTCGGGTCGACCCCTGGCACCATATCCCGGAGAGTCGACAACGACCAAGCGGCCAGGGTGAGATCCAACGCGGAAAAAATTGAGTGTTTGCGTTCGACCCTGCGCAAAGCCAGCATAAGCGGAACACAGCACCAAGTTCATAACGACCCACAGCTTTCTTGCTGGTAAAAAGAAGATCTCTACGCCCAACCACAGAATTAAGCAACGATGATTTTCCAACATTTGCTCGGCCCGTTACAACTACCTGTAGAGGTTTGTGTCATGTAGAGTGCTCAACATCTAAGTAACTCACCTCAGGAATCCCACCTAGAAAAGGTAGAGATGCTTTATCACCAACAGCAGCAAGAAATTCCGCCGACTTCGCATCCTTGAAAACGGACTTGCCGTGACCATTGGCTCTGGATGATATACACCTCAGACTGCCACAATTAACGGTCTGTATTTTGGGAAGCACGTGAAATGCTCTTGAAATTGCAGCTACATTGAGCGGTGGAGTGCATGGATCCTGCACTACAGCTGGCAATGTCATGGGGAAAGAAAATAACTCTTACCGACATTGTTGTGGTTTGTTGAAATCACAAGGCGTTAGTAAACATACACAAACGCCATCAATAACTTGGAAATATCATCTTGAGTTCATCTCAAGTTCAAATCTGGTGGAAATCGTCATGGACCCACTCGCTGGCATGGATGATTCTACAACCGATGATGATAATGCTTCTCAAACAACCGAGGACGATCCTCAGGTACCAGACAATCACCCACCGCCACCTCCCCAGCCTGCACCCCAACCAGTCCCTCAAGCACCACCACCAGCGACATCAGGCATGCGAGAAAGGCCAAATTATGAACTCCGGCATACACTGAGGGGACATACGCAATCTATATCTGCCGTCAAATTCAGTCCTGACGGAACACTGCTGGCATCTTGCGGTTCGTATGCAGCTTGCTAGGAGTCGTTTTATTTGAAATAGGTTTTGTTTGTGTAGCCGCAGATAATTTGGTAAAAATATGGTCTCCATTCACGGGCGAGTTAATCAGAAACTTGAGTGGCCATACCAAAGGCCTCTCAGATATCGCGTGGTCAACAGATGGTGTGTATCTCGCATCAGCCTCTGATGACACCAGTGTACGGATATGGAACGTCGATTCTGTAAGTTGTCACTGACGGAATTATCCTCCGACCGACTCATAGCGCGAGACAGGGATTAACAACGAAACATCTAAAAGGGCACACAAGTTTTGTGTTTTGCGTAAATTACAACACAGCTTCCAACCTCCTTGTCTCCGGAGGTTGTGATGGTGACGTTCGAATATGGAATGTTGCAAGAGGTGCGCAAAGGCTGCTTGGGTCCAGCTGTCCATTTTCTGAAATTAAAACAAGGAAAATGCATGAAGACTCTGCATGCGCATCTCGACTACGTCACTGCCGTGCACTTTAACAGAGATGCCACCCTCATAGTCTCGTGTGCTCTTGATGGGCTGATGTGAGTACTACAAGATAGCTTCTTTGCCTGTCTTATGCGACTACAGCCGGATTTGGAACACCACGACTGGCCAATGTTTGAAAACCCTTGCTGAAGGACACGACGCTGTATGGTATGTCCGTCAACTGCCACTGCTCATCTCGTTCTCTAATCCGTCTTCAGCCAACACGTACAATTCTCACCCAATTCCAAGTACATCCTCTCTACTGCTCATGACAGCGCGATCAGATTATGGGACTATCACACGTCGCGCTGCTTGAAAACATACACTGGTCATCGTAATGAGAAATTCTGTATAGCAGCCTGTTTCAGTGTTACTGGGGGGAAATGGATTGTCTCTGGGAGCGAAGATCAAAAGGTTTATATATGGGATCTTCAAAGTCGTGAAGTGGTGCAGGTTCTTGAAGGACATGGAGGTGAGGATCGTACTTCCTTGACCAGGCACAATAGCTTATATTGGCTGTTCAGGTGTTGTCGTCGCTGTGGCCACACATCCACAGCAAAATATGATTGCGTCTGGCTCGATCGAGCCAGATCTCACAGTTCGCATATGGGCTGATCGTGGTTCGCCATCCTGAATGGCCGTATTAGATACGCATGCTAATCTTGCATACCCACCGGTAACCCTGTTGTTCTAGTATTGTTCACTTGTCGTGTATACTATCCTACACCTGATATATTACTCGCAAATGCATGGAAAGCAGGGCAACAACATAAAACTACAAGTGATTAGACAGCGTAAACGCCCTTTACTTGACAGGTTCAGCATTAAGAAGATCTGAATGCAATTAAACGTGAGTAAAAGTTGGGTCTACAAACGAATATTCTATCTCACCCTTTGCCGCCTCCTTGTCTGCTTCAGAAAGTCCTGAATCATGTGCTTCCAAAAAGGCATCCACCTATGGTACTGGGTATCATCGAAAATTATGGTATGACGAAAACTGCTCACCTCGTCCAGAACTTGATCATCATCTTCGCCATGGACCATGTCTAAATCACTATCATCGTCATCATCACCTGCGTCGTCGATCGCAAACGGCGTTCGCTCCATGAATGCCGTATTGACCGCTTTGAAATGGGGCATCGGAGAAAATGCTGAACCTTTTTCCTGCATGGACGACGCGTCGAGAGTGATAGTTGAAGGCGAGCTCGATACTGCCACAGTATCCGAGGAGCTTCCCGAGAAGGTAGTTTTGGCTGAAGGTGAGATAAGCGACTCCCGTGCCGTCGGTTCTTCGAGTTTTGTGAATCGTCCGATTTTAGGGCGGTAGATAACCTGCCAGTAGTAGGTTAACTTTCACGAGTGGTGATCGTGATGACTGCCGTACCTGATGCTTGCCTATCGTCTTGCCAAGCTCATCGCTCAATCTGTTGAACATATTCTTGTTGTCCTGGGTAGCGATGTTAGACCACAGATCGCCCAAGAAGCCACTTGACGCCGGGGGTAGCTCAAGGTCAGGAACGGTCTCTAGCGTGAATGAAGCAGAAAGATCCGTTTCGAAGAACGACTCCAGGATCTCATCAGCTAGAACCACCATCCGGAATCTACGGCAAGTGACATGTAAGTATTCATCATATGAGGTTATACGGGATGACGCACGTAGCAAGGTTGAGGTATGGTTGGTTGTGCCCGATTTCTTGAGGGCCTGTTGCTCCGGTCTCGCTATTCGTTTGCTGTGGCAGGAGACTATCGCCATACTCGAAAGCGTTGGTCATAAATTTGCTGACGGCTCCTAGGTAGGCATCGCCGATCTCGTAACGGAAAATGAACTACGGCTAGTCAGCCTTAGAGATCAGAAAAAGCGGATAGACTGACAAGAAATGACTCAGAGAGGGTCAGGACTTCGTCCTTAGTCAAGTACCCATCTTTGTTCTTGTCATGCAGATTAAAGAACCATTCAATGTTCTCCATCAAATCATTGAACATCACGCCGTCTAGACCAGACACGAGATCCTGGAAGTGTCCATGAGTACTGCGTTCTTCAATTCATCCAGAAAACATGCCTGGAATGACAAAGAGCCTTTGCACGAGGTATCCCAAAAATAAAAGAGACGGTCTATTAGTTCGTGTTCTGCAACCTCGCGGTCGATGCGTTGCTTCATTTGCGTCAAGGTTAGGAATCAATATGGGAAAATCGAAGGAATACCTGGAAACCATTGATCACGATCTTTTCGTTCCGCGCCCAGGTCAAGATTTCGCTGAGAAAAACGTGGAAAGTTGGTATCCCAATTCTAGTCTCTGCTCTTTCTTGGGTCCCATCATTCGTGGCCAAGAGCGATGGTGGAGGAGCAACAGATGGTGGTGGTGGGACATCACACATGGCCTTGTACAAAGCATCGTATACGAACCCAGCTTGCTCTTTGGTAAATCTTCCGAGCGTCTTCAGGTTTCTGACCGCCGAGCGCTTAGAGAAAGATTCGATGCTGTTGACGATTTCGTTCCTGTACTTTCTGCGTTCGGAGAGAATCGTCTCGTCGGTAATCACGGCGAACTCCCGGAACGAGATGAGAAGTAGTTCCTGGAAGCGTGTTATCGCCCTTGCTCGAGGATCCGCTGACTCTGGATGCGCAGAGTCACCCAGTGAGGCGAAGTATTCGCGCATCAAGCTAGTCATAGTCAGCATAAGTTGTCAAGGATCGAAAATAACCCACTTTAAGAAGCCCCCATCATCTTGTATCTGCAGTAGTTTTTCACCATTAATCTTAAGGATGGCTTCGCTCTAGAAGTCAGACGGAGATCCTCAGCAGTGACGGGGTACACTGACCTAGTCTGACAAGTTCGTGAGTTATGCAAAAGCTCGTAATGACAAGAAACGACTCACCCTACTTGGAAAAGCACTTTCGGGCCCATGCAGAAGAAACAGTCCGCAATGCGGAAAGCAAAAACCATAGGCATGCTATTGATGTACCTGTGAAGAGCGAGTCATGTCCAGTGGGAAGCACAAGATGTCATACACACTGACAAACTCAAGAACCATGGCAAAGATGCGACCGAGAGCTGCACATCAACCGCCTGAAAGTGATCGCTTATCATTGGCAAACACCGTGTCACAAGAGACTCGAAAACTCGTTGATCCAGCAATGTGCCATGCATAGTCGGGCTAGATGTGCGTTAAGTCAGAAGAACAGCACATTTGTAGGCAGACCTTACCTGTAATAGCCAGGCAGAAGTCTATCACACAGAACTTCGAGAAGCCAAAAGGCCTGCTCTTCTGACATGTAACTATACCAATATAAGACATACGTGTCGTGAAAGCGAGATGCTTACATTAGAATCGCAGCTGCCAGTATATTCATCGCCTTAACACGAATCAGAATCAATGAATGACAAAAACGAGGAAAACATACCTGACAATATCCGACTTCTGGGTTCCTGTGCGAATAGGCTTGTAGCACTCTACGAAGAGCGCTGATGCCCTCATCAGATTGATAGCCTGCATATTCCGGAAGACTCCTGTGCAAATCCTTCTCAATGTCCTCAAAACTCGTGCTGTTCGTCCCCTTAATGTCCAACAACAGTTGATGGTATACTCCAGGATTGGAGTAACGAAGGTATACAGATCCAGACAACGTCTCCCACATTTCGCCACGAAGCCGATTAGGGAGGCCGACCTGAACCAACCGAGTACACTGCGGGTATCTCAGTAATGTAAGATTGCGGCCGTGATCTGCATCAATCATCTCAGATGTTACACAATTATGAGGTAGTGTGAGGCGTACTCTTTAAATATGTCGTCCATAGCTTGATTTTCGATGCCTCACGCAGCCTGAAATGCGTCAGCACGAGGCATGAAGCACGCAGTAATATGATTAACTTCTTTGGGTCACCAGGGAACTTGAACTGCAATCCTAGACCGCCATGGAATTCTGTCTCTGGAGGTGGACATCCTTCTTTGGCGTCTGTGATAAGACTTCCATCCTCCCGCTCGTTGTCTGCGACGCCCGATGGCGATACAAGCTCCTCAGAGTAGCAAGTCTTTACAAAGCCTTTCACAGCTTTCATCTGACCACGCTGTAGCTCCGCCTTAAGTGCCTCCCGCAAGAGGCTGCAAAATAGGTCGGCGGTGGGTCGAAGGGAGGTCAACTGCACAATCTAAACAGATGTTAATGAACGCATCGAATGATATCAAGAGTCACTTACTATCTTCATGCCGTGCCAAGTGGAGAGACTCAAGGCGTAAACTCCAGCACGCGCATTAAGACGTTCGACGCGTCGTATCGTGGAGAGGGGCAATGTGAACCTGACCGACTTGCGATCCAGGGAGGAAAATGCAAGATATGGTGGAAGCAAGTGTAGCTTTCCTGCCTGAGTCCAATCAAACATTGAGATAGCACACGTAGGCAAGAACACGCCACTCACATACGAGTCTTCCACTTCTTGCGCACCAAAGCTTAGAATGGCGTTGATCTCCATCTTCTCTACATCTCCGGAACCCTGTTTCTCCTTGTCCTTGAGAGGCACAGGAGGCGCCTCCGGTATTGAAAAGAAAACGCAAGTCAGCTGATCCTTGGTAGGTTCCTTGAAGTCTCGTAGCTGTGTGGATATTGTCGACATATTGGACGCTCCAACAATGCTCTTGCACGTTCCTGGGCTCTCCTGGGACTGCTTTCGATCAGACTAGAAGCACTGTTCTCGACGTGCCCTACTGGTGAAAGAAAGAGATGATATCCGACACTGACAGTGGTAGGGTAGTTGTGCTTAGCTTCGTCAAATGGACTGCGCTAAATTGGAGGCCCACGGTGTGGTGAGCGACGTTGTAACTGCAGTGCAATTCCAAATGGAGCCGCTGAGCTCTAACATCATTAGCGCCGCCCGCTAACCTGCTCAGCGCTAGCGCTCAGATCTCAGATACATATAATGATATCTCGTAGGCCACATCTCTGCGCAAGGCGGCATCATACAAGTTCGCATTGGTATTGTAGCTCACTCTAATACTGCTGCATGATTCAAGCTGGATGTCCGTAACTACCTAATGATCTACATACCGTAACGACCACGCGGAATCGCGGTTGAAAACGGCAAAGGAAGTTTGCAATTACAGATTGGGCAACAGAGGAACGATAGCGTAGACTGGCATAATCATGAAAAAATACTCATCATCAAGTGCCCATGATCAAGTCGTAAGCGCGGCTTCAAAGCACTGAGTGCTTACAACTTCATCTGGCACCTTTCCCACTCCAAGTAAACACGTCGCTCGCCTTTGTCAGGCTCCGAGCCTCGTTCACAGTGCATAAAATGGCACTGGTTCATGAAGAGACACGCGAGTGGATAGCCCGGATCCAGGGAGCTCACCAAAGACAATACCTCAACATCCAACATTAGCCCGTGCACCAAGTCAATTATTGTGACATTGGACCAATGACAAACAAGGTTTCAGTCAAGGTTTTCGGGTTCAGCGACTGAGTGTGTAGCTTCATACTCGAAGTCAATCCGTCTGACCATTCGAGACTCGCTGGAACCGAGATACATATTTGCACAGTTGCATATCGTCACCACGCCAAGCCATAAGTGGTAGGGTCGGTCATCGTTCTGATCGAGGATATCGACGAGCAAAGTTGAAGGACAGGACCTTGAAGAAGCCTCTCCATCCTTCGATCTAGCTGACAGCAAGTCATGCCTGTGCTTGTCGGCCCGAGTGTGTATGAGAGACATTATATTGAATCAGTGACCACACATTGCTGGACAACCTGCGATAAGTCCACCATGATCCGATTCCGTACAACGAAATACAACCCATCCAAACGAGAATGTCGGGCTGCATCCGATACGCACGCAGACCTTGTAAGGCAAAGTGATCATGATGGGCTAGGTAATAGTGAAGGGACCCTAAAACATCCCAGCCTCGTGAAAGAGAGGCGATCAGGGGGAACGAGGCACTGCCGGAGGATGCTCCTGATGAACAGGCCACAAACCCAGTCTGCATTCATTTTCGGGGTCCCTTCGTTCTCTCATCTTGGTCTAGAACAATGCACGCAATAACCTGAAGGTACGCTCCCTTTTTGTCCCCAGACTCCCTTTACCTATGATGCCGCATAGTCGCCAGATGATCAGGTTCTTATATTCCCTTTCTCTATGCTTTTCGCTGTTGACGGTTATCCAGACGGAGATACCAGGTCAAGGAGACACACAAGATACTGATTTCTTCCAAGGAATGAATCACGTGCGTGCAAAAGTATGCTTCATTGAATCATATTTCACTCACATCATTCGTTGCAGTATACTCATACTTCCCGACCGGCAGCGCCTGGGGGCTCTCAAGAGTCTCTTCGATGTCGCGCGAACCTCTCGTTCAATTGCCCCACCGGCGCCGCTCTATCCTCTACTAGCGCTCCCATCCTCTTCAATACTTGCCTACAACACCTATTACCCTGGCGGCACATTCACGCAGATCATACCGCGCCGCTTATTATGGATGTTCCTTGCGCGAAGGGTAAATTGATGTGCTCGCTTCCTTTTCATCACTGTTTATTTCATGTCTCATGCAGAAAGTTGTAGCGCAATGCTGCGGCGGATGATCCTGGAAATGACGAAGACATTGTACCTGATGAATATTTCGATCAGGATCACGACTCACAACAGCAACCCGTAGCAGGCCAGACCAACTCCAGAGAATATAGAAGCAGTCAGTGGTGCTTCTGCCTCTAGATCGTCTCGCGGACATCCTGTGTATTTCGGTTTGCAAACTTAGCTTCCACCCTTGAGACGACTACGGCGGATACGATGGTCGATTTGTAGACGTCAGTAATCAGCAACACAACATATGTAGCGCGTCGTCATCAAGTACTGAACTCCGTTCTTCATTCGCATTCCTGCATGGAAAGGGTGGCTCAGGGAGAAATATTAGTGTGTTTTTATGTTCTTTTGTTTGCATCATATTTAGTATTTTGGGTCAGTGACTCTACAATGGACATTTTTCGTGAGTTGCTTCGCCCAGATCTATCGTAAGTGTTGGTGTTCGCCAATGGAACTGGCCCTCCATCCTCGAGACTACCGCTGGGAAGAGTCTCTGTGGCCCCATTGCCTGAGGCAAGGGACTTCATCCGACGGAGTGTGATGAACTTATGCGTGCTGCATTTTTCAGGTGATAACCATGAATATAATCAGGATGTACCCGTAGAGTTAATGAAGGTCGAGGCGGGCGTGGTTGCTGGTGCTTAAACGGTTTTGAGAATGTTCGGTGTATGTCCGAAGACTTGAGGGCTGGCACGTCACATGCGCGAGTTCCAGTCTTTCACAGGGACAGGATACACAAGTTTAGGATACGCTGCGACATCGAAGTTGTACAGCACGAGCGGTTTACGAGCAGAATAAAATCAGGTCACTCGACATTCAGAATGTTTCGTTCACCCGCGAACGTCATACTACCTGGTTCCATCCGAAAACCAAGAACTATGTAGTACTGTACTTGTGGTGATTCTAAACAAATGCTCTCCTAGGGTTCAGCAACAGTTGCGAAGCTGAAGGCACAGTGAATCATCGTACACACGTCTCAGAAGAATAGATTTTACCGTAGAGCGGTGTCATGAGTCGTCAGCGGTGGCGCTTTAGCACTGTTGTTATTCATTACGAATGAGACCAATGACGCATATCGATGAAAGAAAGGAAAAACCTTTCATGATTGGACGAAGGACGGAGGAGCGAGAGTACCACTTGGCTAGATGCAATTGTGCTAAAAATGAAAGTAAGTTATTCGTATCGATTGGAAGTTGTAACGAGAGTCCCGACCAAACGCACGACGCTTTCAAGATGTCAGAGCATAAACTCAGTCAAACAGCGAGCACATACCAGGCATCGCGAAAATAGAACCCATAATAGCTGCCGATACCAGGTATGAGATGCATTTGCAATGTAGAAAACTAGTCTTACGGTGAATGTCCAAAAGATTCAGGGCCTATAACGTTTAATCTACGACGGCCCTTTGGAACAACAAACGGCGTACCAGTAGACCTGTGTTCATTATCAGATTGACGATAAAGTAGATCACCCCCTGTTTCACGAGTGTCTTCCATAGCGTAGAAGACGATGACATCCTCCAAAGTCCGATTATGGTGAAGACCAAAAGTAGCAAATCATAGCACATGCCTAGGTATCGCTCATCACGCGTCCATTGATCATAAATTCGAAAGGCTTACTATAGATGAGCAGTGCAATTGTATATGTGGTGTTGACAAAATAATTATACACACCCCATCTATGGTGGATGCACGAGCGCTTGCAACGACTGAAAAATGGTTCGATAAATCGCACTAGAGGGCAGCAGATACGCACAGAGCGCGAGTAGTGTCCAATGACCTAATGAGAAGAAGACTAGCAAAAGACGCAACAGAGAACTATTTTGCCAGATAATCCACCTGCGTTTATACACCATGAGATCGAGCATGGCATGATATATAATTATAGAACTTGCGTTCTGACCATCAGATTGGTTGTGGAACAACCACCGGCGACGCTTATCGCAAACTAGACGATATGAAGATAAATCTGCAACCTAGCGGGCTCTCATGCTCACTATGACGAAAGTATTTATGCCTACACCGCAGTAAGCCTTCGATACAATTTAAAAGCTACAAAATACTTACCCTGACAATCAACTTTTATGGGGAAGAGACTGAATTGCATAGCACTAACAAGGCTGTCAGTACACTGGTCACTTTCTCTCTGTCGGCTCACAACAAAACGGTCGCAATCAAAAAGCTGAATCGGGCGGTAATGTACGAGAGCTGGACATGTGTAAGTGGCAAGCGTCCACGTCTTCGTCGAAAATGCGCACCAAAGCCCATCTAAACGGAAGCTGCCTCCGAAGCAATGCTATCTCCACGTGTGAAGAACGTATATATTCCCAGCTAAGATCACGGACACAAGCCCATCGGTATCACATTCAAGACATTACAGCGCGAAGCACTCACCCGTATAATCCAAGGATAATATACAACATCTGCATTGAAAGCATCTCAAGATCCTCCTGGAGCTCAGAATCATCCCAGTCCATCATGGTAAGACTTGGGTAGAAATTGTAATTAGAAGTAGAGGGCGTTGCGGGAATGAAATCTGTTGGCTAGAAAATCTCCGGCTCAATGCTACTAATCAACCCTTCCATGCGGAGCGTCTGACATAGCTGATACAAGCATCCAGGGAACCAGTGTCTTCACACTCGCGACCCTTCACCTACCAAGCTTGGCATATTGGCGCCTGTAGACTGCTATAAACGTATGTCAGTCGAAGGTTGAAGGAATGCGATCAGGGTCTACCTCCGTAAGTGCCAGTGATAATGCGTTCGTTAGTCTCCTCTACGCCGACCATGAAGATAGTCGTTCCTTCTTACTATGGTGCGTTCGTAGAAGTAGTGTATGTAACTAAGAGAGCATCTTGATGTGGCACATCCTAGCTTGGCATCAAAGCCAGGGTCAATGCAAAAAATAATATCGGGCGACCGACGACAGCTAACAACCGTGGGCAAAAAAAATTACTTTGCTTGGAGGCAAGCAGAAGTTGCATGATGTGAATCCTGTTACAGGAGGGCTTTGAATATGAATGGGGCAGGGCATTCACAACAGTACCGCATGCCAGTGTAATGACATGCCAGCTTGATATTTTACCACGGGTAGACGGCGATAGACAGCGATGCACACCTCGCACGGAAATCGGCAAAATTGAGTAACGACACAACATACTTAAGCGGACAATTTCATTTACCGATGGACCCGATGGACCACCTATGTACTTACTTTTATAGCTTATCCTTTCTGCCTAATATGTAGACACGGCTGTCACTTTTCGTTCTCATTCGTTACAGTGGCCAGGGCCTATATTGATTCTTCAGCATGCGTCCACAAACCACTACCATTTACCGCACTGCGTTCTCTTACAACCGGCCCAGACATCAAGGCTTCAAAACTGGGCTTTAAAGCTCCGTGCGCAAAATAAAATTATGTCCCTCGAAAGTTTCGTCCGCCCGAATACGGTACTACCTGGCTGGGTCCGCACTGCAGACTGAACAGATAGCCATCCTAGGCTTCAGCAACAGATGCGAAGCTGAAAGCACATTGAATCACCGTACACACGTCTCAGAAGAATAAAATTTACCGCAGAGCGGTGAATTCAGTCGTTAGCGGTGACGCATTAACCGACGAGGTGCAGTCGCTATTCATTGTGAATGAGACTGGTGACACATACGGATGAAAAAAAAGGAAAAACCTCTCATAATTTGACGAAGGACGGAGGAGTGAGAGGACTACCTGGCTTGATGCAATCGTGCTAAAAATGAAACGTTAGTCATGGGTATAAATTGGAAGTCGTGACAAGAGTCCTGACCAGGTGCATGCCGCTTCGAAAGTCAGCGACATACACTCAGTTGAACGACGAGCACATACCAGGCACCGCAGAAATGGAACCCATAATAGCTACCGATACGAAGTGAGTAGGCACATTTACAATGCAGCAAGACAGGACTACGGTTCAGGTTCAAGCGATATAGGGCCTACAAAGGTTAGTCTGCGACGGCCCTATGGAGCAACATGCGACGTACCAGTAGAACGATGTTCGCCACCAGATTGACGATAAAGTATATCACCCCTTGTTTCACGAGCGTCTTCCACAGCGTAGAAGACGGTGGTATCCTCCAAAGTCCAACGACGGTAAAGACTAAAAGTAGCAAATCATAGCACATGCCTATACCCGAGGTTACCGCTCATCACACATCCATTGATCATAGATTCGACATACATACCATATATGATCACTGCACTGAGACATGCAGGGTTGACAAAATGGATCATGCACACCCCGTTTGTGGTGGATGCACGAGCGGTTGCAACGACTGAAAATGGTTAGGTCAAACACACTGGATGGCAGCAAAAACGCACAGAGAGCAAGCAGCGTCCAATGACCTAGAGAGAGGAGGGCCAGCAAAAGGCGCAACAGGCAACTAGTCTCCCAGATAATCCACCTGCGTTGATGTACCATGAGATCGAGTATGATACAAGGGATAGTTATGGACTTGCGTTCTGATCATCAGGTTTGTTGTGGAGCAACCGATGGCGACGTTGGTTGCGAACTAGATTATACGAAGATAAATAAGCAACCTAGTGGGCGCTCTCGCACTCACGAGGGCGAGGGTATCTATGCCTACATAGAGGTAAGTCTCCTTCGCAAAACCTCAAAGCTACAAAACGCTCACTCTGGCAATCAACTCTTGTGGCGAAAGGACTAAATTGCGTCGCACTAATAAAGGCTATCAGTGCGTTGGTCATTTCCTCTCTGTCGACTCACAGTAAAACGGTCGCGATCAGGAAGCTGAATCGGGCGGTAATGTACGAGAGCTGGTCATGTGTAAGTGGCAAGCGTCCAACTCTTCCTGAAAATATATACCAAAGCCCATCGAAATGAAAGCTGCCTCCGAAGCAATGCTATCTCCACGTGTGAGGAACGCATATATTCCCAGCTACAGACCCAAGACCCAGACAAATTGAAACTGCATTCAGAACATTATAGCGCCCAGCACTCACCTATATAAGCCGAGGATAAAATACAACAACTGCACTGAAAGCATCACCAAGTCTGCTTCAAAGTCAGGATCACTCCAGTCCACCATGGTGAGAATGCGGTAGAAATTGTAGCTAGAAGTCGATGGCGTTGCGGGAATAAATGCTGTTGACTAAAAAATCTCTGGTTTATTAGGACGGAATACAGAACAGGTACATACAAGTCTCCCATATCAACGGGTCTGACCCTGTGGAGCGTCTCAGCGCAGTAGCTAAGCATCCCATGTCTTCACACTCGCGACCCTTCACCTAGCACCAAGATTGACATATCGTGGCGCCAGTTTCAGTTGAAGGTTGAAGACATACGATCACTGCACCTGGCTCCAGGGTCTGCCAGGATCTGCCTCCGTAAGTGCCAGACAGTCGACTGAGTCGAGACCATGCATGCGTAGAAGTAACGCAGTGACTCGTAGAGCATTTTGGTAGCAACATCTAGTTATTAGTAGCGTGCAGCAATGGCAACAAATGAGCTTGGTACCTTCCTCCAATGCAGGGTCGTTGTCAATGCCAAGGCCAGCGACCGGGGGCAAAAGTGAAAATTTTACTTTTTTTTGGAGGCAAGCAGGAGTTCGATCCATGCAGCGCAGGGGAGGTGAAAAGAGCGGTCCGCCTTATTCCGGGACTAGCGGACCTTCAACATATGATTACTACTCGTCCGTTTGTAGTCACTGGGTGACTTCCCGCAGCGTTTAGAATTCCAGATATGCGTTCCAAACTATTCCAAACCTTGTGTGCCGAGGAGCCGCCGTGAAACGTAAGCCATTTCCAACTCCACACGTCAAACGCACCCCCTTCTAGATCATAATCTGGAAGGGGGGGGGTACCCCCCCTTCCAGTTTCAGATTGTCGTTCTAACGACATTTCAATGTCCGCGACAATTGTTTAGTGCGTACCGCTCACACAAAGTCCACTAGGTCTGTGCATTATCCATGCGCCAAGCATGCTCCTCACGGTCTCACCATGCAACAGCTTCATATTCTGGGCGATAGCGGTGCATTTCCATATGATGCAGCGAAACGACTCAGCAACCGTTACGATATTTTATGTATGTCCAAGTCTCCCGGATCCTCTCTTTCATGCTAATCAACATTCGTCTCAGGTGCACGCTGCATTCTGCACCATGTGCAAAGGTCACTTGAGCTGCCGACTCACACAAGAGGTCCGCTTTTTTGTACCTTGCAATGTAGATGGTGTGCTTTGCGCTTTGGTATTTAACAAGTGCGTCTACATTCAATCTAAAGGTATGTACGGCGTGCTTGTCGGCGCTCAGAACGCTGGCATCGTGAGTGGTCTGCTCCTACAAACATGAGTGCCCCAAGAACTCCGAGTTGGCGCTGTCGTGCTTTGTCATCATCTTCATCAGACTCAGTATCAGCTAGTAGTGAAAGACACGGCTGATTTTCGTCACAGCCGTTGTTCATGGTTTGGTAGAATTGGAATCTATTGCCAGAAAGTACATATCACATTGCCTGCGGTTTGGAATGAGTATCTAGATTATTTTCTAGACTTAGCCGGAACTCCGCTGTTAAGGTTTGAATACAAGTCTGGAACTCCAAATCCTGCGGGAAGTCAGCCACTAGTTTTGTTCCTTGCTTTCGTTCTTATCTGTTCTACCACCGCAGTATAATCTACTTGGCTCTTTCCATCTGGAACTTCGCCAGAACTCTCAGATCTAACTTAGGGTGTTGCTGATAGCTTTGAATGTGAAGAACCTGGCAGCGGCAGGCTGCGGAGTACCTTGCAGCACAAGCTACATTAGTTATTACTATAACTAAGCAACCAATGCTACTGGATCACGCTCTTATCTGCTCTTATCCTTTCTTCCCAGATGCTGACTACACTTTTCGTTCCTCTGCTTACCATTGATACAACAAGCATCTGCCGAGTCATTGAGAGCGAGGAGTTGACCGTCTGCAAGACAAGCCACTTGCATTTCCCTGGCTGTGTTGTCTTACAACCAACCCGAACACCAGGGCTTTCAAACTGGGCTTCGAAGCTTCGTGTCCAAAATAATCACTCAACATTCAGTGAGTTTCGTCAGCCCGAACCGGATGCTACCTGGCTCCGTCGGACAACTAAGGAAGATGTATTACTTGCGGGGATTCTAAAGAAATGCCCTCCTAGGCTTCAACAACTGATGTGAACCTGAACGCACAGTGAATCTCTGTACACACGTCTCAGGAGGAGGAAATTTACCGTAAAACAGTGACCCCAGCTGCCCGCGGTCACGCTTTGACCGGCGGGGCGTTGTCGCTATTCGTTACGAATGAGACTGGTGACGCACAAGAATGAAAAGAAGAAAAACCTTTCATGGTTGGGCGAAGGACGGAGGAGCGAGAGTACTACTTGGCTAGATGCAATCGTGCTGCAAGTAACCGTAAGTTATGCGTACCAATCGGAAGTCGTAACGAGAGTCCCAACCAAATGCATGACGCTTTCGAAAGGTCAGGATCAGTGACATAAACTCGGTAAAGCCAAGGGCACATACCAGGCATCGCGAAGATAACATTCATAATATCTGCCGATACAAAGTGAGTAGGCGCCGCATTAGCAATGCAGCAGGACAGAATTACTGTTCAGGTTCAAACGATTTAGGGCCTAAAAGGTTCAGTCTGCAACAATCCTCTGGAGGAACAAAGAACACACCAAGAGAATGATTTTTACCACCAGATTGATGATGAAGTATATTACCCCTTGTTTCACTAGCAACTTCCATAGCGTAGAAGACGATGACATCCTCCAAAGTCCAACAACGGTAAAAACCAAAAGTAACAGATCATGAAACATGCCTACACCGAAAGCACCGCTCACCACGCATCCATTGATCATAAATTCGACATACGTACTATATATGACCCCTGCACTAGCATATGCGGGGTTGATGGAGGTGATTATGCACATCCCGTTGGTTGTGGATGCACGAATGGTTGCAAGGACTGATAAATGGTTGGATTAAATACACTATAGGGCAACAAATACGCACAGAGAGTGTTTATTGTCCAATGACCTAGTGAAAGGAGGACTAGTAGAAGGCGCAGAAGGTAACTGTTTGTCCAAATAATCCACCTGCATTTGTGAGATCGAGCACGGTGAGAGAGAGATTTATGGGCTTACGTTCTGATCATCAGATTTGTTGCGGAGCAATCGACGGCGACGTTTGTCGCGAACTAGATGATATGAAGGTAAATCAGCAACGTAGCGGGTGCTCCCGTACTCACCGTGATGAAGGTAATCAGGCCTAAATCGAGGTAAGCCTCTTCGACAAAATTTAAAAGCTACAGATTACCCACTCTGGCAATCAACTCTTGTGTGGAAGGGACTCGATTGCATCACACTAAAAAGGCAGTCAGTACGCTGGTCACTTTCTCTTTGTTGACTCACAGTAAAACAGTCGCAATCAAGAAGCTGAACCGGGCAGTAATGTACGAGAGCTGGGTATGTGTGAGTAGCAAGCATCCACCTCTTCGTCGAAGATGCTCACCAAAGCCCATCGAAATGCAAGCTGTCTCCGAAGCAATGCTATCTCCACATGTAAGGAACGTACATATTCCCAACTACAGACCCAGATGCATGACAACTGGTACCACACGCAAGACATTACAGCGTGAAGCACCCACCTGTATAAGCCAAGGATAAAATATAACAACTGCACTGAAAGCGTCGCCAATCGTGCTTCGAGGACAGGGTCATTCCAGTCCACCATGGTGATAATTGGGTAGAAATAGTAGTTAGAGGGGAGGGCGTTGCGGGAATGAATGCTGTTGACTAGAAAATCTCCGGTTTATTAGGACGAAATGCAGAACAGGTACATACAAGTCTCCCACATCAACGAGTCCAACCCTGTGGAGCGTCTCAGCGCGGTGGCCAATCATATGTATGACCCAAGCATTCAGAATACCCATGTCTTGACACTCGCAACCCTTTATTGACAAACTGTGGCGCCAGTCACGGTAGATCCTCATGAATGCACATATCTTGTTGAAGAGTGAAGATGTACAATCACACCTGGATATCCGACACCATAAGTGCGAGAGACTGCGTGCGTTCGTTGAAGTAGCGTCTGTAACTAGTAGTAGAGCATCTTGGTGGCAAATTGCAATATCTAGTATATTTCGGCTTGGGCATCAAAGGGTTAAAAAATTTGAAATTTGTCGGGCGACCGTTACTATATAAACTAGGATGACGTGAATATTAATATTCGAAGGACTGGGCGTGCCAGTGGCCCAAGATGATGTGGTCTTTGCAAATTGGCCCGAATGTCTTGCTGACCAACATCCCTTCCAGTGCAATCGGCACCCCACAGAAGCACAGGCAGTCACACAAAACCCTGCAAAAAAGCGTGACTGCCGACTTCTGTGGGATGCCGATTGCACCGTATCGATAGACCAGATCTCATTTTTTACCCTTGACCGCTTCTAATAATTTACTTGTGGAGCTCAACAAACAAAAGGGTCTCCCGTATTGCGATAGTTCGGGCGTCGGAATACCCCCAGAATGGCAAGGGAGTACGCACCCTAATTCGGCCCTTCAGGATAGCGCACTACTAATATACTATATGGCGCATACGTTGGCCGCCACAGACGTCAAACAGCGATGCAGGTCACTATAACTGCCCGTTTGTTATAACCAATCATTCGTGCCACCCTACAGTATCACCACAATGTCGCTATTGAATATTCAACAGTCGCGAGCTGAAAGAGGTGTCAGACGCAGTGATGAGCAGTCAGAGCAGGCGAGTCACTTAGTCACTGAACAGCTTCAAGGTTGCGGACTTCCTGCCATTCTTGGGGTATTCCGCGCCTGAACTCTCGTAATACGGGAGACTCTTTTGTTTATCGAATTCCACAAGTAAATAGAAGCGGTAAAAATGAGATCTGGTCGGTCTATCGATATGAAAGTAGGTGTAATTAAAGTCCTCTGAGCCTACTGACGTTGTCCCTCGCTCCTGCCCCCTTGGGACTCCCAGTGGTCTACCATAAGCAACGAGCAAGCAGGAGTGGCAACCACAGGGGAAGTAATAAAGCATTCACACAGGTATGTCATGACACGCTGACTTGACATTTCACTCAGGGTAGATGGCGATGCACAATCACATGCACGTCTCGATCCCTCGCCGAAATCGTAATGGCGCTTACGCGCCAAGTCCATTGGCTGACCTTCAACCCACGAGACTCAATTGTATTTCGTTACTGCACACAGCAACCCCCGTACTCGTCATGGTCATATTCATATATTCATTTGATGTTAGCTACATATTCTGCAACGTTTCACCTCCCCCTGCACAGTTAAACTCGAGTGTTCAACCCCAATTCCGACAGCGAATTCGGAGCCTTTACCACCAACCACCCGTCGTTCAGAGATACGATGTACGAAGCCTCAAGAAGTTACTCGATGTCCGCCCTGGGTGATCTACGTATGTGAGCAGCCCTGCCGATGCAATTGTACAAATGTATGCCAGGTCCTGCACGCTGGTATCCTTTATCCTTCATCTCTGCTAGCACCTCCTGCGACCAAACACCATGTTCGCTGTTGATGTAGCGCGTCGCAATGATCATCATGATGACGAGTCGCCTTTCAGTAGGTTCCTCCCTCTGCAATATATGATCACTCATCAAAGCCCATGGGTCATACAACACTGTTGCTCACCGCGGCAGGATGCAACGAGTGAAACGTTGGAACTCGTATCCTCGGACGTTTCAGCAGGCCCTTGAGCAGTTGCATTGAATACCACGGTGGACTCTGCTCGTGGGCTTGAGCTGGCTCTCAAATTCAACGTGTTGGAACTACGCACCGGGTATGGTTCCCAGTTGCTCATTCGACAGGCTGGCGAACCATGCCATAAAGCCTGCGTGGGGCATTTGTGTGATGTGGGCTTCGTAGTCTTTCGGGAGCATGTTGGTTGTGACCAAAGACGAGGTGACGGCTACGCGTTATGCACTAAGCATATACATCGTGAATTTATCCAGGAAGCGCGTGACATGCGCAGCAAATTATGCACTGTCCGATCGTTGAGCCGTTCTAAAAAAAATTGGACAGGTTGAGCATGGAGTACTTTGCAAACGCATCAGCCCGTAATGCATCACAGTGATCCAAGGACTTACGACACAATTTTGCAGTCGGTTGTAAGTTTGAGCATTCGCTTTAATTTAAATGACGTATTGGCATGGAGGAAGCTGCGGACAAGCCTTTGAGAGTGGCGTGCAAGACCGATAGTTTGTTAGCTGGTCAGGCTATTGGTATTTCACGCCAAAGTTCACGCTAAGTTTTGCGGTGTGAGTGTAAGCAGGAAGGGCTCGGGGGAGTGTCAAATAGGGTGGGAAAATAGCACTGCTTTCTGCAAGCGATAAGAATCCGTTTGTGTTCAGCAAAGCCCTCCTACTAACGTAGGAGTCGGGGATCGACAAAGTTAACGACAAATAATTTGACAATTTCATTAACAGGGAACCGATGCTTGGACCACCTACTTTTGCCGCTATTACCCTTTCTTCCCTGGTCGACACGGTTGTCACCTTTCATTCCCATTCGTCACAGTGGCCAAGGGCTCCACTAATTCTTCAGCTCACGTCTACAAGCGAATTGCAATTGCTAGACCGCGTCGTCTTACAACCCGCCCAATGATTGGACTTCAAAGTTTTATGCACAAATTAAAGTTAGATCCTTCGACATAGTACAAGCCAGTTTCGTGCGCCGGAACGCGATACTACCTCAAATGTAGTACTTGCGGTAATTCTAAGCCAATGCCCTCCTAGGCTTCCGCAACAGCTGCAAACCTGAACGCACAGTAAATCACCGCATACACGTCTCAGGAGAAGCAATTTACCGTATAAGGGTGACCTCAGTTGCCTGCGGTCGTACTTTAACCGGCAGGGCGTCGTCGCTACTCATTTCGAATGAGACTAGTGACACACAAGGATGAAAAAAAAGAAGAACCTCTCTTTGTCGGACGGACGGAGGAGAGAGAGTACTACTTGGCTGGACGCAATCGTGCTGTAAATAACAGTAAGTTATGCGTACCAACAGGAAGTTGTAACGAGAGTTCCGACCAAATGCATGCCGCTTTCGAAACGTCAGAGACATAAACTCGGCGAATTCAAGGGCACATACCAGGAATTGCGAAGATACCATCCATGATAGCTACCAATACGAAGTGAGTAGGCATTTGAAATGCAGCGAGACAGAATTACGGCTCAGGTTCAGACGATTCAAGACCTAAAAGGTTCAGTCTGCAACAATCCTGTGTAGGAACGATGAACACACCAGTAGGATAATGTTTACCACCAGATTTATGACGAAGTATATCACCCCTTGTTTCACGAGCAACTTCCATAGCGTAGAGGACGATATGCTCCAAAGTCCAACAACGGTCCAGACCAAAAGTAACAAATCATAGGACATGCCTAAACCCCAGGTACCGCTCATCACGCATCCATTTGTTATAAGTTCGATATGCGTACCATATATGACCACTGCACTAGAATATGCGGGGTTGACAAAAGTGATCATGCACATCCCGTTTGTTGAAGATGCGCGAGCGCTTGCAACGACTAAAACATTGTTAGACCGATCACACTAGAGAGCAGCAAGTACGCACAGAGAGTGAGAATCGTCCAATGGCCTAGTGAGAGGACGACTAGCAAAAGGCGCAGCAGGTAACTGTTTGTCCAGATAATCCACCTGCATTTATATAACATGAGATCAAGCATTGTGAGAGATCATTATGGGCTTACGTTCTGACCATCAAATTTGTTGTGGAGCAACCGATGGCGGCATTTATCGCCAACTAGACGATATGAAGGTAAATTAACAACGTGGCGGGTGCTCCTGTGCTCACCATGATGAAGGTATTCATGCCTAAATCCGAGTCGAGGTAAGCCTCTTCAACAAAATCTAAATTACTCACTCTGACAATCGACTCCTGTGGGGAAGGGACTAAATTGCGTCGCACTGAAAAGGCTGTCAGTACGTTAGTCACTTTGTCCCTGTCGGCTCACAGGCACACGATCGCAATCAAGAAGCTGAACCGAGCGGTAATGTACGAGAGCTGGGCATGTGTGAGTAGCAAGCATCCACCTCCTCGTCGAAAATGCTCACCAAAGCCCATCGAAATGCAAGTTGTCTCCGAAGCAATGCTATCTCCACATGTAAGGAACGTATATATTCCCAACTACAGACCCAGACGCAGGAAATTTGGTACCGCATTCAAGACATTACAGCACGAAGCACTCACCCGTATAAGCCAAGGATAAAATACAACAACTGCACTGAGAGCATCTCCAATTTCGCTTCGAGGTTGATATCATCCCAGTCCGCCATGTTGTTGAGTTGGGTAGAACTTATCAGAAAGTTGAGGGCGTTGAGGGAATGACTGCTGTTGACTCGAAAATCTCCGGTTTATTAGGACGAAATGCAGAACAAGGTACACACAAGTCTCCCACATCAACGTTTCCAACCCTGTAGAGAGCCTGCGGTAGCCAATTATATGATACGATGGTTCAGGAAAGCCAGTCTTCACACTCGCAACCCTTCACCCACGAAGTCTGACATAAGTATTGGCGCCACCGCATAAATATGTGTCAGTTGAAGGTCGGTATACACACAGGCAGGACCTGCCTCCGTAAGTGCCGGAGACCGTGCGTTCGTCGAAGTAGTGTCTGTAATTAGCAGAGCATCTTGGTGGCAACATCTACATCCCAGCAGGGGCGTCAAAGGCAGGGTCAATATCACGAGTTTGTTACAATTGTCAGGCAACCAGGGAAATTTTACTTTTCTTGGAGGCAAGCAGGAGTTGCGAGATACGCTGGCAGGAAAGGCTTTGGATGTGAATAGGACAGGCACTCAAACTGTGAGTACCATGTCATGACATGCTGACTTGACATTTCACCCAGGGTAGACGGCGAATGGCACGCCTTGATCCCTCACTGAAATCGACAAATTTAAGTGACGACGCACATAATTTGGCAATTTCATAAGCTGATACTAATGGACCTACATCTACCCTTTCTTCCTAGAACTAAGTGTCGACACGATTGTCGCTTTTCTTTCCCATTCGTTGCAGTGGCCAAGCCCTACATTGATTATTCAGCTCGCGTCTACAAGCCACTTGTATTTACCGGGGTGCGTTGTCCTACAGCCTGAACATTAGTCTTTTCCAGTACATCGACGGTCACTCACCGCGTTCGAATATACGTAAGTAATCTACTCAAGGTGCTGCTTGAGCGGGTAAGAACAAACTCAGAAATCTCCGCTATCGCTTGCGGCGACGCAAGGGGAAAGGAATGAGAGACCCAGCCTATGGTTGATGCGCGCGTGAATGTTACCGTCAATTGTCCGGTACTGAACGTTGAACTTTGAACGTGATTGAAGGTGCCTGGTGTCCCTATCACGTCAGGCCGATTTGTCATCAGGGAAAGCTTCAATTGCTCACGTTGTCGTCCAGGACCAAGTTCAGAACCTGACCCACTCCCTCGCTACAATTCGAGTTACGCTGTGTAATGTCTGCCCGAATCCATCATATTTGCAACCGCCGTCCGCCTACCAGCCAACAGAAGTCAGCAGAATCACTTATCAGCGACACAAGGACACTCAGAACGAACCAGCTATACTGTCACGTATCAAGCATGACGAACTGATACCTACATGGTTATCGCACCGGCTATACAAGATAACAATTGCTGTAGCACGTATTCACTACACTCGGCCATGTCATGGCAAGCCGCAAAGATCAGCGTGACCTTCAGATTACCTTGCAAAAAAAACTATATTCAAGCACATGCGTCAAGAGAACTTCTTCGGAGAAGACTGGACGTTCTTTCCAGTGGAAGGAGGAAGTATAGTTGCTCGTCAATGTCATACTGCGGGAGAAGAGGCGGTGGGTGGGACTAGTTGCACATTTTTCCACTAGTGATGTTGAAGGCGAACAGTTGTCTAGATGGTCTAATGAAACACGAGGCATGTAAATGCTATAAAAGTGCATAGTACATAACACAGACCTCTACACAGGCAAGGCACCCACCACCCCTCCACTAAGTCCACCTCGACCGTCTTAGTAAGGATGACAGAGCAGTTCATGACTCCATTCATCACACCCTTTCAAGCACCTTATCCTACAAGGACCGTAGCATTCCCTTTACATTGATTTTTCTCCAGATGGCTTAACGCTGGCGACTGGTTCATGGGATGGCAAGACAAAGGTGGAGTACAAAACCGTGCACGGCAAATGCGAAGAAAGCCAATAAGTACTGATATCTGGCGAACAACTTGTCATCGCGACAACGCGGAATATCCAAATATGGAATGTTTGTATGAGGAAATGCATCACCAAGTTCAAGCTCTTCAAGCCTGGCTTTCATGTAGAACACCACCACTCACTCGCTTGCAAGACGCTCGATGGCACACGCCCTCTCTCATCGGGCTCTATGGATGATCTCACTATATGGGTGTGGGATCCATCCATCCAGCGCCATCTCGGTAATCCCTGGCCCAGGAAGGGTCACACTATCCTTATCAACGTCATCGCTGTGAACCCAGCTGGCACTCTCGTTACCTCCGCATCTAGTGACGCGCGTGTCCGCCTCTGGCGACCCTCTGATAGACGAACCATTTACATATTTCAGCACTCTATCGGTCTGCGCTGCATCACCTTTTCCGCGGATCGCAAGTACATCCTAAGCGGAGATCACGATCAGAAGATCTCACAGTGGGTGATCCCTGAGGATGCATTGACAGTGGTTGCTCTTAAGGAACAGGTACTTGACATGTTAATTTCTCGTCCCCTTGCCAGTGTGTCATATAGTCACCTGATGGCCAAGATACGGCACCTGATTTCTTCCCGGGAGTCCATGACGTGCGGGAACAGCACATGCCTTCTTTTTCTACTCATATCATTTGTTACACCATTCTCATACTCCATCGCCACGATCACATCAACGCCCGGGTTTCCTCAAGAGACTTCTTTCTTTCGCGAGTGGCCCTCGTTCAACCATCTTCACTATGGCGAAAGCCCGCCTACAACACTTATCAACCTGGCGGCCCGGTCATGCAGATCATGCAGCATCGCCCTTCGTCGATGTTCCTTTCGTGCAGGGTAAATTGGTACGCCCGGTTGAGTTAGTTAGCGTATTATCTGAGATCTCATGCAGAGATTTACGGCGCAATGTTGCTCATAAGAATGACGAGGATTTGATTCACGGACTCGAGGGTAAGGGGCTAAGTATGTGATATGATAGTTAGTTGTTGGAATCAGTAACCTTTGTAGCACGCCACCAACAAGTATTCAAACTACAAACTTCTCCATCCGCGTTCCACCGCTGAGAACACGGAGGGAGAAGTATGGAGTTTGAACTCTACTCTAATCATATATTGGTTTCAGGATTAGTGGCCGTCCACCATTGAAACGACTGGATATGAAAATGGGTTTCAAATTTTCAGTTTCCCCACCCCGTGAGGCAATTCCCTTCATCTGGTAACATGCGCCATGGTGCTTATGTGCTTCATTTTCAGGTGATCACGACGGCTTCAGACTCGGATAACGATGACGAACCAGTAGTAGAGGCAAACAAGGGTGGGTGCTGTTGCTGATAGTCGTATGCACAACCTTGCAGTCCCACACGTCAAACTTCATCATTTGTTTCGATGACAGAAGGTGCGGATCATGGTTTATGGGAGACGTGGAGTAGCGACAGAAACGGTCATGGCGAGCGAAATATGTAGACACGGTATGTACGTTGCAATTGCACTGCGCAGTGCCAAGCCTGAGGCCTGAATACTGGGTCGTCGCGAGCATAAACTATCAGGTGATATGGTTCCGCCCAACGGTTGTAGACGAACTAAAGAATCAAGATAGGCGTTGGCCACCGTGTAACGAATGATGGAAACGCGGAAAGTGACAGTCGTCGACTCGTATCGTCAGAAATATTGACAATGACAGTGCGTCACTTACGTGGTGCATAAGCACGGGAAAATAGAAGGACCAGTTATCAAATGCGTGAACACTAACTGTAGTACTGATTCTACTAAACATTTAAACGTACATAAGTACTCGGAGATTAGCACGATTTGTCATCCGGGGAAGCTTTGCCGCGATCAGGCGCTTAGCGGAATACTATCGAACCATGCCCTCCCCCGCACCCACACATCCTTTCCGAAACACGCAAAGCCTTCTTGTTTTAATTCCAGACGACGGTATCGACGTCGAAGCAGAATCACGATTGTACGACGAGTTATGTGACGTCCGTTCCTCCTCTCTTTCCCACGCAACATACTTAACTGACTGACCGTCAACCAGGACCAAATATCTCTTCCATCCATCCACCCCAAATCCCCTCAAGGACCACCCTCCATTTTCTCCCGTGACATCTCGCTGGATGACAACTCAGGCACGAGTCTGACTTTTGCCCGAAACGTACATATCGCGGGTTGGACGAGTGTAGGTGATAAACTGGGTGGAGCATATGTCGTGTATGATTGTGTGATTCACACAAAAGAGGTTCGCATGTCTTTCATATTGTAGTTCCGATCAGTGGTGAACCGCTGAACGTGAATAGGGTACCACCATCCATGCACATAAGCGGTATAGTGATTTCGTGCTGCTGTACGATGCTCTGAAACATTCATTACCCGTGCGTCTACCTCTCGTTCTACTTTGATAATATCTCATATTCGGTCGTCCTGACAGAAGCATCAACATCACTTTATCCTGGCCCTCCCTCCAAAATCTCCCTTCTCACGCTACCGAGCAGCTTTCCTCGATCGTCGCCGGAGACAACTGCAGTACTGGCTCTGTGCGGTTCTCCTACACCCTGAGATTGGTGCATGTCAGGCTGTAAGGTGGTGGGTTATGGACTAGGCGTCCATCATGCGTGATATTTGGATCGCGGATGGTGCGGACAATATTTTTTCTTTATTACTCTTTATACTGCCGTACTTACCACTTACTCTACCTATGCATATTCATTACGACTAAATGCGCTCGTGTTTGGCACGTGTGTTCGTTCATCTGCGGCCGAGATGTGCTGCAGCGTCTTGCTGGCCAATTTCTCATTTTATCAAGACCGTTGATAACTTCAACATTGCGATGGAACTTCTCAACGGTGCCAGGCTACCTTACTCGGCGAGCCCAACTCAATCTAACGCCAGTTCGCAACTCGTAATCCAGGGCTGGGCGATAGAATATCATGACTACGTGTCCCAGTGTCCATTAATGTCGTGTTGGATATATAAATCACGCGATCACTGACATAGGGTTCACCAAATAACAGGGAGCAGGCAATAAAAAAAGTTCAAAGAACAGACCTGGATGATTCATTACAGCTGTTTCCGAAAGTAATGACAATCGCATAATTTTCGCGCGCGCGCGACCAAAAAGGAAATCAATGAGAAATGGCGTTCTTGATCACAGAAGGACTTTCTGTCTTCCCTGCGGCGTCTCTGAGGCATTTTTCATCCCTTCTACTGTGTTTACTACGCGTCTTTATACCAATATTATCCATGGCGAAAGGGAAAAAGGGCAATTCCAAAAAACTCACAATCAAACTCCCTCCGATTCAGCCTGGGCACCGGCACGACGATGCAAACGAATTAGACGAGCTGCTCGAGTTCCCGGAATCACCTTTACTAACTGTGGAAGGTAGTAAAATGACAGGGCACCTCTCTAAGGTCCAATGGCCAGCTGGTGATGCAGAGGATCAGCTCGATGAAGACGATGACTGGGAGGTCGAAGTCGATGAACTTGAACTAGAGTCAGATGAAAGTGTAGAATGCATTCACCAATCCACGGATAGGTCCAGCACTAGTGCAGCCGCAGTCAGTATGTCAGGAGGGGCGCATTTTCAGCATTTTCAGCACTAAACATATTCATGTAGGCCCTACACTCAAGTTTGTCTATACAAACCCAGCGTCATTTGGTGCTTCTCATAAGCGAAAGCAGCCAGTGGATCATGTCTCATCACCAAAGGCTGCTGTCAAGAAGCGGAAATTGTCTGGCATCCCACTTGATTCAGACAAGGTCATCAATCGGCAGCCACTTCGAAAGTCGAAGAAAGCATCAGCTCGAGGAAAGAAAGTCTGTAGGGAAAGCATCTTCGACTCGCTGACTCAGAGTGAGGATAGTGAAGGCATGGCGGATGAAGACGCACCACGAAAATTCACAGTCTATGTTCAAGTTTGGTCAGCGTCCACAGAGACTCAGAAAAAAACAGGCAAGGCAGTGAAAGCACCCCCACTGGCAGTGACGGTCACGAGAGGCCCTTTCAAACTTGATACAGCCCAAACCTTCTTGACGTTCAAGCAAGAGGTCGCAAAGGCATTACCGTGCCGACTTACGATGTTGCCAGTCACAAAATTCGAGTGGAAGTTTGAGAACCAGGCACAGAGTGCCCCTCGGAAGAAGATTGCCGACCAGGCTGGTTACGAGGCACTTGTTGATGCTGTCTCAGCAAAGTGGACCACTGATAATGTTGTTGTTTGGCTATACACCCCGAAGCCTGCTAAGGAAGAAGAAGTAAGTTGTACTGTGACGCTAGCCTTAGTGCTTTTGCATCGATCACTGAATTTCTGCCTATTAGGATTGGGATACTGGCAAGCCTGACTTCATTGAACACCCGTTTGATTTTGATGACGAAGCTGCGCAAGGTGGTTCTGCCAAGGGTGTCATTGTATGCCGTCATATATGTAACATTGCAACTCCGAGCTCTGACAAACACATTCTAGGAGGATATAGCTGCTAGACGAGTGACGGCAGAAGCAGAACTTCAGGATTTATATCCATTCGGTCAATGTCCCATGTTTCCACACAAGCATGTATGACACGACAAGAGGAGGGATGCCTATTTTGAGCTCACTCCATTGCGGATGAAAGTCTGGGCAACAGCTATTGTAAGCTCTCTGGGCCATCAATTGTGGGAAACCGAAAATGACGCATGTACCCGCATTTAGGTTGCCGGAAAGGCCAACAAGACAGCCCCTCCGACATCTGCGCATTTTACAGCCGACAAGAAACTCAAGGTGCTGGCAAGTGTTCGTCCCCCACCAGGTGCACCTCTCTCCGCATTCGGTGAATTCTACCATCAACGTCAAGAAGAACATGCAAGCCTCACACCGCATACACAAGCACCAAATCCAGAACTATTACACTCCATCCCAGCTCCAGCACCTGGTTTTCCTCCTTACGTGCCACACCAGCCTTACGGGTTTCATCCTGGACCCTACTATCCTCCATATATGCAACCTCCTTATGCTGGGGGGTTCGGCTATCCTGCACAACCATACTATTCAGGTCATGGTCAACCAGTCGGAGGGCATCCACCCTTTGGAACACCTGGGGAGACGTCAGCTTCATCATCTCCTAGCGTAACCACAACTCACAATGTCTCACTATCGGAATTCTGTGTCAAATATCACATCTCTGACAGTGATCAAGCGAAACTTATGGCTCTCGAGTACCAGCCAGGGAACCGAGCCGTTGAGACACTCGAAGAAAAAGAATGGCGCGACATTGGCCAGTTTACGAAACTTGGTTGGCAAGCATTTCTTGGCGCACATAGAAAATTTTGTACCACCATCAAATCTGGTACTTGGTTGCAGTGATTCCTACTTTGCACTTTTCCCTTTTTTTCGTTCGTGACTGTCCCCAAAAATATTCATTTGTGTACACTATAGACCACTCTCTGTCATGTAACAATATAGCCTGCATTTTTGAACCATCCACGTGCCTTGTCTGCGGTAATACAGCTCGTTGCTTCGAGGAGAGACAAAGCTGGGTCATCGTGTTGACGAAGCTCATGTGCATGACGACGGATGTATGCTTTGACTATGAACAGTAGATGAATTGCGCACATATAAATCACCTTGAATAACCAAGACATACAAGTGCTAAATGATTCCTCAATCGGTGTCAGATCTGGCGAGTATGGTGGCAGGTAAAGAATCAAGCAACCTGGAGAGTGTTAGTAAGATAACGTGAAAGATGATCCAACATCAAACCAGCGCTTTCAACAAGTTCAACAAGAGCTTCATTGTGATGTATATGGCAGTTGTCGGCAACCAGTACAGACCGCTCTTCAGGGTACAGATTCATATGTGGAAGCTAGAGAAAAAAATCCAAGAACTGAGTAGACATAAAAAGGATTGTAAACTTACCACTTCTTCAGCGACAAAATCGTAGAACTCTTGCGAATCGAATGAACCTTCAACAATACGTGCAGCAAGGTAGCCATCAATTGTCATTGCAGCACACAGCGAGTAGTGGTCTCCTCGAACGAAGACATCGGTAAGGTGCGCACGTTGTCCACTGTGCGCTCGTCCATAACGCCGTGCATAGGTGCGCTCGTCCTTGCTAGTTTCATTGAGGACGACAAATTCGGAGCCATCACCAATGAAGTCGTTACAAAGGCTGGCTTTGAAGTCCTCTTGACGGGCCTCGTCACGTTCAGAAGCGAGTTTTTGAAGGAGTTTTTGAGTGAGACCAGCTTGTTTGAGATTGTGGCATAACATAGAAGTGCCGATGATAATGTTGTGCTGGCCGGCAAGCCATGTGCAAACTTCGTCAAGGAAGAGATCAGAGTCCTCAGCAAAGAGGTCTTCGACAGCTGTCAGGAGAGCTCGTGTGATGATTCGAGTGCGACCAATGAGTGGTGAAGGGGGTTTTTTGACAGTGCCTAGTTCCTCAAAGATCCTCCGCCAGCGATAACAACTGCTCTGAGAAATACCGAGTGCCTCACAGATATCCTGCACATCCCAGCCGTGATTCCACAGTCGAAGGGCACATTGTTTGATATCTTCGCTTATACGTCTGTTAACCATGGCATATAGCGAGGGAACAAGTCAGTTTTCGAGGTCTGCTCAGCGCTGGCGTCGTCTGGAGCACTCAAATGAAAATTTCCTTTTTGGTCACACACGCGCGAAAAATATGCAATTGTCATTACTTTCGGAAACTGCTGTAAATCGCATTTGATCCATTTATTTCAGATGAACCCATTCGATGATCGATTATCTTCTGTGTAAATTGTAAGTACCATCAGCAAAAGCTACATATGCCTATAGTATCGATCACAGGGAGATCCGAGGAAGTCCCACATCCATCAGATCCAACGTTCCAGGCGACAGAGACCGGTCGAATTACCACATCTATGGTTGTGGTCGATTTGGCTGAGGTTCAAGGAAGCAGCGCACGGCCAATCAGGTGAACCATGTGTATCGTCTTCCTATTTGCGGCGTGGACCCCTGCATCATTCAATGAGCTTTCCTATAACAGGTTCGAGAGTTATAATCATAGCACCATGTACCGGTATGACTACAGTGATATGGGAAGGAAGCATCATGCCTTGGGACATGGTGGTTGCTGCTGCGCTGGCATAACAGCCATGAAAGATTGTGCTTGCGTGCGATCAGATGGCGGACATTGGTTTCTCGACGGTCGAAGAATTGGGTCCATTCGATAATGTTGGTCAACACCTGCAGTGATAGTCGGTCATCGTTGAGCCGTCTGGAAAGCTGCAGTGACGCAAGTTGGGCGCATGTGCCAGGCACTTGTATCGTCAAGCAACAGCAGCAAAACACTTTTTTCCCACCACCAAAAAATGGCTGGCCACAGCTTGGTCCCTTCTGTACAGAGCTGTACAGAGCCCACAGAGGCAAAGTGATTTGCTGATGAAGTCGATTATTATGATAACAGCCTTATCTTGGGCATCTAGATATTGTGAAGCAGCATAAAAACGCCAAGTGCAAGCACCTCTGTAGCCTCGAGCAAAACACCCACAATTCCTCCACTACGTCGACGAGTGGACCGGGCTCAGCGCTCAGCACCATCAACCTGCAGTATAAATGTCGCAGCTCATTCCAAGCACCGCATCGGTTCGAGAGTTTGGAGATCATGATCTCGATACAGTACTCGCAGTCGCAGTATTCCCCGATAGACGACGTATGGTCACTAGCTTGCGTGACGAAATGCTTCGTCTATGGGACTTGAATACAGGTGTCGTGTTGAAGAAGATGGAGGGGCATGACGCCATCGTGAACGCATTGGTGGTATCACAAGACGGACAATTGATAGCAAGTGGTGATAAGAACGGAGAGGTCATAGCCTGGCAAGGGGAAACTGGAGAATCACTCCAACCTATAGAAGCCCACACTAAGTCAGTCGTCTCGCTGGACTTTTCCCCCGATGGAACAGTGCTTGCCACTGCTTCATGGGATAATAGCCCCCAGACGACAAAGCTGTGGAGCATGAAAACATGGCAGCGACAAGGAAGTCAAATTCTGTGTAGTGGACCCCAGATTCACTGCGTTCGGTATTCACCGTCTGGGGAATTACTTGCCATCGCGACATACGTCAATATCAAAATTTATACTTCAGGTACGAGGCACTGCATTGCAACTCTCAACGGCCACGAAAAATGCCTCCACACCTCACTCGCATGGACGCCCGATGGAACACGCCTTTTCTCAGCGGCATGGGGCCTATCTTCAGTTGCCACTATCCTGGAGTGGGATCTACCGACCTGGCAGCAGGTCGGTCATACCTGGACAACGGGTCATATCGCTATCGAACCCATTGCCATTAATCCTGCTGGCACGCTCATCGCTTCCATATCAATTAATGATAGTCACGTCCATCTCTGGCGTCTCTCTGATCGACGAATCATTGCCACCTTCCAGCACTCTGCCCAAGTGAAATGTATCAAGTTCTCGATGGACGGAAAGCATATACTCAGCGGAGGTGAGGATAAGAAGATCTTAGAGTGGGCAGTGCCTGAAGATCCACCGCTGGAGGGTGTTCCCAAGGAACCGGAATCAAAGGTACTTTCCTGTTGATTCCCCGCTCCTTTACCATCTCATCGTCTTTTTTATTCAAAAGGCTCAAGGCTCTGATTCCAAGGCATGTTTCCATTCCTGACTCTGATTATGCGATTCGAGCATGCTTCGTGCCACAGATTCTTGTCATCAACCCAAACGCCCGTAATGTATGCATCGCAGGGGACTTGTCTATGGCTGAAGAGCTACTCACACAAGAGATTGACGCTGATGCCAACGACTACACTTCCTATGCCAATCGCTCATTCATGATGGCACGCAAACTCGACTGGGACCGCGCGCTTCAAGATGCGATTAAGGTGACAGCGACCCATCATGCCCCCTTAAAATATGCTAACATCAATCGTGACACAGTCCCTTAGCATACTGCCCTCATTGACTGGATATATCTCCAAAGGTATTGCCCTCTGCGGAAAAGAGAATGTCGGGGACTCGACAACAGCCTTTGACCTCGCGTCCACTTTCACGGACAGTGATCCAAAGACCAATCATTTCCTTTTCTTGATCAAGGCAGGTTACTTTTTCTTGCGTATTCTGCGCTTCGTAACGGGTTTCAGGCAATTGCATTGTTCAATGCAAATAAACATACAGAGGCAATGTTGCGTGTTAAAGAGCTAGCTGCCGGTCCCAATGCAGATCCCCTTGCTTGTCATGTCGTAGAGGTGAGTATCATGCAGGCAATGAAGTCCTGGTTTGTGGGCTGATCCCGATTTTTCAGGCATATCTACATGTCCAACTGGGCACCATTGCCTTGGAGGGAAAGCTTCACAAGGAAGCTGTTGACCACTTCACTGCCGTTGTCGACGCTAGCGCCAACTTTTATAAATCGCCGATTGATTCTATGTATGAGGGATTCACCGTGGTACGTTGATACTATACTATGCAACTGACAATTGTTTCCGTTCTCAACTATGCGTTTCTCCAGCTCTTTGGGTGGGACCTCAAGTCATTGTGGCATACCGCACACAAGCAGTTGTGCCATGCACTTATTCGGGCAGGCAGACTTGGAGAAGCACTCGAACCGTACCGAAAATTGATGGACGCAAGTGATAAAACTACGGAGGCCAGCTTACGTGCTTGGTTCTCTAGTGAGTCTATTCAGAATATCACCCATGCTACGGATCTCAACCATATTCCACCCAGCTCTCAAGTATGAATGAATGATGCTATACGCTGCCAACGGTGATACGGCCCTAGCCGCGAGCGGCTACATACCCATCTCGACACAGTGTTATGCTTTTACCTCGACATTAACCCCATCCCTTCATACTCGTATTGTATACCCACTCATAACATGAATGCAAACAAGGATTCTGTGATGTTTGCACACCCCGAGTCCATGCCTGCCGCCGCCGACTATGAATTGCATCATACAGCAACCTGTTCGTTCAGCACGTACCCTTCTTCGGTTCCTTCAGGTCCAATGTCTAACATCTTCGATCGAGAGTCACTCCGCCGTACCATAGGAATATGTCCCTTCCATCTGCTCAAATAAAACCGTCAATGAACAATTCCCTCCCAGACTTGCTGGTTGTTAAATGTCAATCACACATCGTTGAATCTTTTTACAAGAGTTTGAAGTCAGTACTACATAAGTATATGCTATGGTTATTGACGACGTCATACGAGGCTAAGGGCTGTGCTATAATATAGCGTGCAATGATAGCCTCTCCGTTCTTCATTATGATTTCCACGCGCTTGTACTGTTCAATTCAGGTCACCATGAGGAGGCAATGTTGTTGATCTTCTTTCTTGTCGTATCGTGCAAGTGAGCATCACCCACTCACTGAAGCCCAGGTTTGTGTGCTCGCTGATCTTTTGCGCTTCCTACATCAGGCATATCTACATGTTTTGGCAACTGGGAAACATTGCCTTGAATGGCAGGCTTTGGCACAACAAAGTTGTCGAGCACTTCACTGCGGCTGCCAATGCTAGCACTTTCGTTTCTAAATTGCTAATTCATTGTACTAAGTATGTATAGGAATTTCACTGTGGTACGTTGATATGATGCCAACAGTCCTTGTTATGTTCATCTGCGCTTTCTTGTAGCTCTTCGGGTGGGACGCCAAGTCCGTGTGGCAGACAAACAAGCAGCTGTCTTATGCACTCATTCGGGCAGGTAGACATGACGAAGCACTCGCATCGTACCGGAACTTGATGTGATAAAGCTACGAAGGCCAACTTAGTAGGCTGAGCTTACGTGCGTTGTTCTCTAGTGAGTCTTTTCAGTAATATTACCCGTGTCACGGTCCTCGACTGCCTTTCACTTAGATCTGGGGTAAGATTGAAGGGCGCTGTCAACGGTTACTTGCGCATATTGAAACACAGATATTTGTGCAGTTCGACTCATTTGCACTTGACATTACCCCGTTGCACTCCCACTACCGACTACAAATATTATATTGGTACGTGCCGACACTACCCTGCACCGTCGGTTCATTGAAGTCCAACATCCGAATACCTTTGATCGAGACTCAAATTGGACTATAAACAATTTTTTCATAACGGGGGTTCATGAGCAAAATAAAATTAGGCCACTCGACAATCAGAAAGTTTCGTTCGCCAGAACGGGATATCTGGTTCCATTCGAAAGCTGGGGACCATGTAGTACTTGCGGTGATTCCAAACGAATGCCCTCCTCGGGCTCAGCAACAGATGGGAACCTGAATGCACAGTAAATCACCGTACACACGTTCCAGAAGAAGATTTTTTTTACTGTGGAACGGTGAAGTCAGTCATCAGCGGTGGCGATTTGACCGACGAGGCGCTGTCACTATTCGTTATGAATGAGACTGGGGATACATGTGGATGAAAAAGGAAAAACCTGTCATCGTCTGGCGAAGCACGGAGGAGCGAGAGTACAACTTGGCTAGATGCAATCGTGCTGCAAATAAAAGTTAGCTTTGCATATCAATTGGATATCATAACGAGAGTCCCAACCAAATGCATATCGCTTTCGAAAGGTCAGCGATATAATCTCACCGAAGCCATGGGCACATACTAGGTATTGAGAAAATATTATTCATGATAGCTGCGGGGACAATATCAGAAGACATGTGCTACACAACAAGACAGTCCTACGGTTTAGGTTCAAGCGATTCAGGACCTACAAGATTCAGTATGCAAGAACCCTGTGAAGGAACAAGGAACATACTAGTGCAACGATGTTTGCCGCCAAGTTTATGACGAAGTATATCACGCCCTGTGTCACGAGCGTCTTCCATAGCGTAGAAGACGATGGTATCCTCCATAGTCCAACAATGGTGAAAACCAAAAGTGCGCAATCATGGAACATGCCTACACCCGGGGTACTGCTCATCACGCATCCATTGACATAAATTCGACATGCGTACTATATACGGGCACTGCACCAGCATATGCGGGGTTGACAAAACTAGTCATGCACACCCCGTTTCTTGTGGATGCACGAACGGTTGCAACGCCTGACAAATAGTTGGATTAAACACACTAAATAGCAGTAAATACGTACAGAGAGCAAGCACTGTACAATGACCTAGTAAGAGGAGAGCTAGCAAGAAGCGCAGCAAGTAACTGGTGTTCCAGATAATCCACCTGCATTGAATACAATGAGATCAAGCATGGTACGAGGGATAATTATGAACTTACGTTCTGATCGTCATATTTGTCGTGGTCGCACTGCATAGCAAAGGCTATCAGTACGCTTGTCAATTTCTCTTTGTCTGCTCACAGCAAAACGGTCGCGATCAAGAAGCTGAATCGAGCGGTGATGTATGGGAGCTGAGCATGAGTGAGTAGCAAGCATCCACCACTTCCTTTAAAATGCGCACCAAAGGCCATCGGAATGAAAGCTGCCTCCGAAGCAATGCTATTTCCACATTTGAGGAACGTACATATTCCCAGCTACAGATCCAGACACAGATAAATTGGTGTCGCATTCAAGACATTATAGCGCGAAGCACTCACCCGTATAAACCAACGATAATATACAGTAGCCGCTCTGAAAGCATCCCTGATTTTTCTTCGAGGTCAGGATCATTCCAGTCCACCATGATGAGATTTGGGTAGAAAATGTCGTTAGAGGTCGAGGGTGTTACAGGAATCGATGCTGTTGGGTAGAAGATGTCCGGCTTGTTAGGACAAAATGCAGAACATGTACATATAATAGTTTTGAACCCTGTGGAGCATCTGCAGTAGCCAATTATATGATAGAAGCATTCAGGATACCCACGTCTTCACACTCGCGACCCTTCACCCACCTTGACATTGAACCACTACTATAAATGTGTGTCAGTTGAAGATCGAAGACATAATGGTCAGACCTGGCTCCAAGTAGCATCTTGGCGGCAACACCTAGTACAAGTACGTCCTAGCTTAGGCGTGAAAGGCAGTGTCAATATAAACAACGTCACGGATTTATTGAAATTGTGTGGGCGTAAGAGAAAATTAACTTTGCTGGGATACAAGCAGTGTCAGGAGTTCGACATCCAAGATGCTTTGAAGTAGGGCAGGGCCTTCATGTGGGTATGTCATGCCATGCTAACTTGGCATATGGGGTAGACGGTGATGGGGCCTCAAACTCACTGCCTCGCTGAAAACGATATCGCTCGGTATTTCTCGTGACCTAGTGGGTCAATGAACTACCTGTTTTCACTGCTACTACGCGTTCTTCTGACTAAATATAACTATCGGTACGACTGTCACTATTTGATATCATTCATTGCAGGGACCAATACTCACCTTGACCTTTCAGCGCTCAGCTCGTGTCTGTAAGCCACTTGCTTTACTAGAAGACGTGGTCTCGTAGCCCTCCAAAAAAAAGTCTTTGTACATCAAGACTACTGTCACTCAATCCATTTCCGTATTAGCCTGAGCTTGAATATGAATATCTTCACTCAAGTAGTACTTGAGCGAGTCAGAGCAAACTCGAGAATCTGGGACACTGTCGCGGAAAGGGCTGGGACCTGAGAAACTGGTTGACGCATTCGGGACGGTATTGAACGTTTGAACGTTCGAACCATTAATATTGTGATTTTGGAGTCACACAACGGACATGAAGTTTGAACTCATGAAGAGGAAATCACGTGGGCCCGATTTGTCATCTGGGGAAGCCTATCACCAAGTTGCAAGCATTATCGTTCCCAATGCACCCACAACCCTCTTATCATTATTCCAGATGCCATAGGATCGACATCGAAGCAGAACCATAATTGCACGACGAGTCGTCGGTTCTATGAACGATCGCATAATACGAGAGTGGGATAGAATCAGGATCGTACTGTCCTTATCAACACCATTGCTGTGAACACAGCTGGCGCTCTGTTGGTCTGGATAACCGTTTCCACCCTCCAGCAATCTAACGGGCTGCGCTGCACCCCCTTTCAAGCACAACGCAAATGTCACGATCAGATTCAGAAGATCTCGAAGTGGGCGGTTCCTGAGGCCTGGGGATGTATTGACGGTGGTCGCTCTCAAGGAGCAGGTGACTAGCATGGTAAGCTCTCGTAAATTTCCCGTTCTCTTGCCATCGTATGCGTCCTTATATCTCTTGAACTACCTTATTGATGATCCCGTATAGTCAACCGATGACCATGTTCTTCATGTATTTACTCCCTTTTTAACTGTCCTTTTTCTTTACTGACACGACTGCATGCAAGATGCAGGTCCTTATTTCTTCCAGGGAGTGCACGACATGCGTGCAACAGCGTATGCTTTATTTTACACTTACATCATTTGTTACACGGCATCCTCACACTCCCTCACCACAACTACAGCAACGCCTGGGGCTCCTCAAGAGCCTGATCTATATCGGGAGTATCCCTCATTCAATCATCTTCATTACGGCAAAAGCCTGCCAACGACATCTATCAGCCCGGCGGCTCGTTCGTGTAGATCATGCAGGGCTGCCCATCGTGTTCCTGTCGCTAAATTGGTGTGCCTGGTTGAGTTGGTTATCACTGTATTTGAGATCTCATGCAGAGATTGACAGAGCGATGCTGCAGTCGGTGCTCGCGAGAATGACGAGGATTTGCTACAAATAATTTGATTCACGGACCCTCATAGTTATTTGTCGAAGCCGGCAACATCTGGGAAACGCGACCAATAAATATTCAAACTACAAACTTCTCCTTCTGTGTTCCACCATTGAGAACACAGAGGGAGAAGTATGGAGTTTGATCTCTCATATACATTGGTTTCAGGATTAGTGGTCGTCCACTCTCGAGAACTGAATAGAGCTTTCTTGTCTCAATCAGCTGTTCCTTCTGCATGGGGATTACGCTAGTACGTTGAACTTGATATGATGCAACCCAAAATCTTTTTCATCCTCGTTTCTTGCAGCTCCTCAAGTCGTTGTGGCAAACCACAAACAAGTATCATTGCCTTGCACTCCTTCTGGAGATTCAAAGACACACTCAAATCGTACCGATTCATGATGGACGCAAGTGATGAAGCTACGAAGGTTCTTGGTTCATGCGTTTTCAGTAACCATGCTGCCGTCCTCAACTGCCTTTTAATCAATTCTGGGATATGAATGAAATGTGCGATATGCTGCCAACTGAGATGCAGCCCTTGCTGTGAGCGGTTACGCATGCATTTTTGGGCTTCATGGATCAAGATCTCGCCAGATAATTACTCGACTTTGATGTCTCGCAGAAATGGTATTTTGGGCGGAATTTATACGTGAACACTAACACAGGTGGCGACCCAAGCGACAGGGAGCATGCAACCAGACAAAAGGCCAAATAATAAACCTGGATGCAAGAGGGAGTTACCGATCCAAACGTCGGTCCAAGGAATTGGAATTAATCCATGACTGACTTCGGATAAACGCCCATTTGATGATCACAACCACATTGACTAAAACTGTGCATGCCTGTGGTGGCAATCCCGGACAAGATTTAGGGAAGCCTCACAGCCATTAGATCCGGGGTAGGAACATGTCAGGGAACAGACGCTCGGCATGACACCAGGCTGAATACCACATCCATGGCTATGATGGACTTAATAAAGATTCAAGGGAGCAGCCCAAGACCGATCGGGTAAGCTATGCATGGCTAGTCTATTTGCCCCACAGACCCGCACAATGGAAGCGAACAGTGGCCAGGGTAATATTATCTTTCCTGGAACGTGTTTAAGAGTTACTCATGTCATCATAATAGCAGCGTGTGCTGGTAGAGCTGTAACCATGTAAGCACTAGGAAAGTGTCCTGCCTCAGGACATGGTGGAATTGAAGCTTGAAGGACTGTTGTTGCGTAGGCCAGGGCTAACGGCTGCAAATATTGTTGATTCCTCGACGGCCGAAGGGTTGGTCCCCAAATTCGATGGTGTTAATCAATAGATAGTCGGTCATGCCATATTCGGAAAGCTCATTGACTCATGTGGAAAGATGCGGCGACACCATATGCCCACGGGTTTGTGATAAGTTATAACAGCCCCATATCAGAGTCTTGGGTGTCCGATTAATGATGCGAATTTCGAAGCAGGATAGACGCCCAGTGGACGTATCTCTGCTGCACTAGCAGCTTCACCTGCAATCCCTCTACATACCGAGTCCGCTTCACCCGCTCAACCTCTAGTAAAATGTCACACCACACCACACCCCTTCGAGCGTTTGGAGACTATACAAAACCCATACACTTGGCTGCAGTTTTCCCCGACAGACGACGTATGGTTACCGGCTCGGACAACAACGTGCTTCGTCTGTGGAACTTGGAGACAGGTGTTATGCTGAAGAAGATGGAGGGGCACCGCAGTAGGGTGTCAGGATTGGCAGCCTCACGAGATGGGAAAATGATAGCAAGCGGTGATGTGAATGGAGAGGTCATCACCTGGCACGGAGAAACTGGGGAAATACTCACCCAACCCATATGCATCAAAGCTCACTCCATTAATTACGGAGTCTCGCTGGACTTTTCTGCAGATGGAACAGTGCTGGCCAGTGGTTCATCCGACTGCGCGACGAAGCTATGGAGCACGACAACATGGCAGCTCCAAGGAAATCCAATTCAGTGTAATGCATTGATCCGCTGCATTCTGTATTCGCCATCTGGCAAATATCTTGCGATTGCAACAAGCATCAATATCGAAGTTTATAATCCAGGTACGAGGGAATGCGTCGCAAACTTCAAGGCTCATACATCATGGAACGAGTCACTCGCATGGACGCCCGATGGCAAACGGCTTCTCTCGGTGGGGGGTGGGGACAATCCTACCATAAGGGAGTGGGATGCGTCGACTTGGAGGTGGGCCGGTGATCCCTGGAAAGGCCATACTTCCATCATCTATGCTATTGCCATTAATCCTACTGGCACACTTGTCGCTTCTGTATCGGAAGACAACGATGTCCGCCTTTGGCGGCTCTCAGATGGACGAACCATCGCCATTTTCAAGCACTCCAGCTCGGTGACATGTGTCACCTTCTCCATGGATGGCAAGCATATTTTCAGCGGAGGTTTGGATAAGATGATATCCGAGTGGGCAGTACCCAAGGATGCATTGTCGAAGGATGGTCCCAAGGAACAGGTGTTAAAGGTACTTTCCCGTTCATTTCCCGCATTTTGGTCATCTCATATCGCATCTTTTAATTCAAAGGCTCAAGGCTCTTATTCACAGGCATGGTTCCATCCTTGATTCGTATAACACTATTCGAGCACACTTCAAGTTCATGCAGATCCTCGCCATCACCACGACCGTCCGCGATGCATGCATCACAGGGGACTTGTCTACGGCTGAAGAACTGCTCACGCAAGAGATCGATAACAACGCCAACAACTACACCTCTTATGCCGCCCGCTCATTCGTCATGGCACGCGAACTTGACTGGGATCACGCGCTTCAAGATGCGATCAAGGTGGGGTATACCAACTCGTTTTTAGATAGGCTAACAAGGATATAACATAGTCCGTCAGCATTAAGCCCTCATTGTCAGGCTGTATTTCCAAGGGCATCGCCCTCTGCGGGAAAATGCAAATTCAGGATGCAATGAAAGCATTCGACTTCGCGTTTATGTGCGCGCATGAAGATTTAAAGACAACACATTTCCTTCTCTTGATCAAGGCAGGTCATTTCTTTCATACATACTCTGTGCTTCATTACAAGTTTCAGGCTATTGCACTGTTCAATGCAAATGAACATGACGAGGCAATCCTATGCGTCCAAGAGCTAGCCGTCATGTTTCCTAATGCCGATCCTCTTGCTTGTCATATTGTGGAGGTAAGCCTAATAATACACTCACTCAAGCCCAGGTTCGTGTGCTCACTGATTTTTCTGCATGTGTGCTGCACATCAGGCGTATCTGCGAGTCCAACTGGGAACCATTTCCCTTAATAGCGCACGTTACAAAGAAGTGGCTAACCACTTCACTGCCGCTGTTAAAGCTAGCGCTTCCTTTTCTAAGTTGGCGATTCATTCCATGTACGAGGGATTCACCGTGGTACGTTGGTCTGATGCAACCGACAATTCTTTTCGTGCTCAACGCGATTTTTGCAGCTCTTCGGCTGGGACCTCGAGTCCTTATGGCAAACTGCAAATAAACAACGGTGCCTGGCACTACTTCGGATAGGCCAAGTTGGAGCAGCCCTCGAAGCTTACCGATACATGATGGACATGAGTGATGAACCCACCAAGGCCATTTTCCTTGCTTGGTTCACTGGTAGGTCTTTAGTGATGTCACCCGTGCTATAGTTCTCACTTGTATCTCCTTCAGATCTCAATGAAGAATGAAGCACACTCCACGCTGACAACGGAGATGTTGTCCGTGCAGCGAGCATTTCAATGTGCATTTTGAAACGGAGGTCTTTGCGCGTACCTCGGCATTACTTTGATACACACAGGATCCCGTATCGTAGAGCTCATAACACGACAGCATACAATACCCAGACTACCTCCCTGCTGTCAACTATGAACGTGTTTGTACGGTAATCTGTTCATTCAACCACGAAAGGTAGAGTCGACTTAGTCTCCCGTATGGCCTAGGCAGACCAATAGCAGGAGATAAGAATTGATTGAACTTAGATTGAACTAAGATAGTATTTTTTAGGGGGAAGTCTGGTACGGTTACGACAGGAGCTCGTTTGAGTACATAAGTACGGAAAGGTCGAGAAATCTATGTAGAATGCAAATAGTGAAACAAATATTGTGTTGGGACGAGTATCTAAATGCGGGATACTCGTGTATCTGGGACCTTGGTTCATTGGCGTAACCCGAGTAACGAGTTGGACTTGATCGAGGTTCAAGGGAGCAGATATATTTGCTCACAAAGTTATATATAACTATGCAATAAGGAAGTGTCCTGTCTCGGGAGTCAGGTCATGGCGGAGATTGAAGGGCTGTTGTTGTGCGGGCCGAAGAGGGTTGGTCCCCAAATTTGATGTTGTTTTGGAAGGCTGCGGCAACGTAAGTTGGACGCATGTGCCCAGGGGCTCATGATAACAGCCTCATGTCTTGAGCGTCTGATTAATGCTGTGAAGCAGGATAAACAGGCCTATTGCACGCACCTCTGCAGTTTCACAATACCTCTACCAAGTCCATAGTGTCGACCGTGATCAACCTCCAATAAAATGTCACAGCCTCACACCACACCCCTTCGGGCGTTTGGAGACTATACACAACCCATACACATAGCTGCAGTTTTCCCCGATAGACGACGTATGGTTACCAGCTCGAACGACAAGACATTTCGTCTGTGGGACCTGGAGACAGGTGTTATGCTGAAAAAGATGGAAGGACATCGTAAGGTGGGGGCATTGGCAGTATCACAAGATGGGCAAACGATAGCAAGTGGTGATGACAAGGGCGAGTTCACCACCTGGCACGGAGAAACCGGGGAAACTCTCACCCAACCCATCAAAGCCCACCCCGATTCTTATGCAAACATAGTCTCACTGAATTTTTCTCCCGATGGAACGGTGCTAGCCATTGGTTCATCCGACTCTACCACGAAGTTGTGGAGCACCAAAACATGGCAGTTGCAAGGAAATCTAATTCAGTGCAATGCATCGATCCGCTGCATTCTATATTCGCCATCCGGCAAACTTCTTGCGATTGCGACAAAGATCAATATCGAAATTTATAATCCAGACACGAAGGAATGTGTCGCAAACTTCAAGGGTCACACAGCAAAGAACTTATCACTCACATGGACACCCGATAGCACACGGCTTCTCTCAGCGGGAGATAACAAAGATCCTACTGTACGGGTGTGGGATGCATCGACCTGGAGGAAGATCGGTGATCCCTGCACAGGCCATACCAACGCTATCAACGCCATTGCCATTAATCCTGCTGGCACACTCATTGCCTCCGCATCTCTTGACCGCCATGTCCGTCTCTGGCGGCTCTCAGATCGACAGACTATCGCCACTTTCAAGCACTCCGACTCATTGACATGCATCACCTTCTCGATGGATGGCAAGCACATCCTTAGCGGAGGTGATGATAAGATGATATCGGAGTGGGCAGCACCCTGGAACGCTTTGCCGGTGGATGTCCCTCTTGGTCTTGATCATCTCATCTCGTTTCTTCCTGTGCGTAATTCCAAACCCCAAGGCTCTTATTCAAAGGCATGGTTCCATCCTCGACTCGTTTAACCGTTATTCGAGCATGTTTCATGCAGATCCTCGCCATCACCGCGACCGCCCGCGATGCATACATCACGGAGGACTTGTCTACGGCCGAAGAGTTACTCACACAAGAAATCAATGCCGACGCCAACAACTACACCTCCTATGCCAACCGCTCGTTCGTCATAGCATGCAAACTCGACTGGGACCATGACACCTTTCCAATGAGCGGAACATAAGTTATATAGTCCAATCTTCTAAGTTCTAATCATGCCCAAATATGAGTTTCTGCCAGTACTGCATCCAAGGTGCGTTGTATATTACCATGATCAACACTGAGCACTGATAGCGAACAGGCATACGCCACGAGGGTGAGCCTGAAGGTAAGTACTTTTCCAATTTGCCATGTACCGCTATCTCATCGGCGTCCGTCAGGAACACTCGAGACCATCGGCGGTGTTGCTTGCTACATCACCACACCTATTGTCGACTATGCCAAGGGCAAAGCGATCCTCTTCCTACCAGACGCCTTCGGTATCGAGCTCATCAATTCCAAGGTGCGTACGCCCATTATTACATGATCCCCCCCTCACTTTTTACTACAAATGGGTGCCTACAATAGCTCCTAGCTGACGAGTTTGCGAAAAATGGCTTCAAGGTTTGCGCCCAAAGATGCACAAGTACATGGATACGACATCGGCACCGTACAGGTCGTTCTGATCGACTACTACAACGGCGATTCTCTTCCCCCTGATGCCTTGAACATCAGTAGTTTTTGACTGATGCCCTCATCAATATCGCAGGCTCTAACTCATGCCCATGTCCACTCACAGGATAAAACATTCAACTTCAGGGGGTGGCTTGCCACCCATGGCACCGAGGTGACCCTCCTGCCCCTCAACAAGATCATCGCCGCGCTTATAGAGGAATGCGTCACCAGGTTCGGGGCCATTGGTTACTGCTTCGGCGGTACGTCCTTCCATTCCGTCTTCTTGACTCAACGTTTTTTTTACCACAGGTAGATACACATTTGACCTTGCGTTCGACAAAGTCATCCAATGCGCCGTCGTCACTCACTCCTCGCTCTTGGAAGTCCCTAAAGACCTCGAGGTGACCCCTATCCTTCTTACAGGATTCCCCCACTGACCCCGCTCTTTTATACATACTTTACAAAAGCGAAAGCACCTCTCCTTATCAATGAATGCAAGAGCGATAGGTTGTTCCCTTCGAAATCCCAAGCGAAGACTGGTGAGATTTTTGGCGATGGGAAGTTTGCTCCAGGGTACAGGCTCGAGTATTTCCCTGATTGCATGCATAGGTTTGCTGTGAGTGGGGATATGACTGACCCACTTTTCAAGGCTGGGAAGGAGGTATCGTGCAGGGCTAGCGTGGGGTTCTTCTTGACGTACCTGTGAGGTGTCGAGGGCACCAAAATCATGTCTTCACGATCCCCTGCGAAGCAAGAAGAAATCAGCGACTTGATCCAAATTCAATGTTCAATCACAAATATAAAAATCGTATGACATGTTGCGGTTGTCCATTGTAGCCACGTCACTAGCCGTGAGAGCATGCCAGCAATATCACAGCGTATGCAGGTCAATGTAGGAAGCTTCCAATGACACCATCATGGTGGTTGGCGTTCTCGAATTCGTCGATCCTGTAGTTCAATTAACCAAGAGATCTAAGACTCCCACAGAATGTTTTCATCCAAGAACGTTAAAAGGTATCACGATTCATTTGCTATCCTGAGTACATGCAAGCTTTACATATGGAAAACGCGGGGTTCGTGATTAATAATGTAAAGAACATAGTCACATCACCTATCGGTAGAATAATGTATCAAGTCCATGCTGGTATCATAATAGAAGCGATAGTAGAACTGAAATACCTGGGGAACATTCCCTCTAGCAGCAGAAACATGACCGGCTGCCTCCATGATCCCCGTCATTAGTGTCATTAGTATGCACCGCTGCGGATTGCTGCTGTGAATTGGGATCCTGTGGAAGATTGTCGAAATATTCATCAGGCACCAAGTCATCATTATTCGTAGGAGCATCCGCTGCAGCATTGCGCTACGAATGTATGCATGAGACATTAAAGACACGGCAATAAACATAAACCGAGCGCACCAAACGACCTTGCGCATAAGGAACGTCGACGACGTGTGGCGCTGCATGATTGGTGCGCCAGGTTAATAAATATCTTAGATGGGATCTGAAGGCGGCGGGAGCGGTGACAGAGGCAGAGGCTTGCGTAGTGGGCGGAACCGGTGGAGGAGCTGGACGAAGGGTCCTTGTCACAGCAATTCTGAGTCTCTTGAGGCGTCCTTGGCGCTGCTGAGGTCGTGATCGCGAAGTTTGAGGATACTGTAACGAATAATACATGAGTGAGAAAAAATGTATGCACTGTTGCACGCACATCATGCATTCCCCGGAAGAAATCTGGTTCTGTGTCGTAACCCTCTTGATCTTGCCCGGGGATCTCCATCTGGATGACCATCAGTAACAAAACGGATGAGGAAAGGAGCAAGTACGCGAAGAATGTCGTTGGTCGCAACGAGCGTGCTGCATTCTTCCTTGAAAGCTGAGTGAAATGTAGGCGAGGATTATTGTATGGGGTAATAAAGACCTACTATTGGACCAATCAAGGTAACTGGCCTTCGTAGTTTCATCAATGGTGTCCATCATGGATTGGTGTGCTTCGAGAGCTTCTTTGACACTACCTGCTGAAAGCAAAGCCTGGCAGAGTTTCTGGCTTGCAGTCAGCCACATGGACTCGAGGTCCCATCCAAAGAGCTGCACAAAACATGGAGTTCGCGTGAGAAGCATGTTCGGATGAATCACATTGATGTACCACCACCAAGTCGTCGTATATAGTTGGGATGGTTGAGAAAGCACTGGAGTTGACAGCGGCAGCGAAGTGGCCAGCAGCTTCTTCGTGACGTGCGCCATCTGAGGCGTTGATTCCAAGTTGAATAGATAGATATGCCTGATATGCGAAGTTCAAAGAGATCAGTGTCAATGCACCAACCTGGGGTGTACATGATACTCACTTCTATGATACGACATGCAAGGGTATCATTATTCGGACAAGCGGAAGCTAGCTCTCGAACGCGGAGAATTGCTTCGTCATGTTCTCCTGCATTGAACATAGCGATGGCCTGAAAACTGAAATGAAGTGGGGAGTATGTAAGAAACATGTAATGTGCCTTGATCAAGAGAATGGAATGAATGATCTTTGAATCTTCGTTCGCGAACATGAACGCCATGTCGAACGCTTGCATCGAGTCGCGGAACTGCCCTTTTTCAGAGAGGGCAATACCTTTAGAGATATAGCCCATCAAGGAAGGCTTAATTCTGATGGACTATGTCACGATGACAGTCAGTGTTTTGTAGGGAGCTCGTAATGGGTGGTCTATGTCACCTTGATTGCATCCTGAAGCGCGTGGTCGCATTGATGTTGTCGCACCATAACAATTGAGCGATATGCGTAGACATGGTAGTCGTCTGCATCAGTGTCAATCTCTTGCATGAGTAGCATTTCAGCGGTAGACAAGTCCCCAGCAGTGCATGCATTGCGGATTGACGATGACATATTGAAAGGGAGGATCTGTATGAAGCATGTTCGAATTGCACTATCAGAGTCAAAGACGGAAACATGCCTTTAAATGAATGGCATGTATTTTCCACTCTGAGATCATGTTATCACCACCTCCGCTGAGGATGTGCTTGCCGTCCGTTGAGAAAGTGATGCCATACTGTGGGTCTGAGTGCTGGAAGATGGCGAGAGTTCGCCGATCTGAGAGCCGCCAGAGATGGACATGCTTGTCGTCAGATGCGGAAGCGACAAGTGTACCAGCGGGGTTGATGTATCCCACTCCCGTATGGTGGCGCTGTCCCCTGAGAGAAGGCGTGTGCCATCAGGCGTCCACCTGGGTGAGTTGTTCCAATAAGATGTGCGAGCCTTGAAATTTGGGATGCATTCCCTCGTGCCTGGATTATAAATTTCGATGTTGCTTTCTGTTGCAATGGCAAGAAGTTCGCCAGACGGCGAATACCGAATGCAGTGGACATCATCACTACAAATGATTGGATCTCCTTGGATCTCCCATGTTTTCGTATTCCACAGTTTCACCATTTTGTCTCCACAAGTGGCAAGTACTGTTCCTTTGGGAGAAAAGTCCAATGACCAGATCCAAGAGTGGGCTTCGATGGGCTGAGTGAGAGGTTCGCCAGTTTCTCCGTGCCAGGCAATGAACTTTCCGTTGTCATCACCGCTTGCTACCAGTTGCCCATCTTGTGATACTGCCAATGCCATCACCATATTGCCATGCCCCTCCATCTTCTTCAACACAACACCTGTCTCCAAGTCCCACAGACGAACCGTCTTGTCGAACGAGCCGGTAACCATTCGTCGTCTATCGGGGAAAACTGTGACTACCCATACGGTGCTCTCATGATCTTTAAACTCTCGAAGAGGTGTGTTGCTTGTAATGGGCTGTGCCATTTTACTAGAGGTCATGGTTGGGGTGGTTTTGGGTCGAGGGATTGTAGGCTAAGCTGCAGAGGTGCGTGTATTGTGCGTTTTACGCTGTTTGCCTCATTAACCTGCCTCATGTTTCCATAGACGCCCAGGACATGAGGCTGTCCGCATCCACACCTCCATTGGGTTCTGTTATTCCTTCTTCGACAGTATAACCCTCTCTCCGCATATGCACGTAGCTCTAACTTGTATCTCCACAGCTTTCAACATTCGTCATCTCGCCTCCACTTGGAATTGGGATACAGACCAGACGGTATCCCTCAGGTCTTTCTGGGAGGGCCGGTCGAATGTCACGATCACTATCTATGCGATTCGAGGGCTTCGTCGACAAAAGCAAGGCCTGCAGTCAGCCACAAGGACTTGAGGTCCCATCCAAAGAGCTGCGCAAATCACGGAGTTCAGCGCGAGAGACACGTTCAGATGAATCACATTGACGTACCACCACCAAGTCCTCGTATGTAAAGTGAATGATCAATGTAGATGAGAAAACGCTAGAGTTGCCAGCGGCTATAAAGTGGCCAGCAGCATCATCGTAATTTGCGCCGTCTGATGCATTGATTCCGAGTTGAAGACAGAGATATGCCTGATTTGCGAAGTTCAGATTGATGCACAGACCAGGGGTACATGATACTCACTTCTACGATACGACATACAAGAGTATTATTATTCAGACAAACAGAAGCTAGCTCTCGGACGCGGAGAAATGCCTCTTCATGACGTCCTGCATTGAAAATAGGGATGACCTGAAAACGGTAATGAAGCAGGGAACATGTAATGTGCCTTAATCAGGAGAATGAAATGAATAATGGTTAAATCTTCGTTCGTGAACATGAATGCGATGTCAAACGCTTGTGTCGAGTCCCGGAATTGCCCATTCCCACTATTTTAATGCCCTTGGATATATAGCTTGTCAAGGAGGACTTCATGCTGAAGTTTGCAATGCATTTCCAAGTACATGTCAATGAATCATAAATTTGGATATCCCAGTTTGGCAAGATGTTTGCCAGACGGTGAATACCAAATGCAGAAGACCGAATCATTACATTTGATTGAATCTCCTTGGATCTTCCATGCATTGGGAGAAAAATCCAACACATCAGTTTCTCTGTCCTGGGCCCTGGCAATTGATGATCACTCCCTTAGCATTTGTCATATCCCGTACCTCCGGATCCGGAATTCCGGATCTACTTCATTGAAGTCCGTTCCTCCGTCTTACTATTCCGCCTGGCGCTCCGCCTTCATCTCCGCACTCACCCCTAACTTCTTTTAGATTAGCTATTGCTCCAGTTACCAGTTATGTCCTATTCCGCTATGCTTACTGATCCGTCCATTCTTACTTCATTTCCGACTTCACTGCTTTGATCTGTTATACTTAGTAATAAACTTTCCACATGCTCCATACATCCCCTTACCTTTGCTGACTGATTTACCTACATGATACCTACAGTATATAAACCCCTGTAATACTCCGGAACTCCTCAGTTCAAATATCATCTTAGTTCTGCTCATTCCTGCAATCTCCAGACTTGAGTCTCACCTCTTGTCCACCTCCGAGTCTTAGGGGTTAAACCTTAGGACTACTTCTCCGGCTCTACCTTAGGGTAGTCTAACCTCTGTTCAGTTTCTACTCTGGACTTCCGTAGTAGCCTTACTTCGTCCCCCGTATAAACCTTCCGGAGTTCCGCCGAACTCCACCGACACTAAGTCCTCTGGAACTCCCCGGACTTCCGTTGGACTTCCCCTCTGTCCCCCGGAAATTAAAGGGCACGTACTCGGGTAAGGGGCGCAGCGCACGAGCTGAAGCCGAAGCCCTTTGAGTAACCTCTCCCTTGAGCACGACATTAACAGCATTTTAGCATTGATATCACTGCTTGCTATCAGTTGCCCACCTTATGATGTTGCCAATGCCTGCATCCAATCATGATGTCCTGTAAGCCAGCTGCTTATGACATCAATCACATGGATGTTCCCCATATATATATATTACTTGTTTCACCTTATTGACCTCAGACTCGGGTCTCTTACCTACCATCATATTGCGCACTTGTATCACACTATCAAATTCACGGTTTTGTCTTGTTATTCCATCTGATTCATCTTAGTGTTTCCCATCGCCACCACAGTGGGTTCACACTTTTTTTTAACACTGACATCAACTGGTGAATCCTATTTCAACAAAATAACTGTATCCAACCGTAGGGCTCCCTGCCCATTATCTGAACCGCCAATCTGCCCTCCAAACAAAGGAACCCAACTGTTAGTGAACCACTGACCACGTGTTCACGTGCGAAAAGGCCTCAACCATCATTCTCTATCCTGCCATCCTCTCTGACATCCTTACCATCTAATAATATGTCACTAGCAACCATCACACCTACAACTATAATCCATGACAATTCTTCCTCAGACTCTGAACCAGAATCAACACAAACTTCTTATCCTCATGTCTATAACATAATGAAAACAGCCACGGTAGATCAGTCTTCTCCTAGCAAACCACCGAAGCTCCTCGTGGGCGAACTCACTCCAAAGGTCGTTTGTGATTGGGAGAACGCGTGCTCCACATATTTCATGCACAAGGAGATCGAAGCCAAGAACCAGGTTAAGATGAACGCACTGGGATATGAAACTCCACAAGAAAGTACTGGGGTCTCAACAGGGAATGCGTGACTTTTATGAATGGGCTCTAGAACTACAGAATCAAAACACCCTTCTATTTGGCAATGCTGCACACCTATCAGATGCCCAACTATGCAACCAATTGGAAGCCAACATATGCGATGAACTTATTACACCTGTACTCAGGGCGAAGCTCGATCCTACCATGATGCTCAAGAAGTGGATCAAAGAGGTCTGCCACCTTGATGACAAACATCTTGAGGATCTTGCTATGCATAAGAAGTTCGCTGAGGACTTCTATAAGTCAAACAAACATATGAATCAACAATAACCACCAAAAACCCCATACTCTTCATCCCGCACTACATCAAACACTTCCTCCTCTCGTCTCAGACAACTCACCCTTGCTGAACGTACACTACTCGCAGACCATCGGGGCTGTTTCAAGTGCCAAAAGTTCTACATACCTCACAGATCGAAGGAGTGTCCTGACGGTCCACCAGATGCATCATCCTACAAGACATTAACAGAAGCAGATGCCATCGCAGCCAAACCAGTCAAGAACGATAGGCTGATGAAACCCATTGCCGCTGTTGCACCTGTTGCTGCAGTAATGCCTTTGTCTGTACTGGAAGAGGTGTTGGACTCTGATGATGACATGTGCATAGCTCCTTTTGAAACCAATCACCTTTTATGGTCCTGCCTTTTGGCAGGACCTTCCTCCCCTTCATTTGAGTGCATAAACACATTAATTGATCACGGGTCACATCTAGTTCTTATTAATGAGGACCTTGTGACAAAACTGGGTCTAAAAAGACGCAAACTGCATGTTGAGATCCAAGCGAACTCAGTGTTCCTCGCACTGTCTACTTCTCCTCTTACTTTCTCTGAATATGTTCATGTCTCTCCTTCTTCTCTGAATCATGACTGGATTTCTCGTACCGTACGCGCAATTATCGTGCCTAATCTCATTGTGCCCCTGCTCCTAGGGGGGCCTTTCTTATCACACAATTGCCTCCTCATACATCATGAACTTCGCACTTGCATCAGCAAACCTTCGAACTACGACCTTTTAAACCCTCCAAAACTTGTACAATGCATTTCCATACCTATCCCTTCATGTTGTGATGTACTATGACTACATAAAGATGTACTTCATGAACTCAGAGACATTCTATCCTCATGCCGCAATGACAATGAGCCTCACATGACAACATCAACTGATGTGACAAGCATATTATGACAATGTATAGACGTACTTGCTTTCATCCAAGCAAACAAAGCACATCTCAAGCGCTTAGATGCAGCCATGAGAGAAAAGTTTAAGGACCGATTCCCAGATGACATCCCACACATAAACAAACTACCCACAGACATCGTACATTGCATCTGTCTGAAAGACCCAAACAAGGTCATCCAATACTGAAGATACAACATGCTGTGAAAATATCGCGAAGCCTGGGACACGCTGCTTAACCAGCATATAGCTGCTGGATGACTGAGACCATCAAGCAGCCCATATGTATCGCCCGTATTCCTTATCCCCAAGAAGGACCCTACAGTGTTACCCCACTGGGTAAATGATTATCATGCACTCAATGCCAACACTATACCTGACAACTACCCCCTACCACATGTCGATGAGATCCTTAGAGACTGCATGAAGGGAAAGATATTCGGTAAAATTGATATGACTAACTCATTTTTTCAAACAAGAGTCCACCCTGATGACATCAAATACACTGCTATCAATACTCTGCAAGGACTACATGAGTGGACGGTGATGCCTCAAGGAGGAAGGAACGCACCTGCAACTCACCAAAGGTGCATGTTCATTGCACTATGTACACTAATCGGCAAAATCTGCCATGTTTACCTTGATGACATAATCATATGGTCACAAATGGTTGCTGAAAACACAAAGAATGTGCAGTTAGTGCTGGAAGCACTATGTAAGGCATGCTTATTCTGCTCACCTAAAAAGACTTCACTGTTCTGTACCGAACTCAACTTCCTCGGACACCACATCTCGGCATCTGGCATTGAAGCAGACACATCAAAAGTGAAACGGATACTGGACTGGCTAATGCCTAAATGCACAAGCAACATACAATCGTATCTTGGACTCATTTGATATCTTGATCAATTCCTGCTGAACTTAGTAGACCACACACGCGTGCTGACTCCCTTAACCACAAAGACGTCAGAACATGAATGGCCTGGCTGGACTACAACTCACCAAGACACTTTTGACGCCATCAAACACCTTGTGACAAGCCGAGACTGCATTGCAACAATTGACCATGACAACATGGGTGAAAACAAGATCTTCGCGATATGTGACGCCAGTGATTGGAGGGCTGGTGGATTGCTCAGCATCAGCGCTTCACCAAACACAGCAAGACTGGTAGCCTTCAACTCTATGCAGATGTGAGATGCACAGCTGAATTATCCTGTACATGGGGGAGAACTGCTGGCAATTGTATGCACACTCAAAAAGTGGCGTGTAGAACTAGTAGCTACCCCTTTTACTGTGTACACTGGCCACAGGACCCCAGAGAATTTTATGACACAATGAGACTTATCATGATGCCAAGCACAATGGCAAGAGTTCTTCTCACAGTACAATTTCAACATCAAATACATTCCCGGTGAGGAGAACACAGTGGCTGATGCACTATCGCGACTGCCTCCAGACAATGAAGAGGTACCGGCTTATGCCAACCAGACAATACACATGCTGGACAAAGTCAAGGACAATGTAAAACCAGTGGTGCTAGTCCTATCTATCATGCCAGACCCATCACTACTCAACAACATTAAATTGGACTATCAAACAGATCTGTGGTGTGTGCGACTCACTCAATTAACTGACTCATTACCAGGATTGAAATGCCACAACAGACTACTGTACCTCAATGATCGCTTGGTCATTCCCCATGTACCACACATATGGGAGACAATCTTTTGCCTGGCACATGACGATCTGGGACATTTCAGCATTGACAAGTCATATACTGCCCTGCGAGAATCATTCTACTGGCCAAACATGAGGTGCGATCTCGGGCAAAGTTACATCCTGTCATGTACAGAATGTGCGCGAAACAAAAGCAGGACGACAAAATGCCCAGGACCCCTGCACCCACTACCTGTACCCAATGGTTGTGGCAAATCTGTCACCATGGACTTCATAGGTCTGCTCCCCATGGAACAAGGTTACAACAGTATTATGACAATCACCGACTGTTTGGGTGCTGACATATGTCTGGTGCCCTGTCGCATGAACATGAGCACACCAGAAATCATGAATCTATTTTTTAACCACTGGTATTGTGAGAACAGCTTACCTCTTAATATTGTTTCAGACCGCAACAAGATCTTCACAAGCCGATTCTGGAGAGTGCTGCACAGGATGACAGGTATAAAACTGAAAATGTCCACAGCTTACCATCCACAGACAGATGGATCAAGTGAACGCACCAACAAAACGATCAACCAAGCACTTCGCTACTTCATTGATTGCCATCAGTCCGGATGGGTAAATGCACTACCTTGTGTCAGGTTCAACCTAATGTCCTCCATGAATGCCTCAACAGGCTATTCACACTTCCACCTACACCTTGGATGCACTCCCAGACTGCTACCACCATTGACACCAGAATCAGTGCACAACATCTGCGAAGACTTCCCAGCAGACGTAAGCAGAGTCCTAGAAGCCATCATGTCACTGAAGACCAATGTCGCTGATGCCCACGACGCCCTGATGGCTACCAAAATAAGTCAGGAAAACTCAGCCAATGCGCACAGAGGACAAGAACCACGATTCGCAGTGGACGACCTCATATACCTCTCGACAGCACACTGCCGACGAGAATATCTGAATGGGAACAACAAACATGTTGCCAAATTCATGCCCCATTTCAATGGTCCCTACAAGATTATATCTGCGCATCCTGAGTTGTCAACTTACACTCTAGACTTACCTGCACATACTAACATACACCCTACATTCCATGCATCAGAACTGAAGAGCTACATGCAAAACGACACTCAACTGTATCCATCCCGCAAGATAAGAAAACCAGGATACATTGTTACAACTTCGGGTGCTGAAGAATGGGAGATAGAGTACATCCTGGACTGCAGACCATGAGGACGCGGATTCCAGTACCTCGTACGATGGCGTGGTTATGGTCCTGAAGCTGATCTCTGGCTGGCCAGTAGTGAAGTCGAAGACTCAGACGTGCTTCAAGAGTTCAACGGCATGCTCAATTCTTGAGAGGTTGGGAGGGTGTAAGCCAGCTGCTTACGACATCAATCATGTGGATGTTCCCCATATATATATATATATTACTTGTTTCACCTTATTGACCTCAGACTTGGGTCTCTTACCTACCATCATATTGCGCACTTGTATCACACTATCAAATTCATGGTTTTGTCTTGTTATTCCGTCCAATTCGTCTTAGTGTTTCCTGTCGCCACCACGGCAGGTTCACATGTCCCTCCATCTTCTTCAACACAACACCTGTCTTCAAGTCCCACAGACAAAGTGTCTTGTCATGTGAGCTGGTAACTATTCATCGTCTATCAGGGAAAACTGCAACTGTGGTTCAGGTGTTCTCATAATCTTTAAACTTTTGAAGGGGTGTGGTGCTCGGAATGAGCTGCGACACTTTATTGGAGATCGTTAGTATTCAATGAGCATGTTTGGGGTGGTCTTGGTCACAGTGGAGGAATTGTGGGTGTTTTCTCTAAGCTGCAGAGGTGCAAATATTGTGCATTTTATGTTGTTCGCTTCATTAACTTGCCTTGGCTTTCCATAAATGCCCTACATCAATATTATGGCTATGTGCACCTTCCTCGACTTAGGATGACCCTGCCCTGCACGCTTGCACATGGCTCCAACTTGTATCTCCACAGCTTTCATCTTCTCTTAAATACAGCCGGTACCCCTAAATTCTGTCTGGTAGGGCCTGTCAAATGTCACGATCGCTATAAATGTTACATGAATAATGTTACATTTTTACATGTCACATTCTACATTCTTTCACGAAACTGAAATGCATGTAGCTCATGGTCATCTCTTCGACTCCTGTGTGTGCATTGGATGTATATTGCAGCCCAAGGTCTAACTTCTTGGCATGTGCCACACTGCTTAAGTACTCGTTCTGCAATGGAATATTTCCACCTTCCAAAGTGTCACCACCTTTCTTCCAGCGATCCACTCGTCACTCCTGAGCTTCGCCAACTCCCAGAACTGGTTCTGATCTTCACCTGCTACCCCCTCCCAAGTCTGTCCACATTGGCATCATGCATCACACAAGTGCAAGTGCAATTTCAGTCATCACATTATACTAACCTTGGTGATCTCTGCATTCGATCAGCAACAAATTGTCATACGGGTATTTGGGAATGCTATCTATGATGAAATAAATAGACCCAATGCTTGGAATGCCAGGAACACAAGTGAGTATCACAACATTTTACCTAGTGCCCTGACCCCTATTACCATGTGCCAGGGTCTCGCAAAGTAACGTGCGGCCAATGATACCTGATTGTTCTCAAACATCGTGTACTATCTCCAGCATGAGGATGAAACAATTGATTTCTATGCGGATATCAAACGACAGAGCCCACAACAGAACACATCAGCAAATCAGTTCACTCTAGACAGTGCCAGACAGTGCTGGACAGCCTACAAGGCACACAGCTTGGTTCCAACTTTACAGGCTTGCACAGAGGCTTCTTCTTCTGTGGGGTTCTGTACAAAACTCTACAGAGCACACTGCTGTACTCAGAAATTACCTGTGTCTTGAGATACCAGACAAAATCCTCTGTGGGTTTCTGGTCTCACTGGACACAAACAGATGAAAATTCAATTCATATCCAGCATATATTGATTAGATAACAGATAGCAGTGCAGTACATCATGCGATAACGCAATAGGTAGAAAACCGTAAGCGAGCTACAAGCAGGGGGAAATGAGCGACCTCAATCAAGCATGATCTCAATATCAATGTGGTGAGACATTTTGTTGCTGTCGACTTTGCAAGATGCTGCCCTACATGAATACAGTTAGCATGCTAGACATGTTAGAAACGAGAGCATATCCTTGCCATCCAGCCTCAGCCCATGATTGGAGCTGCTCGACCAACTTGGGACCATGATAAGGATGTTCCATGATGTTTTGGAGCGACTTTAGCACAGATGTGTAGGTTGGGCAATATTCCTTGGTGGTGAATTTTGGGAATGATTTTCCATTCCCATTTTTTGCGAGGCTGTCGAGAATGCAAACAAACTATGAAACAAGTTAGTTTGTCATTGAATGTGAAAATAATAATAAAAAAATACTGCAGCAGAGACCAAAACCAAGCATGACAAAGGCAACTGCTTGCTGAAAATGTCTGGATGTCTTCGAGCAATTCTATATGATCCAGTGTACATGAACACGATGACGGCGTCATGGAGCGCAGGGTTGGCAAAGTTTCATGTTTTTCCCTGCAGCGCCTTGTTATTTGAATACTCATAAAATTATACAGGCAGCACACCTGTTCGTCCATACCGTTGTGTAGAAACTTTGAGCCCGCCTTTAACTCAGTAGCCACACCTTCCACCCACAAAGCATGTTCTTGAGGTGGGATATTTGATGGGGGGACAAGGCCAGGCATGATTGAGGCAATCACAGCAACATTCTTCTTGAGCTCAGAGCGCCAAGTCGAGAGATCTTCATATAACTGGATGACAGGAAGTATGAGAGAATAGCAAACAAAAAGATTGGCGATGATATACTTACGAGTTTTGCCATATCAGGCTTGTGAATAGGCCAATAATCTGGTACTTGGGTCAGATACACATGCACTAGAGAAGACCAAAGCTTACCAGGTTCAAATTGTTTACTGGCTGTATCCCACTGGTAAAGAACAGCTAAAAGGGCCTCAGAGACAGAGCCTGGCAAGTCTTTAACTCAAGCTGGGAACGGGTTCTCTAAGCATGCTGGGTACAACACTCTTCTTTTGCGTCCTCGAGGAAACTCTTCTAGCAGGCTGGGTAGAACACCAGCTGTGTAGGCTTCAGCCCATCAGGGGAGCATTTGGCTTTAGCTGGTTGCTGCGTGTTGACTGGACCCTTGTTGTTCTTCGGATCCTTTGTCATGACCACATGTCATAAGAGTTCTAGGGAAGCAGGGTCGGGAAGATGGGGTCGCTTCTTATGATGCCAATTTAAAATGTTGTTGGCTACATCTGCAGGCTGGAAATGAAGTAGTTGTTGAGTGCTTGGGGATATGCCACCAGACAGGACATCATACCTGAGAGCCGTCGGGTTCCTGAATACCTTGAGTTTCGTTGGTAGACTGGTGTCGCACCTGAGAACCATTGAGTTCAAGCTCAGAGACTTCGGGGACACGTCAAGCACCCTCCGAGGCAATCTCATTACTCAATGATTTGTCAAAAGCTAATGTTTGCTCAGCATTCATGTCATCTTTGTCACAGGAGTATTGAAAGTCAAAGTTGGGAGCAAAAGTGGAAGTAACATGGACTGGGGAAGGTTCTGGTTCCTGAGAAAAACCTATGAAATAATCAGGGTGACCACGGTGACCATCATATGCAAAGATGGCATTTACCTGGGTGTACATGATGGCGCTGGCCAACCTCAGCCCAACCAAACTCCCTTTCACCAGTGTTATCACTGTCAGTAGAATAGTCGTCGTCTTCGCCACCCACACTACTTTCACCAGAGCCTGAAGTATCCGAATCTTCTGAATCGGATTGTTGCAATGAAAGGTTAGCCCCAGGTTCAGAGCCAACTGTTCATAGGGATGGGTCCAAATAGTTCTCGGAAAGAGTCAGAACAATGCACGCAGTGAATGAAGGATGTGAAAGTAAGTTTAAGGTGGCTGAAGGTGGCACTGATCATAGAAGATCATCATTGGCTGGCCCACTAGAAGAAGACTGATGGCCTCCAGCAAGGCTTTGAACAGCGCTGCAGGCACGATACTTAGCGTCTTTCTTGGCCATCATGATCGCTACATAAGAATTGTTAAGCGCTTGCAGATCTGGCTCTGTTCCAGGTGGCATGATTGGTGGGCTGCCTTGAGGCGTTTGAAATCCAAAGTGTCCGCCCATTTCGCAGAGTGATAAACCCGGTTGCAATGATTGATAGCTTGACTCGCCGCAGGTGATGTCCTGAAGTAAAAATGAATGCTTGATTTAAATACGATATGATGTTCCTCACCGGTTTCGGCTTGCGGGTCAGGGACAGAAGATGTCTATTTGAATGATTGATCATTGTATCACCAGGAATGGATAAAGAAAAAATGCCTGTTAAGACTGTGCTCAGGGGTAAAGCGGAGTCTGAGGGGCTTGGCTTCAGCTCGTACGCTGCGCCCCTTACCCGAGTACGTGCCCCTAATTTCGGAATGTAGTCCAACACAAATTCTATGGGTTCTGATAGGATGTCAGAATGGGGGTCCTCTGAAGGAGGACCGACGGACTACTAGGTGAAGGTGGGAAAGTCAGGCGGGGGTTGTTCCACCCAACAGGAGGGAGGTGGGAGACTACTGCGGTCGGAACCAACAGTAGAAGCGGAGCAGAAGGAGCTGCTTGGATGAAGTCTGAAGCAGAGCGGAATGGAGGGAACAGATGCGAGAGTGCGGGGATCAGTTCCGATGTGTGGGAAAGCCGACCGATGCGCAGGGAGTCGGGAGAGCGGAGGAACGGGGGAATGGGGGAACATGGGAATGGTGGAATGGAGGGTCAGAGGATCGGAGTGTGGCCGGCCTAGGGAGTCAATCCCCTAGGCCAGCTAACAGGAGTTGACTAGGATCAGGCCCAAGTCAAAGAACAGAAGAGCAGGGCTTAGAAAAGGTAATATTCAGACTGAGTATCTACAGACAAATGTACATATGTTTATATACTCTAAGTGATGAGCATAGCATAGCAGAAGGCTATGTGCTGAGTGTACAGGATTACAATAGGATGACTGAGACATATGAGAATAAGGCTTGGGGAACAGTATGTACGCGACGGATCAGAATCGCTAGGGTATAGGGATTACCGGTGATCCGAAAAGCGGAACTATGATACTAAACAGGGATAGGACCAGTCGAGTGGTTCCTAGTCTAGGAGTGGACCGGTGAGGCGGTCGGACGAACTAATAGTTGGGTGGGGGAATACGAGTGGAACTGAAGGACCTGCGTGGGTCGGAAAAGCAGAGGGAGTAGGAGTAGGATCGGGCAGACTGATAGGGCGGAGGAGCGGAACCCCAGATAGGGTCGGATGGAAGGGGTATGGGGTTGAAGGGCATAGGGGTAGTGTCGGAAGAGTGGAACAGGGTCGGGCGGAGGTAGCAGGGCTAATCCTGCTGAGATGCACTTTGTGCATTGTTGGGGAAGGAGGAATGGAGCGGATGAGGAAACATGGGGTCGGACCAGGGGTGGGGATGTTCACAGGTGGTACTGGGGGTACTTGGATCCGGTATATGACAATGCCTCACCTTGGCTTTTTCCCCCTTCTGACAGGAACTCATGACGGTAGTGCCCGTACCATTTGAGATGCTATACGGTGGAGGAGGCTTCTAAACATTTAACATCAGCCCCAACTGCATGGATAAAAATTTGAGCTTACCTGTGGATGGCTGCCACGGCCCTTTCAACGTGATTCTGGAGCAAGAGGGTTTGCTGAGATATTCGGCACAAGGGTTGTGGAGCCCTTAGGTTGGCTTGTCCACGTTGGGGCCACCAGAGCTGCGCCAACTTTCTCTAGTTGAGCATTCCTTCCTCCTGTACCTGCACCAGGACGACCGGAACGACAAATGGGGAGAGCATTGACATCGGAAGATAGCTGCAGTGACACCAAACCAACTTCATCTGCTGTCCACACCTTCTTTCCTTGCCCAGTGAGCGCTGGGATACCAGATTCCACAACTTTGCATTTGCCTTTGTCCTTTTGGGGCTAGATGTAGCTCAGGGACAAGGAGGCATGATTGAGACTGACAAAGGGTAGGAACACCAGAAGGGAGATAAGTGACAAGACCCAGACAAAATACACTCAACTCTTAAGGGATTTGACTCAACCAAGCAACATGTCACACTTGTAGGCAGTATGACTTGACCGGCAGTGTAAGTGACCGCATTCCTGCAGGAATATAGTTGAATGGAGGATCACATGAGGAGAACGAGCTCAATGTTGTAACATTAGTAATACTACATACTAGTAGCCAGGATGTTTGTGGGAACAGCTGCGATGAGTCACTACTTCTGAGTTGATGGCAAGAAGGGGTAAAACATGTAATGAATACTACAATGCAAAAACGTAAACACTTCGCAAGCGAAAACCATATACTACTGTGTACACAAATGAAATCAAGATTGACGACAAAACCGGCCTAGCTACCCCGAGTTCAATGTCTTGTTCCTCTTCACAGGTTTAACAGTCCACTCGTCATTCAGACCGCGGTTCTTCACTGCGGTGCAGTCCATTTCCTTTACCTTCATGATCTCTCCTGATGCATGCACATCCTGCTTATGCTTATCTACCAACCTCTTGCGGAGCAACCGTTCAGGGGCCAGCTCAGGCTTGCCCTTAAGAAGTTCAGTGATATGTTTGTCCAGGATCTTGAGCAGTGCATCAAATTCAATGGGTCGGTGGAGAACCTGGCCATCGACACTGCCGATCTGAACTGGAAAATTGAGCCTCAGGAGGTCCATCCACTCCAGTGCAAGTGGAATAAGATCCTTGAAGTAGCCGTCAAACTGCGCTTGGAGTGCAGCGTCACCCTCGCCCACTGTGTAAAACGCGACCTTGTTCTCAAAGCATCCCCCAATATTCCAGTTGCTCCACGCATGTGGAAGCCATGCTTTTGAAGGGTTCAAATGGCATTCTACGCCAAGAGGGCCGCTGTACTTGATGCAGATCTAAGAAAAGATGTAAAATAGTGATTCGAGATCATCCGAATAGTCTTGCTTGACAAATTCAATTGCCAAAGGTGACGATGACGACGCCCCTTTTTTTGCAGTGTCGGAGACCAAGATCTTTTTCACTTGCTGCAGGAGCCGCCATGACATGAACAGAATTGTGCCCTGCAAGTTGAGTCAGTGAATTTACTCCTGGATCAATGATCCACTTACTGTTCCACCGATAGTGTATGTATTCTCTGGTGTGATAGTTACAGTGAATTCCCAGTCGATCAACATTCCAAGGCTATTACCATCGGCATCCTCGATCATTGCATTGTGGAGGCTGCAATCACAATGCAAGATACCCTGTCAATGTGCTTCCTGTTGAACTGGGAGAACAATTGCCGGTTAGTATCAACATGTATATCACGAAGGAGGGATGCTTACTGGCCACAATGTCACGTATAGCTTGAATAAATTCTACCTTTGTTCGAAATTTATGCAAAGGTCACCCCCAGGGCTTCATGACGAGCCGAAAATGAGTGCGCCAAGTGCCGACTAAGCTGGGTAGCTCTTGATATTGGTAAATCTTTGTGTTGTCGACTTCACCAGTCGACAGCTTAACCTTGCTGAATTTGACAAGTTCCGGGACACCATGGACACCCTGCATCTTCTTCAACATAGCAACCTCATTTAAGATATCTTCGTCATCTGCATTCCCAAGGACCCAGTGGTCCTTGATGATGTACTCTTCGTCATCTTTTCTAGCCAAGTAGCAAACGGTGCCCCGACCAACCAGGCCATGACTCAAAAATAAAACCTCCAGGATATCATGCCAGTTGTCATTGACTTGAATTTCACTGATTGGCGACGAATTCAGAGGAGGAGGAATGAAATGTTGGGCAATAAAAGGAGCTAGCGAGGCAGGAGCGGTCGAGGGAAGCAGTTCAGAGGGGAGTGTATGAAGACCAGTCCTGATATCAAGCTGCTCATCTTGTTCAAGGGAGGAGAAGGCACTTGATAAGCCTGAGGAATCACCGCTGAGAGTGTCTAGGTGATGTGAGGGCGAAGGTTTGTGTGATGACATTGACTCATATCCTGACTCATCCGACTCCTTGCCTGACTCTTGCCTGACTCTTTGCCTGACTCCTCACCTGACTCCTCTGACTCGCCTGACTGCTCGCCTGATGCTGCATCTCCTGTCTTGGCCCATGTACCAGATTCACCGTGGGTGTCCCTCTTTTTCTGAACACGCAATCTCCTAGGAGGAATGGAATGACAGGATAACACAGGGAGTTTGAGCTGTCAAATATTTATTGTCATATTGAAACCGATGCACTCGCCATTGCCGAAGACAATAGCCGAGAGGATCTGCAGAAATTTGTTCTTCTGTTGGCTGATATGAAATGGAGGGGATATGGCAGAACCAGAGTGGTCGTATACGTGGACATGAAGTTCACGATAGTGGTTGCATAAAGATAGCATGAGAGCAAAGCACCTCCAGGGCTGGTGCTTCAAAATGATGTATGCCTTGGTATCAAGGGATTTCATGGCATGCTTCCCTGGCCAGTACTTGCTGCTTGTTACTTCAGCGACGACCTTGATGCCTGCCCACCCAGGGTTTGGTTCATCTGACATAACAATGTCAGGTTTGCAGGGGATGTCTTCTCCCTTGATTGGGGTGGTTGAGTGGGCCCCACTCCATACACAATTCGCTTGCTTAGTTTTGAGTCCACCATGTTCAGAAAGTGCCACCGTGAGGGCATTCAAAAGCCCCGCAACTACATGCTCAGTAGTCAAGTTAGAATGGGAAGCACTGCCTCTGGGCGCCTGACTCCCCCCCCCCCCCCTCGGCTGTCCCTCCTCATGTTTTTCACCCTTTTTATTTTTGCGCTGTTTTTGGGGCAGATCCAGCAGCCCCCAGTTCCACATCTTCGCCTTGCTATCCCAAAGTTCCACAGAGTCTGTTGGTTGATGTTGACAAAACTGATTATCAATCCACTCGTTGCGATATTGAATCTGAGAGAGAGGGATCCAAAGATCCTCTGCACAAGGCGCTTGAACCTTGAAGGATTGGAAAATGATGGATAGAAGATGTCCAATGGGGGTGCTTCATTTGATATGACTCGCGGGCTCCTCGAGGACTAGTTGATTCAGCTCTCGAGTAGTTAGCCTGTCCATTGTCAGCACATCATGAATTAGAGGAACTTTGATGAAGGATCCCAGTTTTATTCTGACCGCTAGTGTTGAGAAATATGTTTTGACTTTGATTTTGACTTGGACAATTTGGAGGGCATTGTACTCAGTGATGACAGTCAAAGGTTGGCATAGGAATATGTGCAAATTTTTCTTATCTCTAATCAAACTTGAGCCACAAAGCTAAGACTAGTATAGTGAAAAGCGATACAAACTCTTCCATAAAAACTACATTGAAAGAGGGAAGTAAGTGCTTTTGTCCCAAAAATGATTCAGCCATAACTCCGATGCATGCTCAACACTATTATAAGCGGTAAGGCGATTGTCTGCGGTGGCACCAAACCAAGGAACTAGATTAATGGGCGTGCACAGTTGTGAAATCGGTACAACATCCCTTATGCAAGTCCCGTTAGACTGTCTTGCCCTTTTAAGGACATGCATCTGCGTAGTTGGTTTGTGGACACCAATGATGTCAAAGCGATGAACATAGGTAAGAAACTGATCTCGCCATGCCCATTGTGTGCTGGTCTTGCTGAGGGGGCGAAAAATAAGTCTGATTTGGACGACAGTGTGTCCTGAGGGATGAGGTTAATAACAGGCATTGGGGAAGGACAAATGAGTATGACTTGCCTTGAAGACCGCTAGTAGGCCACGAGTGTTCCGCTTCGGTATTGACAATGATTGAATCATAATGACTGTATGTCCAAGGTTCACTTGGCGGCGCACAATTGAGAGTCTGGGCTGGCTGAATATTGTGAACATTGTGGAATTCTGTATCTTGCAAGTGAAGTTTGAACCATACTTGAACTTTCTCAAAAGGAAGCGCAGAATTGGGTCCGGCTCTCCTTGGGCCGCCTATTGCATGGGTGTGGTCATGTCCAAAACTGGCCTCATGATGCAGAAAATCAGATAGTGCCAGTCGCAAATCTGGCAAGCCAAATTTGAGGGCGACATCATCAATAGTGATGCTTCAGATGGAAGGTTTATAAGCTAAATGAAAGGCAGTGTGCCCAATGACAAAGGAATGCAACGGTAGAGGTACAGAGCCCACAGGTTTGTGCTGCAGGACCCGGGCAATTGCAAAATGATTCGTAATTGGACGTGAGCGACCATGCTGAATTGTAGATAAGAACTCAACAGGTATATTGTCATCCAAATCAGTGTCATCAGCATCCTCATCATCCTCGTCGTCCATATGACTCCCTGCTGCATTGGCTAATGCCTTGACATTCTGCTTCTCATCTAGAAGGGTGGTAGCGAGCTTGAACCAAAGACATTTATTGAGTCGATCGAGATGGCAACATATCTGTGGATTGTAATTGTTGTTGTTACTTGATCTTGCCGGGTCCTTAATCTTGGTGATATGCACGTGCTCGGTAACATCTGCAGACCACTGAGCCGTGACTCCAGAGTTCCTAATGCTGGGTACAACACTCTGCATAAGCTCCAGTTTTGGTATGTACCAATTATTGATCACTTTGTTGCCCTTGCCACGACGAACCCCAGCATCAATGATTGAATCTTTGTTTGTGTGGAACTCATTCAATGCTGCTGAGATGCACACTAAGTCATTATCGTCGATGGATGGTGACTGTACAAGATAGTGGAAATCCATGAGTGCGCGTACAGCAACGAGAACTCCATGGGGTGCTGCATCTGCACTAACTGCGATGATAGAACATTGGATGTCTCGTTGACAGCGACCCGTAACCTGTTTGAGTTTTGTGATCCCTTCTGCGAAACGCTGAAAACCGGTGACAGGCTGCAAAACAGAAAAACGGAAATCCATCTCTGACTCCCCAACACCAAAGATTAACCATTTTGCGTCATGATCCCAAAATTCCTTATGAAGGACATGAAGTGTCTTGGGTGTGAAGTAGCGGGACAGATCTATAATCACCCAGTCCTGCCAAAATGGCTCAAAGACACCGTTCAAGCGGAATTTTTGCACTTCCCAAAAGAAGGCTTGTAGATCAGATGGATTGGCTCGTGTGCGAATGACGGATAGTTGTGCAAGGGTGGTTGACGCCATGCGAGGTTCATGGTGAAAGGAGTCTCCAAATTGCTTGTACATGGCCCTGGTGACCGGAGAGGTCTTTCCACTGACGCAGGCCAACATCATGGCTTTGGGAGTATTGAAGATATAACTTGCAAGTGGAGGAAAACAATATCGGCTCTGTCCAATGGGATCCGAGAGCATTACGCCATGCAGAGTGGCCTCAAGCGGTTTGAGGACAATATCTAGGCACTGATGAATGAGGCAATCCGCCAATATGCCATGCATGCACTTATTCTTATGGAGAAACTTCGGAACTGGCAACAGGGCGGTGAGTATGAAAGAGTTGGATGATGATTTGAGTTGCATGTTCATGCATATATTTGCGAGGCTGACAAGGAGTGGGTGCGCAACGGGCTTTGGGAGTATTGAAGATATAACTTGCAAGTGGAGGAAAACAATATCGGCTCTGTCCAATGGGATCCGAGAGCATTACGCCATGCAGAGTGGCCTCAAGCGGTTTGAGGACAATATCTAGGCACTGATGAATGAGGCAATCCGCCAATATGCCATGCATGCACTTATTCTTATGGAGAAACTTCGGAACTGGCAACAGGGCGGTGAGTATGAAAGAGTTGGATGATGATTTGAGTTGCATGTTCATGCATATATTTGCGAGGCTGACAAGGAGTGGGTGCGCAACGGGCTTTGGGAGTATTGAAGATATAACTTGCAAGTGGAGGAAAACAATATCGGCTCTGTCCAATGGGATCCGAGAGCATTACGCCATGCAGAGTGGCCTCAAGCGGTTTGAGGACAATATCTAGGCACTGATGAATGAGGCAATCCGCCAATATGCCATGCATGCACTTATTCTTATGGAGAAACTTCGGAACTGGCAACAGGGCGGTGAGTATGAAAGAGTTGGATGATGATTTGAGTTGCATGTTCATGCATATATTTGCGAGGCTGACAAGGAGTGGGTGCGCAACGCGATTGCCTGTCAAAACTGAGATATTTGTCTTGTCTGAAGACAATATTGTCCCAAGCAATGTAGCACCTTGGGGAAGTGCTGACTATTTAAAATTAATAAGACTTCAACATACTATGTGAAGGTACCTACTTGCATGTTCCATGCATCATCGCCTGTCATCCACTCGGTATACACACAACAGAGCTTTTGTGCTGTGGAATAAACCTTGTGAGGCGTGAAGTCCAATTGATCGTGAAAGAGAGGATGGTTGAGAATAGTAGATATACACTCCAGTGGATTGTGCCAGTATAAAATAACGGGTGATTTTGTTGAATGTGATGTATCGATGATTCGCAACATCCAATGTGGGCCGCTGGGTAACATTTCTGCTTGTCCTCGTAACTCCTGGGCCAAGCGGAATGACAAAGGAAGGTCCTTAATCTGAATATTAGTTAGTGAGTTAGATCTGGATAAAGCGGCTGATTCCTCACCATCTCGAGCGATAAGAAGGTATCTATCTTCCCCATACTCAAACCAGAATGCAGTAACCATGATGCAATTTTCCAGTCTTGCTTACAGCTAAACAGATAGTAGAGGTTTGTCTTGCGATAGACACTATTTTCGTTGGTGTTGAACAGGCCCAAGAACATATGGCCCATGCCGTATGTCTCTGCAGCACCTGGAAAGTAGTCGGTAACCTCACCATGCGTTTTTTCTTCAATATCCTTCGTTGGGGTTCTGCTAGCCTCATCCCATCCTCCACCTACAGGTGAGCCCCGACCACCATCATCAGTGTTTCCAAAATAAACATCATCATCATCCTCTTCGTATGAACCCCCGACATCATTATCTGACTCCATAGGATCATCTTCAGGTGGTAGGTGAGATTTCAGCCGAATTAACTCATCCAGCCAACTATTGCATCCAGAACGAGGCTGGCTCATATGATGGGCAACAGCGGTGTCAGTTTTGAATCCATCTTTGCCACAGGACAGACACTGGAGAGACATGAGTTACAGAAGAAAGGTATGTAGACGGTATACTAATACTCACATTGACTCTGGCAATTTCTGAATTTGCTTTTTCTATCAAGTACACCATACTAAAGTACATAGTAACATATGTCGACCTCACCTGTCAGTCTCAATATCCACCACAACATTCCATCTACCTCAAATAAGGCACTCCGTCAGTGTTCTCCATGCTACACTCAGCAGCATCCATCGGACACTTGCCAAATTGGAAATTCTGGCGCTGCTGGTGTCTCTGACTTGTATGATATCACTGACGCTATTGGTTCCATGGTATGTAGTAGCACTATGTTTCTATCAATAACTATATTTAATTTTACAGATCATTGATGATACAGAGGATCTCGAAGCAAACCTTGTCATGGAACTCGCCATGGCTAGACGAGAGAAGCTCCTCACTGAAAAGTCGCTTGCTGACTGCATGGTCCATGAGCTCAAACTCATGGTGAGTTTATCAAAGTTCAAGTCAAGTCTTTTCGAGCAGAAACTCAACCAGGCGGATGTAGGATTAGGATACATGCGGATTGCTTTTAAAACACATGGTCTTTCTCACCGCGCACACTATCTCTACGGTAAGCCTGGGAATACATTGAGATCCACGGTGTTATACTAACAAGCCACAGGTTCTCTCATCGAGTTAGGGGATAGTCATGGCATCACTATTCAGCTAGATTGATGTGAGATACTATGTTGATTTGATTGTCGCAGAATTTCTGTAGTACCTTGTCAAAATTTAGCAATAGTGTTTTGTACCACATATTAAATTCAAGTGTTTCACTACTAGTACTGTCCGCACTGTGAGCTACTGTGCAAAACAATTGTCTGTGGGGAAATTTGACTAGCTAAAAATTCAAATTACTACAGACTTCAATGTTTTCCGCTGGCAACTGGCTAGTTCTGTCTGCGATTGGAAGGTTGTGCGAAGTATGTGTCTGTGCATGTATGTCCATTGTGGCGTCTGTCTGCACTGTGAGCTACTGTGCGAAACAGTCTAAAATAGCATTGTCTGTGGGGAAATTTCCAGTTTGCTGATGCGGTCTGAGTAGTTCCATAATGGGTAGCATGTTTTGGACTGATACCTTTGCAGGAGAGAAACTACGGTGTGCACTTATAGCGCTGCTGCTGCAGCCAGTGCATGTCAAAGTTGAACAAACAATGCTTTTGGATACCCTATATCTGCTCCCTGGCCAAACCCTATATGGAAGTCGAAACATCAGGGAGACGGGATGAAAATGTTGCACCTTAAATCTGTCCTTCCCCCACAGTGTGCACTGGATCAGGTCACGTGTCTCAGCTGAAGCTATGTGAGCTGCGTTCAATTGCTGACCGACAGTCACTGCGGATGTCCAGGAACGCTATCAACTCTGGAGTAAATAGACACATTTTGGACCATCAGGAGACCAGGTAACCATTGCAACATTCAAGCAATGTTTGATGACTCAAATCTTTGTAGCACAATGACCTTTTAGAAAATGCTCTGACTCTGTCCCCAATTACCATATGAGAGGCTTCGTGAATGAGTTCCCCCTCAATTTATACCAAAAATGGGTGCCTAAAATAGCTCCTAGCTGATGAGTTTGCAAAAAATGGCTTCAAGGTTTGTGCCAAAAGATGCACAAGTACACGGATATGGCATTGGCACTGTACAGGTTGTTGTGATCGACTACTACAACAGTGATTCTCTTCCCCCTGATGCCTTGAATGTCAGTAGTTTTGACCGATGCCCCTATTGGTATCGCATGCTCTAACCCATGTGCATGTCCACTCACAGGATAAAACATTCAACTTCAGGGGGTGGCTTGCCATACATGGCGCTGAGGTGACCTACCTGCCCCTCAACAAGGTCATCGCCGCGCTTATAGAGGAAGGCATCACCAGTTTCAGGGCCACTCGTTACTGCTTTGGCAGTCAGTCTCCTGTAAGGATTGCATATCCTCTACACACCAATTACACTTCGAAACGAAGACGATGTGGCTCCGTTACTCTTCGCATCCGAGTTACGTGGGTACAAGCTTCCATTTTCATTTCCTTTTACAATCTTACCTTGTGCTCACACTTCACAATCCCTTTCCTGGACCAAGTATTTTCACTTCACCATATGCTCTTCACACCGATTCCGGCCTAGTTAACCATTCGAAAACATATATATACCACCCACATACACTCATACCTATAGCGAAGTCATAGCAGAATCCTAGACGCTGATTCCCCACCCCAAGCACGACCGAAAAGCATCACACATAGTCCTCGCCTTATACATTTATTTCCTACTTGTCTCAATTACCTTTGCACTCATCACTTATCATTATCATTCCGCTCCAATTCCCCTTCAAACTAACTATCAGCCTTACACTCCCCATTCCATCCTCTTGACTCAATGTTTTTTTTTGTTGGAAATCAACCTGTCAACATAGTATAACTTTTCTCTTTTTGTTTCGGACCCACCCTTGGCAGCACTTTTCGGTGCCTATAAAGGTCTAAGAGACCTGGTTTCTATGTTATGGGAAACTAGTCTCTGAGATCCACCCTCCCGCTGTCTAATGACAGTTCATGCCCTCACATTTCCTTGCGGGCCTCCTGCACCTCCCTGCATGCCTCTATTACCCTCCCACTTCTAGCACACCATCTAATTATAGTTCATGCTCTCACATTAATTCCCTCGCAGGATTCCATGGTTACATACATTTTCTATCATCCGAAAATGGTAATTTTTAGTACTACCTTCAAAAACATGACCCAAATTGGCAATTCCAAGATATGAATGTTTTCTGTCTATGCCAAACTTCACCCTGCTCTTCCCTGTGTAATAGGCTTGTATATATCATGTGGCTTAGCTAGTATACACCAAATAGAACATATCTGAGAAGGCTTGACCGCTTTTACAGCCCATGGGCATCACCTGATGACAAATGTCATTAGAATAAAATAACAGTGAAAAATGCGACCATATGACAACCAAAAGATGTTCCCAGGCATAGAGATATTGTATTAATGTTCCTGAGATATATCTGAGCATATATCATCGCTGTATCAGGGTATTTATATGTTCTACAGTAGTCTCTCAGAAAAATACACAAAATCGCTTTTTGTTGTTTTTATGTATTACAACACAGTGTACATGAGGCTCTTTGCTTATTTATATGTTCTATATGATATATATCATGCATTGATACAGTACTTATGCTGCAGTATGCTAGATATCTGTTGTACCAGGCATAGGGGTGATCTAAGGAGACATATGTTTTGGGAGAGGAATAAGACATATACCGGAGGTCTGAGACCTGAAGCATGTATTAAATAGTACTAAAATGCTATTACTATAAGCTGAAGCTTCCAGATGTTGATCTAAGTGCTGTGGAAGCAAAGTATATGTTGGAGATGCGTGGGAAAGTATGTAAAACATATGGTTGAAACATAAAAACATGTCATACTGCACTACACAAGACCTCCTATGGTATAATACACACATGATATGAGAGACTGACCTCAGAAATACCATTTACAACAGTCTTGAAGTGTTGCAGGTTGGGTTTGCAGGTATACGTGCAAATTTCACATTTCTTGCATAGATGCACATTAGGCTATACAGTGGACCAGTGGTTCACACAAAATTTCGAGTTTTTGGTGTCTAGGCATATATATCTATGCAAGAAATGTGAAATTTGCATGTATACCTGCAAACCCAACCTGCAACACTTCAAGACTGTTGTAAATGGTATTTCTGAGGTCAGTCTCTCATATCATGTGTGTATTATACCATAGGAGGTCTTGTGTAGTGCAGTATGACATGTTTTTATGTTTCAACCATATGTTTTACATACTTTCCCACGCATCTCCAACATATACTTTGCTTCCACAGCACTTAGATCAACATCTGGAAGCTTCAGCTTATAGTAATAGCATTTTAGTACTATTTAATACATGCTTCAGGTCTCAGACCTCCGGTATATGTCTTATTCCTCTCCCAAAACATATGTCTCCTTAGATCACCCCTATGCCTGGTACAACAGATATCTAGCATACTGCAGCATAAGTACTGTATCAATGCATGATATATATCATATAGAACATATAAATAAGCAAAGAGCCTCATGTACACTGTGTTGTAATACATAAAAACAACAAAAAGCGATTTTGTGTATTTTTCTGAGAGACTACTGTAGAACATATAAATACCCTGATACAGCGATGATATATGCTCAGATATATCTCAGGAACATTAATACAATATCTCTATGCCTGGGAACATCTTTTGGTTGTCATATGGTCGCATTTTTCACTGTTATTTTATTCTAATGACATTTGTCATCAGGTGATGCCCATGGGCTGTAAAAGCGGTCAAGCCTTCTCAGATATGTTCTATTTGGTGTATACTAGCTAAGCCACATGATATATACAAGCCTATTACACAGGGAAGAGCAGGGTGAAGTTTGGCATAGACAGAAAACATTCATATCTTGGAATTGCCAATTTGGGTCATGTTTTTGAAGGTAGTACTAAAAATTACCATTTTCGGATGATAGAAAATGTATGTAACCATGGAATCCTGCGAGGGAATTAATGTGAGAGCATGAACTATAATTAGATGGTGTGCTAGAGGCTATTGGGAGGGTTAATAGAGGCATGCAGGGAGGTTGTAGGAGGCACACAGGGAGGTGCAGGAGGCCTGTGAGGGAATGTGAGAGCATGAACTATAATTAGATGGTGTGCTAGAGGCTATTGGGAGGGTTAATAGAGGCGCGCAGGGAGGTTGTAGGAGGCATGCAGGGAGGTGCAGGAGGCCCGCAAGGAAATGTGAGGGCATGAACTATAATTAGATGGCGGGAGGGTGGGTCTCAGACACTAGTTTCCCATAACATAGAAACCGGGTCTCTTAGACCTTTATAGGCACCAAAAAGTGCTGCCTGAGATGCAGGGAGGTGCAGGAGGCCTGCGAGGAAATGTGAGGGCATGAACTATAATTAGATGGCAGGAGGGTGGGTCTCAGAGACTAGTTTCCCATAACACAGAAACCAGGTCTCTTAGACCTTTATAGGCACCGAAAAGTGCTGCCTGAGGTGTTTGGACCTTTGCTCACTACCCCAGCGGACTTACCATATATAGTAATTCCACGTACCATAGATTCGCTACGCTCGTTTCTCTCTTTTCCCCAGTCTCTTTTACTGTCGACTGGGGACTTACCGAGTCCTGTCTACTTAGACGTCTACCGTCTTTTATTTTTTACCACAGGTAGATATATATTTGTTCTTGCATTCGAAAAAGCCATCCAATGTGCCGTCATCACTCACCCCTCACTCTTAGAAGTCCCCAAAGACCTTGAGGCACCACCCATCATTCTTACAGGATTCCCCCGCTGACCCCGCTCTTCTATACATACTTCACAAAAGCAAAAGCACCTCTCCTTATCAATGCATGCGAGAACGATAGGTTGTTCCCTGTGGAATCCCAAGTGAAGGCCGGTGAGATTTTTGGCGATGGGAAGTTTGCTCCAGGGTACAGGCTCGAGTATTTCCCTGATTGCACACATGGGTTTGCTGTGAGTGGGGATATGACTGACCCACTTTTCAAGGCTGGGAAGGAGGGATCGTGCAGGGCTAGCATGGGGTTCTTCCTGATGTACCTGTGAGGTGTCGAGGGCACCAACTTCATGTCTTCACCGGCCCCTGCGAAGCAAGAAGAAATCAGCGACTTGATCCAAATTCAATGTTCAATCACAAATGTAAAAATTGTATGACATATTGCGATTGTCCACTGTAGCCACGTCGCTAGCCGTGCGAGCATGCCAGGAATATCACAGCGTATGCAGGTCAATATAGGAAGCTTCCAATGTCATCATCATGGTGGTTGACATTCTCGAATTCGTCGATCACGTAGTTCAATTAATCAAGAGATCTAAGACTCCCACAGAATGTTTTCGTCCAAGAACATTAAAAGGTATCACGATTCATTGGCTATCCTGAGTGCACGCTAAGCTTTACATATGGAAAATGCGGGGTTCGTGATTAATAATGTGAAGGACGTAGTCACATCATGTATCAATAGAACATTGTATCAAGTCCATGCTGGTATCACAATAGAAGCGAAAGTAGAACTGAAATATCTGGCGAACATCCCCTCTAGCAGCAGAAACACGACCGGCCGCCTCCATGGTCTCCAGCGTTGATATGCACTGCTGCGGCTTGCTGTTGTGAATTGGTGTCTGGTAGAGAATCTTCATCACGTTCCAGGTCATTGTTGAGGAGCTGGCTAGGAGCACCCGCTGCAGCATTGCGCTGTAAATTTATGCATGAGACATTAAAGATGCAGTGATAAAAATCGAGGGAGAGCACCTCTTGACCCTGCGCATAGGGAACGTCAACGACGTGTGGTGCTGCATGATTGGTGCGCCAGGTTAGTAGATATCTCAGATGGGATCTGAAGGTGGTGGCAGAGGTGGCACAGGCTTGCGTAGTGGGCGGCACCGGCGTAGGAGCTGAATGAGGGGTCTTTGTCACAGCGGCCCTGAGTCTCTTGAGGCGTCCTTGGCGCTGCTGAGGTCGTGATCGCGAAGTTTGAGGATACTGTAATGAATAATACATGAGTGAGAAAAAAATGTATGCACTGTTGCACACACGTCATGTATTCCCAAGCCCCTTCAGTGAATTCACCCGTCTCAGACGGGCAGCCGGGCGTGACAATGTACCAATAGAGACGGGCCACCCGGTGCCGGCCCATGGCAATAATTGTACCGTGTTAGACGAGTGGGCCGAGGGGGTGGAGTGTCCAAGGCAAACGGATGGGCCGGGTGTATATAGTATAGATGGTAGTATAGCAATGTACTATATAGGAAATTATGAATAGTAGTAGTGAATCCAGTGTGTGATAGATGAGTGGGCCGGAGGAATGGAGTGCAATATAGACGAGTGGGCCGGGGAACTGGGGTGTGATGGAGACGAGTGGGCCGGTAAATGAGGTGCAATGGAGACGAGTGGGCCGGTACATAAGGTGCAATGAAGACGAGGGGGCCAGAGAATAGGGTGCAATTGAGACGAGTGGGCCGGTATAGCAGGTGCAATGGAGACGGGTGGGCCGGTATAGCAGGTGCAATGGAGATGGGTGGGCCGGTAAATATGGTGCAATTAAGACGAGTGGGCCGGTATAGCAGGTGCAATGGAGACGGGTGGGCCAGTATAGCAGGTGCAATGGAGACGGGTGGGCCGGTAAAGGAGGTGCAATGAGGACGAGTCGGCCGGTGTTATTGGGTGCAATGAAGACGAGTCGGCCGGTGATATGGGGTGCAATGAAGACGAGCTGGCCGGTGATATGGGGTGCAATGAAGACGAGTAGGCCAGTGATATGGGGTGCAATGAAGACGGGTGGGCCGGTATTATAGGGCGCAATGGAGATGGGTGGGCCGGTGATATAGGGTGCAATGAAGACGAGTGGGCCGGTGATATGGGGTGCAATGAAGATGGGTGGGCCGGCATGATAGGGTGCAATGGAGACGGGTGGGCCGGTATTATGGGGTGCAACAACGACCGGTATTTATGTAACCGGTTGCTTGTGGTAACATAGCACTCAATTCGGCGATTCCACCAGTGGTCTGATCATGTAAAATGGTTAAGATTTGACAAAGTTATGAGCCCTACAAGGGAACACCATAAATTTAGAGGATATTATGATATATTGTATCTAGACCATTGCAACCGGTATTTTTTGACCGGTATTTACATGACCGGTTGCTTGTGGTAACATAGCACTCAATCCGGTGATTCCACCGGTGGTCTGACCATGTAACATAGTTAAGATTTGACAAAGTTAGGAGCCTTACAAGAGAAAGTCACAAAGTCAGAGGATATATCATATCTAGACCATTGTGACCGGGATTTTTCAACCGGTAGTTATGTGACCAGTTGCTAGTGGTGACATAGCACTCAGTCCGGTGATTCCACCGGTGGCCTGACCATGTAAAATGGTTAAGATTTGACAAAGTTATGAGTCTTACAACAAGAGAAAGTGACAATTTCAGAGGATATATCATGTCTAGACCATTGTGTCCGGTATTTATGTGACCGGTTGTTTATAGTAAAACATAGCACTCAATCTGGTGATTCCACTGGTGGTCTGACCATGTAAAATGGTAAATATTTGACAAAGTTATGAGCCCTACAAGAGAAAGCCATAAATTTAGAGGATATTATGATGTATTGTATCTAGACCATTGCAACCGGTATTTTTTGACCGGTATTTACGTGACCGGTTGCTTGTGGTAATGTAGCACTCAATCCGGTGATTCCACCGGTGGTCTGACCATGTAAAATGGTTAAGATTTGACAAAGTTATGAGCCTTACAACAAGAGAAAGTGACAATTTCAGAGGATATATCATGTCTAGACCATTGTGACCGGTATTTATGTGACTGGTTGTTTCTAGTAACAGTACTCAATCCGGTGATTTCACCGGTGGTCTGATCATGTAAAATGGTTAATATTTGACAAAGTTATGAGTGCTACAAGAAAAAGTCACAAATTCACTGGCAGAGGATATATGATATCTAGACCATTGTGACCAGATTGCAAGTTATGACGTTGTGGTAGCATAGCACTCAATCCGGTGATTCCACCGGTGGTCTGATCATGTAAAATGGTTAATATTTGACAAAGTTATGAGTGCTACAAGAAAAAGTCACAAATTCACTGGCAGAGGATATATGATATCTAGACCATTGTGACCGGGATTTTTCAACCGGAAGTTATGTGACCGGTTGCTTGTGGTAACATAGCACTCAATCCGGCGATTTTACCGGTGGTCTGATCATGTAAAATGGTCAAGATTTGACAAAGTCATGAGCCCTACAAGAGAAAGTCATGAATTTAGAGGATATATGATATCTAGACCATTGTGACTGGTATTTTTTGACCGGTAGTTATGTGACCGGTTGCTTGTGGTAACATAGCACTCAATCCAGCGATTTTACCGGTGGTCTGATCATGTAAAATGGTCAAGATTTGACAAAGTTATGAGCCTTACAAGAGAAAGCCACACATTCAGAGGATATTATGATATATTGTATCTAGACCATTGTAACTGGTATTTTTTGACCGGTATTTATGTGACCGGTTGCTTGTGGTAACATAGCACTCAATCCGGTGATTCCACCGGTGGTCTGACCATGCAAAATCATTAAGATCTGACAAACTTATGAGCCTTACAAGATAAAGCCACAGATTTAGAGGATGTTATATCTAGACCATTGTGACCGGTATTTTTGTGAACAGTTGCTTGCAGTAATATAGTACTCAATCTGGTGATTCCACCGGTAGTCTGATCATGTAAAATGGTTAAGATTTGATAAAGTTCTGAGCCTTATAAGACCAAGTCATAAATTCAAAGGATACAGTGTTGTATCAGCTTATATCTGGACCATTGTAATCAGTATTTTTGCAACCGGTTGCTTGTGGTAATGTAGCACTCAATCAGGGGATTCCATTTTGCCCCTTTGATAGGAGAGTGTTCTAGCACTGTCAAAACATATTTAGGAGTATATATTAACATATTCCACCACTTAGTTGACCCCCTGAAGGGCTACATCAAACAATATAGCATATATACATGAAAACATAACTGATAAGAACCCTCCAACACTATCAAGGATGTTATTGGTAATCAGACACTTGGGATATGTCCCATGTATATCCCTAGTCATGGTCCTAAAATTCTGGAAAGATCCCTCAAGTATTGACGGTAAGATAAGTAAAACAACATAGGCTTGACATATGACAATTTACCCCTGTCACTGAAAGTCACTGACACATATCACACACACCAAAGATTTTATTAAAAATGCAGTAGTATGTATAGTAGACTACATAATGAACCTAAAATACACATTGCCCTGAAGGTAAAGTCTTTGTAGAAGAGTGTGGTGAGGAAATATTAGGATTGGTAAGTAAAAGTCCAACCACTACATATACACCAAACTGGTGAGTTTCGATGTTTTGGGCTTTTGGACTTTCCCACACTCTATTTCAGAGATATTTCACTGCCCTAGCTCTCAACTGTTAGTGGATCCTTTTATAAATCTGAGACCATGATATTGACCATGCTTAGAATATATTGCAAGCATCTGATTACTAGATTGTGTCCATTGGAGAATGTAGGCCCCTTATCAGTACACATACCCCCTTTCCCTTAGATAACAATATTATACCATATTTCTAACTGATCCTTGGGATGAGAAGTAGGTATATATGTAGTAAGGATAATATATGAGTAGTCTGGATCATTTATGCAATGGTAAAGTAGGGGAAAACACCAAAAATGTGACAACTGCAATCTTAGAAGTTTTAGCCTGTATAGAAGGATTCTGTAGGTATCCTGATGTACCAACCTGGTGTACATACTCTAAATCTGTCTAGGAATGGTCCCCATATCATTCTGCAGCTGTGTTCCTGTAGGAAAACCTTTCCCAGAGGATGGACCACCAGGAGAGGGTGAGTACACAGCATCACAAGGTTTTGTCTGTGGATGTTAAGGTCATGCTCAAAGGAAGGAGAACTCAAAGGGCTTGACTTCAGCTTGTGTGCTGCACCCCTTACCCAAGTATGTGCCCTTAATTTATGAGAGGCAGGAGGGAAGTCCAACAAAGTCCAGAGGTTTCCGGAGGTCAGACACTAGGGGAGTTCGGCAGAACTCCAGAGGTTCAAGGAAACCCAGAGTAAGACTGCTGTGGACAAGTCTGGAGTAGAAATGGAACAGAGGTAAACTACCCTAAGGTAGAGCTGGAGACACACTGGTCTAGATATAACATATCCTCTGAATGTGTGGCTTTCTCTTGTAAGGCTCATAACTTTGTCAAATCTTGACCATTTTACATGATCAGACCACCGGTAAAATCGCTGGATTGAGTGCTATGTTACCACAAGCAACCGGTCACATAACTACCGGTCAAAAAATACCAGGTCACAATGGTCTAGATATCATATATCCTCTAAATTCATGACTTTCTCTTGTAGGGCTCATGACTTTGTCAAATCTTGACCATTTTACATGATCAGACCACCGGTAAAATCGCCGGATTGAGTGCTATGTTACCACAAGCAACCGGTCACATAACTTCCGGTTGAAAAATCCCGGTCACAATGGTCTAGATATCATATATCCTCTGCCAGTGAATTTGTGACTTTTTCTTGTAGCACTCATAACTTTGTCAAATATTAACCATTTTACATGATCAGACCACCGGTGGAATCACCGGATTGAGTGCTATGCTACCACAAGCAACTGGTCACAATGGTCTAGATATCATATATCCTCTGCCAGTGAATTTGTGACTTTTTCTTGTAGCACTCATAACTTTGTCAAATATTAACCATTTTACATGATCAGACCACCGGTGAAATCACCGGATTGAGTACTGTTACTAGAAACAACCAGTCACATAAATACCGGTCACAATGGTCTAGACATGATATATCCTCTGAAATTGTCACTTTCTCTTGTTGTAAGGCTCATAACTTTGTCAAATCTTAACCATTTTACATGGTCAGACCACCGGTGGAATCACCGGATTGAGTGCTACATTACCACAAGCAACCGGTCACGTAAATACCGGTCAAAAAATACCGGTTGCAATGGTCTAGATACAATACATCATAATATCCTCTAAATTTATGGCTTTCTCTTGTAGGGCTCATAACTTTGTCAAATATTACCATTTTACATGGTCAGACCACCAGTGGAATCACCAGATTGAGTGCTATGTTTTACTATAAACAACCGGTCACATAAATACCGGACACAATGGTCTAGACATGATATATCCTCTGAAATTGTCACTTTCTCTTGTTGTAAGACTCATAACTTTGTCAAATCTTAACCATTTTACATGGTCAGGCCACCGGTGGAATCACCGGACTGAGTGCTATGTCACCACTAGCAACTGGTCACATAACTACCGGTTGAAAAATCCCGGTCACAATGGTCTAGATATGATATATCCTCTGACTTTGTGACTTTCTCTTGTAAGGCTCCTAACTTTGTCAAATCTTAACTATGTTACATGGTCAGACCACCGGTGGAATCACCGGATTGAGTGCTATGTTACCACAAGCAACCGGTCATGTAAATACCGGTCAAAAAATACCGGTTGCAATGGTCTAGATACAATATATCATAATATCCTCTAAATTTATGGTGTTCCCTTGTAGGGCTCATAACTTTGTCAAATCTTAACCATTTTACATGATCAGACCACTGGTGGAATCGCCGAATTGAGTGCTATGTTACCACAAGCAACCGGTTACATAAATACCGGTCGTTGTTGCACCCCATAATACCGGCCCACCCGTCTCCATTGCACCCTATCATGCCGGCCCACCCATCTTCATTGCACCCCATATCACCGGCCCACTCGTCTTCATTGCACCCTATATCACCGGCCCACCCATCTCCATTGCGCCCTATAATACCGGCCCACCCGTCTTCATTGCACCCCATATCACTGGCCTACTCGTCTTCATTGCACCCCATATCACCGGCCAGCTCGTCTTCATTGCACCCCATATCACTGGCCGACTCGTCTTCATTGCACCCAATAACACCGGCCGACTCGTCCTCATTGCACCTCCTTTACCGGCCCACCCGTCTCCATTGCACCTGCTATACTGGCCCACCCGTCTCCATTGCACCTGCTATACCGGCCCACTCGTCTTAATTGCACCATATTTACCGGCCCACCCATCTCCATTGCACCTGCTATACCGGCCCACCCGTCTCCATTGCACCTGCTATACCGGCCCACTCGTCTCAATTGCACCCTATTCTCTGGCCCCCTCGTCTTCATTGCACCTTATGTACCAGCCCACTCGTCTCCATTGCACCTCATTTACCGGCCCACTCGTCTCCATCACACCCCAGTTCCCCGGCCCACTCGTCTATATTGCACTCCATTCCTCCAGCCCACTCATCTATCACACACTGGATTCACTACTACTATTCATAATTTCCTATATAGTACATTGCTATACTACCATCTATACTATATACACCCGGCCCATCTGTTTGCCTTGGACACTTCACCCCCTCGGCCCACTCGTCTAACACGGTACAATTATTGCCATGGGCCGGCACCGGGTGGCCCGTCTCTATTGGTACATTGTCACGCCCAGCTGCCCGTCTGAGACGGGTATATGTTACTGCATTATGTGTATTCCCCGGAAGAAATCTGGTTCTGTGTCGTAGCCCTCTTGATCTTGCCCGGGGATCTCCATCTGGATGACCATCATTAACGAAAGGGATGAGGAAAGGAGCAAGTATGCGAAGAATGTCGTTGGTCGCAGCGAGCGCGCTGCATTCTTCCTTAAAAGCTGAGTGAAATGTAGGTGAGGATTATTGTATGGGGTAATAAAGACCTACCATTGGACCAATCAAGGTAACTGGCCTTCGTAGTTTCATCAATGGTGTCCATCATGGATTGGTGTGCTTCGAGGGCTTCTTTGACTTTACCTGCTGAAAGCAAAGCCTGGCAGAGTTTCTGGCTTGCAGTCAGCCACATGGACTCGAGGTCCCATCCAAAGAGCTGCACAAAACACGGAGTTCGCGTGAGAAGCATGTTCGGGTGAATCACATTGACGTACCACCACCAAGTCGTCGTATATAGTTGGGATGGTTGAGAAAGCACTGGAGTTGACAGCGGCAGCGAAGTGGCCAGCAGCTTCTTCATGCCGTGCGCCATCTGAGGCATTGATTCCCAGTTGAATAGACAGATATGCCTGATATGCAAAGTTCAAAGCGATCAGTGTCAATGCACCAACCTTGGGTGTACATGATACTCACTTCTATGACGCGACACACAACAGTATCATTATTCGGACAAACGGAAGCTAGCTCTCGAACGCGGAGAATTGCTTCGTCATGTTCTCCTGCATTGAATATAGCGATGGCCTGAAAACTGAAATGAAGTGGGGAGTATGTAAGAAACATGTAACGTGCCTTAATCAAGAGAATGAAATGAATGATCTTTGAATCTTCGTTCACGAACATGAACGCCATGTCGAACGCTTGCATCGAGTCACGGAACTGCCCTTTTTCAGAGAGGGCAATACCTTTAGAGATATAGCCCATCAAGGAAGGCTTAATTCTGATGGACTATGTCACGATGACAGTCAGTGTTTTGTAGGGAGCTCATAATGGGTGGTCTATGTCACCTTGATTGCATCCTGAAGCGCGTCGCATTGATGTTGTCGCCCCATAACAATTGAGTGATGTGCATAGGCATGGGAGTCGTCGGCATCGGTGTCAATCTCTTGCGTGAGTAGCATTTCAGCGGTAGACAAGTCCCCGGCAATGCATGCATTGCGGATTGACGATGACATATTGATAGGGAGGATCTGCATGAAGCATGTTCGAATTGCAACATCAGAGTCAAAGACGGGAAAATGCCTTGAAATGAATGTTCTTGGGTATTTCCCACTCTGAGATCATGTTATCACCACCTCCGCTGAGGATGTGCTTGCCGTCCGTTGAAAAAGTGATGCACTTCGGCGAGGATGAGTGCTGGAAGATGGCGATAGTTCGTCGATTTGAGAGCCGCCAGAGACGGACATGGTTGTCCTCAGATGCGGAAGCGACCAGTGTACCAGCAGGGTTGATGGCAATGGCAGTGATTCTACCAGTATGGCCCATCCAGGGATCACCGACCTCCTTCCAGGTTGATGTATCCCACTCCCGTATGGTGGCACTGTCCCCTAAGAGAAGGCGTGTGCCATCAGGCGTCCACCTGAGTGAGTTGTACCAATAAATTGTGCGAGCTTTGAGTTCGAAATTTGCGACACATTCCCTTGTGCCTGAATTATAAATTTCGACGTTGCTGGCTGTTGCAATGGCAAGAATTTTGCCAGACGGCGAGTACCGGAAGCAGACGACATGATCACTACGATTGATTGGATCTCCTTGGATCTCCCATGTTTTCGTACTCCACAGTTTCACCGGATCATTGGGTCCACCAGTGGCGAGCACTGTTCCATCGGGAGAAAAATCCAATGACCAGAGCTGAGAGTGGGCTTTGATGGGCTGGGTGAGAGGTCCCCCAGTTTCTCCGTGCCAGACAATGAACTCTCCTTTGTTATCACCGCTTGCTACCAGTTGCCCATTTTGTGATACTGCCAATGCCATCACCGTATCGCCATGCCCCTCCATCTTCTTCAACACAACGCCTGTCTCCAAGTCCCACAGACGAACCGTCTTGTCCAACGAGCCGGTAACCATTCGTCGTCTATCGGGGAAAACTGCGACTGCCCGTACGGTCCACTCATGATCTTTAAACTCTCGAAGAGGTGTGGTGCTTGGAATGGGCTGCGCCATTTTACTAGAGGTCACGGTCGGGGTGGTTTTGGATCGGGGGATTGTGGGCTAAGCCGCAGAGGTACGTGTATTGTGCGTTTTACGCTGTTCGCTTCATTAAGCTGCCTTGTGTTTCCATAGACGCCCAGGACATGAGGCTGTCCGCATCCACCCATACATTGGGTTCTGTTATCCCTTCCTCGACAGTATAACGCTCTCTGCGCATCTGCACGTGGCTCCAACTTGTATCTCCACAACTCTCAACATGCGTCATCTCGCCTCCACTCGGAATTGGTCGTGACATAGTCCCTTGGTATACGGCCCTCATTGACTGGCTATATCTCCAAAGGTATCGCCCTCTGCGGAAAAGAGAATTTCGAGCATGCAACGACAGCCTTTCACCTCGCGTTCACTTTCACGGACTCAAAGACCAATAATTTACTTTTACTCTTCTTGATCAAGGCGAGTGTAATTTTTTTTGCACACTTCGCATGTCATAACGGGTTTCAGGCGATTGCACTGTTCAATGCAAATAAACATAAAGAGGCGATGTTGCGTGCCGAAGAATTGGCTGCCCGTCCCAATGCTGATGTCATTGCCTGTCGTGACGTAGGAGTGAGTAGAATGTAGCAACCAAGTCCGACAGGCACTCATTTTCTGCACTTCGTAAATTAGGCATATCTACATGACCAACTAGGCACCATTGCCTTGGAGAGGAAGGTTCACACGGAAGCTGTTGACCACTTCACCGCCGCTGTCGACGCTAACGCTGACTTTTCTAAATTGCCAATTGATTCTATGTACGAGGATTTCACTGTGGTACGTTGATGTGATGCAACCAAAGATCCTTTTTTTGCTCAAATGCCCGTTTTTGCAGCTCTTTGGGTGGGATCTCAAGTCATTGTGGCAAACCACGCACAAGCAATAGTGTCATGCACTCATTCGGGCAGGCAGACTTGGAGAAGCACTCGAATCGTACCGGAACTTAATGGACGCGAGTGATAAAGCCACGAAGGTTAGCTTACGTGCTTGGTTCTCTAGTGAGTTTTGAGTCGCGTTACGCATGCTGGTCTTCAACTACCTTTCACTTAGCTCTGGGGAAAGAACAGTGAAGGACGATGTATACTGCTGTGGAGATAGGGCTACCCCGTGCGCGGCTACATGATTGTTTTGATACTCAAGAGATCTTTGGTACAGTTACCTCAACGTTCACTGTATCCCTTTACACTCGTATCGCATATTGGCTCATAACATGAATGCAGACCAGACATTCTACTATGTTTTTACACCCAGAGTCCCTCCCCACCGCCGGTCATGAAATATATTTGCGCCATACGGCGGACTGTTCGTTCGACGTGTACCTTCTTTGATTTCTTCAACGTGAAGTCCAGTATCTGAGCACCTTCGATCGAGCAAAGTCACTGCATCCCCTACACCACGCGTCCACTCGATTAGCGTAAACCCAAAATTTCATTCCCAAGCGTGTGTATGCCACTATTTGTTAATGGTCGGACAACTACATGACGCTATCATGAGTAATTGTGAATCGATGTGATCCGCAATGCTAGAGATCGCAACCATGTGCACTATGCGATGCCAATGGACATTGTTATTGGATTTATGCTAGTCAACCAAAGGACGTCTCGTAGCATCAAGCAAGCATCTGATGGAGATCATGTTCGCTGACCGCGCGAGTTTGCGAAAAAAAATCATATGCTAACGAGACCCACGATCAGCCGCCGCGGTTGAAAAGTGCTAGTTGATAGCGCGTGCCCGATCGTGAGGGAAATCCTACTGCTGCACCTAGTTGACCTGATGTCCTTTGCGGATGCTGAGGCATCGATCGATGGGAGAAAGTAGTGTCACGCCTGTGTGTCAATTCTAGATGGATCAGATAGCACTTTCCGCGACGGAAAAGATCAGCTGCGTCAATCCTCGTCAGAATCGAGATAATTAGATAACTTGCGGACGCAACTAGTATGATTGTTGCCCAAATTCTTGCCTCATAGAACAAGCGAGACCGTTCGTAGCCTCGACATTATCACCATGAACTCCTCAGACGGACCATCGCTCAGCGAGCACACCTCTATCTTCCGCCGATTTAAATGGCAGCGGCAAGGCTGATGGTATTCGATCGGGCTTGAGGACTGCCAAGACGGTAAACCGACCGAATGCGCTATCTTTCATTTGACAACTATAAAGATCCAAGTTAGACCCGTATATAGAGGCGCTGGGAGTTACACCGTCGAGGAAGACGCGTATGATAACGGGGAGCATTCTCACTGCAGCCTTCACGGAGGTCCGGGGCCGAACGGACTGACCATGATGTCATGGGCGTCTAATGAAACATGCGGCAGCCGGGAGTTGGCGAAGCTGAAGACTAAGTTGAGCGCGAGCAAATCATCGCAAAGTGTTGGATAAAATGCGCTCTAGAATGCGGGAGTTTCAAGTTATTAGGGTGCGTCTGATGCATACACAGACCTTTAGCGTCTACGGGATGACTAGGGTGCTAGTACAGTGAGCTGAATGCATCTTGAGAAGGTGACCAATGTGTCAGATGTCGTGACCGTGCGGGACTAGTAGCAGCTCGAGGACTGATCCATCCTGCAGGATAGATGGCCGATTGCAAACTTTGGATTATAGTTTACCCATGACTGACTTCGGATAAACGCCCATTCGATGATCGACGATAGAGTTTGAATGACTGGCTATCGATTATCTTCGACATAAATTGCAAACCAGAGCAGCTAAAGCTGTACATGGCTATAGTGCGGAGCCCAGAGAAGATCAGTGGAAGCCCCGCAGCAAGCGCTGATGTGAATGGAGAGGTCATTGCCTGGCACGGAGAAACTGGGGTAACACTCGCCCAACCCATCAAAGCCCACTCCAGATCCAGTCCTGGTAATTACAGGATCTCTTTGGATTTTTCTGCAGATGGAACAGCGCTGGCCAGTGGTTCATCTGTCGACAGAACCACGAAACTGTGGAGCACGAAAACATGAGAAATCCAAGGAGATTCAATCCAGTGTAGTCGAACCGCAATATCGAAGTTTATAATCCAGGGGCGAGAGAATGTGTCGCAAATTTCAACGGTCACGCACAATTTGAATTGAACTTGTCCCTCGCGTGGACGCCCGGTGGTACACGCCTTATCTCAGGGAGAACATACGAGGACTTCATCGTGGTATGTTGAGATGACGCGACCAGAAATCCCATTCGTGCTCAAGTGCTTGCTTGTGCAACTCTTCGGCTGGGACCTCGAGTCCTTGTGGCAAACTGCAAACAAACTACTGTTCCTTGCATTACTTCGGGCAGGTGAAGTTGGGGCAGCCCTCGAAGCGTACCGATACATGATGGACATGATTGATATTGATGAACCCACGAAGGCCATTTTCCTTGTTTGGTTCAATGGCAAGTCTGCCCTAATGTCACTCGTGCTACAATCCTCACGCCCAGTGAAAACTGGACCTTACCGGAGATGCTCGTAGATGATGTGATGTGTTATTTTTTTGTATCGGAGAGAAAAACATATCAATTGGTAACGAAGTGCACTCTACGCTGGATGCTGCCCCAGCAGCGAGCAGTTCAATGTGTATTTTGGAATAGAGATTTTTGCGCCATTCTGATTCGTACCTCGACGCTACCTCTACATACTTTATACTTGTGTCCTGTAACAAAGATTATATGATCCTTAAATTCCCTCCCCACCGTCGACTATGAATCAATTGTATTTGCACAATACCGTTCCCTTCTTCGATTTCTTCGACTCCACGATTTGACAAAAGATGCAAGTTAAACCGAGGAGTGACACCGTCGATTAAGATGTGTACTATAACGGAGACCATTCTTGTTGCAGCTTCATGGAAGTGCGTTCCCGGACAGCCTCATTATGATGTCATCAGCGTCTGATGAAACACGTTGCAGGTCAATGTTGTCAAGCCGCATCAAAAGGCCCAGTGGAGGCTCATCTCGGCCGGGACTGATATGCGTATTTGAATATTGGTTATATATCGCCACCACGCAAAACCAGACAAGGCAGCGTTTAGAATTGTCCCCGAACAGGACATCGACAAGTAAACGTCAGGTCAACAAAGAAGCCCTTCGATCCTTCGATCCTGCCACTGATTGTCGACCCGGATATATGGGAGAGATGATACCTAATCAGTGAACACACACAGATCTAGGAAGTCAACTGGATGAACGAGGTAATAGTACAGTGAGTTAAGGTCGTGGGGGGATGGACAGGGAGCAATGTCATACGCTAGATGTGGCCTCTCTGAGACGCCGCATGGTGATATGCTGGAGTACGTACTTAACATGAGGGCATAATTCATGCATCCCGCAGGATATGTGATGATCGCGGCACTGATGCTATTCCAAAGTGCTTGAGCACAGCCAGCCAAATTCGAAGGTGATCTGGGACATAATGAGTGACACCCCACGCTAAAAATTGCAATTGAAAAGCTACGGAAACTGAAATGAAATCCGTGTGCAGGGGTACTTAGCGACAGGGAGGTACAGTGCCGAGCAAAACACGTATGATAGGAGAGTGCGCCTGCAGCCTTTGCAGGGAATGATGGCTAACAGCCTCCAAAATGTCCTGGGACACTGAGGTAGGTGATCGCTGAAGCAGCATAAACATGCCGTACACGAGTCTCAGCAGCTTCAAGCAAGATACGCACAGTCTCTGCAGCAGGTCATCCTACGGTAACCCGAGGAGTACCGACTTCATTATCCTAATTTGACACGAGGCGATGCGTTTTGAGAGCCGCGGGGACACGAGTTAAACCCACGTGCAAAGGCGCAGGGACTTAAAGACTTGCTGTTTGATGGAGGTGTGGAAGCCAACAGGTCGTGTCCTGCTGGTCCCGATACACGAGGTAAGCAGCATAAAAATGGATAGTAAACGCACTTCTGCGGCTGTAAGAGAGTCACGATTCTTACCAGAAAGTCCACTTCGACCTAGTTCAAAATCATCAACTTCGAGCAGAATGGAGAAAGAAGCAGCGCAATCCATCACTCTAAATAACACACCCACTCGGACGTTTGAGAATCATGAAAAAGGCGTACCCGCAGTCGCAGTCTTTCCCGACAGACAACGTATGGTGACGACCTCGGTAGAGGGGACGCTGCATCTGTGGAACTTGAAGGACGGTGTTCCGTTGAAGAAAATGGAGGGGCATCACAGCTGGGTGCTCGGAGTGGCGTTGCCACGGGACGGACGAATGATAGCAAGTGGTGATGAAAATGGAGAGGTCATCGCCTGGGACGGAAACACTGGCGAGTCTCTCGTCCAAACCATCAAAGCCCACTCCACAACGATCTACTCGCTGGATTTTTCTCCAGACGGCACAGTTCTAGCAACTGGTTCATTTGACCAAACGACGAAACTGTGGAACACAGAAACCTGGGAGCTGTTAGGAAATCCAATCGATTGCGGTTATAATATCAGCTGCGTTCGGTATTCGCCGTCTGGCGAACATCTTGTCATCGCAACATTCAAAGATTTCCAAATTTATGAACCGGGCACGAGGGAATGCATCGCAAAGTTCAAGGGTCACGCTTCTTCAGAAAATACCGTGAACTCGGCACTCGCCTGGACGCCCGATGGCACACGCCTTCTCTCAGCGGGCTATAGTGATTCTAACATACGAGAGCAGAACCCCACTATATCAGAGTGGGATAACACTATACGGGAGTGGGACCCATCCACCTGGCAGCAGGTCGGTAAGCCCTGGGAGGGCCACACTGATGGCATCGTCGCCATCGCTGTGAACCATGCTGGGACTCTGGTCGCCTCCGCATCTATAGACAAGCACGTCCGCCTCTGGCGGCTCTCAGATAGACGAACCATCGCTATTTTCCAGCACTCCTACACAGTGGCCTGCGTCACCTTCTCTATCGATGACAAGCACATCCTCACCGGAAGTGTTCGTGATACGAAGATCATAGAGTGGGCAGTTCCAGAGGACGCTTTGCTGGAGGATACCTCTGAGGAACATGACTCAGGGTCGAACAAGGTATGTTCGTGTTGAATTTCTGTCCTTGTGTCTTCTTAGGCTGTGTGTAGGACATCCCACGCATCACCAACGAAGTCGTGCATCACTCGTTACAGTATTCTCAACCTTCCCAGTCACAACCTCAACAGCGCACGGAGCGACTCGTAACAGTGAGAAGCCTCCGTTCAGCTCCACCACCACCACCACCACCACCACCCACCGCCCTATCCTCTCCCACCGCTCCCATCACGTTAAAAACCCGCATACGACACCTATTCGCATGGCGGCCCAATCATGCAGCGTCCCCTGTCGCCGATGTCGGTAAATTGGTGAGCCCGGTTGATTGTTATCACTTTGTCTTTCAGGTCTCATGCATAAATTTACAGCGCAATGCTGCAACGGGTGCTCCTAGCAATGACCATGATTTGATATCTGATGAATATTTCGATGATCCGCCACAGGCCAATTCACAGCAGCAACCCGCGGCAGCACAGATCACTACCAGAGAACATGGAAGTAGCTGGACGTGTTGCTGCTTCTAGAGGAGTTTTGCGGACATGCCCCGGTATCTCGGTTCTAATTATAGTCCAGCCTAATGTACTTGAAGCATGTACTTGTGGCGGTATTGATAGGTGCGACTACATCGCTTTGGATGACTTATCGTAAGCAAGCTAACTACGAACATCGAATACTCTATATATAAAGCTCAGCGTACGTGGTGTCGGGCTCCTTAAGCCGTATTAAACCTGCTCTTTGCCGATGTTGACGGGGAATTGAGAAGACGAACCAGCTTAACCATCGCTGGCACACAGGGTTGGCGGCACGGCTACTTTAACACCCCAGCTGGACAACAAAGTCTCTCCATATGAGTCTCTTAAATCAGCTCGTACGGGTGATCATGCATTCCAAGCAAACAAATTGGAAAACGCCAGCCTCTAATGATTGGATTGGAGGGGCACTTGCTATGCGGTCCTCCCCTAATCGAGCGCTGCTAGCTGACACAATCTGAGGATAGGGCATGCTTGCAAAACGTCAAATGCGTGTTCGCAAACGGACTTGTCGCTAAACCGTTCTTCTCAATCGATAGTGTATCTAATATGCCGACGCGAGGAAGTCGTCATCGATGACTGCCTTGCCGTTATTAGGTTTCATCTCGCCTGAATCCTGATAGATGATGTTTGATTCCTGTAACATAGTTTGTACCTGGCACCGAATGACGATGTATTACTGTAGCGACTGTAGCCTGACGCACGACATCAACCCTAATCACAAGCACCGAATAATAAAAGTCATAGATCATGCGTCCGTGCCTCTATCGTAGGATGTAAAAGATAGGGGGTATCGCTACCAAAATCTGTTGCTGTCCGGGGGTAAACCCTGCGCCATACGCAGCATCACAACGTTCGAGGTCAGACTCGACCACTGTAACAGAACACTCGTCAGTTTTGCACCAGCAGACAAGCCACAGCAGCTCTTACCCCATTTCCGATCAACACTTCAGCTCTTTGGGCCACAAACATATCCAACGCCTGCGCCACAAATTTCTGCTCCCATGTGATGTCGAGATCGCGGCTGCTCCGAACCTGGTCCCAATTCGCAGAGCTCGCCAAAGCGTCTTTCAGTTCCTCGACCCAAGCGACTGCGCCGTTGGTCATGATGTAGATATGCGTCAGCGGCCATTCCGACTCAACGCGCACTTGCATGACTTTCTGGACGATTTGCTCGATCGTGGGAAAGCATCGCCGCATATACATCTGCATATTCTTGTCCGATGTCTCACCCCATCCACCATCAGTGGGCCTTTGGAATTGGTCGGAGAACTCAGGGAACATATTGAACGCATTCCAGTTTGATGACCATTTGCCCAGGTGGACGCAGTGGCCCTGGAAGTCACCCCTCCGCACGTGTAGCGCTAGGAGGCCAGGTATCGGCTGTGAGTAGTTTTCCGACACAGAACTGGAGAACCCTTCAAAAAGGGTAGGTTTTACATTTGGCACGAAGATGTGGCGATTTCTTCGGTATGCATCGTGAATTAAAGGCGACCAACCCCAATGCGTTGCCACCGTGTCATCCTTGAGGTATGGCCAAATGCTCAGCATTCTCTTGTGTCCAAATATCCTACGCGACGTTTAGCGTCTTCCGCTAGTCATTCATAGACGATGTATATGACTCACCAGTACTCGAAAATCGCATCACTCTGCGCGTCAATTTCCAGACATGGGTCTTCAATCGAAGTGACTTTTTCGATCCACTTTTCGAATAAAAGTGAGGCAGGCACGTTCTCGTCGAATCGCATACTATCATCGTTCACTTCCGACACGTGAAGGACTGTCGGATTCGGGCAGACTTTGCGGAAGAAATCTTTTGAGACCGCGCGAGGAGTGGGGTCCCCGGGTGGCATTTCACCACCTACCATAACACCTAGAAGAGTCTGTATCAGTCAAGTGTACACGTGGATGTTGACCATGTTGTACTTGCCGCCCAACAGCGCTGTCAAGGGAATCCGAGAGGGAATCAAATGTCCATTATAGTCCGAAAAAACCGAGCCATCTGGATTCCAGACGTAGTCATCAAAGACATAACTATACATTTTCGAGAAACAAAATCAGGCATGTTGGAAGCGCGCAAGAGTGTACAAAGTACACGAAAGAATGGAAACTGACGAGCGTCCTGAGGCATGGGCAAGCAGCCCATTCATCACATAGTCCTGCATCACATTTCCCCATCCCGAGCCTGTCACAGGCACAGTCAATGTGTGATCGATGGAAGCAAAAAAATATTACCTACTTTTCGCATGGTTGGCTGACCAAAGATATTTCACATCCTTCCTTGTTTGATACTCCGTGTAGTGCTCCAAATGTTGCTCCCGCTCTCGATACTCCTTGTACAATGGTGGTGGTCGATTATTATTGTAGAAGTAAGTCTGTACAAGTTCACGGTGATAAAATATTCCAGGGAGCACAAAACACAACAAGATGGCCAGGATCAAAAACCGTGTGCCACGCTTCGTGAGGCCACATGATGGCATTGCAGTGGAAGGAGACGTCCTTGAAGACGAGAAGGGGGAGGCGTGCCACTGGCAGCAGGGTAGACGCGCAATCCAAACAGTCGGAAGAATTAAAAGAAAGCGAAGGTGGGGAGGGTATGTATAGTTAATAAAAGTTGGCCGTGGAAGCCGTGAGGTCATTTCAGGCTTTAATCAGAATACCGGACACGCTGCGCACATCATGCGGCCGTGTACAGCTCTTTTCACTTTGCGGTGTCGTAATATCGCGGCATAGCGCAACGAGGGTTCTGATCACTTGAAAAACGATACGCCTAGTGCGTCTTCTGATTTGGCGGTAACAACGCTAGCGATCTGCTGCGCTTGAATTTGACAGGCCGCAGCAAGCAGTTTTTTTCGAAACGAACTTGCTTGGATGCCTATTTAAATTTTGATTGTTGCAAAAAATAGTTCCATTCTAAATTCGGTAGCAGTCATGGGTTCTGGAATCTAGAAGACCATCACATCACATTGGCAACGCATGAACGCATGACCATTGGCTGAAGTTATTCTAATGCTACAGCATGTACTGAGTACCAGAAGTATTCCATTCCATAACATGTAATGACAAGAAACAGCGGGAAGAACAGTCAGTAAGTTACAGTTACAATTAGTAATGTGTCAGAAAGTTTCCATCATGATCATCATGCAGCCATCCTTCTCTGAAGATATTGGGCTCTTGCCCTCTCCATCGACTCCCTAAGCTCCGGGCTCTGCCAGGCACTCTCATCCTCCTTGAAGCTACTTGTAACAGGAGCAAAGGCATCAACATCCCTCGAAGATTCGTGAGCAATCCGACGAGGTGTACTGGGTACCGGTAACCTCGAAAAATCTGAGTGGACAGGAGAAAGGTGCACAGCTTCTCCAACAAATTTGCGCTTCCTAGGTGACGAGCTCGGAGAAGGTGATACAGGGAAGGCAGAGTAGGACGGGGGTTGAATGTCACGGGGTCGATGTGTTCGACGTAGGGAACTGCGCCTGGAAATGGATGAACCAGCGACAGGTTGCTCTTCCTCCCAGTCACCTGAACCATCGTCTACCTCATCCTCCTTTGCTTCACTCATCACCACAACCTCTGTGTTTAGAGCTCTGTGCCCTTCTTGTATCAGTTGAGATAGCCTATCACCGATCCAGTCCATTTCGTCGGCCTCAGTTTCGTTCTCCTCCTTGTCTTCCTCTTGGTTTACATGCACGAAATCAAACTCTGGAGGTGGAGGGGCCATGAAGGTAGGAGAAGCACTACGTGACGGGGTGATTGGTCGACCTCGAGGTCGCGTCCTGCGATGTCGCGTGCCGGAGCGACGAACAGAGGAAGGCATTGGGCGAGGCTTACGCGATTTCGGAGTAGGAGGGGTAAACTGAATATTCTTGGGCTGATAGTACGTTAATGACGAGACAACAACACACGTAGTACTTTACATACATGATCGGGGACCCAGTCACCCGGGTGGTATGGTGGCGGTAGTGGTTGTGTTTTTTCTAATTCCTTGCCTCGGTCCCGCCAGCTACGTTCGATAGCGATAAGTGATATTAACATCGAACAGGCATTCAACACTCACAGGCGATATACAGTGAGACCAACAGCAGTCCCGATAAGAGCAGCGCTCAACGCTGTAGACACGATCGAACCAGCGAGAGTGCGACGCCGCTTGGCGGGAGGTAATTCTACATCGATTTCAATAACGATATCGAAAAACATGAATGAAAGTGGGTTGAAAGATAAAAGTAAAGAAGCAAGAGCCATGATTCACAAATAAAACCGTAGCCTGCGCATGAACCACACGTGGTTAGAGAAGTACAAAAACACATGGTGTGCGCATGATGCGCGTATCCGCTTGCGAAACATGTAAGGCCACGGCATGACAGATTGATACGCACCTGCGATCATTTCTTCAATTTCTCGTTCGGGCGCTTCTTGCACCATGTCTCTGTACTTGGCTGGTGTGTCGAGATAACCGCGAGTAGATGCGGCGCTTGTGGCAGCTTGGCTGGGTTCAGGGATAGAAGGGACCCAACCGCGCTTGCGGTTTAGTGGTACAAACGGTGATAGTGAAGGTGAGGGAGATGCACGGCGGGGAGGGGGGAAGCCGTGATTACGTCGGGATTTAGTAGCTGCAGGATCAAGCAGTGCACCTTCCCGCACGCCATCCCGGGACAGTTGTGGTGCCGACTTGGCTGCAAACGGATTGTGAAGACCCGATACCGAAAATCTGAATGTAAAGGGGAAAGGCATAGCAATTCGTAACACAGATCGTAAACCAGAAAGCAGACAAGTACAAGAGAAAGGAACGAAACGCGATGACCCCCTCGCGTTGAGCAACAAGCTTAAGTTAATGGTTTGTTCAACAATCCACCAACCAACACGCGTGAGAATTTAAATTTAACAAACTATTTACCTTTTCTGTAAACAACCCCTATCATTGTGTTGTATCTCTAGTGGGAATACAGGGCCCATGATGCGCGACGGTAAGGCACTGACAAAACTACGTCTCTTCTTCACATCACTCCCTGATCACAAGTTTAAACTATACCAAAAACAGAAAAATGAAGTGGATTGTTGGAAGAGGAGTCCATTTCCGAGTTGTCCATGGTATGCGTCGTGATAACATCGCAATATGCACTTTGTCTGAGATTAAACATGGTGCGTGAGGCAAGGACTGAGTGCATGACTGTCGGGAATCTAGGCTTTCCAAAGGCACATTCAGGCCTGAATAGACGTTAAGGAACGATGCAACGCACGTGTCGAAGACTTCATTATAGCGCGGCTATTCCGTTGGATATCCTAAGTCACCATACCAGAAGGGGTGTCACAGCACTCACCGGAATGGTGGACATGACTACCACGTTTGCTGTAGATATGACTGTGTCACAAGGCTAGTTATTCACGATCATTATGAATCCAGTCGTGAAAGGACTTACACAATAAGCAAACGATATAGAGCAAAGAATCGCGATACAACGACCTCAACAATCCACTGGCGATACCGGTTCGCTGCAAATGCCCTCTGGCTTGAATAAGTACAAGAACTAGGATCACTGATGTACAGCATAAGTTGGCGGTTAATGTCTTGCTAATGGCACAACGCACCAAACTCAAATATCACCAGCATCACATAAAACATAAACAGTACATTGGTAGTTTTGATTGGATAGCAGCCTGGCACTCCGGAAAATGGGGGTGGGCCATCTGCCAAATAAGATGAGCAGCGGTACGTTCGTGAGGATCGGTACAACAAACAAGATAGTGTGTCTCCAGCTTTGATTTCCAGCACGAACGCCACCGTCAAGAGGATCTAGAGCAGGAGAGTGTTAATAAACTCCAGCGGTGTTAATGGATCGCACAAACGCTAACGAATGCGAGGAGGCCATATAAGATATTTCTGTTGCACTTCCACATTGCATACGTTCTGAGGATCAGGAGGCCTGTAAAGACGGTGAGATGACCGAATTATCATGTGATGATAGTTACCCTCTGCAGCGCATATACTGAACACATTCAACCCTTGATTGAAATAGGCATGAGCTTACTCCCACAGCGTAGTAAATCCAACTTACACATAGCGGCATCATACAATGGGAAACATTGAGCCTATACTCCATGTCAGTCGTGTGCAATCAAAATCAGGCACGAACGAACATAGTCTGCCGGAGCCGGTAAAAGTGCGAACACATCTGCGGAGATGAATGTTAGTGCAGATAAAGAATTCATTTGAACAGATAGATTGGCGCACAATAATGATAGATGGCAGACGCAGCAAATGGAAGGTAGCGAGAAAAGCAAAAGAGCACCCTTGCCATCCCCCACTTCGACCCCCACATGAGTCTGACCTGAAAGGAGCACATGTGAACAAGGGATTTTTGTTAAATTAACTTGATGTGTACCTCTTTGTCCACTGTCACAACGTAGTCATAGGTCTAGCAGATCATAAAATCGTTGAACGTTGAGGGGCAATCACATGGTCCACATCAACCTACAAGGATGACCAGGCTCGCTACTGGAAGCAGAGTGTTCAGCGATGCCAAATGTCAACCTTGCAGAGTTCAGTTAGTCACTAGTCACCTTTCATGTACTGTGATGGCATCGAATCATCATCAGGCCCGCCATAAATAAGTGTTAACTCACCCTCGACGTATGCACACGAAACGCGTTGATCATCATCATCGGGGCAGGCATACTAAGTCAAAGATTGCGACGCCCCACAGCGGGCACACGTAGAACACGAGGCTCTTATAGCCCCCTCCGCGGTCCTAAAATTGAGACACCCTCGAAGTTATTGGAGGACTCCGTACAGTTTCGGCTGTACGCCTCGACGACAGGTAGCTGACTAAAGCTGGTAAAGAGCGGCTACGTTCGCAATAGAGGTGGGAGATCACTAGACCTGCATTGTATTCATATTGCTGGCTGTACACTAACGACAGATGACATGGGCTGAGGGCACTAAATGGCAAATAAGCGCGGACTGACTAGTTGCTTGTCAAGACAGTGATGACACGAGATGCTGCTTTAGAAAGGCAAAACCAAGTCGTTGACATGAAAACATACAAGCATCTTTGCTATTCATTCCATTTCTAGACCGCAATCATCGTAGAACAGTGACGTTCGGATGTATGCTATTGATCTTTTCCTAGCATCCCGGCACTTGGGGGAGCTAGTCTAACCTTGACACAAAATCCACATGTAACGTCGCCATTAACGCGACGACGGCAGATCACTATGGACCATCTTGACTTTGTTCCGGTGGACATAGATAGCCATTCGGAGAAACTGCCCCTGAAAATGTAAATTTGTTTGACTTGATGTGCCGTATGACGAGGCAAGTCTTGTTGCTCTGCTAACCAGATAAGCGTTATGTAGAGATCATCCTATCATCGCCGAAGACGCAATCTGAAGGCGTTCATAGATGCCCTCGACTGAGAGTCCAGGTAATCTTCGTAGAACCCTGCGATGAACTCCTCAGCCTTGAACCCAAATCTGTTGTACAGCAACTAGACAAAATTCAACAAATGTGGGCCAACGCGGACCACTAGAAAACGCACCATTGCTGGATTATTAGCGGCTACATGAAGAGTGATGTCTCTGTGTGGATTGAGCGTAATCAGGTGATATAACATAGTCCTGCAGAGACGAAGCTCGTGAGCTATTATTATAAACGTTGAAAGATTGCAACGTACGTTGCTATCTGTGAATTGTGCCAGCCTGCTCTAACAGCTAGATACGTGATGTACACTTCCTGAGGCGAGCTCAAAAGCGCCGCGCCTACTACAGTTTTCCCATACACGGCGATTACAGAGCAGCGCTCGGGAGAATACTGAAGCAAGTCGCTAACTGCGAATAACATGGTAGAGCAAATTATGAATATTAGAGGACACAACAGACCATCAATTCCATCCCAAAATACTCTAGCTAGTAGTTCGTGTACCTGTTGAAGGTGGGACGGCTGCAGAGAGACGTAACGAATGGGAATCGGAACTTCAGGTGATTGAGCTCGTGCAGGGCTTGTGAGAATGAGATGAGTAATACAGTCATTCGAGTCCACGAGACCTACTGTGCATAGGAGTAGTGTGCTCGCACATCTGCCATCAATTCCATCCAAGGAGATCTAGTTTCCCAATCTACTGCAATTAGTCCACAATCTTTGGATGGTCTATGGCCACATAGGCGTGATAAGAAAGAGGTTTCGTAATGCGTGGTGCGGATGGAGGCGAGCGAATTAAAGATCGTTGATGGGGGTGACTGAGGCGGAAATTGCGGGGCCAGGGAGGTCAAAGAATTGGAATCAACAGAGATTAGCCCCTGAATACCTGTTCTACGCCTTTCCTACCACACAGATATATCACCGGTCTCTGAGTCACGTCTAGACTACGATACTTACCCGATGGAGTTGAAGCTTTCTTAATATAGCTGCCTGCACAGGCGAAGGAATAGTTGCCGCACCCAACGCGCACGCGTGCTTTATCGCAGCTGACACCTCGTATCGAGATAATGGTCGAAGAGAAGTGCCCTACCATCGAGTTAATTTTGCTATTCGTTCCAAAATGCTATACATACAACACCGTCCGTTCTGCAGTCGTTGTCCTGTGTCTGGGAGCGTACTTCCAAACATTGTGGTATCACAGAAGCCATAAAACGTTCAAAATCACCGGCCTCCTCAGAACTATTCGCTGGGCCATCAGATGCGCGGCTCTCGATTCCAACTCGAAAAAAATCTAGCAGGCCATTGAGTGACAAAGAGGCTCTTGTGACGCGTACGTTTGGCGAGGGGACTATTATTCTTCCCGAGTTGCCTTTCTGCCGTTTTGGTTGGGATACATTCTGCAAGTGGCGTCACAGCAATATTCACTAGCGTTGCGGTACAAACGTACCTCCGTGTATGTCTCGTCCCTATCCTTGGAAGACGCCCGCCGAAAGGGAGGCATGGCGGATATAACTATAACATGATTGAGCGGAGCAAGCGGTACTTTGATGAAGCAAATAATGCTCAAATTCGTGTAAAAATAGTAATAATTAGTTCTGATTGTTGCATGATAAACCTTCCTGTTAAGGATATTCTGCTCAATTTTGGACATCATTATTGAAAAACTAAGAACACATTTCTCGTATACGACTTCACTGCATGGATCAAGAACCTACATACCTTCAACGTTGTTACCCCTACATGTCATTGCGAATATGGTTTTATCGCCTGATGTATGAGCTTCGACACCGAAACGAAGGTTATCGTTTCAAAATACATCAGCGATAGGAGGACAGAAGGACTAACTCGCACCAAGATTCACACTAGTACTATCTTCAGATATCCTCAGCTTATTTCTGGTGGTTCCGTTCCGAGCTTTGAAGTCACGACGGATCTCATGGGCAGTATTCGTAACTCAAGATAGCACAAGCATCACTTATCTCCAGGTACAGCCATGCAGGTCAACGTTGGTACGAGTGAGGAGCTGGCGGTAGGATGACGTTGAGTCTTGGCTAGTCAGACCACTTTTCAGGATAACACTAACGATACAAACAACAGGGAACTTGACGCGTCCCGCGCGAACTTGACAGCGATGATTCCATCGATGAATGCTACTATGATACGTCGTCAAGCATGTGTTTTAGCCGTTCCTGCACGGCGTTCAGAACCCACAGCGTGAGATGACGTTTGCATGGAAAACCGACACGTCCTTGTCAGGGACTAGGTTTTCATTCAACGGAAAAGGTTCTCATCACATACTGATTGCAGTATGGTTGCCATCTGTGAGTGCATAATAATGGCTACGGAGCCACAAACGATACTAGCCCTCCAAGGAGACTTCATCATGATTATGCTTCGACTTCCATCATACTCGAATCTGAAGTAGGGTTTCGCAACAGGAAACTCACCGTCCCAGTGCGCAACTGCCAAGCCCATTAGTGCTATACCCGACTGAGTCACACGCTACTACTAGGTTGTACCTTGGTGGGTGCCTGGGCAGTCTCCAAGTACCCCACGTCAGGTCCTAGGTAGGTAGTCACTGGTAGTCCTTATCTTTAAACGCGCCCATAACGATCACAAATCTAAGCGAGGACAGCAATCAAATCAACTAGAACAACATCATGTTCAATGCAAATAAATACACATGAGTATGAGATAAATCCAAGGTCTGCAAATGTGAGAAGGCGAAGGAGCGATGTGTCAGTCATAGTATGAACAATATTGGAAGTGAAAGTGAGAGGCTGGAATGATCACAGCCTTGTAACAGCCTTTGAATCAAGTGGCATGCCTGTAAAACGCTGCGATGAACTTGCCAGAACTGCAGCATGATATTGAAGCTTACCTGAGGGATCGATCCCATTGCGAGCAAGGATTTGGTTGTGGCGAATCAATCTTGCTTGGTCGAAACTGTGTGAACAAAGTTCCGATAAGCTGTTTATACTAGCCGCTGAAACGAAGTACTTACTTGACCCGTTGTGTCCGCATGATGTCCAGCACCTCCTGCGTTCCCTGCTCATCCATTCCCGCTCTCGAATCTCCCTCAGCGATGTTGGCTGACTCGATGTCAAACATCGGAGAGCTCAACCCTGCGTGTGCCTGGTCAGAAAAGGAGGCAAGCGGCGTGTAATGGTTAAGGCCCGGGAAGAAAGCCCTAACTCTGGTGGGGAGAGTCGTACGGTAGCGGTAGCCCACTGTGAGAGGCAAGTCAGTCTATATACTCCAACTCACTGCTGCGGACTCGGATACTCACCCATCACCAATAATGCCAGGGCTGCGAAAAGGGAAAGGTAGAATAACATGAATTGCTCCGCTTCTTGAGCTCAGGTCCGCTTGACAAAGCTTATGTATGAGAAGGTTGCCTATGTCGTTGGTTGTCAGCTTCGATGGAGACCTGGAAGCTGGAAGACAAAACGCATATGCATCATGGTTGCCACGTGTGGTAATATGTGGCTGTGCGACCAATCAGGGGTCATTTTGTAACCATATACTCAAAACACACCAATAACTAAGTGGAGTCAGATCGAAGGGTACCTGGATCAGAAATACCAGTTCATAATTCCAATTAAAATGATAGGGAGACAAGTTAACTCGAAGGCAATGTATAGGCTCGGTATTGGCGGTTTGAATGGTAGGTTCTTTGTCCATCATGTAGGATTGTGCCCGGATTGCAGTCCTGCGGTCCCAAAAAGTGTAGTGTATATATTCACCTCCCCCCACAAATCCAAAAAGACATAGAGTAGCCAGATAGAAGACGAACCAGACAACACACCTCTAGGTATACAATGCAAATCAAGATCACAATCGGGATAGTGAGTACACATACAAAGAAAAGAGGAAGGAAGGGATAGATGAACAAGGATATACAACATACATGAACGAAAGATATAATAAATCCAAGAGGCTCCAAGAAAAGACGCACAAACACCGATCCACTCGTCGCGTATAAATCAAGTTCAAGGCACAGCCCACCACTCCCTTCCCCGAACGACCAAACCACCGTCCCACATCCTTACATCCCACCCCTCGGCCACGAGCGCACGATGCACCGCGGGCTTCAATACGCCCACGCCTCCTGCGGAGTGGGTACCTCGGCCAGTGATGAGGCGAAGAGGCGATGCTGCGGAGCGGCGGTCGGATAAAATGACAAAGAGGCACATACGTAGACCCATTCAGCAAAATGCGCAGCAACTCACAATCAAGGCGCGACAACCCACTTACCTGGTGAACATCCCTCCTTCTCCAATATCTCACTGGTAATCACTATCGCCTCTTGAACGCACGTCCCATGGAGGTCGACAGTTCTTGTATCATGGGAAGCGTATCTAAGGGATGCGTCAGTATCGGTTCTGAGAGTAATTGAAGAAAGTTCGAGAATATGCATGCGCGTAGGCAGAAACACATCAGAAAAAAAAACCCACCTCTTCGCCTCAACTAGCGCCCTTGCATCATCCAACGCTTCCTCTCGTGCCTTCTCCGTAACCTCTCTTGCCTTCTGCGCATAGTATAGCGCCACCTCCCCGCCCCATGGCCTTCGCCACGCCCGGCCTGCCTCACGCAGCAGCTCACCACGCTGTTTGCGCGCCTCAAGCATCCCGCGTGAAGCGTGCCGCGACCCAGTAACGTTCCCTCCCGTCCCTTTCCGGGGAAGCTCCCCGACGTCCCCCTTGCCGCCCTTGCCGAGTCCATTGCCCGCACCACGGAGTTTGCGCTTGTTCGTTGGGTTGCGGTCCTCCAAGGGTTGTGTGGTCAAGGAAGTTTGGACCGGAACGGTTTGCCACACCTCTGGGGATTGTGGCTGTGCGGGAGTGGTGGGGCTGGATGGAGAAGATGCAAATTTCCGCTTGGACGTCGGTGGAGGCTGTACGAGCGGGGGACCTGTTGGCAATTTTGTACGCGCAGCGGAAGTGGTGTTCGAATTTGGGCCAGAAAGCGGTGACGGGAGGTGGTATATTCCTGCTTGGCATTCGGGGTGCTCGAGATCACGAAGGATCCACACGAGGTCTAGAGCATCACCCGGTCTGTTCTGTGCGGCAGAGAGCGCGAGGCGGGCGTCTGCGTATAGTGTGTTACGTTGTTCTGCATCAAGAGTGGCAAAAGTGGGCGAGGCCTCGAGGAGCTCGAGGAGTGCGAAGAGCGTGTTGGTTTCTGCACCTTGATTAGATTGCTTGATAGGGGATTTTTGCTTGGGTTTGGATTTGATGCTGGTAGAGGTGGAGGGCAGGGCTGTAAGAGCAGCGCGGAGGGCGTGCGCGGACGTGGCGTGCGTCGGGGAATGGAAAAAGGAGGCAAAGTGTGATGGTGGGGTTGGAGGAAGTAGTGCAGCAAGATGGGTAGAAAGTGAAGAGACTTGCATCCATATGTCTACACCCGCACCCATAGTTACCCCATCCTTCTGTATCCCTTTCGTCTGCGTCGGTGAAGGGGGTGCATGCTGCGTCTGCCTCACATCCACAATCTTGATCGTGCGCCCCTTGGCCTTCTTTTTTGTGGGCGTGGCGAGTTTAGGTATTGATTTCGGCTTCGTATGTGCGACGGTTTCCCAGTCCCCAGCAAAGGGTGAAGGAGTGCGTTCGATTCCGCGCTCCTCAAGGTCGCGTATGTGCTCCATGTTCAAGATATGCTCAACCACTCTTTCCATGTCGACATCTCCTTCTCCCTCCAGGGCTCCTCCACACCCTTCTCTGAGTAGCAGTCTGAGCCGTTCCATGGGCACATCCGAGAAAGCCTCTTGCAAGAAGCCGAGTGGTGAGCTAAATGAGTGCTGGGATGACGATATTTCTGAACCTGCGCTTGTGGTCGTTGTACTGTCGCACAGGTCTGGAGTAGTAAGAGACGTAGCGGACATAATTTCATCTAGCTCATCCTCCTGCCCCTGATTCACGAGAGCCTTCAATATCTCTCGTACAATCTCGACCTGATCGGGGGAGAGGGTGAAGTCATCCTCTTCTTGCACATGGTCTGAAATGATAGCTGCCAGGAGGGAGGTATCAATTTGGGGGCAGAATTCAGCCTTTGCGGTCGAACGATGATAGCGTTCAGCACTACAAAAGAAGTAGTAAGAAAAGGTGCGCACCTGTAAAGTATCATATAGGTCCATGCTGGTCCACTGTAATACGGCAAATGGACCTGCTGATTGATTCTAGTTCAGGAGGGACGGGTCGCTGATATTGATGATGGTGCTGATACATACAAGACATGCGGAAGGTGCGTGTTTTCCTGTGGAACCTATTATGGGCCCGCGAGGCTCATACGGCTAACGATGACAAATTTAAAGGAATTCATTCATCATGCGGGGTCGATCGGGCAACTTGGCTTGGTTGTTCAAATCTTCAACGTTCACGTGCTCGTCGAATCATTTCACCACACCCTCCAATCGATACCGATCGCGATGATCTCCGTGATGAAGCTTAAAGTTCGGCCTGCTATACATAGGGATCAGTGATGGCGGTACTGAGGGAACCTGATCGCTTCGTCCATCCCACTGGTCAGTGGTGGCGCCATAATTTTTCGTATTCAAGCGCTCACGATGTTAGGAGCGTTACGAGAGGTCACGAAGTCCGACATCATGATCATGATCAGGTCCAGAACCCTCAAATGATGAGTTGATGTCTCCTCAAAATTATTTTGTCAAAATGACACCCCGTATTACTTGAGCGCGAATGGATCCAATCCCCAAGTGCCCGGAAGGTCTGCGACTTGCTTCTGGTGTTTATCAGCCTAACCAACACGATTGAAATATTTTGGACCCAATATTTTTCTGTAGGTCTGATCAGTAGGCACTGGTTGTTGTGACTTGTCAGACGAATGATCAATGATCCTCACTACAGTCATCTTTGTAGCGTAGCGAAGTTGGTCTCATTGTCTTGCGTGTCCTAACCCGCCCACCATTCTCTAGTTCTATTGTGACCAGTCAGCGGTCTGTCCGAAGTCAAACCCGTGACGCCGTCAAATCTCAATGGCAGACCGTGGTACCCACCAACTTGGCACCGTCAAACATTATCATCATATGAATGCGATTCAGCGACTGGCATTCCGCTTTGAGTTCAGCGACCGGCCTTTCCGGTTTACCGTTTGACTGTACTGCTTTACCTTCCAGCGCAAGGCATTACGTGCATGGGGTAAGAGACATATCTGCCAGTGAGTAAGGTTAAATGACAGGGCAATTTGATCACAGGAGGAAGCGAATAGGTTTCTTCATTACATATGTAAATGACAGGGCAATTTGATCACAGGAGGAAGCGAATATCTTCCATTCCAGCTCATTGACACGGTGAATTTACGACATTTTCAGTCCAGACTTGTACGAACAACTCCGATACCGGTAGAAGGATAGTCAAGTGATGCCGACACCTTACGCCTTGGGGGCCTGGGCCCTGGGGTACAGATTTACCGAACAGTGGCGACACGTTGCGCAGACAAATGAGTCAAGGATCTTGATGTGTGTTTAGCTCAGCAAAGCAATTGTATTTAAGGGGCTTGTCTGTGCTGTGAGCAGCTCAGATCTCCACCTCTCACATTCACAACCACTATCAGACAACATGCTCACCGGTACCTACAAGCTGAACAGTGTTGCGCGTCCAGGGCAATATATAGCCCTCGTCGACGGTAACATCGTTGGACACTCCAATAGACTTCCCGGAGTCATGATTGAGGTACGATCGATTCTAGATGCTAGGTCTCATAGCTTGTTCGAGACTCCTTTGAACGCATTCCTACAGTGGCGTGTAACGTTCCACGAGGGTGTGACTGGCGCGGCAACATTCCAACCGATTCGCGACGGACAAGTATCTGATGAATACATTTACTTCGACAAGGGGGTAAGTTGTCTCTTTCTTTCAACGAGAATGATGAACTGATCAAGTCTCTGGCGCATTCCAGAATCAATCTTTAATTCCCTCTAACAAACCTTGGCTCTTTATTGTCAAAGAAAACCCGCGATCGTCCAACTTTCTTTCGTGAGTCTATAACCGCGAGTAGAACCATGGTGTATCTTAAACTACTTTCCTTCAGTATTGGGATCTACGATACCGATCTAGTCTCGGCACTCTTGTCATGGGACGACAACACGCCTGTAAGAACCGTCTATTGCCTTTCTTGCTGAAATGCCTCTTACGCCACGACGCAGCTCGAGATCCAGCCCAACACCGATGCAACTCAGCAGTTATGGATGTTTGAAAAAATTGTATAATCTAGTAGTAGCTCCATGCAGTACAATTTGTCTGTAGGATGAATGTCGAAATCCAATCCCTTGTTGTAACATAGTAGTCTGGGCCCTGGAAGATTTATGATGCCGAGTGGGATCACAGCTGCTTACTGTAGGACCAAACTAGTCTCCCCTATGATAGTCAAATCATATAGAAGGAACAAAAGCAACGGATCATTTGACATCATTTCGTTCTTCTTTCTCCTGCCTTTCACCGTATCTGCACCCAACCAACTAGTCGAGGCCACTACTCAAACATGCGGAAGGTGCGTATGGCGTATTATTTGACCGCTATGGCTAAAGGTCGTAGAGAAATTCATCATGCGGGGTCCTTACGCCCACCGTGACTCCACCTTCCTTTACATAAATCTTGGTTTCGTTCGAATCTGGCGGATCTCCAAAATTCTTCCTCGTGTAGGTCTGATCTGCAGACAGTGGTTCTCGGTGGTTGGGCTAAGCGTCTTTTGGATGGGACCAACTCATGCCCGTACTGAGTATTCAGTCCCGCTGCGTTACTCTATTCACTACCTTGGCCCTGTCTAGGCTGAAACTTTAGTATTCGCATCATATGATTGAAATACGATGACCGGCGGATTTGCTGCTTGCATTCGGCAGCCTTACGAGTTCACCGTTTGACCGTGCTCTATATTCCTCCTGGAGGCATATTGCGAATATCACGTAAAATGATTTCTGGGGATGCGGCCAGTGACCAGTCTCTGTGACTCTTCCTTTTCCAATTGCCAGAACTTACTTATTGTACGTTTCCTTCATTATGTAAATGATGGGGCAATTGCTTATCCAGTCCATTCAAATCACCCCGCCTTCACCTCCTTCCTCATGCAGACACCTCCGAGATGCGAACTATCAGTCAAGTGATGTCCACATTTACGCAAGAGTGGATAAATATATCGCGCAGAATACCAACCAATCATTCAAGAGCTGTTGTCCTGTCTGACAAAGAGCCTCACAAGTAACATCGTGCGTTGAAATACGATCGAGAAACCGGATGCTTGATCTCAGTCTCCCCTAGACATACGGTAGATGAGCAACTCACAGCACAGACAAGCCCTTATATACCTCGAGCACTTTACGGAATCGAGCACGCACTAAGATGTTCTCTTGCTACAATTGAGAACCACCAATTGATCCAATTCCCGATCCAGGTCTGCTTCTTGCACCTTCTTCATACTACTTACGTGTCTCAAACTCAGATTTCTTGAATCTAGGGTTTGCATTAGTGGATGTTGTGACTTGCTTCTAGAGTTCCTGGAATTCGGCGACCGGCCTGTCGAGTTTACCGCTTAACCGTGTTGCTCTACCTCTGGCTCCCCGCAGCGGGGCATTACGTGCATCGCATGACTCAGAGCATATCTGGGGTAAGACTTGCGCGAATAACTCTGATACCGGCAAAGGAACAATCAAGTGATGCGATACCTTGCCTCATGGGGTCCAGATTTACCGAATGGCGGAAGTGCAAAAGGATCTTGATCGGTTCAGCAAATCAATAAGGCGGTATAAGAGGGGCTTGTCTGTGCTGTGAGTTATTCATCTCCAGATCTCACATTCACATCACATTCACTATCAGACAACATGCCCACAGGATTTTACAGATTGAAAAGTGCTGCACGCCCAGCACAATATCTCAGCCTCGTCGATGGCAAAGTCGTTGGACACTCCGATGAACCCGGAGTTATGAATAAAGTACGATCGATTCTCGAGACCAACTCTCATAACTTGCTCGAGAGAATTCTTGTTGAACCCTTTCCTGCAGTGGTTTGTGACGTTTGACGAGAGAGACTGGGGAGTCTTCCAACCGGTTCGCAACGGAGAAGTATCTCCTGAATACATTTACTTCGACGAGGTAAATCGTCCTCTTTCTCAACAAGAATGGTAAGCTGATCAATGGTGCATTCCAGAGTGGATCTTTAAAGATGGCTGGCAACGGAATGTTGTTCCCCGTCCTAGAACGCACCGGGCCATCGTCTGAGTCACGCCTCTTCTCGTGAGTATATAATCGCGAGTAGAACCATCACGTCTCTTAATAACCCCCCTTCAGTATTGTGATTGACGGCACCGATCTGGTTTGGGCACTGTTGACATGGGACAAGAACACACCTGTACGAACCGTCTATTGCCTTTCTTGATGGAATGCCTCTTATATTATGATGCAGGTCGTGACCCAGACCAACGACGGCTCCACTCAGCAGTTGTGGGTGTTTGAGAAATTCACGGTGTAGAATGAACGTCGGAATCCATCAATCTATTGTTGTATAGTAGCCTGGAAGATTTTCACGCTAGACGCTGGGCAGACCCAATGAAATGAAAATATCTCCGTCTTCTTTATTACGGCTGGAAGCGGGAAGTCCATTATGTACTGGCTGAATGTCCATTCAATATCACTGGGTGAGTTAAGTATAGTGAAACCACATCTAATGGTCCATTTACTTACTTTCTAGGGGCTGAGCAATGAATTGAATCACCTTACTCAGCGTCTGCTGTTATCCAATTCCCAGGCAAGGGCAAATGTCGGTGATGTTAACTTCATCGACACGAATGATGTTTAGCCCTTTAACCCTCACTCCTTCCACGGTCCAACAATGAGCAACGGATCATCAGACATAATTTTGCTATAGACAAATTTCTTCCTCCCTTTTCTTCTCTGCGCCAAACCTATATATTAGTGACTCAAGATCCTCAGTGCGTCCTCTGTCGAGTCCAGGAATATACTCGTAATACAGGGGGACGGCTGTCTTCCTTCTACTGGGTCTGCCTACGGGAAACTAGAATAGACCATGTTATTTCTGTGTGTGGGTACGTGCAATAATTGAACGGATCTAACGCGTGATTAGCGCCATAGCATCTCTGGCTCTCACATTCACAAGTTACAACCACTATCAGACAAAATGACCACTGATTACAATGGTATATTCAAGATCCGAAACTATGCGTACGCAGGGAAATATGTCTCCCTTGTCGACGGCAGGGTTGTTGCACGCACCCAAGAATCCAGAGTGCTCAATCAGGTACGATCGAGACTAACACTCATGGCTTGTTCGAGACTTCTTCTAAGTTCTTGAACAAATTGCTGCAGTGGTTTGTAACGTTTGACGAAGAATTCGCCACATTCCAACCGTTTCACGACGGAAGAGCGTATGCCCAATATATCAACTTCGACAACGGGGTAAGTTGTCGTTGTCCTATTTCTTTTCAATCAGAATGGTGAGCTGATCAAGTCGCTGATACATTTCAGAGTCAATCTTTAATGATGTCTACCAACTAAATGCAGTTCTGCCTCCACAAGGTCTACCGCTCGGCTGATCCACGCCTCTTTTAGTAAGTCTATGATCGCGAGTAAGTAGAACCATCAGGTCTCTTAAAGCTTCCGTTCAGTATTGAGATCAACCCCACCTACCCCACCAACATTTTCTGGGAACTTTCGTTACCTTGGGAGAACACACCTGTACAATCCGTTTATTGCCTTGACGAAATGTCTCTTATATCATGTCGTAGATCAAGTCTCAGAACAGGTCCAATGCCAATGAGCAGATCTGGGTGTTGGAGAGAGTGTAGGATGAACGTCGAAATCCATCAACACCTGGAAGATCCTTCACACTGGAAGCGGGAAGTCGATCATGTACTGGTCGAACGGTCATTTAATTTCACCGAGCGAGTTGTAGAGACAATGGAGTTGAATTGTTTACTAGTTGAGCTCGAACTTACTCGTCTGCAGCGTGTCAGCGGAGGTATTTCTAACTTCGAGAGCTTGAAGAGCATCTGATTCACAATACCTCCGTGGTAGCGAAGAAAGGACGGCACTCTACATAACGAATTTGATACGAGGGGACAACTTCCTTGATGAAAAATGCAATTGGATCGATAGGACGACAATGAAACGCAATACATGAACTGGCACTATCGACTCTTGGAAAGTGTGAGTTATGATACAGTGGCAACAGTGGCACGCCAAGAGCGCAAAGCAGGTGATGTACAACGTATCCCGAGTCCGAAGTCCATGAGGTGAAAGCACAGGTGCAACAATGAAAAATAAGAAAAATAAACGACAGCATTTGCGATGACACTTGACAGCGTCTGAGCGAAGGGGAACTTGCAACGCGGTGAATGACGGTGAACTTAACTTTATCGACACGAATCACACATGCTCACCTTAGGCCCAATCATCATCCCTCCATGGACCAACAATGAGCAACGGATCATCCGACTTAATTTCGTCATGCACAAACTTCTTCTTCGCTCTCCTGCCTTTCCCCCTCGGCGCCAAACCAACATAGTCAAGGTCCTCAGTGCTCCACGGGCCCACATCACCATGCACCTTGAAAATGTCCATGTCATCCTCCGACCTACCATGAGCATCACGTTCCGTCAGTTGCATCACGGGCTGTTTCTTCATCATGCCCTTCGAGTGTGGCCGGACAGCGAGTTTCGAGTTGGGACCAACGACGGTGCCAGAGCGTGTGCGGCCAGGGAGAGAGCCAGCAGGTCCGGCGACAGTTGAAGCGAGGGAAGTCAGTGTGGTGCCGCTAGTGCCAGAGGGAGCGGGTCGTGCGAAGTCAGATGCGCGGATAGTGCCTGCGCGGTTCCGCTTGTGCTTAGTGGTACTCGTTTTCTTGGAGGTGATGCCGGCAGGGCTTTCAAGGGAGCGGGTACGCATTGGGAGCTGGGTAGTGTGTGCACCTGCATCGTCGTGTCTATCTGTAGATACAAAGAGTGGGTTTAGTATCGGGCAGAATATTACGGATATCTTAAATATTGAAGCCTAGGAGAGGGTCATCTGCTGCAAGAGTAACGAGAGTGAAACCACAAATGCGAGAAGTCGAAAATATGAAGGAATTGATGTTACGGTCGGAAAGGGAGGTGGGGCCACCAAGAGCGTGTGTACATACCGCCTAAATCAAGCGACAGCATATCTTGAATCAAATCAAACTCGCTTGGCGCGCGCACGCCTGAAGTAGCATCACGACGAGCCGGGGGAGACAAATTAGCAATGCAGTCCGCTGTGCTCCTTGCGACGGAACCTGGGCAGTCGGGAGCAGGCGAGCTTGATCCGAATGGAAATGCGGGACATTGTTGGCCAATCGCAGTGCGTGTTGCAACAACTGGTGACACCGGGGAGACCGGCGGGCTTGAGCCAAAAAGCCCTAAATCATTCCGACCCAGCGAGACCTTGCGCCGCGGTTTGGAGATAGCCAAGTCCGAAACAGGGAAAGGAGAAGACACCAGAGGAACCATGTATTCACCCATTGAGACCTTGTGAGGACGTACGTCAAGAGAAATAGACATAGGTGCACTGCCGGCACTATCATTGTGATCATCACCAACGTCGGGTGCGATAGGGATTTGGTGAGCCCTAAGCGTGAACGAGCCAGATGAAGAGATGATGCTATTGCCTGGGATGCGGACCTTGCGGTGCTCGGTGTGATATACCATTTCAAAGTCCTCATCAGGAGCCATGTATGGGGAAGGGGCAAGGAATGCGAGCTTTGAAGGGGATTTCGGTGCCTCCAGGCCTGTCCTATTGCCAGAGCGACTATGCGAGGGGGTGGAGAAAAACTGGGGACGATCAACAAGAAAGGGGAATGCAGACGAACTTTGAATCGAATTGGATCGGATAATCGACCCCGTGTCGATACTTGCATGGATTGTAAGTGCTTTAGACGGGGAGATCCAGTCTTGCTGTGCAATATGAGATAGCATATATGAAGGATCTGGGCTCAAGGGGCGACGTTGATGGCTCGAAGGCGAGTTTCTGGCTATCTTGTTGAGCGAGAGCGTAGAGTTCTTGCGGATGAGCCTGGTATCATTGAGGGACATGGTAGAGCCTTTTCGGGAAAGCTTTTTGTCGTTGAGGGATGCGGTGGAGTCCTTGTGCGAGAGTTTGCGGCGAGTATATGCGTTGTCATTTTTCTGGAAGGCACCAGAGAGCGTGCGGGATTTCAAATGCAGGGGAACGCGAGAGGGTCGCGCCTTCACTTTGGATATGGAGCCAGGGTGAGGGGAGGAGGGACGACTGTGGAAAGGTGAGGCAAGGGGGAGGGACGTGCTGTTCTCTTTCAAATTTCGTGAGCTCGTACGCGAGAAGATCCGTTTGGCACTTGGTACGGGAGAAAGCTCTTCTTGCACCAGTGGACGCGTGACTGACAACGGATGGACGTACTCCGCGGAAGGGAACGGCGTTTGGAACGTACTCATATCAGCTTCTACTTCTAGAGCATCTGGCTCAACAGTTTGCCTGACACGCTTGACAGCACGACCCTTTGGTCGCGCTCTATCTTCGTCTTGATGAGCAACTCCCCGAGAACGCTTGAGCATTCGCCTGGACATCTCTGAACGCGTGATATCGTCGCGATCAGGCGAGAGGTCCTCGAGTGGAGAGGACATGAACTTTGGAGCGGCCTTTGCACGTCCGCGTTTGTGTGCGTATGTTATCTTGACTGGCTGACGAGCCATTGTCAGTCTGTGTGCAATTAGACGATGAGCATACGTGATCTAAGGCGTTGCGAAGCAAGAATATTGATTATATAACGAAGCTCTTGCCACACAAAACCAAATACGACACGTCTGGACTCTGAATCTTGAGTCCTGCAATACGGTAGTGTCCTGACTCCCCTTGACTCCCGACTCCCGAGTGCTTATCGCACTCGAGCTAGGCAGCGCAGGTTGGTGAAATGCCTCTCCTGGAAGCACAACGATACAAAATCTATTCACCTGCAATATTATTAACCATACATACCGTATTTCACGTAGGATTTCTATAAAGTACCTTGGTCCGACACAAGGCGAGAGTAACGTACAATGAATACGTCACACAACATTCAGCTGTGCTGTGATCGACATTTTCGACGGATGAGTTTGATTATTACATAACGAAGCCTTTGCCATACACGAGCAAACAACACTCACGCGGCGTCATGTCGGTGGCTCCAAAAACAAACTCAACATACATACCTGTCTGCCACGCCAGCCGTACGCTCTTCTACTACAAAATCTATGCTTTCTTTCTAGGCTCACATTAACGCAATTTTATATTTTCATCAACAATAATCTTGCATAGGCATAGGCACTCTGCACTTTACAATCTACAATGGTCGTCACTCGCAGAACTCCAGTGGTACCAGCACCTCCAGTTTCTCGTACACAGTCTTCACAAGGTCACCAGCGCTCAACTAGAGCATCCGTAATACAGGATGCATCTGCGATACCTCGCGTATCAAGCCCATTGGCGTCCGGAGACGCGCGAACCGCAGCTATCATTACCGGTGCCTCTAATGACTTCAAGCAACATAATGACAAAGTGAGAGTCCACACTATGCCTCTACAGTGGAAATATACACAGACCTCTTGCTTCTTCTGCTTGGAGCTATGTTACTTTCGACTTGATGTTTGCCTAGTCTACCGTAAGGGGCTAATCACGCGATACAGGATGCACACAAAAAGCTAAAGAAGAAGGACAGGCCCAAGAAATCAGGCAAAGTAAGTTTCCCTTACTCCTCGCTCTGATATCTTTTAACATCCCAACTCACCGACAGAAAAAGCGCAAATCCACTCTACAGTCCCTTCTCGACTTCTTCACCAATCTCCTTATATTCGCCTTCACGATCTACGTCTTTACCGCCTGCCCCCGTGAGGCACATCTCCAATCTCCCGTTTGTCGCGGCCTATCTGAGTACAAACGTATCGTTCTCGATCCGTACGTTATCCCACCATTACAGGCCGCGCTTGCGCACCCGTCTATTGCACCGTATGTGGACCGCGTCACCGAGGTTGCAAGTCCCATTATCCTTCGTACGCACGCAAATTGGAACAGTCGCATTGTCCCGCGGTGGGAGAAACGCGTCGTTCCAGTTTGGAACAACCGCGTTGTCCCTGCCTTTACCGCCCATGTTGTCCCGCAGTGGGAAAAGCGTGTGGTACCACAATGGCAGAAACACGTCGTCCCCCAATACGAAAAGCACATCGCGCCGCAGTTGAGTAAACTCGGACCCTATGTTGCGCGTGCAGAATCGTACGTCGAGCAAGCGGAAGCAACGTACACGACGCGCATAGCTCCGCACGTGCGTACTGCTACTTACAACCTGCAGCGCTGGCAGCAAAAAGCACAACCTTACATCCTCCTTGCCATCCAGAAAACTCAGGACACCTATTATGCTGCAAAGCCCCACGCGGTGCCCTTGGCTAAGAGAGCCGTTGCTGAGGTGCAGCATGCGCTTTTGTTCCTAAGGGAACAGAGACGAATCTTTGTCGACCCCCATGTGGCACAATTGTGGGAGAAAGTCAAGGAGCTGAGCCGCGGGTCACCAGCAACTTCAGTGTCTACTTTCGCTCCATCTGATGCACCAGACTTCCCAAGCACAGAACCCGTTATTTCTGAGACATTGAGGCCGGAATCAACTTACGCGCCAACCGTACCCATACCCGGCGATCAACCTGTTGTGGAAACAGAATCTCCGCATGATACAGCGACCGAGCCATCCGTTGTGGAAATTGAAGCGTCTCTAAACGGGGATGCAACGACAGCCGCAGAAATTAAGGAGCCCACCGCATTCGCTGAAGCCGGAACATCCGATGATGCCACGCCGATGACGTACCTTACCTCACAACCGGCATCCGCGTCCTCTTCTTATTCTACCTCAAGCTCTGTGCCGACACCGGTGCAGACCTTCGAGAGCGCATCGTTTGTCTTATCAGAGAGTGCGTCAGCTGCTTCCTCAGTCATATCAGCTGTTGTCGCCGATTCCAGTTCGTCTATCGCTTCGGCAGCCCCCACTGGCCCGGTTTTCTCTGCTGCGTCCAGCTCAGTTCCCGTACATTTCAGTGACGACGATGAGATCGACATTAGCGCATTTTACGCCGAACTTGGGCTCGATGAACCCTTGATCACATCCCAGTCTCAGGAGCAAGTGCCCCTCACTCCCCCAGAATCGGAGGAAGAGCGTGCTGAAAGGTTGCGCCTCAAAGCTGAAGAGACTGCCCGCAAACGTGCCGACATCGAGGAGCGCCACTCTAAGTGGGAGGCCGAACTTCAGTCTCAAATGAAGGCTGGTACGTCCACGCTCAAGGACAAGCTCGAAGCAATTAGGAGCACCGCTGCCGTCGAGCTTGCAGAGGCAGCTGAAATTCGAGACGCCATCGAGAGCCTTGTTGCGGACGCGGAGAAGTATATCAAAGGCGCCGAGGTCTATCTCAGGAATCTGAAGGCAGAGAGCCGGAAGAACGATGAGAAGATGCCGCTCTGGGAACGAGTGCTTGAGAAGGTTGGCGTGAAATTTTCGGAGCGGCTTGGGGTTGTAGAGGCCGTGGTCAACACGTGGTACGGTGTGACCCTCGATCAGGAGCTGCGAGAGGTGGGTTATTTCGTTTTGCCTTCTTTTTTTCTGGTTCTCCCCCGCTCTGGCGGGTATTTCCGCTGGCTTCGGACCACTGCCTTTTCATTTCGTTCTCTGCATTTTCGCGCCCGTCTTTGGCATTCTATTACTTGTTACCCGCCTCCGCCCATTTTATGGCTTCCCACGATTGAGTCTCCCGTGTCCATTGCCCTCACTTTTTTTTTCCAAAAAAAAAAAAAACAAGTTCCGGGTCGCTGACTACACCTTCTCTACCGCACAGGTTTACGCCGTGACTGCCGAGGTACGTGAAGTCGCGGAAAAAGCCCAAGTTGACCTAGGGCTCGACTACGCGTGGCTGGACGAGGTGACGTACTCAGATTGGCAGCGGTATCATTCCCTGATTGATGGTGGGTCCTGCTCCTGTCACATAGCCTTTTAAACTAATTCCTTTCTATTTCCACAGCCAGCGAGAAATTTGCTCATGAAGTCAACTCAATCCAAAACGGCACGCATACTACTTTGTCCGTGGATAATCCGATTATTCCCATTTTTGAGGACCTCGAGTCGGAAGTCCAGGATGTGGTCGTTGGATTTGAAACGCGCTTGAGACGTATAAAGCGCGACGGCGAGCGTGCGTTTAATAGCGCCCAGAAGGATGAGGAGAAAGGAACAGTCACTGATCCAGAGCCTGGTGTTGAACCAGAGGTCTCGATTCTTCCAATTACGGAAGAAGCCACGAGCGAGCAAGCCTATATTCCCCCTGTTGTTATTGGACGAAGCAAGGAGGCGCTGGAGGCGCTTGGGAAGGCTGAGCCCCTGAAGGGAAGTTCAGGGTATAATGCTCGCGAAGACGCGGGAGAAGTTTTGTCGAGTCTGGTCCGGGAAGCGGAGGAGGAGCATTCTGAGAGCACTGCTATGCCTCACACAGAGCTATGAATTTCGAATAGTATGTCGTACGTCGTACGTTTGGATTATTTATGCCATCTACTATGTTTACCTTGCATCCCTCCTATCTTTTTTGACTCGTCGCATAGCTTTCAATCACAATCAATCCCCTGTGGTGTAGTGCTGCCGCATCAAGTCAAAGGAAATCATTCGCCGTCGGATCACGCCGCTGCGCTCGAAATGATGATTGACGCCCGGGGAATCCTTGATGCCGACTGGATGATTATGATTCTCAGGGTGCTCATCAGGGACTAGCCACGCTACAAAGACCCTCATTCCCTGAAGGATGGTTCGTGCCTCATCTGCATGGCCATCGCCACGTGTGCGTATGACTTGCCAATTCTTCATTCAGGAGTTTTCAGGGAAGTTCTGCGGTAATTTGTTGTGCCACGTCAGGTCAGTGGGCCCGTTTACCTCGTAAGCATATGGCACATCGCACGCATAGAACTTGAAGTGGAAATCACACGTAAGGGACCGAATGTGACACAATGTGCACTAACCCTGCCGCTAGTTGGAGCGGGCATGCCCCGAATGAATTCTGCACGTACACCCACGCTCAAAGTCTGGCATTACCCGACCTCAGTTCGTTTCGGATAACGCAATGACTGCTGGTATCCTGCCGCGATGAGATGCACCATCGTGTCACTCAGTGACGTTGAGTGTCACTATACCTTTATGACATGATCACCTACTCAAAATGCTTCCGGAAAGGTTAGGGAATGGTGTGCGGAAGAAGTACACACTCATTTGTAGGTGACGGGCCGACGGAAGGTTTGTCGCGTCCATGTGGGTGAAAGACACGGGCCCTGCATGATCTCAATGGTTGGAGCATCCTGGAAATGCGTAATGTCATATTCCATTAAGTTTGGACATGTGAATCTGGACTGGGACGCGATTAACAAATTCAGTCGTGTTTGGTATGTGTGAAACGAGATAAAGCAATGAGCAAAACAAAACAAGGAGCTCCGGTTGGATGCCGCTGCGTCGTATACGGCGACGGCGTCAATTCGCCTCTTCGCCATCAATCCTCCATCGCAAATTGGACTCATAGAATTTGATGAGCTTGGCAGGTCGAATCAGTGACGCTGTCTAGGTCCCGAAAATTCACAGCATACCTTCTGAGGGAACTTTTGGGCACAAAGTCGAGAAACCTCTCGCATTCGGTCGTCGCTATGCTTTCTGCAAAGATGTTTAGCATTCATAGAACCCAAAATAGGACAAATCGACGGACATTTTGAAGTACACAAAGAGGTTTCCGTCCTCTCCGCGTTCGATCGTGTCGACGGTCTCGACAAGATTCTCCCAACTAGCAATAGTCATGTGCTTCTTCATGCTACCGAAACTGACCATCTCTTCATCCTCAGCCAGCTGTATATTGACCTTCTTCGCAGAAGCTCCTTGACTCTTTCGCGGCTTTTTCTTTGCTCTAGCATCGTCGGCATCGCTGCTTGCTTCTTGCTCCTTCTCTGACTGCTCCTGCTCCGCTTTCTTCGGCCTACTACGTTTCTTCGCGGGAGGTGTGGGCTCTCGAGGCTCCTCTGCCGCGATTGATTTACGGCCGGATTTGGTCTTGGCAGGATCTGTGGACTTGCGGGGACCACCTTTGCTAGCTTTACGCTTGTTTTCCCAATATTTCTTGATGAGGTCCTGCGCATTGCTAGAACATATATTTTGAACCTATTAGTCAACTTATACAAAGAGAAATCAAATACGCTGCATCATCCTCGTGCACCCAGCTGTTGTCCTCCGGGGGGTAACCTTTCCATTTCACGAAATAGCCCGTTTTGCCCTAAGGCGCGTCAACCTTCCGCTTGTTAAACGCGACAATGAGAACAAGCCCGTACATCACCAAAATAACCTTTTAGGGAGTCGATGACGTCCTCGATCTCATACTCCTCTTCCTGCTCGCCGTTCTCTTCTCCAGGAGCCACTTCATCCTCTTCATTCTCTGACGCGGGCTCAGGCTCTGAGGACACTCGGTTTTTCTTGGAAGAATGGTCTTTCTTTAGTGTCGCGCGTGGCTTGTCCGCATCCGAGTCAGAAGTCACCACATCTGTCACGCGAGGCATATCAGACTGCTTGTGGTCGAGTAGTGCTTGGTGGCAAGTTCGATTGGTGTTCAATGTCCAACAAGACACTGGTGGCGCGCATGTTATGTAATTGGTGGAAACAAAGGTAAACAACCTCTTCAACGGGCGCCCGGCAACGCCCGGCCGTCCTCCGGATGCTAACTTGACGACTTGTTAACTACAGTATTGCAATGCATAATCTCGCAGTTGCTTTGCAGTGATGTGTGCATAATCTTACAAGAGGTATGAGGAACCAAGACGCGCCGTGCATTGTTTGTCAGTTCATCACGCTGAAACGAGCTTGGCACGGCATCTCGTTACACACTGCCCGACTGCGGTGACAACAGCCCACATATCCTTCATCTATAACGATCAACAGGTTCGAGAAAATCTCGCCGGCTCCTCCTTTTACGAGCACGCCATCGTATCGGTAAATAGACGTCATTGCGGTAGAACAGCATTGATCAAAATATAGCTTGGAAAGCTGAATACAGTCAGACATTGCAGACGCAGGGGAAAAAGAATAACCTCAGTCTCTCTGTCTGCGCGACGGACTAGCACTCCGACCGCGTCCTTCCCGACCTCCTCTGCCTTTCTTTGGCCCCGATGGAGGGGGTCGAACGAACGCGTAGTCGCATTGGACCATCTGTTCAAGTAATGGTGTTCCCGACGCGCCATCAATAGCAGCCTGTGCCTCGGACATGGTTTCATACTCCACGAGTGCATAGCCCTGTAGTTAAATAAATGCTAAAGTTCGTTATTCTGTCGATGCGATTAACGGACCTTGACATAACCTGTGCGGCGGTCCAAGTTCAAATGGAGGTTTTTTATCTCGCCAAACTCTGCAAACTTGTCCGTGACATCTTCCTCTGTTGCCTCTTCGTGTACGTTGGTGACCAAGACGATCCAACCTTCAACGGCTGTGCAAAGGGAGGGCGGAATATGGTAAAGGATGATTCGTAAGTCTAATAAGCCAAGACATACATCGTGCGGCTCTCGTGTCGTCCTTGACATGTGAAGATTCAACCCTGTCATAAGTGGGTTCTGCGGTGACTGTGCCATCGTTTCCGCCTACCACAGTGATTTTAGTTGGACATGGATGAAACGCGGTATGGTTGGTGATTACCTGTCGTATTTTGGAACCCTCTGCCTCTCCGCCTCACAGCACCGCCATTAGCGACTTATACTGATATTTCAGACGCAGTTTGACTGAAAACATGAAACAAGTACCTTCGTCGATGTTCATTTCATCGTCGGACATGGTGGTTGTTGTATATGGTTGGTGTGACGTGTGACGAGTGTGACATTGTAACTGGGTTGATTCTAGCGGTACCGCAGGATACAAACCAAACCAGATCGGTCCTGTCAAGTCCTGGATTAGTGTTGCCATCAAGTTACTCGAAGTAGCTTCGAGCTATTAGTATTAACTTCGCTGTCACTAGAAAACGGCATGTGTTCAGATTGTCTATCCCAAAACAAGCGCCTAAGTACGAGCTTCCAAGTATTAATGAAGCCAAGGTTTGTACTAGGCTGCTATCCTACTAGCTGAAGCACGTTGATGTTGGCATGGTCGGATGCTGATTGGCATAAACTTTTTTGCAACTCACGTAAGTCAGCAACGACCATGTTCAAGTTGGACCATATAATACAATTCTATTCTGTTCACTGGCAGCTTGTTCGATGAGTCTCCCACACAGTCCGCCGAGACAGGGTGCTAAGCCCGAAGTGCTCCGAGTATCGGAGGACAAGCTCAGTGGAAGGGGAGGGGGATGATTTAATAGCCAACAAAGTAACCTGCATGCATGCATGAAATGCTATGCTTTGTTATGCTTCCATCTTTTCGCATTTATGCTCTCCCGACAAGTTTGTTTATCCTCCCCAAGGGAATATAGGTTAGGCTTTTTTTTTCGGCGTTTATGTTCCTTCAGCGCTCAGATTCTTACGATTCTACTTCACGACGCCCCAAAGCCAACAACGTCATCTTTTGATCCCGATTAGCTCATTCACCGTGGATACAAAGCGAAGGTACAGACGCCACTTTTGAAAGCTGGCCGAAAAAGCTACCAGCACTGGCAGTGCCTGAAGCATCGCCTCACAGATCTCCGATTCCCAAAACTTTATGCATCAATGAGATCCCAAACGACTCCGGTCGATGTTGGCTTGACCTCTCTCACGTTACAAGATGTTCCTGTCGACCTCAACCTTAGATTCTTAGCGCGCCCCAACACTTAAAAGGCTCAACAGACTCACCTTAAACTTCATAACCAGCCTGCCTCTTTTTCATCTGACCTTCTACGGATTCATCTTAATCTCATTTACTCCCCGTCGGTAGTTAAAAATGAACCCAGTCCCTCTCATTAATCACCCTTGCACCGTGTGTTGCAGGCCCACTTCCATGTGGTGCAGCCGCTGCCAATCCGCGTGGTATTGCACTCCCGAGCACCTTCAAAGCGTAAGTCTTTTACGATAGTCGCGTGCTGAACGCGACACTCATCAGTGACGACATTCAGGATTGGCCACGCCATCGTAAGGAATGTGTTCCGGCAACTCACGCCCAAAATTATAATATCATTGCCACTCCACCACCTGCAGAGCAGCAAGTGATCATGGTTTCTGCCATCCTCTTCTCTCCCGAAGAAGGTGAACCCCGACGCGTTTTCATTTCATTACGGCATACTCATGAATTGATCACAGAGCGTCCAAGGATCATTACAGTCAAATGCCGTCCGTCCCAAGTCCCGTCCCAGGGAATGTGTCCCCAACCTCTCGTCAGCGGACATTTCCCGGACGGCCAAGCAGAAAGCATTGTCTTAACCCAAGGCTTGAACGGGGAACCGCTCAGATTTCCCCTTCATCTGTGGTACTCTCCGACTGCCCTGTCGCGTTGCGCGCCCATTAATCGTGCTATCTATCACATCACCTCCGGTGCCGCCGCTAAAGCTTGGTGCGGCACGGTTGTCGTCCTGAAGTTCAATGGGTCTCGGCGTCAGGGTTACTCTGATGCAGGGTCGAATGATCTTCCTGCGCTCTCGGCCTATTTCTTGGCCTATAAGTAAACGCATAAAGCGTTGTGCTGCTAATGTGCTTAAAAGTAGGATATCAGTCACATCACCTGGAGATAGCAAACGCTTCTCTCTGGCCTTTTCCTTGCAGAGCATAAGCTCGCTATCCTATATTATCGCATATATATATATGTATCGTTTCGCGTTCGTTTTATTGATTGTCACCTGTAGCTTTCAAAGTGTTTTGTTTCGTTATCCTAGTGCCTCGTAATGTATATTTCAATAAAATAGATGTGCGGTTGTTTGCAATTGGTTGGTTACATTGAGTGAGGTCGCATCATGATGACGTGGATCTAGATCCTAACCCGGGATCGCCGCAGGGAAAGGCTGCACTTGGCGACTAATTTCTCTATGCTCCGCGCGAAGGCTGTCAAGATCATTAATGAACATTGCCACTGAGCTGCTGGAGAAGCGACAAGGGCTAGACTGAGACTGAAGTAGACATTCCCACGTGCTGTAGCTATGTCAATGGAATGTATGTAACTAGGCAATCACTAATCTTGCGTTCCTGGCGATCAACTTCAAGGACCAGGACTAACCCGGTCCTAAAAATTATATCACTCAAATGTTATCCTTCATATCATTTCCGCAGGCTACCAATTCCACTTATCATCGATCAACGCGTCATCATCCAGATGTTGAGGATCTTATGGAGGTGGATGACGACGATTTTACAGGTTCTGAGCCCAGGCTAACTTGCCCAGGTGAGACCATCACATCGTCCCATGCATTCATGCGGTGAGCAGTTTACGGAGAGCGATATTTTGGTGTCTGAACGGGCTTCTGAAGTGGTCATGGGACATATGTCGACAAAGAGGATGTCATTGCCTCCGTCGTGGGGACTGTAGAACGGGTGAACAAACTCGTGACCGTTCGTGCGATCCGCACCAGGTGAGTGGTCTCTGCATTTGCTGGTACTCCTCGGATTAACTCTCTATTCAAGATACAATCCTGAGGTGGGAGATCTCGTCGTTGGGCGCATAACGGAGGTATGTAGCTCACACCGAGGCTTGAAAGTTCCACTGAAGGCTTGACACACAGGTTCAACCCCGAAGATGGAAAGTAGACGCCAACTCGCGTCAAGATGCCATCTTGATGCTCTCTTCAGTGAATCTACCCGGAGGGGTACAAGTGGGTTTCCCCCTCGCAATAACATATGATCTTTGTAACCCGAATCATGCTAGCGACGGAAATTAGAGAGCGATGAACTACAAATGCGGAACTTCTTTGAGGAAGGGGATCTTCTTGTTGCGGAAGTACAGGCATTTTTCTCAGATGGTGCTATGTCACTACACACGCGGTCTTTGAAGTACGGCAAGGTGAGTACCGCTTGTCAAATGTTTCTTGGGCAACGGGTTTATTCTAAACACCCTCACAGCTGCGGAATGGTCAGCTAGTGACAGTACCCCCAATACTGGTTCGGCGATTAAAGTCTCATTTCATCTGCTTGCCGTGCGGTGTCGACCTTATCCTGGGGCTAAACGGCTACATATGGGTTAGCAAACATGTAAAGGACAATGACCAAGGCGAAGAGGGGTTTGATGCTGAAGCCGTGTATTCAAACCAAAACGACGTAAGCGAAATGACATCAACGCGGAGCATAGTAGACGCTCACTCGATTTAAGGACATCGACAATGCTACTCGCGCTGCAATCTCACGCGTCAGTAACATCATCCGTGTTTTCGCGGACCATTTCGTTCCTTTAACAGATACACTTTTACTGGAAGCCTATGAGTGGGTCATTGAGCAAGAAGGGGATGCCAAAAATCTGTTATTGGGTGATGCAGGCGATGCGCTCGTCGCTGCGATGAGTCTTAGAAGTTGAGAAGTGTATCTACATAGTTACATATCCTCTTCGTCCTCGTCATTGTCCTCGTCTACATTGTCTTCATCAACATCGTTCTCATCATGCTCTGTACTGTCCTCCTCTTCTTCTTCGTCCTCTTCGTCAATAGTCTGATCACCAGCTCCTGGCTGAGGTGGCGGTTGCTGTTGCTGCTGTTGTGGTTGGCTTGTGGCACCATTGGCCATCTTTCTTGCCTCAGCTGCTCTCTTCATTTCTTCTTTCTCATCATTGACGGGCAATAATCGGTCCAAAGCAAGGTCTCTCCAGCGTAATGCGCCATTCACGCCACCCCCACCATAGCCCATATCTTCAAATAGCGCCCGAGAAGTTGGGTCATATGGCGGTCTTGGTCTTGCAGCTGGATGCTTGATATTTGTTGGATTCCCGTAGGGATACGACGGGTGCACCTGAGAAGGCAGTACTACAAATGGAGATCAGCCAGACGAAGCACCAGAAAAAGTATCACCGCGAACTGTCAGAATCATCTGGATTCGGTGGAATCATATGGGCTGGTATGTCAAGATCTATGAATTCACGCGTTTCAATCAAGTGCCCGATTTCCTGGGAAGTGGATCATCCTACCGTCATCTGATAACTCTCCAGAGATATATTCTGGACTGTCAATGGTGTCGAGCACTTTCAGATCATGCTCAGTCATGTGAATGTAGCAAAACGTGAGGTCCTACATTCAGCTTAGTTTTGTGGAATGTTTCAGCATTAGAATAACTGACGGTCATCTCTTCAGGCCCGTGATGCTGACAAGTCCGAGTTCAATAATTCAATCCTACTACGCATTCAAAATGGGCGCGGTGACATGTGTGGCTGTGCGACGACAGCTCGCGGAGTTAAAAAGTAAATACCACCTTCCACTTCCGCTCACATCAGCGGCGGTCTGTCAGTCTGCGGCACCGCGCGGTCCGCAGCCCTGGGCACAGCTCAAGTACTGCGTGCTCCGTCAAGGGCTGACTAAATGTGAGCAAGTCGAAGTCATCTTCTAGTCCTACATGCCAGCTTAGCCCTGCCCTCTGATCAAGCGAGCCTTTTTGTTCGCTCACTATACTCCACTATGATCACGACGGTTATCAAGTTCGTTGTTATCCTTCCATACTCCGAGATCCACAAAGGCTCTAATAAGCTTTTGTGAACCTTTGTATAATGTAAAGAAGCCGGTTGATAGACGCTCCTCCTAAGGAACCTATAGGAGCCTAATCGATGCCTGGATGCCATGAGCAAACTGTCGCCAAGCCCGCGCCCAGATAGTGGACTTTAGTCGTGGGTTATCTGATACCTTGGTATCTGATAGGAGCTGATAGGTCTTATAGGTCCGTCGAAATATCTGTCGTTCCATTTTTCACTTGGCCATAGGGCTTGTGACGAATATTAGCGAATATTTCCTTCATGGGAGAGTCAATTTTTCTTCTCAGCTCATTTAAAATTTGGGCATTGTCAGAACAGCATGCAACAGCGCTCGCTTTTACCAAATATGAGGCAAGCCTTCACTTCTAGCTCCCAACACAGCCGCCCACGATTAAATTTAAAGATAAGTACCGCGTTACTAGCACTACCCTTCGCAAGTCCATCCCATGAAATTCCATGACGTATACGAGAACACCTGCAAGTTCCGAGATGTTTCTAGATCCGATACGATCTGAGGTAACGCGTTACGCTGAGCAGGTGAAAGGAGTATTAAAACAGGTTGAAATTTACGCAAGGCACGGCATGGCAGGACAGACTTACATCCAAGGACACGAGAGGGGGTCAGAGGCTGTGGGCCCGTGCTAGTCGGGAACAGGTGCATTGTCAGCATAAGGCTGGTACCATATCACGGTCATTTAGTCAGTTGGCGTTTCACCTCGTTTCCCTCAGGCTTTTCGTAGACATTGTATTATTACTTACTCCTCTCTGGTTGTCATGGCCGTTGATTCATAAAAAAAAAAATTGGTGACTTACCAGTCCCCCGGGATCCAGCGGGATCCCCGCGAAGTAGACACGTTATATGCTGTTATATGTCGGGCCCGTCTGTGTACTGCAACTTACTCCGAGCCTTCGGGATCCAGACGGGGTTTGCAGCATTTCCTTAACCAGCACTGTTCCTCAGGCCCAATCCTCGATTCTCTGGTACGTGGGCGCCTCCAAGCAGCTCCAAGCATGGTTCCCGTTACGAAATACGTTCCAGCATAGCATCCTGACGGCTGCGCGATATGTTTTCTGTGTTGCTTCTCGTTACTGGATGCTGTTAGTCCCACGTCACCTGTCAGAACAAGATTAATAATAAGACAGAGGATACACGGGTCGACTGTACGTCAACCACGAAGGGTAAACGTTAAGCTTGGTAATATGTAGTCTCCGCGATGTGCAGATCACTCACGGGTCACACGCTTTGTGTCAGCCTTCTTGAAGATCCCGAAGTGTGAAGGTTTAAGTTTGAAGAACGTATCCCTGACACTGTCAAATTCTAATCCAGATAGAGCCCTGTCACACCCTCTGGCTTGTGGCAACCGACCACGCACTCCTCCGCTACGACTGGTTGACGTGGAAAAAACATACATTGTTATACATCAGGTCATGATGTCTACGGTCTCCAGTAATAAACTAAGCGGGCCCGTCATCTTCCGTCTCTCCTTTTCGTGCATGCGTCGGGGAATTGCTTGTGTCACTCGTCGGCGCAGGCTCGAGATTTTGTAACCGCATCTCCACCAAGAACTCTTTGTCCCTGATCGCCTGTGACCAGGAGGATAACAACCTCAACGTGGCCATCGATGCCCGATAGAAGCCTACTGTGGCGAACATGCCTGGATACGCGTGCATAACTGCAGAAAGCGAATAAGATATTTGCGGCGTGGTTAGAGTCGACAGCAACTTACACATAAATTTAGGATTTAAGGGTAGATCAAAGAATTCCCGTAGGCCCCACACTGCAGCGGCAGGGAGGACCAGCATACCAAACAAACCAACGACGAGCGGAATGATGACTTCTCTTGTGGCCTGTTTAGGGTCTGGATGAGTCCAGCCGTTGTTGATGATCTATAGCGATCAGTTAGTAGCCTGGTCCTGCCAGTAACAAATGTTCACCAACCGTAACCACTCCACGCCCAATGTCAAATTGTGGCCGTCGGTTGATGCGCATGAAGATCTTGCCATACACAAGACCAAGGGCCCACATGTCGACAATACGGATGTGAATGACCATCGTTGGGTTGAGAGTCAGACGAACAGGCATAATGATGTACATGTCGATGACAAGAGCAAGGAGAATAGGGATGATGATGCCCAAAAATACCCCCATGTAGGCGATTTTGGATAGCCAAAGGAGGCACCGTTTCACGAAGAAAACTGCGAACTCAGCTCTTGGCCCATCACTGCCTCTTCGCTGTCTGCGTTTGTCCATGCGTTCCAGAGTTTTGGCCACGAGATAGCAAGCCCAAAGGAGGTAGAGCCCTGCGAGGAAGGAGTAGCCATCATGCAGCTCTTTCGATGTGAACAAACGAAACAAGTGACGACCAAGCTGCACGGGAATTGCAATGAAGATAGCAGCCAACACGGCAACGACGACCCAGACAGATGCGATGAAACCAAAAATCCTTAACCGGAAGTTTGGTGGAAAGTATACGATGAGATAATCGTTCTTTATCTCACGCTTGGCCTTCGTAGCTTCTGCATCTTGGGCTGCTACGAGCTCTTTCGCAGCGAGATCGACGGGAGTGCCATCCTCCAGCACTTCCGCAGTCGCACGCATATCCTTCGGAAGTGCGATGTTGTCGCTTGCGGGCACACGACGGAAGGTCCCGTCACGCGTTTTGCTAGCGGCCTCAATATCGCTCGGTGACCTGCGGAGGAAAGTAATCCAATTGTTGAACTGTACCGTGAATTCCTCGTCCGTATGGCGTTCGCCAAACATATACGAGGTCAGACGCAACCTTGCAGCTACTAGCTTCCAGATATGGACAGCCCACCGATGGAAAAATCTCCTGGGCCTGAGGTAGCGCATCGTGTATGGCAGAGCAAACTGTAGGAAAATGAGGTCTACGGGGACGGTGGATATCGGTTCACTGGATTGCAAAGTCAGGAAAGGATTTAAGATTTGATAGGCAGAAGTCTCACCGTGTCTTCCACCGGAGAGGGAAAATTGACCTGTTACCGACGAAAAGCAGCATAGCAAGAGTTGCCACTCCACACGCAACCACCATAGAGTACATGAAAGCACTGATGAGGAGTTTGCGGAACTGTGTGAACGTGGGCCTGTCCAGGATGTCGCGGATGGGGTGGAAGTTCTGATCCTGAGGGTCTTTAATGAACCACATGGCTCCGGGGCGCATGATATTCCGACATCCTGCCAACAGAATGGCAAACTGGTACCTAAAGATAACTTAGTCTACCATTTCCGTTGACGCTGCTTTGCTGGCTCACATGAACATGGTTCCAGCGACCCAGTGATAGAACATTGCCGTCAATGGGGCTTGAGTGAAGAAGGCAGCACGTGACTCGAAGGAGGCTTCAGGAAAGACCCAAACCGTACAGACGTCAAGCATGATACCACATCCCAGGGGAAATACCACGAGCTCGATAATAATAAACATGGCCACCTGTGAAAGATAAGTATGAGTCAATTGCAGCGACTAAGACATTACTTTGACCACTAGGAGCTGCTGCCGTACTGCACTCCGGATTGCTCGTCCCGCACTTCTCGCGTTGCCAACAGTGAATACGTTCAGGTAAATAGCAAGCAGGACGCCGACTACGCCGTAGCCAAGTAGAATGGCGAATACCTTTTCGCGGGTTCCTTGCCCCATGGTCAGGGCGACCCATGAAGTCTGCAATTGCTCAGAGGCAGATCGAACTTCGCGACCCAGACTTGCAAAATATGGTTGAAGGTACCGCGCAACTACCGAATTACCTTCCAAGAAGTCTTCAAGACGCTGTGACAACGAAGCAGCAGGGGAAGGAGAGGGTGTGTGCAAGGAAGTGACAGCATCCTCGTACACGGTTGTGATCTTCGATATCTGCAAAAAGAAATGAGAGCCAATTGTTTCAGTGAACACAATTCAATTACCGTCCACTGGATGATGTCGTCGGCGCTGACTTTGCGTCTGGCGAGAAATAGTAGAATATTCAAAACCAAGCGAACGGACCAATATAGGCAAGGGATGACGAACAGGCCAAGAAGGACTGTTACCAAATCCACAATAGGATCCGTGATAACTCTCATGGCTCGAATTGGGAGATCCAGGATATACAGTGCCCGTGGAGGATCGAGCTGAATAAAATGGAATGAGTTCATGTTGAACATTGACCTCCAGTACCTCCTACCGATAACAAAGCAGTTGTCTTTCCAAAGGTGAATGGGAGCCATACACCGAAGCCAATCGCGGTGTCAAGGACGAAAACCATAAGGACCGCCTGTATTTTATCCGTTAGAAAACAAAACATAGATTCACAAGTCGAGACGAACGTTTTGGAATACGCCGAGGATAGGCCCCCTCAATCCAATCGCTGCAGAGGATCAGTATGGGTTCGTGTGATAAGGAAGCTAGTCAAACCTTCCATAGCTCCGTCCAAATCGTCCTCGACTCCCGGTTCTAGATCATCCATTTCACCAGGCTGGTCGAATACTACCTGGATCTGAGGGGCTGCGGCAACGTTCTCGTCGCGAGGGTTGACTAAGTCGTCGCCTTCATCGTCCTCGTCATCCTCATCATCCAGCACCCGATCAACCTCGGCTGCAGGTGCTTGTGCCGGAATATCATCCTCATCCCCATCGTCCTCGTCATCCTCGTCGTCATTCTCCTCGAAGGGTGTATCCGGTATGGTGGCAATCGAGGTTTGATCCTGTGTGTCAGATGGAGGGGGCAAGTCGGGGCTAGCTGGCTCCGGATCACGGAAGAAGCGTTCAGTTTCATCTTCGAGTTCCTCTGTCGAGCGTTCCTTGCCGTCGAAGTACCCCGATGGTCCAGAAGATGGACCAGCTTCTAACTCTTCTGGTGCGAGATACATTGCGAGACTTGGTGATGATAGGGGAAGAGCTGGACTTGGCTGAAGCTTGTTAGGTGTCGCACCCTCTGCGAAAACAGTGGAGTTTGCCATGGGAGGTCGTCGTAGTGGAGTGCCAATATTGACATGAAGGGAAGGAGTGGTCGAAGGAGAGACAGAGGACGAAGTTGGTTGCGAGTCAAATTGGAACTCTGTATTCCAGGGAGACTTCCTATTGAAAGTTGATGGGCCAACGACAGGATCACTACTCCCAAAGGGCTCTGTGAAATTCGAGCTGATAGAGCTAGAAGCCCTGAAAGTAAACGGGAATGTTGATGCCTCCTCTCCATCGAGCGAAGTAGAGGGTTGAACGGCTTGACTATCAGTGGTGTCTTGAAACATATTCTCGTCTTCCTCAGCGTGAATCCTCCTGCGTATACGTCGTTGTGACTGAGGATCTGAGGACCCTTCTTCAATATCATCAATTTCTTCCGCCCTGCACTTTCCTTTCCGAAGCTGATGGTTTGCTTCATACGGCGGTGGATGCTCTCGGGGAACTTGGGGAAGCTGAAGAACTGGCTCAAGGGGAAAGGGAAGTCTCTCGAGAGGACCATTTGGAAGAGCCAGATCCCGGTCCCTCTCTGTTGGGTCACGCGGGCGTTGACCTTGCCATTGAGCAACACCAGCACCTCGACGAGCTCGCATAACTCTCCCTTGACGTCGTGCATCGAGAGCTGCCTCTTGAACGGCACGACGAGCAACCTGACCATTATCATCTGGAATCTGCACATTGGGAGGCTGTTCTGGTCCAACTGCGGGGATGTCACCAGGTTGAGGGGCAGGAGGTATTAGACCGCCGTCCTCATCCTCGAATACCCCTGGTCGAGCATTTTGCGAAATCCATTCCCTGAGAAGAAAGATTGCAACAAAGATTAAGACAATAAGGGAGGCAATGATTTGTCCCGCGAAGATGTCAGCAGATAGCATTGACCAGAATGGGCGAGTGGAAATACGTTGATATAGTGTGGCGTTGAAATGAAGTCCGAGACCAGGAGAGGAGCCATTCGAATAAGCGGTGGGGCCATTTATTCCAAAGAAATCAGCATATGGTCGACCACGACCACTTATCCACCATGCACTAGACAGTGTGAGTTTGGATTGCATGAAAACCGTATGACTTACGTTGACTCGCCCATCGTGAAATAAACTCTCCATGTCCAAATGGTGATCCACGGTAGTACGGCGAGCCAGACAGTTCCGACCATTATAGCCCGCAGACCAAAAAGGGCGCCAAACAAAGCTTGTTGTGTGAGGCGACGGCACAGTAGAAGTGGTGGAAGTGTCGAGGGCATATCAGCTGCATATACTGAGGGCAGCAGCCTGGTCAGACAGTTCTACACATCAAACGAAGTTGGAATCACCTTTGGTAAAGGAGTATGGATGTTTGCAGACATCGCAGGTTTTCTTCTTGCTGTGGGATAACCATGTCGTCAAACTAGATAGAAGGCGTGAATATGGCGGTACGATGGTAATATCATTCTTTTGAAGTCTACTGACCAGTCTTGATGGATATACCGGATAGTCCCAGAACATTTACAAGGATAAAAGAGCGGCTGATCCGAGTCCCCAGGCGCACTACAGATTCGACATGTGTCTAAAGGGCGAAAAGTTAGCTCAAGAACGATTCAGCACACAATAATGAAAGTATACCTTGCTCCTCTGCCTCCTGCATGCGTGTGACTCGTGTTGGTCGACTCTGACTCTGTTCCACTCTGCGCTCGTCAGGGTGACAGGTTGAAAAAGCCTTTGAATCCGAAATGCGGATTTCTGAACCTTGAAGACTCCAAGCGCCCTAGCCCCTGGGATGTGATTATGGATGTCGAGTACTCGAAAGATGTTGATCAGTGACTGGCAGTAAAAACGGAGAGTATAGAGTCTAATACTAATAGAGCGAGTCGAGTGAAGTTGACTAGTGATTTGTAAACTGAGCTTCGGCGTGGCCGAATGACACCATGTAAGGCGAGCATCGATTAATAAGTAAAGCGTAACATACGTGGCTTCTGTAGACTTGCTAGACTCTACAAAGTCGCTAGCCTTGGATTGGCCTGCTATGTAGTATCAATAGCCCGACAGCAACGGTACGATCTCAATAGTTTTTTTTCCCCGAGGTCGAAAAGATGAATCAATATCTAGTGGTGATCTGTGCCCGATATTAGCCTCGGACTTCGTATTATTATAACGCCTTTAAATTTGCAGGAAAGGTGAAAAGGTCTAACTCGGCGGCGATGAATACATCCCCCTACTTCGGTTAATATAGTTGCTTGGACTGCATAGCGAACAAGCTACGATATAATTATAGCTAAGACCTACCTTCACCGACGCGAAAGTCGGGAACTTTCCTATATAAAGCTTCGTAGCCTTCCAGCTTGAAGATTAATAGCAACCACGCTATTGCAAGCATCAACGCGAACACCAAAAAGCCACAAGGGTGGAGAGGTTCAAACCACATCACCCCCAGCCCCATGAAAATGGGACATGTTGTCAGTCTCCAGGAGTAATCCAGGAAGAAAGTAGACCCCCCCCCTGAGGGAATAAGATTTCTGTGGAAAAATAATGTTGACGGTCGATAACAAGGGATTTCTGCAATCTGGGCCAGGTTCCTTGTATCCTCGCAGTTTAGTGGTCTCGAAGTCTGTCCCCAGCTCCTTCTACTTACGAACCTAGCGAAAGTGTCCGCGTTGAGTAACGACAGATCCTTCGGTTCGCCGGCGGCTCTTGCCCGTCAACATAGAACATCTTAAAATAAAAACCTGACGAACCAACTAGTGAGCGGGGCCTGTGGATTCTTTGATGTCGGTAGTCAGGACCGATGTGAACGGCATGAAAACTATTCTGTGGTTCCTAAGCTGGTGGTATTCTGCCATTGACGGAGATCATTTCTTGGCTGACCCACGACATAATACCAACGTAATAGGTAAATCATTCTCCCGCCTCAGGAGTCGCCGAAAGAATACAGCCTCCCGATAAGCGTTGTCTGTGAAATATGTCAAGACACAGAGAACAATGACATCATGGCAGACACCCCGTGGACATCATCAAATGGCCAACGTGTACAAGCAGTTTGCGTTCACGAACACGGGTTATCACAAAGGCACTAGTGATGAACCTGTGCCATCAGTGGGGGTGATTGACTGTGCATCAACTTTCACGACAAGTAACCTTCACACCGATTCACCCCAGGACGAATTTCACTCACGGAGAACTGGGCTCTAGGTCCAAGACGTTCGGAATAGAAGCTGTCCGTGAGAAATGTATATCCGAACAGATGTCGAAGCTCATGTATCCACGGGTTCATGTTTCTGGCTGTAACCTGGGTCTAGAGATACTGCAGGTCCGCCCACACGACCTACGGGCACGACTCGGAGTTGCAGATGACAGTAATGAAATTGAAAAAAAAAAAAAAAACTTACTTTGAGCAGGAGAGCGTCATAGGCAACCCGCTCAACCTGATTAAATCGGAAGATATCAATATGACAGTCAATAAATTCTGCCTGCTTACTCGATCGGTAAACTCGACGTCCAGGACTTGAGAGTAGGATCGGGAATATATGCTCTCGACAACGTCGCAAAGTTCAGGCGCTGCAGCCACATTGAGATCAAAGTCATACCCTCCAAATTGGGCGAGTACCTAGCAGCAGCGACTACTGTAGATGGACCACCATGGTAATGGAACAAGGGCACTTCCAGGTTGCAGATCCAGGGGAAGATGTCAGCTCCGTTCGAAGACCGCGCGAACGGTGCCCACCAGGATCATAGTGCGTGAGTCGGTAAACGACGGTCGCGGCTTCAACAACTCTAGGGCCATCTGAGTCGGACGCCAAACTAATTGGAAATGGTATGCATCGTGCAAAACAACATATGTAAATCGACAAACAAACTCGTCGCATGTAACGAAAACCTGCCTTGTGTCCGACCACTGCTGCTTTCATTGCTAATCTGCTGACGAGTCGGAGAGCATCTGTGCCCAGCGCCTACACATTGTGAGTCAGACTTGCCAGCAAATGCACAGTTATGGTCCATGCATTGGGAGTAGGCAAATGACAGGTTGAGTCTTTTTTTTTTTTTTGAGTCGGAGCCCCTTCGATATCGCGTTGATCACGATCAGGTCCGGAATAAGAAAGAGAAAAATCATGAACGGCTTGGTAATGTACAAATATTATAGGGGGATATTGAACATGTGTGTAGTATACACGATTGACAATTGAAAACATCTACAAGCTGACAGGAGTCGGAAGGACCTTAACAGGGATTAAAACCCAGGTATATACAACGGAGTCAAAAATGTCTGCTGATAGTTTGCTGAAACGGTAGCGTCTGTGAACGTCATTAGAATTCACCGTCAGACTCTGCCATGTAGTGATCAGAGTCGGAGTCACTGTAATCGCACACATCATCCTCTGGAATGAGCCGATGTGCCTCATACTTCCCACTGTCAAGATGCACCATTCTCCAGCGTTCCGGGTGCTCATCCATGTCCTCCGTGACCCATTGAATGTACCTCGAACCATCTTCATCATCTGCGCTGAGTGAGATATTCCACCCGAGGAAGATGCGATTGTTGAGCTCGTCGTGCGCGACAAGTCCTTCATCATGTACGTACCACATGTCGTATTCATGCAGCATACCGAGCGTAGCACCACGCCGAAGGACGTTGAGGTCACCGCGGCTCAAATGATCGAAGAGATAGTCCTCTTCGTCAATGGCGGCTCCTGGTGGTGCCCACTGAGGGAGAACGTAGTCGCCATCGTAAGGTTCTCCATCACTGCCCGTACCGTAACTGAACACATCGTCATCCAGCCAATCGTCATCTTCGTCGTCATCATCTTCGTCATCATCGTCCTCGCTCCCGTAATCCTCTATTTCGTCGTCAGGCGGGAATAGACCTTCCCACGGATCTGTGTCAGCGGCAGGGGATCCCGTCGTGGGCGACGAGGTGTTGGGAGATAATCCTCGAACCTTCAACAATGTGGATGCAATGGATTTGACGATGAAAACGGGAATGGGCCGGTTGCGAATATTTCCACGACAGCATGGACAGGTCTTCTTGCGGTAGAGCAGGTAATCAGGATCGTCGTCGTACATTTCATCATCGCTGGGGGGTGCTTTCTTGAACCACTCCTGCAGACACGAAACACAAAGAACGTGGCCGCATGGTGACAATCTGGAGGAATCATGAGTGATTGCCAATGTGAGGGAATGTAGACTCACGCATATGGCTTGAGTAACAACTCCATGCAAATTTGGCATTGAAGATTCGTTTCGACATTACTAATGGCCTAAATAAAAGTTCAAGGACAATGTGTGTCGATACCACAAAAACTCACATCTTCAGACTTCTTCACCTTGGTTTGTGCCTTGCTCACTTGACTTTCCGTCTCCTTCAGTTTCTGCATGAACATTCACATGTATGAGCTTATGGATTAACAGGTGAAGGTAGCCACACTGACCTTCTCATTTGCACTTGCTTTCTGACGGAGGTCTTCAATCATCTAAGTCACACATTGTCAAAGTATCTGCCAAAAAAGCGCATACACGAACCTTATTCTGCTTCTTTATTGTCTTCTTGTTGTCATGAGCGAGCTGTGTCACTGGTCAGACAATGAAAATCGTGACGTGCTTTACTCACTTTCTTCCACGTTTCAAGTTCTCGCTTAAGCTTGGCAAATTCAGCGGCTGCGAGCGGACCTTGGTATTCAAGGTGAAGGTCCACGAGCGCCTGAACGCCTTCAGAGTCGGATGCAGGGGCTTTGTAAATCTGTCTGTGGGCCGAGTCTCTGGACTTGGATCTATCTTTCTTGGGCCTGTTCTCTACGGCAAGAGCTGATGCAGTAGCAGGGTGCTCTGCTCCCTGGCGACCTTGCTGACGAGATTTGGACTTGTACTTCCGACCTCTCTCAGAATTGGCATCGTCATGTGGTACCAGAAAGGGTCTGCTATCGAAAGGCACAGGATTAGCCGATTTCTTCTTCTTTCCTGCGTCGAGTTGAGCTGGCTCATATCTCTGCGTGGCAACTTGGAGCTGAGAGTTCCTAGCGTCCGGGGAGCGTGATTTCTTGCGGCGCTGACTAGCCCTAGAGCTAGATGGTGTATCTACTTGCGTGGTATTTGGTCGACGATGACCGTTGTTGCGCCGCGATGGACCAGGTGCACGTTCCAATGGATTCATGATGAGTAATTCTGACAATTGAAATGATAAGTCAATCGACGATTATCCCAACTCCCAGAGAAGACTCATATACATACTGTGTTTAGTGGTTAAGCTATTGCCGGAAGTGCTTTCGGCGTATGTTGTGTGCTGGCGATGTGAACGACGTGGTACAAAGGTGTTGACCCAAGTGCCCCGAGTGTGACTATAGTAGTAATGGAACGCGACGTGACAGTCGCATGTCACATTATTACGAAACGCGTCAAGCAAACGGGGTGCAAAAAAGATTAATGACCCCTTCGCAAATCATCGCGAAAATTCTATATTTATGTGAAGGATCGACCTACCACCTGGGATCGACCCAAGTCTCCCGAAAGGAAAAACCAATGACCTTTATCAAGTGTTGTAAATAGATACCCAGCACGTGTCACAGGCTACAGCAAGAACGCTCCCTCGTCATACGTACCTTCCTCGACACCTTATATCATGTCCTGTTTCCTATGGCTATCTGTTACTCCAGCACATCACCATGTAACTTGTCCTAACCGTCATGTCTCACGTAGTACGGGTCTCAGTTAACTCACTGTACTATCACTCTGGTCATCCATTGTCCCAAGGTACATGTGCATCATGATCGGACGTACATTACCAATTCGCGGCAGAAAGGTGAGTCACTTCTTCATTGCTACCAGTTCTGCGGCGGAGGACTTCCACTTTCCAAGGCGCTCCTCATCCTACGCTTTGTAGTGATATTTTTCGAGTGCCTCATAAGTAATAACCTTTCTTCCAGCGCTCAATCCAGTCTTCGGCTTCTCCAACCTCCGGAACTGGTTTCATCTGCTACCCCCTCCGAGAATCTGTCCTTGTTGGAATTCTGCACCGTACGAGGCGCAGTGCGACACCGTCATTTCTACTATCTTCGGCAATGCCAGCCAAGGGTATGCAAGCCTGAGTTCAATCATTTGCCGACAGTCACTGTAGGTGTTCGTGAACGCTATCAACCATGGAATAAATGGACCTAATCGTTAGACTAACGGAAGACCAAGTGATTATCACAACATTCCAACGATTTCGACAACTGTCATTCCAGTCGAATCTGGCCAGCGCAACAACTTTTTAGCGAATGTTCTGACCGTGTCCCCACTCACCATGCAAGGGGCTTCATAAATGACCTCGCGAATTCATTTGCAGTCAATAATTCACGATTGTTCTCGACCACCACGTATTAATGTGAGTGACAACTAAAACATGCTGATGAGGATGAAATGATGGGTGAAATTTCTAGATCGCTAATGTAAGTGTGCGGCAATGTTGACCCTCTCTGTGCGTGTTCTTGAAAGCTTCTTGGCTATCAATGCTCCATGGGCAAAACGAGGTCGTTTGTTATCAGTGGGTCTTGCAGGGCATGTCCAGGGATGTCTACAAAATGTAAGGACAAAGTGTTTCGTCTGCGGAAGCAGTTCGCGTGAGCACCATTGTATAATGTAACTTTTGAGACGAATTGAATGCGATCCTGGATAACAGGACTCGATAGCACCAGGGTTGCTAGTATGCCCGGTCACTGGCGGGTTTCACCTTCAGATCAAACTGACCTCGTTGAGCCAAGCGACCAATTGGTCCCATCAATCACACAGTTGAGGTCGAGGTTGCGGGCGGTCTTGCTTGTTCCATAAAGTGAGCGTCTGGCCAACAAATGCACAAGCAAGCACTAGCACATGCCATCGTCTTGATACTGATTGATGGGAATTGATGCTGCTGACCGTTGCCGTAGGATAACTTGCTGCCCAGTCCAGCGGGCACAATTCTACGTCGACTCAGATCCAGATTTGCAAGAGCAGCAGGTAAACCAGGCTCAGGATTGGCCGAGATTGCCTTTGTGATTAGAGACGCGCTGGCAAATCGAGTAGCACGCTGAAAACTGATCGTGGGACTCGTTAGTCCATGAGCCCCTCAGCGATTGGGCTGTTCCCGTCATACAAACCGTCCCGAAAACAGGGGGCCGCGGTAGGAAGTCGACTTGCTTCTACGTCCTGGAAATACTGTTCTGGCAGAACTTCGGGGCGAGAATGTAGGCAGAACCAATTCTCCTAAAATTTTATTCAAGCAGATAATATTCACAATCCCAGCAGATTGCCAACACTCCTCAAAATTGACTTGCTCTCACGAGTCACGACATTCTTGTACTATTAGATGCACGTATTGATCTTGCCTTTTTCAATTCGACGAGTAATAGACGGTGAACAACGCAAACAGTTCAATTCATTCAACAGCAATCCTTTCAGCGATACATCAACCTGTTGTTTCATCCTTATAACAAAAAGTACGTGACAGTTGTTGTAAGTACTGCAGTTCTCTATTTCAAGGTCTCCCTTGCACGATTTATTCAGAAGCAAGCATATTGATCAACCCAGCAACGAACTACTTGCATATCGTGCCATCAACCACACTGTGCACCAACGCGATAGCAGAAACATTACTCACTGTCGCGACGTGCCACTCAGGCTTGGCTCCTTCCGTGGACGTACAAACGCTTGCAATTTCCTCCTACCAGCTCGGTGAGTCATGGGATTAAATCTTGGATGCCAACTACTGAGATTTACAGTACTGGGGTCGAACATCAACTCGCATGTATAGCCAAAGCAGCAATTTCCAGAGTCGCAAAATTTGGGACATGCATCACTGTAAGCACTAACAGACATGGATGCCGTAAAAGCCGCAACGACGGCGAGGACGAAGGGGAGACGCATTACTTGCGCGAAGTGATATGAGGCCTCGAATGATAGATCCGAGGGGAGAGAACAGCAGGAAGACGGCTTGCTTTTATCTCCCTAAAATTATGTTCTAGGCAGAACTTTGTGGCGGCGAGAACTTTGAAGTACATAAATGACAATTTCAGTGCCAGTAGACCTCAAAATCGACCTACTCCCGATGTTCTTTTGCATTTGGCGGAGAAACCTTGGGGAAAGATGATAACATAGGTACCATTCCAACCCGCGGATCTGGGATCATGAGAGAACTTACAAGTCGTATCATGTATCCGGGGGTAACGGACACCGCGAGATCGACAACTGATCGCCGAGCTCAGCCTTGTACAGAAGTTTATGATGACGCGATCTAGCCCCACATGTAAATTTTCGGAATGCTAATGGTTCTCGGGCCGGGATGTCAGGACAGTCTAGGGTCTCCTTGTTTTATCGAGTCGAAAGAGCCCGAAAGTACATCGGACGTGACAGCCGCTGTAGTACTAGTGTACGCATCGCATAGAGGGCTTCTATAATGAGTAACGTGCGATACACAGTAAATGAAGGGTTAATAACAGTCGAGCCCAGCTCCGATTATTGATATAGATAATGAAAACACGACATCCCACAAAGCCAGAAGTAGTCCTCAAGTTTAAAAAAATCCGAGCTTTCTGTCAATATGTGGGTCGCGGGATGCTGCACCAGCCAATGGTTGGCTTGATGCTCGAGGAAGGGTGGGTGTGAGGATCCGTCCATGAAGATCGCAGTGTATTAGAATACTTGTTGGTATTCCAGTACTCAAATCTCCGACCACTGAAGGCATGTTAAGGCCAACCGAGCTCGTTTGTGCGTTAAAGTCTATGATCATGCGTCAGCTGGCAGGGAGTATAGGAGTCTATGTATCAACACGTAGATATTCTTCGATCGTGCAGACTCGTTCGAGAGACTCCCGCAGTGTTTAAAGGACGTAAAATGGTATCATTTGCTATGCCAAGCTTTACACATGGAGGACGCAAGGTTCATTAAGTATTACCCATGGAAAATGTCGATAAATAATCCAAAAGATGTAATCATAACCTTCCCGATACAATACAGCTTCAAGTCCAAGTAGATATCATAATGGAGGCAATAGCAGAACTGAAATACCCCAGGGACGTCCACGAAACCATTCTAGCAACAGAAACACGACCGGCCGCCTCCATGGTCTCCAGCATTGATATGCACTGCTGCGGCTTGTTGTTGTGAATTGGGGTCTGGTAAAGGATCTTCATCACGTTCCAGGTCATCGTCGAGGAGGTGGCTAGGAGCACCTGCTGCAGCATTGCGCTGTAAATTTATGCATGAGACATTAAAGACGCAGTGATAAACGTTGAGGGGGGGGGGGGGCACCTCTTGACCCTGCGCGTAGGGAACGTCGACAACGTGTGGTGCTGCATGATTGGTCCGCCAGGTTAGTAGATATCTTAGATGGGATCTGAAGGTGCTGGCAGAGGTGGCAGAGGTTTGCGTAGTGGGCGGCACTGGTGGAGGAGCTGGACGAGGGGTCCGCGTGAAAGCGCGACTGAGTCTCTTGATGCGCCCAGAGCGTTGCTGAGGTTGTGGTCGTGAAGTTTGAGTATACTGTAACAAATGATGCATGAGTGAGAAAAATGGATGCACTGTTGCATGCACGTCCATTCCCTGGAAGAAATCAGGTTCCATGTCGTAGCCTTCTTGATCTTGCCCAGGGATCTCCATCTGGAAAACGGTCAGTAGCAAATGGGATGAGGAAGAGAGTGCGTACGCGAAGAACACGGTCATTGGCCTCAGCGAGCGCGCTGCATTCTTGCTGGAAAGCTGAGTGGATGTGGGTAAGGATCATAGCACGGAGTAATGAAGACCTACCATTGGACCATTCAAGGCAGTCGACCTTTGTAATTTCATCAATGGTGTCCATCATGGATTGGTGTGATTCAAGGGCTTCGTCAACTTTACCTGCTGAAAGCAAAGCCTGGCAGAGTTTCTGGCTTGCAGTCAGCCACATGGACTCGAGGTCCCATCCAAAGAGCTGCACAAAACACGGAGTTTGCGTGAGAACATTCGCATGAATCATGTCAACGTACCACCACTAAATCAATGTATATAGTTTCAAAGGTTGAGAAAGCACTGGAGTTGACAGTGGCAGCAAAGTGGCCAGCAGCTTCTTCGTGACGTGCGCCATCTGAGGCATTGATTCCAAGTTGAATAGACAGATATGCCTGATATGCAAAGTTCAAAGAGATCAGTGTCAATGCACCAACCTGGGGTGTACATGATACTCGCTTCTATGACGCGACACACAGTATCATTATTCGGACAAACGGAAGCTAGCTCTCGAACGCGGAGAATTGCTTCGTCATGTTCTCCTGCATTGAACATAGCGATGGCCTGAAAACTGAAATGAAGTGGGGAGTATGTAAGAAACACGTAACGTGCCTTAATCAAGAGAATGAAATGAATGATCTTTGAATCTTCATTCGCGAACATGAACGCCATGTCAAACGCTTGCATCGAGTCGCGGAACTGCCCTTTTTCACAGAGGGCAATACCTTTAGAGATATAGCCCATCAAGGAAGGCTTAATGCGGATGGACTATGTCAGATGACAGTTAGTGTTTCGTGGGGAGCTCGTAATGGGTGGTCTATGTCACCTTCATTGCATCCTGAAGCGCGTGGTCGCATTGATGTTGTCGCGTCATAACAATTGAGTGATATGCGTAGGCGTGGTAGTCGTCGGCATCGCTATCAATCTCTTGCGTGAGTAGCATTTCAGCGGTAGACAAGTCCCCGGCAATGCATGCATCGCGGATTGACGATGACATATTGATAGCGAGGATCTGCATGAAGCATGTTCAAATTGCAACATCAGAGTCAAAGACAGAAACATGCCTTGAAATGAATGATCTTGGGTATTTCCCACTCTGAGATCATATTATCACCACCTCCGCTGAGGATGTGCTTGCCGTCCGGTGAGAAAGTGACGCATTTCGGCGAGGATGAGTGCTGGAAGATGGCGACAGTTTGTCGATCTGAGAGCTGCCAGAGACGGACATGGTTGTCCGCAGATGCGGAAGCTACCAGTGTACCAGTAGGGTTGATGGCAATAGCATTGATTCTACCAGTATGGCCCATCCAGCCATCACCGACCTCCTTCCAGGTTGATGTGTCCCACTCCCGTATGGTGGCACTGTCCCCTGAGAGAAGGCGTGTGCCATCAGGCGTCCACCTGAGTGAGTTGTTCCAATATACTATGCGAGCCTTGAGTGTGAAATTTGCGAAGCATTTTCTCGTGCCTGCATTATAAATTTCGATGTTGCTGGCTGTTGCAATGGCAAGAAGTTTGCCAGACGGCGAATACCGAATGCAGCGGATGGTATCACTACAATTGATTGGATCTCCTTCTAGCTGCCATGTTTTCGTACTCCACAGTTTCACCGTTGTGTCGAGTCCACCAGTGGCAAGCACTGTTCCTTCGGGAGAAAAGTCCAATGACAAGATCCGAGAATGGGCTTTGATGGGCTGGGTGAGAGGTTTGCCAGTTTCTCCGTGCCAGGCGATGAACTCTCCGTTGTCATCACCGCTTGCTACTAGTTGCGCATCTTGTGATACCGTCAATGCCATCACCGTATTGCGATGTCCCTCCATCTTCTTCAACACAACACCTGTCTCCAAGTCCCACAGACGAACCGTCTTATCTTTCGAGCCGGTAACCATTCGTCGTCTATCGGGGAAAACTGCGACTGCCATTACGGTGCTCTCATGATCTTTAAACTCTCGAAGAGGTGTGTTGCTTGTAATGGGCTGCGCCATTTTACTAGAGGTCACGGTCGGGGTGATTTTGGGTCGAGGGTTTGTGGGCTAAGCTGCAGAGGTGCGTGTATTGTGCATTTTACGTTGTTTGCTTCATTAACCTGCCTTGTGTTTCCATAGATGCCCAGGACATGAGGCTGTCCGCATCCACCCCTCCATTGGGTTCTGTTATCCTTTCCTCGACAGTATGACCCTCTCTGTGCATCTGCGCATGGCTCCAACTTGTATCTCCACAGCTTTCAACATGCGTCATCTCGCCTCCACTCGGAATTGGGATACAGACCAGACAGTACCCCTCGAGTCTTTCTGGTAGGGCCGGTCGAATATCACGATCACTATCTATCCTTCAGGAATACATGAGTGGTGTCGTGTTTCTACATGCCGAGCTGATGCACCAGCACATGATCATGAAACCTGTCGGGAGGGTCAACATTCTCGAATGCATGTAGCTCGCGGTACGAACAATTCGATCATCCCTTCGATTCCCAATACATCGAATGCACTTTGCATTCGACAGGCATCCGTTCTCGCCTCTCAAATGACTATTAGTTCTTCACGGAGCCCTTTCCACCTTCCAAGGCGTACTTTATCCTACACTTTGTGTGGCGATTTTTTCGACAGCATCACTACCTTTCTTCTAGCACCCTGCTCGTCGTTCAATTCATTCCTCAGCTCCACCACTCCCGGAATGAGTTTCAGTCATCCCTTCCCAGATCATTGACATCCTGGATCGTACAAATAGAGGTGCAATTCGGTTGAAACATTCTACTAACCTTGGCGAGCTCTGCGTTCAACCACTAACCAATTATCACTGCGGGTGTTCGGGAACGCTATCTACGATGAAATAGATGAACCCAATCCTTGGAACGCCGGGAGCACAAGTGAGTATCACAACATTCTACTTAATGCTCTGGCCCCCGTTACCATGTACCAGGTGCTGCGTGATCGATCTCGCGAAGTAACTTGCAGCCAATGATGCATGATTGTTCTCGAACCCTGTATACTATGTCCGTCATGAATGTCAATTGATACATGCGGATGAGGACAAAGTTGAAATTTCTACATCGCAGATATAGAACCATGGGGTCCGCGCCAGAGAATCTTATCCCTCACATCCACATCCATGACGTCTTGGCCAAGTGAGCGGACTATCATACTCGTGGTCACTTGGGTATTATGGCGAAAACGGTGGAAAATGTCTGGTGCTGTACACGCTCCTCACGAATCACTTGTTCATCACTACATCAAAGATGATCTTCGGGTTCTGAGATGCGCCGGCTCACAGCCCCGAGTATTTCAGTGGCTGGGTATACGAGTACTTAGGTAATGAGGTCTAGTAAGGGGCTCAATGATCTTTAAGAGAAGACCCATACTGAACAGATCACTTTAATATCAATATTTCTCGAGGAGAGCACTCTTTGACTCAGCTCTGAGCCTCGCTAACGTCATCTACCAACAGTGACTCAAACTTGAACATTGACGGGTTCCCTTCATGTTTGTAGTCTGCAATGCTTAGCTTGGCGAGGCACATTCATGTGGACTTTACTGTGTAGCGTAAGTGATCATCTGACCATCTGAGGCAAATACAAACTTCGAGTTTGTTCCGAGCCCGATATCAAGGTCATGTTCCCTTGGAAGCTTCCTGGTGATCCAGTTTGCTGAACTTACACACTTTCTCGCCAATCCCTAATGTCTAGAGTTTCAAGCACTACCTGCATATGCAGCGGAGAAGCAAAGGTGCAACAAACTGTCACATAACCATGGTCAACCGACGAGAACACAACACCTCCCGATGACATGTGGAAGCTCACCGCTCTCTATGATGCACTAGCAGAGCCTGAGCAGTTCTCGATAGAGTTCAAGGCTGGTCTCCCCGTAATTATTGTCATCGCTAACCAAGCTCCTCTCACCCCTGAGCGCGAGTTCGTCACTAGTGACATTCCCGCGAGCCAGCGCACCGTCAATGGAACAGTGCATTTGAAGCTCTGCAAGGGTAATGTTGTTGTTATCGGCCGGTCCCCTGATGAGGTAACGAATTTGATCCACTGCCTCCTTTGTTCTTCATTCGCTTGCCAGGGTCTGGATGACGAGCACCAATCCTCCATGGACCAGCTCGGCGGTTTTGAGCCAACAGGTTTCATTCAAATCGAAAGTATCCGTATTGAAAAGTATATTTCCAGCTTACATTCATTGCAACCTGCTTGCTTACCTTTGTCAAGGCGGGGCCAGGTGATGCTCGCAAGGGTCAAGCTGGCGTTGAGCCAAATGTAATTGTAAACAGCGTCCTACTATCGTGGTATTAGGGTGCCGACAGATACCTTGCTTGTAGAGCTCAATACTTCAACATTTCTCGAACAGTGCCACAGCATGAAATTACCTGCGCACAAACCCACCGGTGAAATAATGGAAATATTGTCGGCGTAGCAGTGGAATTTGTTATGTCTGTCTGCCAGTTGAAGAGTCGGATAACTATGCAGCAACGACTTCCTGTCGGTCAGGAAACCGACCAACTTCCTCCTTGCTTCTCCTGGCACAAGATATGTCTGGGATCACGCTCAGGATGCTATCAACTAGAATACGAAAGAACGATTGTCTTACTTCGATTGGTCTGGCTAGGGGAGACTAATCAACTGGTACAAATCTTGCTAGTGTCGCGGGTCGAGGTCTCAGAATCGTGCGCGAATAGCCATGTTCAACCGCGCACGTCCGTTTGCCTGAAACACCAAGGAAGATACGAATTTTAAACATCGCCATTTAAGTCATCTGGGAGGTCACGGACATGGCTATTGGTGTGCATGCCATCATGAAGAGGAGACATGAATTAGTGATAGTGAGGATCGTGTCGAGTAATTGCAGTGTTGTGGGGAAACTTGAAGGTGAAAGGTGTAGGAAAGAGTACTAGTGCGTGAGGAATATGTAGTTGCTCTCCGACGTCTGGTTTGAAGTAAACTATACAGTATCCGTGTGCGCATCGGCAAGATACCAAATGACGCCTGCTGAGAGATCTTGGAAAACAAAATGCATTTACAATATTTCTAGGGTTCTGACGTTCATCATGCTGCGAACAGAAGCTACGTCTTTGACTTGAGCAATGATATTATGATCCGGTGCAATCCTTTTGTATTCTCCGATGCGCAGCTGCGCTAGCAAAAATGCCCCGAAAGGTTGGCCAAGGCGAACTATCAATCGTGATGCTCGCTCGCTCGATTCCGAATCAACCAGCTCTTGTTCTACAGGGGAACTGCCAGGAGAGTCGTCCAACGGAGACTCGGGCTCGAGCCACTCTCCCAAGCTCTCCACATCATCTGCAATGGTAGGCTGCTCTTCGAAGTCAGGCAGCTCGAGGAGACGACGATCCCATGGACGGACAAGGAAGAATGTTTGTTGAGTGGGCTTTCCCCGCGAGAACTGGATAATTTTGTCGTCGGTGGTGATCAGCAGGTCACGAAGCCCGTCTGCCTTTGACACCATACGTGGAATCAGTCTCCTGTGCTGAATCATACCTCCGTCTGACTTCCGTGACACGGAATACAATGCAAGGCAGATGTAGTCTGCAGTTCGCGAAGCGAGGAGCGCTCATGTTCTGAAGCTTGGTATAAAGCTTCGAAGCCAACCCTGCAGCCACGGTATCTCGCAGCGAAGAGACCATTGTCTGAATCTCATCTTCAGACAAAGATGGCAGGGCGCATGGCAGAGCCGCATATGAAGTAATGTCGGCTGGAAGACAACTATTGAACTCGGAGGATTTTCCGACCCAATCGAGGGCCGTAATGTCGCCCGACCGAGCTACTATGTCCTGCAAGAGCCGCCCGAGTGCGTTTTGTTTCTTCTCGCCATAAATGACAGGTAGCTGGACACCGAAGATGCCGAACAATGAGTAGGCGATGTCTTCTTGCAATGTGGTGCGGCGTGACGATGCCCGTCGAAGTTTCTCTCGGACGCCGCTCATCCCTGGACGGAAGGCAACGAGGGCCTGTCGATCCATACCCGTCGCACCCTCCAACTCCTCCATGATTGCAGTAGATTCTTTGTGGTTGGGAGAGTGGTCGTCAAGATACAATGTCCAATCCTTGGTGTAAAAGAGGACAACTTGAGGAGCGACAAATTCTTGAAAGGTCCATCCTCGCTTGTTCCAAGCGCTCCTTGCCAATGCGCCAGACATGGATAAAGGAGGAACATCGCTCAGGTAGACGATGGTAAGCGCTGAGTGGCGATACCAGATGAACATGGAATTGATCGATTCTTGGACCTCTGTATTGTTATTCTTGTCGATGCAGCATGTATCCATCCATGCCCAGAAGTACCCCGCATCACGAGCTGTTCTGCAGAATGACTGCAATTTCACGATGCCGCCAACAGGATTCAACTCGTACACAACTTTGTCTTGGATGTTGTGCAGCAGCAACTCCGTCTCTTCCCACCTGTGTGATAGCAGAACACACCGGAAGTACTTTGCCACCACTTCGTTGATGCGGTTCATTCGGAGGTCTGAATGCTTCGTTGTGAACGACAACAGCTCCTTGTATTCTGCGCTCATTTTGAAGGCGTTTATCTGTGCCGTTCGATCGCACAAGAGACCTGTGGAGGTGTTAAGTAGACGAAGCGGGGTATTTTCGAGTTCGATCCAGATGGCATTTCGAATAGCGTCGTCTACTTCGGATGGAGAGACATACTGCGCACGCAGCTCTGTAGAATGAGATAAGCGTCTTTGGGCTGGCACACGAATGTTCCGGGGCTTACCTCGCATCTGCGCGTCGGGAGCATCATCTAACTTGGACAACATGATGTTGAAGGTCTCGATAGCTTCGTCATAGCGTTGTGCGCCACGAAGCGCTGCATGCTTCAGCTGGTATCCAACGTGAGACGAGGGATTGACTTCAATGACCTATGAATTGCCAGAATGAGCATTGGGCACGAAATGGTATTAAATGTACATCGCACCTTTTGCGCATCGAGAAGTGCATCCTCCCATAGCATTTTCCCCCAATTTTGCTTCGCTGCGGTTTGCAAAGATGGCATCATTTGCAGAATTCAGGTCGATTGCCACAGAGTATAAGTCAATAGCCGTGTCGTAATCGCCTGCAGCGAGGGCTGCATCACCGTCGGCAAGATATGGCACATAGCATTCTGAGCTGAACGCTGTGTGAAATACGGGTGAGTTTATAACAGTATCACATTGCAGCCTCAAGACTTGCCGTTGGACCAGTCAAGGCAGCCGGCCTTCGTAGTTTCATGAATGGTGTCCATCATGGATTGGTGTGCTTCGAGGGCTTCTTTGACTTTACCTGCTGAAAGCGAAGCCTGGCAGAGTTTCTGGCTTGCAGTCAGCCACATTGACTCGAGGTCCCATCCAAAGAGCTGCACAAAACACGGAGTTCGCGTGAGAAGCATGTTTGGATGAATCACATTGACGTACCACCACCAAGTCGTCGTAAATAGTTGGGATGGTTGAGAAAGCACTGAAGTTGACAGCGGCAGCGAAGTGGCCAGCAGCTCCTTCGTAACGTGCGCCATCTGAGGCGCTGATTCCGAGTTGAATAGACAGATATGCCTGATATGCGAAATTGAAAAAGATCAGTGTCAATGCACGAACCTGTGGTGCACATGATACTCACTTCTATGGCACGACATGTAAGGGTATCATTATTCGGACAAGCGGAAGCTAGCTCTCGGACGCGAAGAAATGCCTCTTCATGATGTCCTGTGTCGAAAATAGCGATGGCCTGAAAACTGAAATGAAGTGGGGAGTATGTAATAAACATGTAACGTGCCTTAATCAAGAGAATGAAATGAATGATCTTTGAATCTTCATTTGCGAACATGAACGCCATGTCGAACGCTTGCATCGAGTCGTAGAACTGCCCTTTGTTCAGAGAGGGCAATACCTTTAGAGATATAGCCCATCAAGGAAGGCTTAATGCTGATGGACTATGTTACGATACAGTTAGTGTTTCGTAGGGAGCTCGTAATGGGTGGTCTATGTCACCTTGATTGCATCCTGAAGCGCGTGGTCGCACTGATGTTGTCGCGCCATAGCAATTGAGCGATTGGCGTAGGCGTGGTAGTCGTCGGCATCAGTGTCAATCTCTTGCGTGAGTAGCATTTCAGCGGTAGACAAGTCCCCGGCAATGCATGCATCACGGATTGACGATGACATATTGATAGGGAGGATCTGGATGAAGCATGTTCAAATTGCAACACCAAAGTCGAAGACGGAAACATGCCTTTAAATGAATGGCATGTATTTCCCACTCTGAGATCATGTTATCATAACCTCCGCTGAGGATGTGCTTGCCGTCCAGTTGAGAAAGTGATGCATTTCAGAAAGGATGAGTGCTGGAAGATGGTAACAGTTCGTCGATCTGAGAGCCGCCAGAGACGAACATGCTTGTCGTCAGATGCGGAAGCGACAAGTGTACCAGCGGGGTTGATGGCAATGGCATTGATTGTGTCAGTATGGCCCATCCAGCCATCACCGACCTCCTTCCAGGTTGATGTATCCCACTCCCGTATGGTGGCACTGTCCCCTAAGAGAAGGCGTGTGCCATCAGGCGTCCACCTGAGTGAGTTGTGCCAATAAGGTGTGTGAGCCTTGAGCTTGAGCTTTGTGACACATTCCCTTGTGCCTAGATTATGAATTTCGATGTTGCTGAATGTTGCAATGGCAAGAAGTTCGCCAGACGGCGAATACCGGAAGCAGTGGACATAATCACTACAAATGATTGGATCTCCTTGGATCTCCCATGTTTTCGTACTCCACAGTTTCACCATTTTGTCTCCACAAGTGGCAAGCACTGCTCCTTCGGGTGAAAAGTTCAATAATCCCATATGAGAGTGGGCTTTGATGGGCTGGGTGAGAGGTTCGCCAGTTTCTCCGTGCCAGATGATGAACTCTCCGCTGTAATCACCACTTGCTACCAGTTTCCCATCTTGTGACACTGCCAATGACATCACCATATCGCCATGCCCCTCCATCTTCTTCAACACAACACCTGTCTCCAAGTTCCACAGACAAACCGTCTTGTCCAACGAGCCGGTAACCATTCGTTGTCTATCGAGGAAAACTGCGACTGCCCATATGGTCCCCTTATGATCTTTAAACTCCCGAAGAGGTGTGTTGCTTGGAATGAGCTGCGCCATTTTACTAGAGGTCACGGTCAGAGTGGTCTGGGGTCGAGGGATTGTGGGCTAAGCTGCAGAGGTGCGTGTATTGTGCGTTTTAGCTTCATTAAGCTGCCTTGTGTTTCCATAGACGCCCAGGACATGAGGCTGTCCGCATCCGCACCCCCATTGGGCTCTGTTATCCTTTCCTCGACAGTATGACCCTCTCTGCGCGTCTGCACATAGCTCTGACTTGTATCTCCACGGCTTTCACATGCGTCACCTCGCCTCCATTCGGAATTGGGATACAGACCAGACGGTATCCCTCGAGTCTTTCTGGTAGGGTCGGTCGAATGTCACGATCACTATCTATCCTACAGGGCTACATGAATGGCGTCGTTCAGGATGGTCAACATTCTCGGATGCATGTGGCTCACGGTACGACCAATTCGATCATCCTTCGATTCCCAATACATCGAATGCACTTTGCATTCGACAGGCCTCCCTTCTCGCCTCCCAAATGACTATTAGTTCTGCACGGAGCCCTTTCCACCTTCCAAGGATTACTTTATCCTACACTTTGTTTGGCGATTTTTTTCGACGGCATCGCTCCCTTTCTACCAGCACTCTGCTCGTCGTTCAATTCACTCCTCAGCTTCACCACTCCCGGAATGAGTTTCGGTCTTCACCTGTTATCCCTTCCCAAATCATTGACATCCTGAATCATACAAGTAGAGGGGCAATTCGGACATCACACTCTAATTACTCACCTTGGCGAGCTCTCTCCGCAGCCGAAGCTATGCGAGCAATTGTCATTGCGGACGTTCGGGAATACTATCTACGATGAGATACATGGACCTAATCCTTGGACCGCCGGGGGAACACGAGTAAGTTTCACAACATTTTACTGATCCCCATTACCATGCACCAGGTGCTGGGTGATCGATCTCGCGAAGTAACTTGCGGTCAATTGATCGGGAACACCGTGTACTATATCCATCTTGAATAATAATTGATGCATACTGATGAAGACGAAACAATTGCTGCGCGAATGTAGAACGACGGGCTCACGCCAGAACATCTCATCGCCCGCATCCACATATATGACGTCTATGGACCCAGTGAGGGACTGTCGACTCGTAGTGACTGGGTATTGGGCTGGCCAAAGTGGCGGAGAATGATGCGGTCATTTTCATGCTCCTGATGAATCACTTGTTCCACTCGAACAAGATGCTCTGGTTTTGAGACGCGCTGACTTGCAGCTCCGAGTGTTTCAGTGGCTGGGTATACGAGTGTTTGGGTAGTGAGGCCTAGTAAGGGGCTTGATGATCTTCGAGATGTAAGATTCAGACTCGACAAATCACTTTATGATTGATATCTCTCGAGGAGAGTGAGTATCACTCTTAGACTTAGCTCCGAGCCTCACTAACGTCATCTACACCACCGAAAAAGTGAGTCAAACTTAAACGGCGGCGGCGACTGCCAAGGTCTACGTGTGCATAGCAGCTGAACCTCTCGCTTCTCGCTTTTCAAACCGCCACTAATTTTGCAACAGGGTTTTCCACCTTCCAAGGCACTATACGGCCGCCAGTACTAAACTTTAACCGCAGCCAAGCTGTACGAGCCCTACGTTCATTTTTTGGCCGACTGTCATTGTGGGTGTTCAGGAACGCTTTCCACCATGGATTGGTCGAGTAGTCCCAATCCCTGGACCATTGAGAGACAAGTGAGTAGATCTTATGTTGGACACCCGCGTAGTACGTATGGCCAATGTATGCATATGCTATCGCATAGTCATCATAACCCGTACTTAAGCCATATTTGACGGCCATCATTCAAATTGAAATCCGTCATGATAAAGTTGTGTTGCCGATTACAGCTGACATTGATAACGAGGCGCAATGGGATATCAGACACATTTAATTAGTGCAAGGGTAAGATTTCATACATCGAAATTGCATTTAAACAGTAAAAAGTTAGAAGGGGCACCGCAACGGGAGCAACTAGTCCTCGCCCCGTCCTTGGTTCCGTCGTCATTCAGCGGAAAATGTCACTCATTGATGTACGAAGAAAGTTGAGCACTGGCGGTACCATATTGACGCCAGTCGAAATGGTTATTGAAATGTGGTTTGCATTCGAATCTACATGCGTCGGGCTGGAGGTTGATTCTTGGAGGACCAAGATGATGACGGGCATGAACAATGGCATTGACAAGAGGGAAGATCTGTGCTTTACGCATGTAACGTGTAAGGACGATTTCATATTCTAAAAATAAAGGATGGGAGATGCGTTTTAACAGTGTAGGGTGCATTGATGATGTGCGAAGGGGGAAGAAATCAAGGTCAGAGACGCAGATGACATCTGTGTCATTCATGGGTACACGGTGTGGAGTGTCGTACTCGTAGTGACTTGGGTGTTCTGGTCGAAGCGGCGGCGTCCTCTGGCTACAGGCCATGTCATCACCGTCGTCTCTGCGGTGCATATGAATAGGAGGAAGTATATAATTGGGGAATTACATATACCTTTCCGGCTGCTGTCTGTAGCGCCTTGGCTGGAAAAAAAACCCAGCTGTTACGTCTGGCAATGTTCGGCGAGAAATGGTCAAGGAGAGAACAAGAAACAAATGCACTTCGAGCACTTACATAAGAACGTGCGTAAGCAGTCTCCAGGGTTATGCTAGGCCGGAAGTTGTCGATAGGCTCATTAAAGTCAGGCTTTGATTGTTCTTACGGGATGTCGTAGAGATTTCGCAGGGGTTGCGTATTTGAGGAGAATGAATTGATGACTGTTCATGATAAGCAAAATGCGTACCATGCTATTGGCAGCGGAGAAAGAGGGAAAAAATGCAACAGGAATGACAACATTAACGGAGACTTCCTGCGGAATATTAATGGGCGCAGGTCATCCCCTAAACAAACAGGCACCAACGAAGAAGCTAGGTCCTGCAGGGTTCTGTTAGGTTGCGCGAGTTCCATACCGCAATCAATGGAAGCTGTCACGCCACATTAAACGATGACATGACCTCTGGCACTCAGGAGTCTGCGCCCGGCGATGTTATGGAAAGTCATACCCTACTGAGTCACGGCCAGGGCACTTCTTATTACGCCAAACTTGTGCCGAGCCACAGTTCAGTCCAGCCCGTGGTTACCCCTTTCTTTCGTACTAGATCGGCACTATTTGAGGTTTGTGAATTGTTGAAACTCTGCGATTATCGATGCCCGTTCATCCAACATCAACAAATCGGTATGGTTATCTGGGTCCAGTTGAATGCAATTCTGTAGTTTTCAATCGAACGACAGTCGTCCATATCCAACTTGCAAATTGTATCTGGGTCGATGATCTATTTTGTTGCCTGCTCCTATTTGCACAGCTTACAGATATCGAGCTCGCCGTACATCAACCAAATGCATTGCTCCACTTGCTCCGACTCTCTCCCCACCTCTCCTCGTTAACGATTGGCTTAGGATCTGGGCTACTCAAATGGGCCCTGCAGCCATTCACGCACACTAAACTTCAATCCTTGCGCATCGCTTATGTGCGTGACTGCCTGCTCCCTGACCTGTTCAATATACTGTCACTCCCTAATTTATGCGTGCCTGTAGCTCATGATGTCGAAATGTGGCCTCACGGGGAGTTGAAGGGATTGTTGGCACGGTCAAATTGTCCCCTAGAGAGCCTGATTTTCGGTCATGGAGTAACGACGACAGATGAACGTTTGAACAGCGAGCGGAATGCATTGCCCTCATTCCTTCCCTTGAAGTAGTAGTGGATCCCAAGTCTCGTGTTTACCTATCAATACGAGACTTAAGCGTTGGCAGTAGAAAGGGTTGGAGGTTCTTATGTATACCAGTTTTTAGCCATTATATCATAATCCAGTTCGATTCCTGCATTGTTCACTTGTTTTGGACTGAGGGAGGAATCGAACAAATAAAATCGCTGCAGCCGACGCAAGGTAGTACGGAAAATATTGAGAAACAATTGGTGAGTGTTCATGATAAGTGAAATGTGTATTCCATGCCATTGACAGCGGGGAAAGAGAGAACATCGTCGGTAGTATGTCAACGTCAACATGACTTCCTGCGTAATGGGCTCAGGCCATCACCTCAAAAAAAGCAGGGCTCTGCCCCGGTCAGCGGACAGGCTCCGCTAACAACAAAACTAGGTCCTGCAGGATTCTGCTAGGTTGCATGTGTTCCATACCGTAATCAATAGAAGCTCCCATGCAACATTCAATGATGACATAACAGCTGCGAGATAGCGGGCGGGTCGCGATCCAAGCAACAAGGGAGCAGGGAACATAATGGAATATCGACGTAGATGCAAGTTGCAAGTCGGGTAAGGACGACTGTTGTTCAAAATCGAAACCTCCACGAAAATGTAGTTAACCAGAGCAAGTGCCTAGATGTGATCATCATTGACCAGTTTGAACTTCGAATAATCGCTCATCGATGATTGCAGAGTTTCAACGATCGACAGTTCGCAAACCCCAAATGTACGTACGAAAGACAGGACCACCCTCGTTATCTTTAGGGTATGACTTCCATGACGTCGAATGCGAGCAGACTCCTGAATGTCAGACGTAAGAATGCGGACGCAGTGTGGTGTTTAGGTGTAGATCTATTGTGATCTAGAAAATCCGGGAGGACCCATCTGACGAGCGCAAGGCGCCGTGACTATAATCTTGAGACACGAGGCAAAGGTAGTACTTAGTACTATACTGGTACGCGCAAGTGTGAGACAGAGTTCAATGAGTACAGAGGCCAAACAGAGACCATCATCATGATACAAGGCCAAAGAGAATGACAAATAAGCGCTTCATACAGGCTGTCAGAACTTAGCGCACACTTTCAAGTTGTAATGCAATTGATATGATGCAGGTACTATCTTATCACTGCGCAACTTACTACTTATTGACAGGTTTGATATTAGCCAAGTGTCCGTGGTTGTCACGGGTGAGCATAAATTCTACAATACTTAGCCGTATTGATACTCCGGCTTGACAGAATAACGAAAGATCTGGACTCTGCGCCCACTGGACTGAGTCACGGCATGGGGGGTACTATTGATTGTTTCGCCGCTTTGGTATCTCCGACCGCAGATTTCAGAGATGCCGTGTGCTGCCATATGTCACAGTCTCCTGACCCGCATCCGCACCTCCGTCACCTTTAAGGCTTTAACTTTCGAAAATCGGTCCTCAGGAGCTATCACCGGGCTCCTCCCATCTGAGGCGGTGATTGCACTCCTGCCACGAGTTGTGTGTAAGCCGTAGTGTATGTACGACTTACTTGGATAGTGAAAACACAAGTGATTGAGGTAAGTATGTATCATGCGTTCCAAGAGTCTGTCTTGGAGCATCTCCCCCAACGTTCCTTAGCAGGCCTGCGCGGCAGCGTGCCAGTACAACTTGGAGCTGGACATTGCCTGGCCCGTATCATCATGGGCACATACATCTGCATTTGGCCGAGTCGAGAACTATCCTCCATCGATCCGAAAGCGTCAAACTGCTGCTCTTTCTGGATAGATCAAAGGAACGTGCCGGTGTCCGAGTCCCTAGTGGGTGGCGCCATCAAAGCGTTATCTTCACTGTTCAGGATTCAGGAAACTTAAGGAAAGTATCGAACGAGCTCTTTGAAATGTCCACGTAAACTTGGGCTTGTGTCTGTGGTATGACACACATTTATCATCCACACCAATCACACACAGGGTCATACTTTCTCGGGCTCGGGATAGTTCGGTATTATCAACCTAACTATGCATTCAGACAGGGGTTTGGTCAATGGCCTATCTCTGCACTAATGTGGGCTCTTATCACCCTAGACTTTAAAAATAGCTGGACAAAGCAGTCAGATCCCCACTCGAACCCTCACTGCCCTGCGACATTCACCACCAATTTCATGGCGACCGTAGAAAAATCAGAGAAACATGATATCATTAGTTCTCTATCGTCAATGACTCGTGTCGCCGACGACGACGATAAATTTCTTGCAAGTAACCCCTTTCCTTGTGCTCAGCCTCAATCAATGTGTAACAGGTGACCTTCGAGGACAATGACACACGGGATCCCATGAACTTCTCATACAAAAAAAAGTGGACGATCACACTGGTAGCGTGTGCGTTTACTGGGATAGTTGGTAATTTAATCTACGCCGTTGAGCGACCAGAGAATCGATCAAGACAATTATTTGCCTCTAGCTGCAGCATCGGCCTCCTTTTCTATGGGCTACCAGTCAATGATGCGGGAACTAAACTGCACACAGTTCCAGGCCACTGTCGGATTGAGCATGTGGTCAATCGGATTTGGCATGGTTCCTCTTATCACTTCGTCCTTCACGGAAGAGTTTGGTCGCCTGAATATATACATCGTGTCATCATTCGGCTTTATGCTCACGGAGATCATGGTTGCATTGTAAGCTTTTTTTTTTACGAGCGCGATCCGGATTCGCAGACTGTTCCAGGTCGCCGAACATACAGACCGTCATCCTTGGACGTCTACTGGGAGGTGCATTCGGCTCAACGGGTGCGACCTTGGTTGGTGGTTCGATCGCTGATATCTGGGGACCACATGAGTTGAGGATTTGTGATTTTGCTTGATTGATCGCTACAGCTATCTTCACAGGCGTGGTCAACCCATGGCATTCTTCAGTCTTGCTTGTGTAGCGGCAATAGGGCTTGGGCCCGTGATCGCTGGTGTAATCGAGGCCGACCCCCGACTTGGATGGAGATGGATTCAGTGGATTCATGTGATGTTAGTTTCGTGGAACACATCACGCATGACGTACTGACTGGAGTTTCCTCAAGGTTTTCAGGGGCTTATTTCATTTCTGTTGTGTTACTCATGAAAGAAACACGGGCTACCATAGTTTTGACTCGCCTTGCAAGAAAGAAGCGCAAAGAGACAGGAGATGCCAGATACCAAGCGAAAGCAGAAATCGAAAAGCAAAGCTTGATGACGTTGATCAAGATTTCCTGCACCCGACCTATATGTCAGCGAAGCTCCCCGATGATTTACTCGGACCAGCTAACGTTTGACTTTCAGACCTCTTGCTGACGGAGCCTCTCGTACAGAGTTTTAGTGTAGGCTCTGCGACTGCTTTTCAGAGACAGTGCTAATTGTGGTCGCATGCAGTTGTGGATCGGCTTTACGTGGGGTGTTGTCTTTGCCCTTGTGGAGTACGTTGCTCCATATATTGCTGTTATTACCTCTAACTACATCGTAGGTCTGTCTCCCCTGATTTCCAGGCGGTCTACGGATTTGACATCCAGAACACAGGATTCATCTTCAGCACCATCACGTGAGTAAGAATATAGAAATCGTGATGATCATTTGCTTTTGTCCGGCTTAGACTTGGGAGCTTCATTGGATATTTTGCCAATATCTATCAGGAGAAGCTATATCAGTAAGGATAGCTACATTGCACATCTACGGAATATTGACCTGTTCGGATTAGAAAACATTATCCTCGGAAACGTCAGGAAGCGCGTCTTTATCTTCCGTGTGCCGCGGCAATCCTTTTGCCAATCGGTATGTTCATCTACGCTTGGACCGTAAGGCCGGACATACATTGGATAGTGCCAGCAATTGGTCTAACTGTTTGTCCCGCGCATCTTCGTTACGATCACGAGACTGACGTTTTCAAGGTATTCATGTCCGGCGCATTTGTGATTTTCATGGTGGTCTTCTTGTATCTCGCAGACTGGTGAACATAATTTGACCTTCGCGATGGAATGGAACTCACCAGTTCTTAGCTATGGAACATATGCATCATCGGCCATTGCAGGCCAGAGTCTATGTCGTGAGTTCATCATTTGCGCAACTCTCAGGTGCTTTTTAACCCCATAATTTGCTAGGGAATCTTGCCGTAGCAATTTTTCCTCTTTTTACAACCCAAATGTTTGCTCGCTTGACGCATAAATGGAGTCTGACGTTGTTTGGATGTATAGGTGCAGCGCTAGTGCCTATACCATGGGTAAGATACAACTGGCTACTACCTGTCAGTCGTTGTTAAATCGTGCAGGTCCTTTTCTTTTATGGGTCCAGGATTCGTGCTCGAAGCAGGGTGTCGCGAAAAATCCTAGAGGAACAAGAGTTGCAAGAAAAGATGGGTAAGTGATTAGCAATCAACGCGGGGCGAGAAGAATATGTCGCTGATATCTGTACGAATATGACAAGGTAGTACATAACGTGCCAGATTGTGAATTTTAACTATGTGGGTTGAGTTGGACTGGACTGCGCCTGTGCAACATCATGATCTTGAGCGGGCGGTGACGACTGAGCGAGGGATGCTCGCGGTACAACTGGTCCTGCGCCCTCCCATCCCGGTACCGGTAAGCGACTCTTGGCATGCTCCACCCGCTGGAAATAAGTTGGCGACAGGAACCCCTCGTCACCGCCATCTGTGAGGACGACACCATTTGCGGACAAGTAGAATGGAATGCCAGCATCAAGCGCTTTCTGCACGTCAACAAAAATCAAGATTTGCGAGGAATTGCGCATTCCTGTTTCGAAACGTTAACCGACCGCCCACACAGGTAAATGATCTTCTACTTACCGCTCATAACATTGTCTCCCGCAATGCCTTGGGCAAGATGAATGTGATTTCGGTTCATTTTGGATAGGCCTTGCGTAGCTGACAGATGTGTCAAAGGACGAACTAAATCACAAATGGGGTGTACCTATGCACTCCCAGGCACTGAGCGTGGTGCCGTGGACTGCCATTGGTATATCCAATGCAGATGTGATAGGCTGCATGTCCAGGGTAACCGTCTGCGAGTAAAGAGTCGGCCAGACATTCGTTTGACTAGAAGTTATGTACCTTCAAAGAATGCCCCTGATTTGCTCTGATCCACCATATGTCGGACGGTGAGTCCGGTGTCCGAGGCTCTGATAGAAGATGAAATCGTTGTTTTTGGTCTCGGCTAACTATCTCCTGCAACTGAGAGAAGTTGACATCTCTAAACATGGGATTCGAGAGCTATCCGAAATGGTTGATGCTACGAAATGTCGCAAGTTCCCCAAACTCACCACATCCGACACTTTGGCATACCCGTCTTCTCTCATGTTTAATCCTGCATTCTTTGCTCCATGTCGTAGCAGCCAGCTCAGACTCTTCGACGTCCGTACCTGTGGATCATCGCGAGGATGTCCCCTAAGTTTGGGAGATGGACCTTTCTTTCTATTCCTGTCCGCCTGTTTTAGCTCTTGTGTGATATCCATGTACCGTGCCCTGTGATACGATTGCGTTCGTTGCGCTAAATTATTGACCAAGAAAAGTTGTTGTCTATGACTGTTCAGAAAGAACAAGGTGATGGTCCGCATTCAAGTCAAGTTCGGCAATTAAAGTCAAAATGAAGTCACTGACTCACGATGTCACGGTTAGTCTGTCACCTGTGCCTGCACGCCAACTTGTGGCCTACACGTAGGCGCCTGAACCCAAACCCACCCCAATAATAATGGGAACTTCAGTTTTGACACCTTGATGCGACTGCCTGGAGACGGTTTTCATGAAGAGACCAATGTCTGGAAGCAACCCTCGTCCATCGTCGCGTCTGGCTGGCCTGAAATCCTACATTTCTCAACAGAACCTTCGCACGGTTATACCAACTCGTCGGGCGCTCAGACCAGGAGAGAGCGGTTATATTGATGGGCAGACGACGACGCAGAGCTGGAGTCAGTGGGCGGGTCAGAAAATCAGGCGGGGATCAGATGTGACAACCATGGAAGAGGTGACTCTGTTTCCTGGCTGGGCATCCCGGTGTCCTACCAGTGAACAGGAGGATGAAAGTAAGCGATTCTCTTGCTGTACTAGCTTCGTTCGGCTCATTTTTGCAGACGCATTTGACCTAGTTGTTTACGTCTCGGGCTATGCGACGACGCGCAGGTCGCCAGAGTTTCTTACTCGCTCCCAGCGTGCATTTCTGAGACTAGCTAGAGGTGTGCTCATTTACAATTATGTTCTGCTAAGCTAAAGTCATTATTCCAGGTTATGCCTCTCTGCCCAAATTACAGTTGCCCGTCAAAGGAACATCCATGATAGAGATAGACGGTATTAGGCTACCTCCCCGTCCAGACGAAATAGCAGACGACTTCGAGATGATGGAACTAGTAGACAAGGAGTTCGAGCACATGAGGTTTCCACAAAAGCCTCAATTAACTGAAGAACCATATGACTCTGAATCTGACCCTCAGCCGACATCTTCACGTTACGACCCATCAGCGTCGTTGGGAAGTTCTCTACTCCATAAACAGCACAAGAACCTCGAGGCACGTCTGCGACCATTTTGGTCATCCGCATTATCCTCCCGCACTGTCCAAATAAGCATTTATGCTGTATCCACTGCCTCACACAGCTCCGATTCGAAACGTGACGCCCTCGAACATGGTCCGTTGTTAACGGAACACGTGTTTACTGGACCAGACGGGGCCTTCGTAAAGGCATTCAATATACCCTGGCAGAAGCTATGTAGGCGTGCTCTAGCGCAGCACAAACCATTGGACGGATCGCACATAGAACATGAACTACTCGTTGCTGCAAAGCTGCTCCCTGAACCCGCGCCTACACCCGCATACTTCTTTTCTGCAGACGTCCCAAGGCACATTTCGTTGGTCGTTCCAATCACATCTGCACCCATCCGCGTCATAACAGACATTGACGATACTGTCAAGCTCTCGAATATCACAAACGGCGCTCGTACCGTCTTCCACAATGTTTTCGTTAAAGATCTCGCGGAGACGACCATTCCAGAGATGGGGACGTGGTATAAGTCGATGTGGGGGCGAGGCGTTCGCTTTCACTACGTCGTGAGTGCCATGTGTTATGTGATATGATATACTCATGTTCATAAACACCGCAGTCTAATTCCCCCTTTGAACTCCTCCCTGTCGTCAAAGAATTTTTGCAGATATCGGACCTCCCGCAGGGATCTATTTGCCTTAAATCCTATAACGGTAGATCCTTCTTCAACGCCCTTCTTTCTGACCCCGCCACCCGCAAGCGCGCGAATGTGGTCGAAGTCCTCGACGGTTTTCCTGATTCGAGGTTCATCCTGATTGGCGATTCAGGCGAGCAAGATCTGGAGCTTTATGCATCAATCGCCGCGGAGCGCCCCAAGCAGATTCTGGCTGTGTTTATCCGAGATGTACATGACACAGGGCTTGCGGACGCTACAGGTAGTCTGGCAAATGTCATGACCATGAGATCTCCAGTCAAGAAGACGAGCTTGCCGGCGCAGTCCTCTGTTGTCCGTCCACACCCCCTTCGCGCGATATCTGACCCGGACACTCTGACAGACTCGGGGTCGTACATTCCAAGTTCGGTGTCATATTTTGGTGCGAGGAGGAAACCCACCACCAAAGTTACCCTGCCCCCACAATCATTTTCCTCATTCGATATCTCCACAAATGTAACACCAGATTCCAAAAAACCAAGGATGTCAGTGGATTCCATAAGCTCGATTGGTTCGAGCTCGAGCTCTCTGTCTATGCGAAACCTGAGACGGGCGACTGGTCAGACCACGCCGCCTATGACAGAGGCAGAGAAGAGACGTTTCGAGCTGCAAAATCGCGTAAACAAAGCGAGATTGACGATGGGGTCTGACGTCGTTCTGCGAGTGTTCAAGCACCCAGAGGAGTGTATAGAGTCTGAGCGGCTTCTAGAGCCACTGAAGGATGGGAGACCTACATAGGGAAAGAGATGGCCTAATTTTATATAATTTATGCATCGGAAGGGAGTGAGCTTGCATGTACGAGTAATTAAGATCCACGGGTATATGGATACAGGCAATATGTAAATTACGAAGAAGTGACAGACACGGGCTTTTCTTTTGACTGGTTACGCGCTGCCAACAGCTTGTCCAACTCAAGCATATATCCGCTGAGCTCCTGAGGGTACGTGTCAGATACGTATCGACCTGGTATGGGCGTCTTACAGTGTTATTAGGCTCAAATTGAAGTCCAAGAGAGATGGCATCTTTGGCCTCTTCTATTTGACCAAGTCCAACGAGTGCCTTGGCCTTTCTGAAATGACCTTTTGGCCATTGTCTACGAACGGAAATAACGGTCTCGGCATCGACGAGCGCGCCGAGGTAGTCTCCGAGCTCAAGAAGAGCTGCTGAGCGATTGGATACGACGGTCGAGAGCTCTTCTCGTAGTATTCCTGCACCTTCCCAAGCTGGTCTCTGCACTGCTATGCTCGCAGCCATATTGTACTTTGAGAGCGCTTCTCTAGTCTTGCTGAGTTTGTATAGGTTCTGTGCACAAAAGTCAACATCTAAAATACGCACGAGACGGTCAGAAGACAGACATTACCCTCATCCTTCATATTCGTCACTGCTTGCGAGAGTTTCGTTTGCACGACGGTTGGAGGAGGTGGACAACGCAAGGTGGGGTTTGTGACAAGGATTTTGGAGATACGGTTGAGACCGATGAAGTCAACGTTGCACTCTTTGCACTTTTCCTGCTTGTGGGTGTTGCAGAAAGCGAATGCAGAACTTGGACCTCCTACTGCGAGGTCTACAGGCTTAAAATCGGCTTCGATGCGAGCCTGCATGATTGGGTCTGGCTGGGGAGGAGGCATGATTTGTTGGGCTGGCTGCGGGTGCGGGTGTGGGTGCGGGTGAGCATGCGGACCCTTTTCTTGACATGCTGGAGCTGGTTGGGACATTTTCTGCGTCACCAGCTGTCTACGACGACCAAGGTCATGACACGAAGTACTTTCGACAAAAAAGGCAACTGTTGATCGTGAGAACAATGAGCCATTCATGGTATTTGGTTAGAATTTCTCGAACTGAATCAGTTCAAACTTCATCGCGATCAACATATATGTTCCGGGTCGTGATAAAATTCGTCTACGGTCTGTTCTATGGTCTGTCTAGGGGTGACTAAGGCGGCTGTACTGGAACGTGGTTGGCGTCCCTGTGACTAGGGAGTGTGGCAGGGAAGACCTGCGTAGGAGAGCAGGCCCCACTCCAACTCCTGCCAACCGTGACTACTCTCATGACACTGGCGGAAAACGATGGTTGTCCCAATTGTACGAAGAGAAAAGGGGAAGCTTCTGACAAGCATCCTGGGCTTTCAGAACAAGCACCCCTGCTACTACATCACAGTGACAGTGATGTCGCTCTCAGTCAAATACGTGGTACAGACGAAGACGCTGTCAACAGCTCGGACGCTCGACGAAGGATTTTGGCAGGTCTTTTTTTCTGTATGATAATATCTCTACTGCTTGATCTGTTGGTGTACTTCTATGCTGCTAGCACGAGGTTGTCGGACGTGCATGTCTTACAGAATGCACTGGTGTTACAAGGGCCGTATCGGGTGAGTATACTCAATATCACCCAGGACGGCGGGGCATGGATACAATTACAAGCAAGAGTTGGAATCGATGCGGGACCAATTATGTCGGATGATGACGAGGGAATATTTTACGACATGTGGAAGCCATTCGGTCGCTGGGGCGTCAAGCTTCTGGATAGAGTCACAGTGGATGTCGAGTCTACCGCTCAAATCTTCTCTCAGCGACAGGCACTCTTAGCCGCAGTCGATCCCCTGTCATTTGAACTTCCCCTTACCGTCAATCCCCCGCATGACGATTCATGGTTATCCCCCATGTCGTTGACTCTTTTTGTCGTCCCCACCCGGAACGCGTCCGATATAAACCAGTTCGTACATGAATCCTGGCATTCCGGTGCCGTGTATATACACGCCTCTATTCCTAGCGTGGTCGTCTCAGGGGGTTCAGCGAACAAAGGTGGTTGGAGGAAAATACTAAGGCGTCAGAGATTAGGCATACAAACCAATTTGTCCACGAAGCGTGAGTGTCACCGTTCATTTGTTAATTTTTAAAATGCGCTACAACAATATCGACAGTTCCGCTGATCCCTGGCTTGCCCACCCCGGGCGAGGGCGTATCGCTACCACCCGTTTCGCAACTGATCACGATTCAGTCTTTCGGCGTAAAGTCTGAAGCTAATGATGTCACTGTACATGCCCCGGCGACCGTCATCGATCCCGTGCCATCTATAATTGACCTAACTGCACCCTCTCTTCCGTTCATAATCTTCCTCCCGGGCGAAAACCATTCATCAGTACCTGTTGCATTGGTTCACTCCGACCCGTTCAAGTTGACCCACCCCAACATTACGCTTGCTATCTCTGGAAGCCTTCTTCCCCTCACACCCCACGCTTCTGCATCTATTTCCACTTTCATCAATAGATACCTCTCTCTCGAACCTAACCCCATATCCGTTGCATGTCCACTATTTCCATCTTTCGCGGTGGACATGGAATTTCCGGTCCCTACTTCCAAACCACAAATACTGCGCAATGTAACAATTCGTGACATGAAGATCAAAAAAATTGACTCCGATCTCTTTGACCGCCCATTTGGCCTCGGTATCCTTGACTGCTTACTTGGCCTCAATTTCCTTGCTAGTGGTACGATGTTCGCTCGCATGGTACTTCCTGAAGGAATAGACCTTGCACTAGATGTCACCCGCGTATTTCCTGATGTTCTGGTCTTCCGCCGGGAAGTCCAACAGAAACATTTACCAAATCAACTTCCGAAAGGTGCCTTTGGTCGTATACGACCTGAAAATGGGTTGAAAGCGACAAGCGTTCGAATCGATGCCGAAGAAGGAGAAGGCTCCGTATTCGCAGTCACCGCAGCTATGGTCGATGTACCGTTGATGGTGTTCTTTGGTCAGGGGATGGAATTCAGAGATTACCTCACGGTTTGTGTAATACTATTGTTCTCTGCGTAACCTTATTCACGCAGGATTGGTTGCAGAATTTCTTTACTAGGATCTTTGGTGCATCGATTGAAGCTTGCAGGGAACTACTGATGTCGGAGTGCACATCTTTGGATTACCGTTTCGTAATCATGAGGACGCCATTACAGGAATGGACCTTTTGGGTCTGCCCTTCCAGGGAAGCGTACACATTGCACCACAAGATATACTTGTAAAACGGCGTGCTTGATCTTTTCTTGGCGAAAGAACTAGCTGTAATTGTTTTGTTTGTATCATCATACCTCTATCTACTTGTTGATGAACTCAGTCTAAGTCACTGTTGTGTACTTCACTTTGTTATCCACGTTACACTCGCAGCTTCGCATATCTTCCTCACTGAAATTTCTTTTTTCCTCATGTATTGTCCTCATGAGCTAACGTAACAGATGGTGGGTACGATGGAACTTTATGGTGTGACTGACTTGTGGGTGGCCCAACCTCCCTGAAGTCGGAGGGTTCGCGGATGAGTTTGGCAACAGGAGCTTCATACTTAGAACATTCTAGTGATATTATCGTCGTGATCAAAATGCGAGTGTCTCAACGTTTATAATCTAATATGTATTCTCGTACTTGTGTTGTTTTGCCAGGTAGAAATATTGGCATTGAGCCGCGTTTCCGTAGCGGCGTGGGTGACATCCTCACGTTCAAAATACTCTCGCACCTGCATTGCCAATGCATGTCCTATATATCGCCGAGATGCTCATCGCCCAATATGACTACCACCCCGTTGATGATATCTTCTTCTACGCCTTTCGAGATTCCACTCTTCAATTTTGAATGGTCATAGTAAGCCATCCTCGCTTTCCTCCATTGTTCCATCGTTGATGCATCGCTAATGTCGCAACATCTCTAGATTCCCATTCTCTGCAAGACTGAGCTTTCAACCATCGGGACCAACTTGACGTCGTCGTTAGGCATGGGCCGCATGGTAAACGATAGTCTCGAACCAGACGTCCTAGGACCTCCCTCGGCGGTATTGTTTTCAACTCCGCTTCCCAGAACGTCTGGCTCGAGACTAGGTAAACGACAAAATACTCAAGTCCAGGCAAGTTCCCTGCAAAAGGTTGACCAAAAAGGCAATTGGCGATCGTGAGAACAGTGAACCATTCATGGCTGTCAATTAGTCAGCATCTCTCAGCTCCGGAATTTTTTATCAAAATTGTGGTTGCTCAGCTTTCTTTCTTCATCCACCAACATCGGTCTTTCACTAGAACATCAACGACAGAAAAAAAGAACGGACAAGTTCATCATTTCGACTTAATATGACCAATGGAATTGTAAACGGCAACGCAAGTCTAGAGACTCAGTTTGGTATGCTTCGTCATATCTTTGTACCCTTCTCAATTCTCACAAAACTAATCTTCCTCCTTCAGCTTCTCTCGGCATCAATGGAACGAAATCTGCATACGTTCCCCCTCATATGAGAAATGCGCAGCGCGCTACACCACCCCCGCAACAACCAAACGGGTACGTCATTTCCTTATGATTATGTATCTTGTGATAACCAAGCGCTCGTATGTAGGACCGGCTGGAACGAGCCCCAGGCTTCTCCTCGTAGTGGATTCGAACCCCTTCGTGGTGGAAATTCCGACAGAGGCAACAGAAATAGCGCCGCCTTTGTTGGTGGTATCACATTCAGCCCCTCCCGCGCAGGTAGCAGTGCAAGTGATTGGGCCGGTCGCCCATCTAGCAACGGATGGACCGCCAGAGAACCCCGTGGAGATAGCCAACAGCGTGATTCTTCCGGATTTGGTGTCTGGCGCAACGGTGTTCATGTCGTCGGTCCTCGCAACCCGCGCATGGAAAAGGAGCTTTTCGGTGATCCCACTGATCCATCCAAGCAACACACTGGTATCAATTTCGAGAAGTATGATGACATTCCTGTCGAGGCTACGGGCGCTGGTGTCCCAGAGCCCGTTATAGCTTTCACAAACCCCCCACTAGATCCTGTTCTCTTGGAGAACATCGCATTCGCTCGTTACGCTACTCCCACTCCCGTTCAAAAGTACTCCATTCCCATCGTTGCTGCTAACAGAGATTTAATGGCCTGTGCTCAGGTACGTATTTTTCCTCGGGTAATGAGTAGACACTCACGTCGTACTTCAGACTGGTTCAGGCAAGACAGGCGGCTTCCTTTTCCCTATTTTCTCCGCCTCTTTCGCTTCTGGACCTCGTGCCCCACCACCTGAGACCCCATCAATGGGGTACTCACGCTCACGTAAAGCCTACCCTACTGCCCTTATCCTCGCTCCCACTCGTGAACTTGTCAGTCAAATTCACGAGGAAGCACGTAAATTCGCGTACCGCTCGTGGGTTCGCCCAGCGGTTGTATACGGTGGTGCCGACATTAATCAACAGCTGCGGTTGATCGAGCGTGGCTGTGATCTTCTCAGTGCTACTCCTGGACGACTTGTTGACCTCATTGAGCGTGGTCGGATCAGTTTAGCAAACATCCGTTACCTTGTCCTTGATGAGGCTGATCGCATGCTTGACATGGGTTTCGAGCCCCAGATTCGCAGGATCGTCCAAGGAGAGGACATGCCCGGCACAGAGGACCGCCAGACGCTTATGTTTAGCGCAACCTTCCCACGTGATATCCAAATGCTCGCACGGGACTTCCTGAAGGACTACATATTCCTTTCTGTCGGCCGTGTTGGCTCGACATCTGAGAATATCACCCAGAAGATCGAGTACGTTGAGGACAATGACAAGCGTTCGGTTTTGCTTGATCTCCTCGCGTCTGATCCTCCTGGTGGTTTGACGCTCGTCTTTGTGGAAACAAAGCGCATGGCTGACATGTTGTCTGATTTCCTCATGTCAAACCGCCTCCCTGCTACTTCCATCCATGGCGATCGTTCCCAGCGTGAGCGTGAGATGGCTCTGCAGACCTTCCGCACCGGTCGCACTCCAATTTTAGTTGCTACTGCGGTCGCAGCCCGCGGTCTTGATATTCCTAACGTTACCCACGTGATCAACTACGACCTCCCTTCGGACATTGATGACTACGTCCACCGCATTGGTCGTACAGGTCGTGCCGGAAACACCGGTGTCTCCACTGCATTCTTCAACCGCGGCAACAAAAACATTGTCCGCGATCTTCTCGAACTTCTTCGCGAGGCTAACCAGGAGATTCCTTCGTGGTTGGAGAGCGTCGTACATGAAACGACCTTTGGATCGAGTTTCCGAGGCAGTAGCGGTCGCGGACGTGGAGGTGGCAGTGGCGGTGCTGGAGGTCGTGGTCGTGCCGGTAACCGTGACTATAGACAGTCCAGCTACGGTAGCGCCGGTGGCTATGGCGGAGGTTTCGGACGTGGCAACATGAGCTACGGCAATGCCCCTTCCCCTTCATACGGCGGCGGAGGTTATGGTGGAGGTTTCAACAACAGCAATGGAGCAAGTGGTGGTGGATCCGGCTGGTGGTAAATATACGACCACCATGCCCTAATCTTCTCGCCTCATACTCAGTCATCAAATTCTTCTCGGCCTGCACCTCCTCTCGGATTTCCTCGATTCTCTCCCTTGAAAATGTCCCTGGTAACAACAAACTCCTGGTCCTATGCACTCAAACATCCATCTCGCTCTGTGTTTCGCTCTCTTTCCTCTCTCATGCACGGACTCCTTGCGCTGCTCTTTCAACCTGGTTTGTCTCGTTGCTCCTGCTCATCATGAAGACTACGGCCTATCTTACATTCGTCGTCTGTGTTTCTATTGTCTCGGTGCGGCATGTCTACTCTTAATTCTTTCCTCCTCGCGCCACCCCTTCCCGCATTATAGATAGACGTTAAACGGCGGGCCGTAGACATGAGCAGCATACATCATATGTCAGTCGTGTTTCGCGATATCCACTCATTTATTGGCATTGCGACGCGCGGTCGGACATTATTTGATATCCCTCACGAGACAATTTTACTGTTAGAGCATCGCATATCCTGTACCGTAGTCTTTCCCGTATTATTCTCTCAATTCTTAGATGCCTTCCAATTGCAGGCTGTTTTACTCTCAAGCTCTAGTGAGACTTTGCAGGGTGCGAAAATGGATCGGCTGTCGTAGCCACTGAGTCGTAGCAGTAGTTGGTCTCCACGTCAGCACAAAGACCAGCGCCGGATTCCGTACGTATTTCAGACGTTCCCTCCACTCTTTTGGCTTTCAATTCTACAGCCTGCCTGCTTTTTCCGATTCTCTTCTTTCCTTGAAATTGTGCAAGATGTACCGAGAATCGTCGCCCGCATCCGATGAGCCGGAATTTCAGCCGTTGAGGAGGCTCAAACCGTTACCTAAACGTAGACGCACCTCAGACGCGCCCGTTCCAGCAGCAGACCTCGTCCATCCCATGGCCGACATTCTCGGCGCAGAATCTCTCGCAGAAGAACTCATTGCTAATGCTGACACATTCTCTCTGCAGTCTTACTATTCCTCTGTGTTTGGTGGCGCCCACAACGGAGACGCTCTTGATCTGAGTGCGGCGTACCAGCTTGGGAAAATGGGAAAGTCGGAGGAGGACCAGAGTGAGGGTGACTATGCAGATCATCTGCAGCAGCCTGGGAATACGAAGAAGAGGAAGGTGCCAGCTAATATGTCGGGCGCGGCGCAAGGGCGCGAGGCGGAGCCACAGTTGGGTGTGGAGGATGAGATTTTGGATAGTTTGGCGTTATTGAACGGTCGGGCTGACCATGGCCCACACCTTCTTTCTGCGCTGCCATCATCGGTGACGCAACCCCCCAGGAAGGGGAAGATCACCCCATCAACGCTAGCAGGTCTGCAGCACAAAGAGCTGCTCAAGCACCGGAAGCGCCAGCTTGCAGCAGTCTTGGGGGCCCTGTCTCTTGGCGATACATTTGCCCTTGATCAAGCATTATCGACGCATTTGCCCTTTGCGAGTTCGATGATCAGATCCGGTTCTAATCCACCCAAAGTACGACTCTCGTGCCGGCGTGTTCCACGTCTCGCTCGTGCGGCAAAGGCCCTTGCGAGTGCAGCCTCCATGCCCCCTCGAAAGAAGCCTTCATTTCCAACCGCTCAATTCTCGTTCACGTTTTCTAGTGCGAGTGAGTCGCAGTCATGTTATCTAACTGATGGTAGAACCTGATCAGACCTGGTTTAATATCAGCATCTGATCGCCTCGTTGCGACAAAACAGGAGGTGCTCGCGCTCAGAAATCGATTTGAAAATGAACTCGCACGTCAAGCGGCTAAAGTGGCCAAAGCAGCTGCCGATGCTAAACAAGCGGCACTTACGGCAACCAAAGGGGCTAAGTCAAAGCGGGGAGAGAAAACGCAGCAGCGGGCACTCAAAGGTGCAGCTCAAGGTGGGGATCAGTTAGCGGAGTTTCTGGAATTGCCAACTGCGGGGAAAGGCAAGGGAAGCAAAAAGAAAAAGCGCAATGCACTTGCTATCGCATCGAATCCTCACCACCGCAAAAATTACGTTCCTTCCAGGCTTCCTTCATCTGGACAGGCTAATGTGGTCCAGGCGACTGCCAATGCTCAGAACATGCTTGGGCCACTGCCTCTTCGCTTCCTCTCGGCACAAATACCGCCTCGCAGACACAAGAAGGCAAACACGGCTACTCCCACTGCGCAAATAGTCAATCCTGCAGATGAATGGATCTGTCCACGTTGTGAATATTCCCTTTTCTATGGAGAGGGGCCAGAGTATCGTCAAGCGGTGAAGAACCGAAAACAGATTCTTCGTAGAAGGCGACGGGCACAGGAGCGTGCCGCAGGCGGACTAAGTGCCTCCAAGACGCCTGCAAATTTGGCACCGTCGGATGAAGAAGATGATTACGACAATGATTATGAGCCATCTCCTGCGCAGTCCCCCGCCGCCGCGAGGCAGTTTGATTGGAAGGAAGGCCCGGATATAGGCAGGTTAAAGGGGCAGGATTTCATACAATCTGGATAGCCCATTTACTGATCCAACTTCCGCTTTTTCTATCTCATTTTGCATACGCCATCTCTAGTTGCGGAAAGGCATCGCATTACTTACTGACATGTTATCACAACCCGCATCTTTATCTAATAGACGGACATTTGGAATTTATTGAGCGTCGTAGGCAGTCGCGTTGGCAAGTATGATCATTTGAGGCAATTTCAATGGAAAACCTGGAGAGAACCATGACTGTGATTTGACGTGCCGGTGACAAGACGGCTTCCACGGGGCAGCCGCGTGCAGTGAGGCGTCCTGATGGAAGGCTTGCGATCGGTGTAAGCGTCTTGTTAAAGGATGAAGCTGAGAGTATGTTTCAAATGCAACTTTTTCTCGTACTCCCACTGTCTTCCTAGTACTTGCTATCTTCTTCTATCGCACTCGCCCTGGGACCTGCATCATTGACGAGAGGTTAGCGCTAGCAAGAGATTGTGGCGCGTTTTCGCGAGGCTGATCTCTGTTCACGTAACTTCCAGATCCATTCATCACATCTTGATTCTTGACGAACAAGCTTTGTACAAACTTCCGGCGAAACGTGCGTTTCTGATCAAACTTGTGAGGCCATTTTCGACGTATCCGCGATTTGAGCAACGGATGGGACAGCCATGTATCGCTTTGCGCGATGGTCATATTCCGACTTTACGTGCGGAATGTGGTATCTCTATATCGCTCCTTACTATTTATTGGGTGCGGTACCGCGATCTCACTCCCCCACTGCATATTCGCCATTCATTCACTCCAACTGTCATTGATTGACTTCTGACGATCTATCTTTCATTTCGGGGATATAGCCTCGAGGCTCCTGACACGCACTCTAATCGCAACAAGCGTCGAAGAATTTCCTCTTTTGCGTTCTTGCAGTCATCTTCTGCCTTTAAAACATCGGCGAAACCTCCTCCCTTCCTACGGCTTTCAGAATGTCTGCAGAACACCAACGATATATTTATTCTAATCCGCAAGGAGGATCGACAACCTCATATGAGTATCAATCATATCCTACGCAAGCTTACGTGTCGGCACCACCTCCTCAGGCGCCTCCCCGGCCGATACGCTCCCCAATTACCCAGTTTCATTCGCAACACCACCAGACGAATTTTCCAGCATCATCTTCATACACGCAACAAGCATCCTATGCCCCCACTCAATCATATACTCTTCCTCAGTCACAGCCTCAATGGCAGCCTGAAAACTGGTCCCCTCAATTCGGGACCTTCCAACCTACATCCATCACGGCAGACGTGACGTATGCCCCCAATGCAGCCCGCCCGGAATCAGTCTCTCAGACCACTCCTGTAGAGGCACGATCATATACTGCCGGTCCATCCAATTCACCGCTTGAGAACCGCCGCCCAGAGGAACGCTATCCCCCCGCCCCTGGGTCAGCCAATGCGTCGCCCATTCAAAAGAGCAAGAGGCGGGACAAGGAGTCACCAGTGCTGGCTCCAAGTCCAATTATCAATCCTAGTCTAGATTTTGCAAAGGCAGGTTCAAGAGTCATCTCTTTGCGGTCAATATTCTGATTTGCAACAGATGGTAGAGTCCTATACTATGATACTCGAGAGCACCAAATCTCTGGCGTCCGCGGGGTTTCCTGCACGTCCCCCACAGCCTGAAACCATGGAGCGCATGATCCAGTCCGCGAACTACGGAAGACAAATGTTACAGTCAGCAGTCGCGCAATCAAACCCTGACACGAGGCCGTCTACTGGTGGCAGCGACAAGGATACTCCGGTCTTAAAGCGGCAGGTGAACCGTTTGTCGTGGGGAGTTATGCTAAATATTGATGCTTCCCTTTTCTGCGCTCAGAAGGCCGAGGAACATGCTCAGGAAGGGCAGACTTGCCTTGGTTGCAACGCAACCTCTACCCCTGAGTGGAGGCGTGGTCCCCTAGGTTAGCGCGGGTTCATTTTATACGCCACACCCTTCGAGCTTATATTATGGTTTAGGCCCTCGAACCTTGTGCAACGCATGTGGCCTCGTGTATGCTAAACTTGTACGTCAACATAAATTCCCTGATTCTTCTTATCATGTTGTTTTTTTCAGCTGAAAAAGCGAGCACGAGGGGAGAGGTCCCGCGGTGGCAATAGCAAGGATGCAGTGTCCCATAACGCCATGGAGGAGTCTGCGGTTGTGTCCAGTGGGGGAAGTGACGATGACGATTCTTATGGGTCACAAGAGCGTGACCTTGGTGATCATATACGGAGAGGGTAAATTTGGACCCGTGATTCTCCAATCTGTGTGGCTTGCTTCGCACTAGTTTTTCTTCCTATTTTCGTCAATGGCTGGACCTTTCAGTGACAATTACGATAGTTTTACCGGGGTTCGAGGGGCTCTCTCGGTGTCTGTCAGGGTTGGTGTGGCTCCACTTTGCGGTTGTCGGTATGATGATAAGCTTACACTCGCCAATCTCATTTGTTGATGTACCTCTTAGTAATTCGCATCACGGCGTTTAGTTAGGTTAATCGGGCGGTCGAAGCGAAGAAATCTTACCTTCGAAATTCCAGTCTTCGGTCCACGTTGTGTGCCTGTCGGTGCCTCCAACAGCAGATTGTAGCCTCAACGTTGTCCGTCTTCATGGCTCCATGACTTCGCTTTACTTGCGAGTTGTGCCACATCTAGCTACATAAACCGATCTACTTCATTGGCATGTAATTGATGAGTCACATACAATATACAAGTCGGCCTGGAGCGTTTTAGCTCGCAAAAAATTAACTGACTTTCAAGTTCTTATAAGTATCGTGTCTCATCGCACGTAATCGCACTGAAGCTTATACCGAGCATATATCAGAACGCTTGCTGAACTTTCCTCGTCCATATTAGGTTCACAACTTGAATAAGTCAAGAGGTCTTCTCCTACCCTTTTCATTATGATGATCCTATCCGTCCGGGAGATAAACGTTCCTCTATTATGCCGTCAGTGGTACTTTAGTGGGGAACAAAAGAATTAATATTCCGTGAGTGCCGCATGCAGAAATGAACGAAACGTGGCCATAGCACCGAACAGTGTGACGTCATGCACCTGACTCGCTGGGTCAGCTTACCACGTTCAACGGAACCTTCCGGAAGACCTTCTATGACGATGACCTTCGCGAATGAGAACATTGCTCACTGCGCACAGAAGAAATCCAGGGTTGCACCAAAAGTTTTTTTTAGAGACACGGACTGTTTTCTCTCATGTCAGTAGGGATTACTCGATCCTCTATTCAATAGATTCGCTGCCGCCCTGGTGTAGAGGATTGGATAGCGAGTGCACAGTAAGTTATGCAATGTGCTGAGGGGCTGTAGTGGAAAATGTGAACGACCAGTAGATTTAGATAAAAAACCCAAAGGTTACGTAGTCGTTAATGCGAAGATGGTTGTGAGCATTAAACACCTACTGACAGGGATGAACCGAAATGTGGACGCGGTGGCAGTCGCAGTAACGGCCGTCAGCAGGCTATTCCTCGGTGTTTTATTATTCCCGTGGTCACCGTGGTGTCGTTCATTGGACCGGGGTGTCGGATCTGTAGCATTAGATGGCGGAGTTATGCCCCAAGGGTCTGTTTCATTTGAAGGTACATGCAGGGGGTCCATTGCGTTGGATGGTGGTGCCATGCATGATGGGTTCGTTTCACTTTGAGGAAGGAGTGGCCACCCAAGAGGGGTCAGTGGTGTTCAATGATAGGCACCATATCGGGATCATAGTAGAGTTGGATGACCTAGAGGACGACGGGCCGGTGGCGTTCGCTGGGCGGAGCGGCATCGCGGAATTTGTCGAGTCTCCTGAGGACACCGACGGATTAGTCGAGAAATTTTCCAGATCCGGTGGGTTTCAGCATGAGCGCTGCATCCCGGGGGTTATTAAATGCGTTCTGTACGATACTAAGTAGTAATCATCAACCTTTTCTCGGATACATCTGACATTCCACACACCACGAACGGTTGAAGGGGGAAACGACAAAGCGGATAGTTTATCCTCTTCAACTTTGCGGATCCTATATATGCACAGCTCCACCGCCTCTCGCGGAGTGGTTCCCAGACTTCCGATACTCCGCACGACATGCTGGAACAAGCCCTGGCAGTGCCTCATGGAGTTTTGAGTGGAGGCCCCCAAACCTCCTCCGGATCTTCCTTACGGAAGGAGCTTGTCGAAGAACCTAGACTGGGTCCGTCACTGTCAGTCCAGAGGGTAATAAAGTTTCCCCACAGCACCAGCAAGATTGACTAAGAGCAGGCGGTCACATCCGTATTTGCAGTAGCAATCCTGTGCGTCATATGGTATTAGCATCCATCAGAACGATGCGAGATCGCCACCCACAAGTGTGATTCAAGTTGTGTACTGAGATACCGCCGGTGGTGACCATCTCCCTCTGATCATAATCTGAATCGCGACCCCGAGAATGCGAATGTGAATCACAGTTGCGCGATGAAGGCTGGCTCTGCATCATGTAGTTGTTGAATGTGAGGGAGTCCGAAAAAAAGAAATTATTTGTACGTGAAGTATGTCTCGTTATCCCAAGAACTGAAGATATTCTTGGCGAATTTATGCAGGCCATTAGTATGTTGGGTGATCCAATCGGAGTGTCCTCAAGTACACCGCAATTTGCCCATCATTTGTACGTAGTCAATGCCACTTTCATCGAGAAAAAGGACAAAGGACATCTAAATCATCACGGCCCCTGAATACGAATGTGTAAATGCTTACGAGCAGGGTGCGGCGATTATACACCACCCAGGGTGGGGCCTGGGAAGAGTCAAAAGGACCGATGTGCCCGTCGGTCGTCCGATAAGTATCATTATTCCTACAGTCGCAGCTGAGCAAATAAATTCAGGAAAAAACATGATTCGCATACCTCATCATTTTTCGTATATTCATTCTAGGTAAAAAGAGCCTTAACTGCGGGATGCGTTCGCATCTTCGGCGTACCAGTTGGTCATAGTTATAATTGTCGTCGAAGTAGGGCGTCGACAAGATCTGTATGAGACTGTGGGATATCCGAAGTATGGACGAATGTCAAATTGGCGCGTCGGCCATTAAAGCCGCATCTCCGACTGTGGTTTCGTCGCGGAGCTGTAGCACATTCCACTCGCATGCTAACATTGGAGTCGATTTTGGACCCTACCACAAATAAGTAAGTTGCCCCTCCAATATCAAGTGTTGACGGCGAGTGCGAGTTTGATCTCCCAGCGACAACTCAGACCGCAAGACTAAGCCCTGTGTAATGATCAGTGCAACCGAATATTGATTCAAGAAGAGACAACGTATAGTTGACGTACATTGTACAGGTCCGACAGATCAGTGCTTCGCGGCGGCAAGCGCCGCGGTACTTCTCAACAAGAGTGGTCCCACCTAAAACCTCCTAAAGCTCGCGCAGATATTGATGATATAATTATGACACAATCTCAATCAGTGAATTAATTTCATAACTATACTTCTTCGATTCTGTTATCATCATCATCATCATCTTGACCTCCAACACGTGCCACGTCAGACCCATCGGTTGTTTCTACACCTTCATCGCCCTTCAGAAGCTGGACGAGGCGCTCGATATACTCAGACACCTGAATAGTCTTTAGAGAAACTCGATTCAAAGGACAAATCGGAAACAGAAACAGACCTTTTCGACGGTTTCCTCCATGTGTGCTCCTCTGACAATCTCATACACCCCGTTGTCCCTCAGGTAGTCTCGGCCCCATCGTGTAGTACATAGAAGAAGCAGTGTTTCAACATGCATCAAACGCAAGGCAGAATCTGCTTCCCGCTTCTTCGTGGGTGGAAGGAGCTGAAGTGCAGATGGTAATTTTTCTTGATCCTGGAAATTACAACATCAGCAAGCTTGGACTGGGTATCACCGCGATCTTACGTCTAGATCAAGTTCCTCTGGGCCCGCTAATGGTAGCAAAATGGAAGGCAGTGCATCGATACCCGGGGCAGATACCGTCGATGGAGGAACGATGATAGCTTCTGTGTCAGGAGATAGTATTGCTCGGTGAGCTTGTGCATGGAAAGCACAGTTCCTGTAACAGATATATTGGATACAATATCAAATCAGAAAAATGTCCTACTTTAAAGTCGAGGCAACTCCACCACGCCGTATTGTGTCTTTGTGTTCGGTGAAAGCGACTATTTTGGCGAGAGGGTACTCGTTGGTACTCTTTGGGTTCAACGGGTCTATCTGTTGCGGAGTGACGAAGAAAGTGCGACCAGCTGGAGACTAGTCGTTGTGGTTTTAGTGCCAAGAAGGAGTTGATTATCGAAAAAAACTGACCGTGCTGATATTGGCAAAGACACTGGCGAGAAAGTGCAGCTCTCCTTTTCGCTTTCGGGAAGATAGATCCCCAGAGGGATCTATTGATGCGCCATGTACGAATGTATCGATAAGGAGCGGTAAGGCGAGGATATCCTGCGGTTCTCCTGATGGATAAGGTACTGGCGCAGAACAAGTTCCAGAGCGGGACTGTGTTGGAAAAAAGGGGGACGATGAAGACGGTGTCGAGATAATAGGTACTTTCAAGGCCAAAAGGGCCGCACATGGTGAGGATGAAGCGGTTAGATTGGAAAGCAGCATGGATGCCAAATCTGCTAGAATCGAGTCTGCATTCTGTGAGGCGGTAAGGGGCTGCGAGAAGAATGCAACCTAGAGCACGAACCAAGATGTATGACACCAAGAAAGTGAGAAATGCTGGTTCTGACAGAAATGGTACTAGTAGTGGCGAATCGGAGAGATTGACCAATGCACGAAAAGCATCGTGCGCAACGGCCTGTGACCGTCATCGCTTGATCACAATTAAATTGGGTATACATACGAGTTGATCCCTGCATAAAAGCTTCAGATCACGGACGATATCCGTTTCCTTAGGTTTCTGCAAGCCTCCTCCGAGGCCACGGAAAAATATGTTTCTATGTGGAGATCCTTCTGGTGTTTGTCCAAGCAGATTTGACAGGGCTATTTGTCGGACCTGTGGATTTTTATCCCTTAAGAAGGGGATGAGCTGGAAGTATGTTAACCTTTTTATTAGTGACCTGCAGTAGCACGAACCTCCTTGAGTTGATCCTCCATTGGATCAATAGCCTTTCATTATAATTCCCACGGGTGCTTAACGTATGTGTTCGATTATGTAAATGACCTTGAACAGATTGGACTGTCATCAGACTCAGACTCGGAGGTCACTGACCTGAGCGCGCAAGTTGTCTGCATGTCTTGTTACAACGTTACGCGCTCGGCGGAACAACTACTAGACGCATACGAAGACTCTGCTCCATCTTTCTCAGTTCACCTCTATCCGGACTATTGGACGCTCAATAATGGACCCAAGTTCCTATATAATAATCCTGTCGCGGTGCGTAGCCGAGTTTCAAATGCAGGAAGTGTACTAACCTGTCAAATACCATAGTCACTGCTTGACGACATCCGAGCGCACCGCATACCGGTCGACTACCTTGAACTTTTCGACACCGCACGCGTGCCATTCTATGATGGTGAGTAGCATCCACCCGTTTAAGGCCATCACTTTATGGTTTCACTAGGTTGCATGCTCGTAGAGTTACTGGACTATCGCCCAAAGAGAGCAAAGGACCCACCCCTCGAGAAACCCGAGCGAAGCCGTGTCGCTCTTCACCCAAATGACGAGACGCTCTGGGCAAATCTTTGTCTTATGAACCAACGTTCAGGCAACAAATTAACAGACCCAGAAGTCCTTGAGCTTGAAGCGCAAATACTGGTATGTTATATCCGTGACCTTTTCTGCTGTATCTCATCTTCCTTGTCGTAGCTACAAACAGCACCTCCCCTATGTCTTGACCCAGACCCACATTTAACCCGTATCGCGAATCATACCCTCAGAGTCTCTACTCCAAGTATACCCGTCTCCCTGAAGCGCAAAGCTGTTGCTATTACACCTGAGGAAGATGAGTCCGACAAGGCTCGTCGGGCCAAGATCATGCAGTTCATGAACCAGAGACCACCTCGGTCTCACGCCCCAAGGTACTTCGTATTGTACCAAAGTACTTTGCCTGCTCACCTCCACTTAGTTATCGGATATTGGAAACAATTCGCCATGTCAAGGAAGTTCGCCTGGCCGTTGGATTGGAAACTCAGCCTTATATGAAAGCCCAGCTGCAGGCACACGCAGCCGCCCAGTCTCAGACTCAAGGTCAAACACCGTCGCAAGGCCAAAATCAAGCACCTTCCCAAGGCCAAAATCAAGCACAAGTCCAAATACCAGCCCCCACGCCAACGCCGCAACCGCAACCCGCTCAATCACAGCCTACTCCCGTCCCCGCTACTCCCGCAACGGTGCCAACGCCAGCTCCTCAGCCAGTTGCTGACCAGAAACCCAAGACAGTAAAGAAGAAAGCTGATGCGGCCCAGGCTTTCCAAATCACTCCCGAAGTCTCACACTCTTCTGCTACCGCTACCCCTGCACCACATCCCACTGTGAATCAGCTTCAATCACAGCTGCAGAACGCTGCGTCCCTCTCACCTCGTGTAGGCCCGCATTCGCCACTCCCGTCTGCACAGTCGCCCGCGCACCGGTACACACAGTCGCCCCGCCCCCCATCATCTCAAGCGCTGCACTCCTCACCTCTCGCAGTTGGCTCACAACTCCCCCCAACACCACACCGCCCTCCACCAGCCTCCCTTCACTTCTTCCCAAACGCACCACCACACGGTTCCCAGCCCAAACCTGCCACGCCCCAGGTAGGTTATCCATCCCAGCCGACGCCCTCTCCTGTACAAGCTGGGCAACAGGCAGGCGCAACGCAGCTGGCTCCTGGTCAACATTTGATGCAGCAGCATAGTCAAGCGCAGGCACAAGTGCATGCGCAAGCTCAAGCCACACAGGCGCAGCTATTTCAGCGTCAACAGATGCAACTGCATCAACAAGTTCAAATGGCTCAGGCCCAGGCCCATCATGCGCAAGCTCAAGCCCAGGCGCAAGCACAAGCTCAGGTGCAAGCCAGTCAAGCTCAAGTCCAGGCACACGTTCAAGCTCAGTTGCAAGCCCATCAAGCTCAAGCCCAGGCGCAGGCTCAGGCTCAGGCTCAGGCTCAGGCTCAGGCGCAAGCACAACCGCAAGCCCTGCAAGCCGGACGTATGACACCGCAGAATTCGCAATCACGAAGCCCCTTGCCTGGACATATCACAGCTCGGAACAGTCCTATGATCCAAAACCAAGTCAGAGGCTCGCCCATGCTCCAAAACCAGGCCAGAAGCTCGCCCATGCGCAACACCACACCGCTCCCACCCCAAACTACACAAGCTGCACAGCACCCGGGTATGACGCAGCAGTACAGCTTTCAGCCTGTGCAGTTCAGGCCGGCTGGGCAGGACCAGCAGCAGCACGCGATGATGATGTCGCAATACCCCCCGGTATATGGGTATCATATGGGCTATGGCATGCCTGGAGGACGACTGCAGCCGTGGCCAGGGGGGGTTGGACGGGGAATGCCGAATCAGGTCCAGGTGAATGGGCAGGGAGGGGTGGGTGTGCAGCAACAACAGCAGCAGCAGCAGATGCAAATGCACATGCAGATGGCTGTTGGAAAGCCTACGCAGGGTGCCGGACGGTAGTATGATGCTTTGTATTGTTATTCGTGTTTTCTAATGATGTTGTACCTTTTGTGGGGATTGCTTGTAAGTATCTATGGAAGGCGGACCAAGTAGGCTAGTGTAGATAAGATAAGATCAATCTGAGATACTTTTTTTGATCGATGATCACTTGTACAGGATCAAAATTGACCTTATACCACCATCGCGATGTCCCAACCTATTGGTATGATAAAACCTACCTTCACCTAGATATCAGCTAACAGCCCACAAAAGCTCTTCTATCGGTCTACGACAAGACCGATCTCCTCGATCTTGCACAGGGACTTCACGGTGCTGGAGTCCGCCTGCTTGGTTCGGGAGGTACCGCTAAGAAGATCAGAGAGGCTGGGATACCCATCGAGTGAGTTCTGCCTGCTGTATCTATTGATCCTCATCGAACTTGTGTGTACGTAGAGATGTTTCTGACATCACCAAGGCTCCGGAGATGCTTGGAGGTCGGGTGAAGACGCTTCATCCTGCCGTCCATGGCGGTAAGTATTCATGTTGTACACAAACTGCATAACGCTTGACCAATGCACACGAAGGCATCCTCGCCCGCTCTATCCCTTCCGATGAGCAAGATCTCAAGGCCCAATCCATCTCCCCCATCTCCATCGTCGTCTGCAACCTCTACCCATTCACCTCCACCATCTCCAAACCGAGCTGCACCCTCGCAGACGCCGTCGAAGAGATCGACATCGGCGGCGTCACTCTGCTGCGCGCAGCTGCCAAGAACCACGAGCGTGTCTCTGTCCTCTCGGACCCTAGTGACTACCGCGCGTTCTTGCAGGCGTTCCAGCAGTGCCAGGGCGATGTCGGGCAGGTGCTCCGAAACAGGCTTGCGTTGAAGGCGTTTGAGATGACTGCAAAGTATGATGATGCGATTAGCGGGTATTTCCGCGAGCAGTATGCGTCGACGCCCGAGAGCGGACCCGTCCAGCGCATGGTGCTTAGGTACGGCGCTAACCCTCACCAGAAACCAGCACAGACTTTCGTGGCAGAGGGTGAATTGCCATTCAAGGGTGCGATCTCTTATTTGATTTGATTGGCGTTCTCTTGACTTGACTTTGGATGGTATAGTCCTCAGTGGTTCCCCAGGCTACATCAATCTCCTAGATGCCCTCAATTCTTACGCCCTTGTCAGGGAGTTGCAAGAGGCTTTGAACCTCCCTGCTGCCGCTTCGTTCAAACATGTGTCCCCTGCTGGTGCTGCCGTGGGTTTAGAACTTGACGAAACCGAGAAGCAGGTGTACGGTGTCGAAGATCTCAAAGAGCCCCTGACGCCTTTAGCATGTGCCTACGCTCGCGCTCGAGGTGTGTCATTTCTGCTTTCTTTGTGCAAGGCCACTAAATTATCATTTTCTTAGGTGCCGACCGCATGTCATCCTTTGGAGACTTCATTGCGCTCTCCGCACCCTGCGACCTCGCCACAGCACGCATCATCTCCAGAGAAGTATCAGACGGCATCATCGCACCAGGCTACAGTCCCGAGGCGCTAGATGTTCTCAAAAAGAAGAAGGCAGGAAAGTACTGCGTCCTAGAGGTATGTTCGCTCGATCACCTCGCCCCATCGCGTTTGCTAACACTACCAAAAGATGGACCCGTCGTATACACCTTCAGACATCGAGACCCGCCAAGTGTACGGCATCAGCCTCCAGCAGCGCCGAAACGACATAAAAATCAACGCTAAGCTCTTCGACAACCTCGTCACTAAGAACAAAGACGTACGTCCCTCCTCTCTCCGGAGCTCATAATCATAACCGTCCCCATAGGTTCCAGCACAAGCGCTAACCGACCTCATCGTCGCGACCCTCGCGGTCAAGTATACGCAGTCCAACAGCGTATCATACGCCAAGAACGGTGCTATCATTGGCCTGGGCGCCGGACAGCAATCGCGCATCCACTGCACGCGGCTCGCGGGATCTAAGGCGGATAGCTGGTGGTTGCGGCACCACCCTCGCGTCCTCGCGCTCCCATTCAAGAAAGGTGTCAAACGCGCAGAGAAAGCGAACGCGATCGACCTCTTTGTGAGCGGGGAGGTACTCGAGGGGGGTGAGCGGGCGCAGTGGGAGGGGCAATTTGCGGAGGTACCGGCGCCTCTGAGTGAATTGGAGAAGAAAGAGTGGGCGGGGAAGTTGGACGGGGTTGCGTGTTCGAGTGATGCGTTTTTCCCATTCGCGGATAATGTGCATCGGGCTAGGAAGAGCGGAGTGCGGTACCTTGCTGCGCCTAGTGGGAGTGTGATGGACGAGGAGTGTATCAAGGCTGCGGACGAGCACGAGATGGTGTTTGCGCACACATCGCTCAGGCTCTTCCACCACTGAGGATGGGAGATTTCGTAAAATCTAACAGCAGTAGAATGTATTTGTTTATTCTGAAAATGCAACTCATAGGGCAGGCATCTCATATCGCATCAAAACCGCTAGGCAAATCAGGAGCCGACACAAGAACAAAGCCTCGTTTCTAGTTTGAGAGTATGTACATACAGTGAATAGCACACTGTGTGCCGAACACAGTACTTAATCCATAGAATTACAATAGACCTCCAAGGACGCGATGCACTAGACAATAGTTTCAGCTAGCGGAACAAGTAGAAATACAATACAATAATGGAGAGAGGGAGGGCCATGAAGAACTAGATGAGAAATGTCAACGAAGACTGCGATGTTTCTTCCCTAATGTTGACTGTCTGTGTATTGGATAGACACGCAACCAACCCAAAGTAAAAACGGAGTTCAGCACCCGGCCTATCTTATGGTGATATCGAGATGTGAGAGCGTTCCAGTCGCAAATGCAGTAGTGGTGACTGTGTGAAGCGCCTCAGATGTCGTGGCAGTGGCAGGTTGTTGCTGCGATGACGGTGGTGTGCTCCGCTGGGTTGCTGCAAGACATGAGTATTAGTAGGTCGAGAGGAGCTAGCAGATGGCTTCTTTCTCGCGTGATAGTTTCCCTGCGTCAAAAATAAGACAGTAATAAAGAACATAAACCGGAAAAAACGCGCAGGCCTGTTTGGCTGCTGTGCACGGACCTCGACTATGGGTGGCTCTTGCAATTCCATGTCCGATCCGTCTCGTCTACGTAGCACATGAGAGATAACATTTCTAGCCCAGCTGAGCAGAGGGCGGGTTCTGGATTGAGTGTCGCGTACAGTTTCACCGAACGAATCGGAGCGGCGGTGCCAGAAGGAGAGTAGGTGACCGACGTGGATGCGTTGACGTTGGTGACGTACATCAGCATCGTTAAGAAACCCTCGGTGTATTCGACGAGCGTCTTCGTTTTGCGGGGCTCGTCGTCGTGTAGCATCAGCCTAGTATGTGGACACTCAAAGTCATGTAAAATCAAGAAACACATAACATACATCCATGAATGGCTTGTTGAAAGCATGAACGAAGATCAGTGGGTAAGATTTTAAAGGGACGTGATGTAACATACCACCTGAAAAGATGAGTAAACACATTGTCAGTGTAATTGAGGATGAAATGTATGATATATCCAAGCTCACATTGTCTGACGGCAGGCGATCGAGGCTAGTCTCCCCTAGTCAGACCCAATAGAAGGAAGATAGTCGTTCGATCCAGGCCAGCTTCTCTGGCGATAACAGAGACATCACACGTGTATACGTGGTGGTCATCGCAGCCAATGGCCCATCCGACAAGTGATTCATCAGGAGGATGAAAAAGACCACATCATTCTCCGCCGCTTTGATCAGCCCAATACCCAGTCACTACGAGTCGACAGTCCCTCACTGGGCCCATAGACGTCATATATGTGGATGCGGGCAATGAGATGTTCTGGCATGGGCCCCGTCGTTCTACATCCGCGTAGCAATTGTTTCATCCTCATAGGTATGGATCGATTGTCATTCGCGATGGAGATAATACAGTGTTATTGACTGCAAATTACTTCGCGAGATCGATCACGCAGCACCTGGTACATGGTAATGGAGATCAAAGCATTAAGTAAAATATTGTGATACTTACTCGTGTTCCCCCGGCGGTCCAAGGATTGGGTCCATTTATTTCATCGTAGATAGCATTCCCGAACGTCCACAGTGACAATCGCTTGCATAGCTTCGGCTGCGGAGAGAGCTCGCCAAGGTGAGTAATTGGAATGTGATGTCCGAATTGAACCTCTACTTGTATGATCCAGGATGTCAATGATTTGGGAAGGGATAGCAGGTGAAGACTGAAACCCATTCCAGGGGTTGTGGAGGTGATGAGTGAATTGAACGACGAGCAGAGTGCTGGAAAAAAGGTAGTGATGCCATCGAAACATAACACCACAAAGTGTAGGATAAAGTACGCCTTAGAAGGTGGAAAGGGCTCCATGCTGAACTAGTAGTCATTTGGGACGCGAGAAGCGAGGCCTTTTGACTGCAAAGTGCATTCGATGTACTAGGAATCGAAGGGATGAAATGTTCGTACCGTGAGCTACATGCATCCGAGAATGTGACCCTTCCTACAAGTTTCATGATGATGTGCTGGGGCATCAGCTCGGCGTGTAGAAACACGACACCATTCATGCAGCCCTGTAGGATAGATAGTAATCATGACATTTGACCGGCCCTACCAGAAAGACTCGAGGGGTATCAGTTCAAAGTTGGTCTGTATCCCAATTCCAAGTGAAGGCGAGATGACGCATGTTGAAAGTTGTGGAGACACAAGTTGGAGCCATGCGCAGATGCGCAGAGAGGGTTATACTGTCGAGGAAGGGATGACAGAGCCCAATGGGGGTGTGGATGCGGACAGCCTCATGTCCTGGGCGTCTATGGAAACATGAGGCAGGTTAATGAAGCGAACAGCGTAAAACGCACAATACACGCACCTCTGCAGCTTAGCCCACAATCCCTCGACCCAAAAGCACCTCGACCGTGACCTCCAGTAAAATGTCGCAGCTCATTCCACACACCACCCCTCTTCGAGAGTTTAAAGATCATGAGAACACCGTATTTGCAGTCGCAGTTTTCCCCGATAGACGACGAATGGTTACCAGCTCGCAAGACGAGACGGTTCGTCTGTGGGACTTGGAGACAGGCGTTGTGTTGAAGAAGATGGAGGGGCATGGCGATAAGGTGATGGCATTGGCAGTATCACGAGATGGGCAACTGGTAGCAAGCGGTGATTTGAGTGGAGTGTCCATCATCTGGCACGGAGAAACTGGGGAACCTCTCACCCAGCCCATCACAGCCCACTCTCGGATCTGGTCATTGGACTTTTCTCCCGAAGGAACAGTGCTCGCCACTGGTGGACCCGACACAGCGGTGAAACTGTGGAGTACGAAAACATGGGAGATCCAAGGAGATCCAATCATTTGTAGTGATTATGTCCACTGCTTCCGGTATTCGCCGTCTGGTGAACTTCTTGCCATTGCAACATCCAGCAACATCGAAATTTATAATCCAGGCACGAGGGAATGCATCGCAAATTTCAAACTCAATGCTTCCACAAAATATTGGAACAACTCACTCAGGTGGACGCCTGATGGCACACGCCTTCTCTCAGGGGACAGCGCCACCATACGGGTGTGGGATACATCAACCTGGAAGGAGGTCGGTGATGGTTGGATGGGCCATACCGGTAGAATCACTGCCATTGTCATCAACCCTGCTGGTACACTTGTCGCTTCCGCATCTGACGATAACCATGTCCGTCTATGGCGGCTCTCAGCTCGACAAACTGTCGCCATCTTCCAGCACTCATCCCGGCAGAACTGCGTCACTTTCTCAACGGACGGCAAGCACATCCTCAGCGGAGGTGATGATAACATGATCTCAGAGTGGGAAATACCCAAGAACAATCATTTCAAGGCGTGTTTCTGTCTTTGACTCTCATGTTGCAATTCAAACATGCTTCATACAGATCCTCCCTTTCAATATGTCATCGTCAATCCGCAATGCATGCATTACTGGGGACTTGTCTACCGCTGAAATGCTACTCACGCAAGAGATTGACAGCGGTGCCAACAACTACCATGTCTACGCATATCACTCAATTGTTATGACGCGACAACATCAATGCGACAACGCGCTTCAGGATGCAATCAAGGTGACATAGACCACCCATTACGAGCTCCCTACAAAACACTAACTGTCATCGTGACATAGTCCATCAGCATTAAGCCGTCCTTGATGGGTTATATCTCTAAAGGTATTGCCCTCTCTGAAAAAGGGCAGCTCCGCGACTCGATGCAAGCATTCGACATGGCGTTCATGTTCGCGAACGAAGATTCAAAGATCATTCATTTCATTCTCTTGATTAAGGCACGTTACATGTTTCTTACATACTCCCCACTTCATTTCAGTTTTCAGGCCATCGCCATGTTCAATGCAGGAGAACATGACGAAGCAATTCTCCGCGTTCGAGAGCTAGCTTCCGCTTGTCCGAATAATGATACTCATGTGTGTCACGTCATAGAAGTGAGTATCATGTACACCCCAGGTTGGTGCATCGACACTGATCTCTTTGAACTTTGCATATCAGGCATATCTATCTATTCAACTCGGAATCAATGCCTCAGATGGCGCACGTCATGAAGAAGCTGCTGGCCACTTCGCTGCCGCTGTCAACTCCAGTGTTTTCTCAACCATCCTAACTATATACGACGACTTGGTGGTGGTACGTCAATGTGATTCATCCGAACATGTTTCTCACGCGAACTCCGTGTTTTGTGCAGCTCTTTGGATGGGACCTCGAGTCCATGTGGCTGACTGCAAGCCAGAAACTCTGCCAGGCTTTGCTTTCAGCAGGTAAAGTCAAAGAAGCCCTCGAAGCACACCAATCCATGATGGACACCATTGATAAAACTATGAAGGCCAGTTACCGTGATTGGTCCAATAGTAGGTCTTTATTACCCCATACTATAATCCTCACCTACATTTCACTCAGCTTTCAAGGAAGAATGCAGCGCGCTCGCTGCGACCAATGACATTCTTCGCGTACTTACTCCTTTCCTCATCCCTTTTGTTACTGATGGTCATCCAGATGGAGATCCCCGGGCAAGATCAAGAGGGCTACGACACAGAACCTGATTTCTTCCGGGGAATGCATGACGTGCGTGCAATAATGCATACATTTTTTCTCACTCATGTATTATCCATTACAGTATCCTCAAACTTCACGATCACGACCTCGGCAGCGCCAAGGACGCCTCAAGAGACTCAGGGTCGCTGTGACGAGGACCCTTCGTCCAGCTCCTCCACCGGTGCCGCCCACTATGCAAGCCTCTGCCACCGCTCCCGCTACCTTCAGATCCCATCTAAGAGATTTATTAACCTGGCGAACCAATCATGCAGCGCCACACGTCGTCGACGTTCCTTATGCACAAGGTCGTTTGGTGCGCTCGGTTTACGTTTATCGCTGTGTCTTTAATATCTCATGCATACATTCATAGCGCAATGCTGCAGCGGATGCCCCTAGAAATGATGATGACTTGGTACCTGACGAATATTTCGACGATCTTCCACAGGACCCCAATTCACAGCAGCAACCTACAGCAGGGCATACTAATGACACTAATGATGGGGATTATGGAGGCGGTCGGTCGTGTTTCTGTTGCTAGAGGGGATGTTCGCCAGGTATTTCAGTTCTACTATCGCTTCTGTTGTGATACCAGCATGGACTTGATACAATATTCTATCGATACGTGATGTGACTACGTCCTTTGCATTATTAATTATGAATCTCGCGTTTTCTATATGTAAAGCTTAGCGTGCACTCACGATAACAAATGAATCGTGATACCTTTTAATGTTCTTGGACGAAAACATTCTGTGGCAAAGATCAAGTCACAACAAGACTCAAGTGTATAGGAAAGAAAGAAACTGTTGTCCGTCAAACACCAAGACTTCAAATTCAAATCCGAAGTTGAAGGGAAAAATGATGTTATGCACGCACCTGTCTCATCTGTGGGTTTCTTCTTCCTCGGACGACCTGGGGTCTTGCGCTTTGCCGTGCCAGTTTCGCCAGAATGTATTGTACTTGCTGCTGGTTGTCTTCCACGTTCCATTCGCCAAGTGAGAGTCATACATTCCGCATCTTGAGCTTGACTGTTCGTGTTTGCTTTCGAGCTCGTGTCATGATCACTTGCGCTAGTGTCAGACAGAGCACCAGGATCGAAAATTGAGTCGTATGTTTGAGGCGCCATGGATGGTGAAGCCGATGAAGGTTAACAGAAGAAGTGACGCGCCGCTGAGCCGCGCCTCTCAGGACTCAGGAGAATCATAATTACCACATTTGGTGCGAAGTATTTTATAATTTCAAGTCTTTCCTCGCGTCTGGTACTGCCAACCATTTTGCAAATTGCTGTAAGGCACATTACATGCTCCCTGCTTATATTACCGTTTCCAGGTTATCCCTATTTTCAATGCAGGACGTCATGAAGAGGCATTTCTCCGCGTCCGAGAGCTAGCTTCTGTTTGTCTGAATAATGATACTCTTGTATGTTGTATCGTACCCCAGGTCTGTGCATCGATCTGAACTTCGCAAATCAGGCATATCCAATGCATCGGACGGCGCACATTACAACGATGCTGCTGGCTACTTTATAGCCACTGTCAACTCCAGCGTTTTCACAGATACATTGGTCATTCACTCTACATACGAGGACTTGGTGGTGGTACGTCAATGTGATTCATCTGAACATGTCTCTCGCGCCGAGCCCCGTGATTTGCGCAGCTCTCTGGATGGGACCTCAAGTCCTTGTGGCTGACTGCAGGCCTTGCTTTTGTCGACGAAGCCCTAGAATCACACCAATCCATGATGAACACCATGGATGAAACTACGAAAGCCGGCTGCCTTGATTGGTCCAATGGTAGGTCTTCATTGCCCATGACATAATCCTTACCCGCATTTCACTCAGCTTTCCAGCAAGAATGTAGGGCACTCGCCGAGGCCAACGATCGTGTTCTTTGCATACTTACTTTCTTCCTCATCCCTTTCTCTACTGACCGTTATCCAGATAGAGATCCCTGGGCAAGATCAAGAAGGCTATGAGACAGAACCCGATTTCTTCTGGGGAATGCATGATGTGAGTGCAACAGTGCACGCTTCGTTCCTCACTCGTGCATCATTTGTTACAGCACCCTAAAACTTCGCGACCGCCACCTCAGCAGCACCCGGTGCACCTTAAGAGACTCAGACACGCTTTCACGAGGACTCCTCGTCCAGCTCCTCCATCGGCGCTACCCACCACCTTATCATCTACCACCAATCCCACCACTACTCCCCCACTTCAGAACCCATCTAAGATATGTATTGACCTGGCGGCCCGATCACGCAGCGCCACACATCGTCGAGGTTCCTTCAGCGCAGGGTCAAGAGGTGCACCTCTTCGTCCGCGAGCAGTATGCGTCGACGCCCGAGAGCGGACCTGTCCAGCGCATGGTGCTTAGGTACGGCGCTAACCCTCACCAGAAACCAGCACAGACTTTCGTGGCAGAGGGTGAATTGCCATTCAAGGGTGCGATCTCTTATTCGATTTGATAGGCATTCTCTTGACTTGACTTTGGATGGTATAGTCCTCAGCGGTTCCCCAGGCTACATCAATCTCCTGAATGCCCTCAATTCTTACGCCCTTGTCAGGGAGCTGCAAGAGGCTTTGAACCTCCCTGCTGCCGCTTCGTTCAAACATGTCTCCCCTGCTGGTGCTGCCGTGGGTTTAGAACTTGACGAAATCGAGAAGCAGGTGTACGGTGTCGAAGATCTCAAAGAGCCCCTGACGCCTTTGGCATGCGCCTACGCTCACGCTCGAGGTGTGTCATTTCTGCTTTCTTTGTGCAAGGCCACTAAATTATCATTTTCTTAGGTGCCGACCGCATGTCATCCTTTGGAGACTTCATTGCACTCTCTGCACCCTGCGACCTCGCCACAGCACGCATCATCTCCAGAGAAGTATCAGACGGCATCATCGCACCAGGCTACAGTCCTGAGGCACTAGATGTTCTCAAAAAGAAGAAGGCAGGAAAGTGCTGCGTCCTAGAGGTATGTTCGCTCGATCACCTCGCCCCATTGCGTTTGCTAACACTACCAAAAGATGGACCCGTCGTACACACCCTCAGACATCGAGACCCGCCAAGTGTACGGCATCAGTCTCCAGCAGTGTCGAAACGACATCAAAATCAATGCTAAGCTCTTCGACAACCTCGTTACCAAGAACAAAGACGTACGTCCCCCCCTCCCTGGAGCTCATAATCATAACCGTCGCCATAGGTTCCAGCACAAGCGCTAACCGACCTCATCGTCGCGACACTCGCGGTCAAGTATACGCAGTCCAACAGCGTATCATACGCCAAGAACGGTGCTATCATTGGCCTGGGGCGCTGGACAGCAATCGCGCATCCACTGCACACGGCTCGCGGGATCTAAGGCGGATAACTGGTGGTTGCGGCACCACCCTCGCGTCCTCGCGCTCCCATTCAAGAAAGGTGTCAAACGCGCAGAGAAAGCGAACGCGGTCGACCTCTTTGTGAGCGGGGAGGTACTCGAGGGGGGTGAGCGGGCGCAGTGGGAGGGGCAATTTGCGGAGGTGCTGGCGCCTCTGAGTGAATTGGAGAAGAAAGAGTGGGCAGGGAAGTTGGACAGGGTTGCGTATTCGAGTGATGCGTTTTTCCCATTCGCGGATAATGTGCATCGGGCTAGGAAGAGCGGAGTGCGGTACCTTGCCGCGCCTAGTGGGAGTGTGATGGACGAGGAGTGTATCAAGGCTGCGGACGAGCATGAGATGGTGTTTGCGCACACATCGCTCAGGCTCTTCCACCACTGAGGATGGGAGCTTTTGTAAAAATCTAACAGCAGTAGAATGTATTTGTTTATTCTGAAAATGCAACTTATAGGGCAGGCATCTCATATCGCATCAAAACCGCTAGGCAAATCAGGAGCCGACACAAGAACAAAGCTTCGTTTCTAGTTTGAGAGTATGTACATACAGTGAATAGCATACTGTGTGCCGGACACAGTACTTAGTCCATAGAATTACAATAGATCTCTAAGCACGCTGTAATTCTGAAACTTATTGTCTACGTGATGGACTAGACAATAGTTTCAGCTAGCAGAACAAGTAGAAATACAATACAATAATGGAGAGCAGGAGGGCCATGAAGAACTAGATGAGAAATGTCAACGAAGACTGCGATGTTTCTTCCCTAATGTTGACTGTCTGTGTATTGGATAGACACGCAACCAACCCAAAGTAAAAACGGAGTCCAGCACCCGGCCTGTCTTATGATGATATCGAGATGTGAGAGCGTTCCAGTCGCAAATGCAGTAGTGGTGACTGTGTGAAGCGCCTCGGATGTCGTGGCATTGGCAGGTTGTTGCTGCGATGACGGTGGTGTGCTCCGCTGGGTTGCTGCAAGACATGAGTATTAGTAGGTCGAGAGGAGCTGGCAGATGGCTTCTTTCTCGCGTGATAGTTCCTCTGCGTCAAAAATAAGACAGTAATAAAGAACATAAACCGGAAAAAAATGCACAGGCCTGTTTGGCTGCTGTGCACGGACCTCGAATATGGGTGGCTCTTGCAATTCCATGTCGGATCCGTCTCGTCTACGTAGCACATGAGAGATGATATTTCTAGCCCAGCTGAGCAGAGGGCGGGATCTGGATTGAGTGTCGCGTACAGTTTCCAGAACGAATCGGGGCGGCGGTGCCAGAAGGAGGGTAGGTGACCGATGTGGATGCGTTGACGTTGGTTACGTACACCAGTATCGTTAAGAAACCCTCGGTGTATTTGACGAGCGTCTTCGTTTTGCGGGGCTCGTCGTCGTGTAGCATCAGCCTAGTATGTGGACACTCAAAGTCATGTAAAATTTAGAAACACATAACATACATCTATGAATGGCTTGTTGAAAGCACGAACGAAGATTAGTGGGTAAGATTTTAAAGGGACATAATGCAACATACCACCTGAAAAGATGAGCAACACATTGTCAGTGAAATTGAGGATGAAATGTATGATATATCCAAGCTCACATTGTCTGATAGCAGGCGATTGAAGCTGGTCTCCCCTAGTCAGACCCAATAGAAGGAAGATAGTCGTTCGATCCAGGCCAGCTTCTCTGACGATAACACAGACATCCCACGTGTATACGTGGTGGTCATCGCAGCCAATGGCCCATCCGCAGAAGAACACATCTGACATTGTCTTGATGGTAAAGGGGTAGTCCAATCGGCTGATTGTTTTCGAGGTTCCATAGTCGTGCTGTCTTGTTGATTGATATGCTCGCGAGGATGCGTTCATTCTGAGATAATGAAATTGCACTGACGAATCGTCCTGTCCAAGCTGCACAGCGGTTTCAGTCCAAGTGATGGTATCAAATTTCCTCAAGTTGTTTTCCTGGTCGCCGGCGACAAGTGTCTTTCCATCCGCGATCCATGCCAGGCAGACTATCTGTTGAAAGGTGAAACTAATAGACGAGTCTCAGCGTTGGTGAAAGAACCGCTATGCATTGACAGTACCTAATAGACGAGTCTAGAGACAATTAATCATAAGAGAAAGCGAGCGTGCAAACAGTAGAGATACATACCTCAGCGTTGGTGAAAGAACCGCTGAGGTATAAACAAACGTAGACAGCGAAGTAATATAGTAGACGAAAGGAATTCAAGATAATAACAGACAAAAACAAACATTGGCGAGTTTACTTTCAACACTATCGACGTGTTGAGTGTTATCAGCAGACCGCCTGTGTTAGCATCCCAGATTTTCAGCGAGTCCCCACCCAACCTTTCATCAGGTGAGTAGCAAATCTCCCACACGGTGTTCCCTCTCTTGATGGGTCCGAGGACTGTCTGGGCTTTCTTCGTCTTTCCAGGCGTCCCCGACTTGCGTCCCGCTGTCCAAGCCCCAGACTCGAAGTGAACTATCCAATGAACAAGTGATGATCCGTTGTTTGTCAGGCAGGCGGAGGACGCCATAGACGGTTTCAGTGTGCCCCTCCATCTTTTGGCGAGGCTTTGTCGCTGATTTCTCTTGCTTCGCGGTGGCTGGTGAAGACATGATTTCGGCTCGGGGACTTCACCTAATGGGCCCGGCATAATTTCAGCTCTTGCCCATCAAACGAATGCCGTTACTTACTCAGAGGTGCCAAAGCGAACACGTGCAGAAGGAAAGCTGCAACGGTGTGGGAGGGAGGTCGCCGTTGAAGTCCTCTACGCTGTCGAACGGTCTTGGTCTGCGTTGCTTGGTGTTGCTGCAGAGTTCTGTGCTGGCGATGATCCAAGTGAAAATACTGAAGGTGCGTCTTCCCTGCTTTATCATCAAGGCTGTTCATGAATAACTCTGAATGAATACTCCATTTGGCCATCTACGCTCAGATCAAGCGCCCGGGTCACGTTATTTCGGACTAGATTCATATCCGCTACAACAATATTAATGGAAAGACATACATCTCACAGGTGCGTCAGGAAGAACTTCACACTAGCCTCGAACGATCCCTCTTTCGCAGCATCGACCAGCGGGTCAGTCTGATCCCTACGGACAGCACACCTATACATGCAACCAGGGAAACACTCAAGCCTGTATCGTGGAGCAGATTTCCCATCGCCAAAAACCTAATCGGCCTTTGCTTGGGCTTCTGCAGGGAAGAACCTATCGTTCTCGCAGGAATTATAAGGAGAGGTGCTTTTGCTTTGGTGAAGTATGTCTAGAAGAGTGGAGTCAGCGGGAGGACGCTGGACTGGCGGCGACTGGCAATGAGCCTGTCTCTGGCAGACTGAGCTGGTGTGGCTCCAGAGTTGATGATGGATGCTACGTACGACAATGCCCGAAGGCTCCACCCTGCCGACCAAGCTAAGCAAACGCTCGCAAACGCCCGCCTGCACACCCCCTCGCGAGGAGATACCCCACTCCAACGCCTTGAAGATGATGGGGGTTATCTCGAGGTCGTTGGGGACTGTCAAGAGCAAGAGGTGAGCGACGACGGCACATTTGATGACGTTATTGAATGCAAGGTCGAAGGTGTAGCGATCTGCGGTGTTGAAACGATAAGTTGAGAGGAAGAAATGACGGAGTGAAGGGACGTACCACCGAAGCAGTAACCAATGGTCCCAAACTCAGTGACGATTTCCCCTCCGAGCGCGATGTCCTTGTAGAGGGGGGCTGGGTGACACGAGGTAGTTCGCTATCAGCGGGTCTTGCAGGGCTTGGTTAGGGATGTGTACAACTCAGAGTGTTTCGTTTCGCAGAAGCAATCCGCGTGAGCGCCATCTCATAATGTACTTCTGAGACATCAATGCATACGCAGTCGCAGTTTTTCCTGACAGACGACGAATAGTTACCGGCTCGCATGACAAGACACTTCGTCTGTGGGACTTGAAGTGTTGAAGAAGATGGATGGACATCATGATTGGGTACAGGCATTGACGATATCACGAGATGGGTAACTGGTAGCAAGCGGTGATGCCAAGGGAGTGTAAGGCTTGTTGTGAGTTCGAAGGGGAATTGGAGCGAAACGAAGTGAGTAAATGACGAGCGCGACAGTGATCTAGACGAGTCGGTAAAAGTATAAGGCGGGGACTTTCTGTGAGGCTTCTCAATCGTTCTTGGAGCGGGGATGTGAATATAGGATTCGCTGTAGGTATGAGTGTACATTGGTAGTATATATACGTTTTTGAATACTTGTTTAAGCCGGATCGAGCGTGAAAATACTTGATGAAGGAACCGAGATGGTGTAATGTGAGCGCGAGGTAAGGTACTGAATGGTAAGATGAAAAGAGATATCCGCGTGACTCGGATGCGAAGAGTAATGGAGTCACGTCGTCTTCGCTTTGAAGTGTGATCGGTGTGTAGAGGATATGCAATCCTTACATCCCCTCTCTACTTCGAATATCGACCGTCCTCGGTCGATCTTCTAACAAAATAAACTAAAAAAAAATTGACGTAGTGCATAGAAAGGTAGGAAAGCAGGATAGCGAGAAAAATAAAAATGAAAGAACGCATCTGTTAGAGTCCGAACGATCCGAGGGATCAGAGACGAAGAAAACCGAACGATCCGAGATAGTAGAAGAGAAAGAGTGATAAGTCCGAGCCCAAGCCAAAAGGGACTTTGACGAGCGACACACTGACGTCGGCTCGTGTCCTACAATATGTTTTCCTTTTCCGTTCTGACTAATTGGTCTCACTTAGCCTCGCGGTAGCGCAGGCTGCGAGGATTAGCCAGCAAGAGGGTCCTTCGTGCGAGGGCAGCGAAGGACCCTATAAAAAATTGACCGAAGTAAATAAGTACAAAGCAGCAACCGACGGGAGGCTCGGAATATGAGAAAAGATGAGACTCGAAAAACTCAGACGTGCAGAATTTGTGCGTGGAGAGTGCTATAACGTGTTACTTTTGGGGTGGGAGGGAGGGGATTAAGTAGTCGAGAAGTGACTGGGAAAGTAGGTGTAGTTGGGTAGATAAGTAAAAAATAAAAATTGAGTGAAAACGATGGGAAACACACACATAGAATGAAGCAGACTCGAACAAATTTTAAGAGATGGGCGCGAACGGATCACGACCATCGTGTGCGGACCGACCATTGAAAATAAGACTGTGAAGAAGAGTAGGATTCTTCCGGATATATACCTGAAAGGACTCTGAGGACCACCGTCCGATGGCTTGAATATGAGACGCTGGTACTCCACTAGCTGCTAGTGAAGTAGCTCCTCCGGCTCTCATCGAATGTCCCGCAATTGTCGAAGGAAAGAATTGACGCAACTTCCGAATAAACCAGCTGCGGGTTGGTACCGAACCATCCGCACGAAGCCATAGAGTCGAATGGAAAGGAAAGGATGAGTCGTGCGACTTTAAATACTCCTTGAACACTTGGTGAGGATCCGGCAAGGATTGAGTGTGACGAACGACAACTGTTGCTCCTTCGAATTGAACGTCGGTCTTATGGGATGGGAGGACGAAGGAATGATGCTCGTTTTCAAGCACAACCGAAGTGCGCTGCGTCAATTTTCTTCGACTTTGTAGTTTTCTGTTGTCGGGCCATACTAACTCCCCAAGACGAAGGAGGGCATAAAATCCATCAAATAGTTGCACGAGGAATAATTTGTTGTCATGAGAAAGGGGATGAGGGAGCTGATTGTGAACTAGCTGTAGGTCCGCTCGTGTCAATGGAAGTTTTCATTTAACTGGTACACTATAACGTCGTTTTGCACCTTTTAAGGTGCGCGAAATCAGACGCAAGTGACGAACCGACCGAATTGACGGATAGAACTCCTCGAGTTGACTACAAATTCCCGACAGGTAGTTATTGACCGAGCGTGGGCTGATATGGGCGGACAGGTAAGAAACAAAGTATGAGAGCGTGTCTGGCATAGGATCAACCGAAAAGCGATGAAGGTCGCAAAAAGTGAGGTAGGAGTTTAGCGCAGAGGAGTATGTGCGATTGGTGGATTGTTCGAGAGTCATTCCGAGATTAATTGAACGCTCGTGATTGAGACGTTCGAGAGACCAGGCTTCCCTAACGGGTTGCCTGGTATTGCATGAAAGTGGGATCATTTTCTTCCCGCCCCCAGCGCATTCCGAGGGGGTTCAAAAGGGAGGATTCGAAGGTGAGGATTACACTTCAGGGCCTCCCGGCCCTTGTTACGTGAAAGGTGGTCCACAATGACGTTATGCTCTCCTGAAATGTGAAAAACGCGAAAGTCAATCGAAGCAGCTATAACAACGTCAACTGAGACAAGGAGGAGTGAATTGAATCCTGGTGAAGCCTTTAATGAGTTGAACATCGCGACCGAATCCAAGCTGTCTGTAAAGACAGCTAATCTCCCTCCTGACGGTAAGTGGGAAGCTGCATCTTGAATAGCTGAACAGATACACAACACTTCAAAGAAATATATGTCGTAGACAGGGGCCTGTGTCGGGAGAGAGGACTGGAATCCTAGATTCAAGGACGGGTACCAGAAACCCATTCCAGTTCCCGAGGCGTTGCAATATACCTTGAGCGCCTGGTCTGTGATCCGCAAGAAATCCCAGGAGATAGACTTCAGGAGATACACTCCGTCCGACCATTGGAGGTGATCTGCTACCCAAAGTACCTCCTTAACCACATCTCTGTTTAACCAGATAAGCCCCTGTGAATTGACTTTTCCTTTCATCTTCTTGTATAGAGCCGATAGACCTGGACACAGGAGAGGACAGATGTTAAGGGCCCAATTGAGCGAACCCACAATCTGCTCGCATTCCCGCAAAGTATGCCAACTCTTGTGTCGGGTGAAATCCCGCAACTCTGTGATGAGACGAGCTTTAGACTCCTCCTGTAAAGTAATCCGCATTTGATTCAGATCAACGTCGAATCCTATGACAGGAAGCGGTGAACTGTGAATCTGTTTTCGTTTGTTGTGCGGAATTCCTAGTTCGTCCCATAGAGTCAACAACTTGACCATATCTCTAGGCAACATCTTTTGATATTTGCGATAGAATGCAAAGTCCTCTGCTTCTGCATATGAGAAGGAATCGTCAATGTAAATATACGCGAGAATGAATCTGACAAAAACCGCGAGCCAAATAACCAAGGACATGAAGGCATGGAATATTCGCTAAGACGCTTGACCTCCGAAAACATTCGCCCGATCAACTCTCCTTTCACTATTGAACGATACAACTTGTTTTATTTGCCACAACGGGTGCATCGGCATATGACGATATGCTTCTGAAACATCGGCCTTCCAAATGGTAAGAGGGTGGTCAGGGTTAATTCCGCGATAATGATGTAGCGCATTTCCTAGATCTTGAACATTGTCAAGAGTGACTCCAGCAATGTCCTCCTTGGCGATCATGGAGTTAAGCGAATATTCGCCAGTGCTGTGGTTGGTAACTAGCTGAAACTTTCCTCCCTCCTTAGGAACAGCATGGATGGGCATTGAATACATGCCAGGCAGGAGATTGCGACCAAAATCGCGGGAATACCTTCCTACTGCTTCCTCCTTTAAGATCTGATCATGAAGGAACGAGAACTCTTCCTGCGTCTTCGGCACCGGTGTGTGAACTTCCAAAGTAGTAGGGTAAGTACCGTAATGAGTATCTGCTCAGGGCCAGAAACCCTCTTGTAACCCCGTACAGACCGACTGATAAAAGGGAGCGTTAGGATGACCTGAAGAAATAAGTAAAGATTCAAACACATCAACATGAATCGGAGTCAAAACTTGGAACAAATCAGGATGAGTAGCAATAGTATGTAATGCTTGTTCGTTTTTATATTTGTCTTGAGGAGGACGAGGAAGCGGTTGTGCGGTTTCGGTCCAAACCGCAGTATGACTGAAAATAGGTGAGTTATCACCCCATACCATCCGTCGCTTAAATCGCTGCCCCTTGGCAATACGCTCATTGAGTTCCTTTGCAATTCCCTCTATCGCAGACGTGATAGTAGAGACACTCTCTTGCCTCCTTTTCACATTGACCTCTGCTCCATTTGTGGCAGGGTTCTCCGAACCTAGAATTTCCAGGCCGCTTAGGTCCTCCTTGGGACATTCCTCCTTGATCTGACGTGCTTGACCCTGCCTTAGAGAGTTGGTTGACGGCGACCATCCCGAAGGATGAGAGATGGCTGGCTTGGAGTCCCTCAAAACGCCTGAAGCTATTGAACCGCAAGAACTTTTGTTGCTCGATGAGAAGCCGAATGGCTCGATCAAAGTCGAGAACTCATTCGTGCGCCGAATAATGGATGGTCCCAAAGATGTCCGACATGAACTTGCGAAATTCCCTGAGCTCTCGCTCCCTCCAGGGCATGATAAAAATAAGGGCTTTGCTCCAGAGTTCGGTCGTGATGCTCCAATCTCCGAAGGTTTTGACCTTTTGTGTAGTTGTAGGTTGTGATAGTGTGAGCTCAAACCCACTTCTGAGGACTTGCGTTTGCTTGGAATCAATGGCGGTTGAGTAATGACCTGAGAAGACTTTGTCAAGGTCAAGTGCTCGTCCCTCAAGGAGGAGGAGCCATTGCGATGATGGTAAGCTTGGACATCCTGGAGTAGTTGTGACTTTGGTCCGAAAGAACTTTGGGTCTTCCGACCATTCCTCATAACATTCGAGGGTGAGTTTGAGACTTTTGTCTGATGAACAGTGTCGGAACTTGTCAGGGTTGAGCCAGGGGAAGAAATTGGTTTGATCGCCTGGGATCTTTCTTCTTTTTCGCCGTTGCACAAACTCCTCCCCTGATTCAGCGTTTGAATTGTCATCATCTTCTGTTTCTTTTGACCCATCAATTCCTCTTCTAATTCTTCGTTGTGACCTTGACCCCTTTTCAGAGATTTCATCCAGCGTGTGCCACAAAGGCAAAGGGAAACTGGCCCTAAGGTAGGCCCGCACGTGAAAAGCTTAGTCATAAGTATCAACCAATTAGACTTGTGTAAAAAAGATTAAACTCGATATATTCCGTTTCTATACAACTTACCACCTATTACTCCCACCTTTCCAATATAGTAAAGTGGTACCTAAGACGTCTACTCACCCTTATATTAAGCCAAAAAGCATTATTTGTGAGGACCAGCGGTCTAGACCAGCAAATCAATGTCACTTAGAACATTAAGTATTGTTAGCCTTGGGTAGCACGTGGGAAAGCTGACACAAGCACTATATTCGGTAATAGCGCACCACCACCTGTTGCCGTCAACCTTGCGCTCATCATCACCCACGACGAGCTCAACAATACACTCAATGTTCCTACTTTTTGGCCATTTTCTCTCCAGCATACTGCTTATTCTTACTATGATGGCATCAACAGCTTGATATACAAGCAACATGGCACATCATCGGCTTCCCAACATGCTTTAACCGTGTGTCAGTCACATGTCACCATCAAGGTACCTGCCTTCAACCACCACCATCATCCTTCAAGATCCTGTGTTTCTGATGACGAAAAGCAACTTCAGCACACCTGGTATCTCACAAGCATCACGAATATCTGTAGGAGGGAGGAGGAATAGGGTGGTCCGCAACCAGGACTGTGTCAAATGAGCGGTGGTGGCATCTGCTGAACGAGCAGCCCAGCTTCGAAGTAAGTTTTCTCTTTTCATTTCTATTGCTACCAGCTACTACTATCTACAGGCATGAATCTGCACCAGAGAGAATGGTTTCTTCAGGCTGAACATAGTGTCACCGCACCCTCATCTGACTTCAACGATGACGGAATCAACAATGAGATGGATCTTTCAAGTATCATCCCCCCCATTGGCGAGGAAGGTTTTGCAGTTAGTCATGGTGGCGGGGAGATGGAGCTCTATGAGGAACTGGGCCATGCCTTATCATGCCAACAGTGTGTAATTAGCTATTTTTCCTACTACCTTTCTCTGATGGGACTATCCAGAATTCATATTGATGATTGTGACCGTCATGACCATACAGCCAGACTTGTATATGCATGGGCAGACCAATACGAAGCCCTTGTCGATGCATATCTCCAGTTTTGCCACCAGAATCCTTCGTTAGCATCCCTCAACACAAGTATCCCAGCTTCCGAAGACACCTTTTCAATATGCATTGTTGACATCTTCAGTGAGTGAATGTTATCTTCACTGCGTGTATCTATCTCATGTTTTCTTAGAATGACAGCAAGGTGTCTTTAGTCATTGCTTGCCACACATTAATGTGTCTCTCATGACACGTGGGTGTATAGGCTCATCGCCATTGCAGCCAACTGTGGCCATTACCATACGAACACTTGAGGCTTATCGTCAAATGCATCGTGTATGCCTGAGGCTCAGTATCCACGCAGAGGTGAAGAAGTTATGTCACTTGCACGGTGTGAGTATATACATTCATTTAGTACATTAAAACTGATGGAACAAGTCTTCTGATTCTAGGTTCATTATGGTCGGTATTTAGCCAAACAATTTCGTGTTGCCTATGACATATATCTAGAACTTCTGCGGCGGGTGTCTCTTCATGTCTCACAAGCCCTTGGACACACTGGTCCTAACTGGTGTGCATGCAATTCGTGTCCCTGTTGCCACTACAAAGTCCAGGATGAACCCAAGCTGAGGTTTCCCTTTGAGATCGCACTGGATGGTAATAACTCAGCAAAGTTTGTAGACCCTGCATTACGTGGAGGAAGTGAGTGCCTCGACCCTCGCAATGGATGATCAGACATATGGATTGATGAAGAATATGTTGATCGATTCAAGGATGAAGTCAAGAACACTCAACACTCCCACTGTCCAAACACCTTGACCCCTGCTGATATTGTGGATCCTGATGATCCCTGGATACATTGCGAGAATGAAGACCAGGATTCAAATGAACCAGTCAACATTTGTGTTGACCGATGGCGTAATGCCACACCCGAGGCCCGCAAGCGAATGTTCTCTGTTTTCCAGAAGTCTGGTATTTTTGTTGCAGTGTGCCATCATGGATTCCTTTTGTCTATATGCGACATGGTCCGCAGTGGCGAGCTGTAAGTTTGAGTCTAGCTTCAATAATACCAATCTACTGACAGTCTCTCAGGATGAAATATCCGCTGGCGACAATCAACAAATTAATGGATGTTTTTGCCAAGCAGTTCCTTTACGGCTATGATATCAAATGCGCGTTCCATTCCATCCTTCAATGCTCATCCTTAGGACCTGCTGTATGAGATCTTGGTATTGAGGGTGTTGTGCCTGGATTCCATGGACACGCCCATAACCATCTCTGTCAAGTTCAACATCACTCTAAGTTCATGCTTGGTGCTGGCAAAGAGGACTTTGAGACTTGTGAACGAACATTCTCAGAGTCGAACACCCTGGCACCTGAAATTCGGAACTCAACGGAGTTTCACAGGCATCAAGCACTTGACGAGCATTTCTGTTTCGCTGATCAAGACAAGTATGCTGCTCTCGGTATGTTCATTGCCACTGATCCTGTTGCCTGATACATACTGATGATAATTATTAGGCACTTTCATTTATCGTAATTATGTGCAGGCATTAGAATGTATCCAAGTGCATGACGAGTTCCTCCACCTATTTGATCTTGCACCCGAAGATTTTGAGTCCAATTTGAATGATGAACAAGACTATCTTCAAAAGGCTGGTCAACGGCGACTTGGAGATAGTGTGGAGGTTGAGTACGTGAAGGCACTGAACGAGCTTGATGTGGTACAGTAAGATTAAATTTTACTGTAAATTTAATAATTGATGTTTGTAATAATTGATGTTTGTTTAGATCTCAGTGGGAGACCACTCAACACAAATTTAATCAACTCGACCTGCGTGTGTCATATACCGGATCCGAGTACCCCCAGTACCTCCTATGAGCATCCCCACTGCTGGCCTGACCCCCTGTTTCCCCGTCCGCTTCATTCCTCCTTCCCTGACAATGCACGAAGTGCATCTCAGCAGGATTAGCCCTGCTACCTCCGCCCGACTCCGTTCTGCTCTTCCGACATTACCCCTATGTCCTCCGACCCCATACCCCTTCCATCCAACCCTATCTGGGGTTCCGCTCCTCCGCCCTATTGGTCCGCCTGATCCTATTCCTACTCCCTCCACTTTTCTGCCCTGCTTGGATCCTTTGGTTCCGCTCGTATTGACCCACCCAACCATTAGTCCGTCCGACCGCCTCACCGGTCCACTCCTAGACTAGGAACCACTCAACTGGTCCTATCCCTGTTTAGTATTATAGTTCCGCTTTTTGGGTTCCCGGTAATCCCTATACCCTAGCGAGTTCTGATCCATCACATACATACTTTCCTCCAAGCCTTTTCTCGTATGTCTCAGTCATCCTATTGTAATCCTGTACACTCAGCACATAGCCTTCTGCTATGCTATGCTCATCACTTAGAGTATATAAACCTATGTACACTTGTCTGTAGATACTCAGTCTGAATCTTACCTTTTCTAAGCCCTGCTCTTCTGTCCTTTGACTTAAAAGTCTTTCCCAAGTCAAAACTCCTGTTCCCTGGCCTAGGGGATTGACTCCCTAGGTCGGCTGTCCTCTGATCCTCCGACCCTCTGCTTCCCCGCTTCCCTGTTCCTCCGTCCCACTGGTTCCGCTGGTTCCGCTATTCAGTGGGTTCCGCTATTCCACGAGTTCCGCTATTCCGCGAGTTCCGCTATTCTGTGGGTTCTGCTATCCTGTGGGTTCCACTGTTCCTCCATCCCCCCGTTCCTCTGCTCATCCGACTCCCCGTGCATCAGCTGCACTTTCCCGCGCATCGGATCTGATCCCTGCACTCCCTCATATCCGCCCCCTCCATTCTGCTCTGCCTCAGACTTCATCCGAGCAGTTCCTCCCGCTCCGTTCCTACTGTGGGTTCCGACCCCAGTAGTCCCCACCTCTCTCCTGTCGGGCGGAACCCCCACCCGACTTTCCTGCGCTCACCTAGTAGTCCGACGGTCCTCCTTCAGAGGATCCCCATTCCAACATCCTGTTGAAACCCATAGAACTCGCATCAGACTACATCCCAAAATTAGGGGCACGTACTCGGGTAAGGGGCGCAGTGTACGAGCTGAAGCCAAGCCCCCCAGACTCCACTTTACCCCGAGCACGGTCTTAACAGAATCCATCTGGTATGACACACTGTTAAGACCGTGCTCAGGGGTAAAGCGGAGTCTGAGGGGCTTGGCTTCAGCTCGTGCGCTGCGCCCCTTACCCGAGTATGTGCCCCTAATTTCAGAATGTAGTCCGACACGAATTCTATGGGTTCCGACAGGACATTGGAATGGGGGTCCTCTGAAGGAGGACTGACAGACTACTAGGTGAGCACGGGAACATCGGGCAGGGGTTGTTCCGCCTGACAGGAGGGAGGTGGGAGACCACTGCGGTTGGAACCAACAGTAGAAGTGGAGCGGAAGGGACTGCTTGGATGAAGCCCGACGCAGAGCGGAATGGAGGGGATGGATGCGAGAGTGTGGGGTTTAGTTCCGACGCATGGGAAGTCAGACGAGTGGAGGAATGGGGGATTGGAGGAATGTAGGAACGACGGAACAGCAGAACCAGTGGGATGGAGGAATGGGGAAGCGGGGAAGCGGAAGGGCGGAGGAGCGGAACCCCAGATAGGGTCGGATGGAAGGGGTATGGGGTCAGAGGACATAGGGGTAATGTCGGAAGAGCAGAACGGAGTCGGGCGGAGGTAGCAGGGTTCATCCTGCTGAGATGCACTTCATGCATTGTCAGGGAAGGAGGAATGAAGCGGACAGGGAAACAGGGGGTCAGGCCAGCAGTGGGGATGCTCATAGGAGGTACTGGGGGTACTCAGATCCAGTATATGACAGATTCACAAACAAGGATATTGCCAACATCCGCCGCCGCCACACCACAGCCCAGAACAAGATGGAGCTGAAAGGTCAAGTAGTTGATGATTTTGAAACTCACATGGGGATCGAGGAGAGATGGATGACGACTCACCCTGAACGTGTGAGAGTGCAATCACGTATTGCTAACGTGCAGTACCATAAAGCTGTTGATGACGTGGAGCGTCTTGTAGTAATGCGGCTGCTTGAACTTATGAAGCTTCAAATGAGCGGTTTATGTAAGCTCTCAATATTACAGGATCACGCTCTAACATATGTTTTTCAGGTTATAAGCTACGAACACAGATTGCAAAAGCTCTGAAGACTTGTGCGACTGTAATCCGGAATGCACTGAACCGCTACAACAAGTACGCAGCTCAACTCAACCCCCCCCCCCCCCCCCCCCTGACCACCAATCACTTGGGAACAGGTAGTCGAATTCTCACAGCTTGCCGAATTTGATCTCCTTTGAGATACGGATAATCAGCTGCAAGATAAATGTTGGGCGATTCCTCGTAATCGCCAAGCCTCTGCAAAATACTTTGACCTGCAACGATCCAAGGAGGAGATTGTGCGCTGCAATGTTGAGATCACATGACTTCACACAAAGATTCAAGATGATACCATTAATTTCCCAGTGATAATTGTGCAACTTCGTATATCTGATCCCCCTCTTGCAGGGGAAGTTCAGCGCCGCTGGGATCATATCTGCTCTGTGAATGCTTTTCACTTGTCCCGCATTGTGCAGATAGAGGCACTTCCAGGATATTCTGGCAGCAGAGCTGCAGGAACACGAGTTGGTCACATGGACAGCACTCCACTACAAGCCCAACCCGAGGCTGATATCAATGACCGAAATGTAGATGATGATGCATATGATGATCCTGATGGCAAGCAGCAGACTTTGATGGAAGACTTTTTTGAGCAGCTTCATGATGGACCGGTAGGCACAGATGAGGTATAGCTTAGCTTACAATTACATTGCATGTCAAGGTAGAATGTTGTGTATACAAGATGCATTTTTATCATGGTGAATTAAATGGTGTTAACAAGACCTGGTGATTCTGACATTGCAAAGTAACATGGTGTATATGACTCAGAGACCTGTTTCCGATACAACAAGGTAGATCAAATGTACATGTAACATATATGGCCAGACTTCTGACACAATGTGTAAGGCGAGAGACGGGAACTAAGACTCAGAATACTGATTCTGATGAGTGGTGGGTAAGATTACTTTGAAGTTTGAATACTCATGTAAATTGCCGTATGTAGATGTACTGCACGCTCAGCATTCAGCCACTGCATTGTTTTACATCCTGCCATGAACTGGTCGACAAGTGCCTTCAATCAGCCACCCACTATGGATGGCATAAGTACTCTACTCAAAACACTCTCTCACCCTATAGAACTTGCCAACATCACAGGCATGTCAGATTGCTGGCTCTCAGCTATAATTGCCATGTCAGCGCATGGAGCTCACAGCGACAGTGATCATCTTCGATCAGACTGAGGCTTCCATCCTTTAACAGCAGAGCACTTCCTGAGCAACACATTTGAGGGCATGACAAACAACGATAAACAAGTAGCCTCATGAGAGAGAGCTAATCATCTGTTTCAAGTGCAAAAATTAATATACGACCTGGTATGTTGTGTCTTCATTTACCTGTTCATCATTCAATGATTTTGTTTCAGTGCACCGTTCTTGACTGCCTGTCTGGTGGTGTTACTCTCTGCCTAGTACACCACCCAGGTGCAACAGCACCATTAACAGATCTGCAACCTCAAGATCTTTCTGTGTCGCTTTATCTCAATCTGAAGCTCCTCGCTGAACCCTTACAATGTCATCAGCCCATTGCAGAAATCACGCAGATGTTTGTTGAGGGGTGTGCTCTACCGGTTGCACAGTCTTTCCGGGAAGCTCATCTTGCACATGGATGGAAGAAGGAGCTCAGGCGCAGCTCATCAGATATCCCAGACTATGATTCCCTTCCCCTTGTTCCATTACCTTCCAGTGGCACTTGCTCATCTGATTTCAATATCCTTGGATGGCCTTTTGGTTGCCTCGAGCATGTCATTTCCACTCAACGAACAACCAACTCAATGGTGCCATTCTTGTCCACCACTTCTGTAACTCCAACAATTCGGTGGACAAATCAGCAGATAACATTATCTAGGCACGCTCCATCAAGAGATCACGCTCTTGATCTTGTAAGTGAGATCATCTTAAAGTTTATGTGTGACTAATGTCGGTTTGTAGGATGACCAGCTCCAACGCCTCACGCTCAGGGACAGTTCGCGTCCCTATCCGATTCCTCCATTGGCTTATGAGGCTATGCTTGTGAGGGTTGACCCTGATTCCCCTTTTGAATCTCCTATGCCTACTGTTACTCCGGCTCGTTCAACATCCACTACTATGCCTACTGTTACTCCAGTTTGTCCAACGTCCACTACTACGCCTACTGTTGCTCCAGCTCGTTCGACATCCAGGACAGTTCATGTGGCTCAGACACCATCGAAGCCACCACAGTCACACATGTCTTCAGGCATTTCACCACTGCCATTACGCATGTCTTCAGGTGTTTCACCACTGCCGTCACGCATGTCTTTGGGTGTTTCACCACTGCCGTCATGCACGCCTTTGGGTGCTTCATCAGCAAGCTTGCCAACTCGTTCGACAAACCGTTCAGTGCCACTCGTCTCTTCATCATCACGGTCGGGGTCTATGTATTCAATTCCAGGGGATCTTCTTCTGCCATTTGGTCCAAACACTCATGCCACACTGGAGGAATTGGGTTACAGTGACACCCTTCATAATACCTGCTGTGAGGTTTTCAATTCATGTGTCCCTGATAGGTGGGCTTCCGAGCTAGCCAAGAGGGGCAATATTAGCTCTGAGCCTGAAGCTCTTCAAATATCAGCTGCAATGTGGGAGGACTGGAACGTGTTGGGTGGCACTGTTGGGAAGTGATCGCTTCACTTTGTTTTTTTCGCAATGTAATACTTCGCTAACATGAATGAATGTTCATTTCTGAGATTCCCCTCCTCTTCTACTATGGTTTGAGCAGTATTCCTGAGTAGCAAGCGGTGCATCATAGGTCGCAACTATGCACGCAGGAAGGGTCCAAAGCTGTCTCCAGAAGCAAGACAAGCTTTGACAGCCTGACAGCGTGAAAAACAGGCAGATGAGGATGCTGCAGTGGATGACATACTTACATATATTGATGAACAGGCCACAGATTTGGCTCGTCGTTTTGGCAGAAACCGTCGACGTTACCTGGAAAAGCTTTACATTGGCTCAGCCTTATGGAGAAAGCGGCGCAGCAAGACAAGTGCATGGTCCGCCTTTCTCCATTTCAAAAGTGGAAAATTCAATGCCGGTATGTTCTCTGATGCTACAGAATAGACTCAACTGATTCATTGCCAATAGATAAAGACATAGGCCAACGAGCCAACCTTCATGCCATCACTAAGGAGACAAGCGAATATCACCAACTTACACTTGAGCAGTGCGCCAAAATGGTGGAGGAATTCAAAAAAATCAAAATGTCAGGAGTGAGCAAGCCGGTGAACATAACATCTCATACTCATCTCGTGGAGGTAAATCATAGCTTTGCAGCCATGGTCAGCGAGGTCAGTCCTAAATGTTCTTAGCTCACAGTTCAAAATCTGACTTGTCTCGGCACAGGCTGAAGCGCTGAAGGAATGTGTGGGCACAGAAACATTAATTGTCACTGTGTGAAGTTCATCTAACCTCAACATGCTACTGAAAGTACACCTTACAAGTGATGTAGTATCTCACTTTGTTCGTACACTTCTGCGGGAGGATCCAATGAAACTTGGCATTAAGATGGAATCCACCGTGCTCGCTGGACTTGCGCCACAAAATGGTAAAAAATTTCAGTTTGCTGGATACTTTCTTGTTATTAATGCCAATTTCTCTCTCCCTCTTTAGTTCTTTCTATGAGTTATTTAGACCGCAAGTTGGCTGCCAAGCAAGGCATACGAAGCGGTCTAAATGAAAGTATAGGTATAAATTTTGGTAGTCCTTGTCTATAGTCCGCTAATCTATTTAAATAGTTGAGGTTACTGAGAACGCAAACACCACGCTAGAGTTTGTCCGCTATGAACGCATGGTTCAGGAGCATCTAGTCAAGCTGATTGGGTGGTGCCACAATGAATGGGGTAACCCCAGCAATCTGAAAGGCAGAGTTGGCCCACTAGAGGCTCTTGCACAGGCAGTTTCCGATAGGAAGTGCAAGTTTGTTCGAATTACAAGACAGGAAGCTGATGAGCGTATGAAACGCATCGAGGTGGGTGAGATTTTGACCCCGAACAAGGTAGATCAAGAACCGGAGGAGAGCCCTGTCATCCCCATCGATGACAATGACCCATACGAGGGCAATGGAATTGGTGGTTCTGCTGACTAGACAGATCATCTTCCCATCCCCACGCCATCTTCTCCTACAACACCCACTTGCAACAATGACTTAGGTCCAGCCCCTCGTACTAGCGAGATCACTGATGATATTGTTGATCCTGCCCTTCAAGGTAGTTATTTTAACTGTGTACATTATTACTACTGACTTTCTGCTATTTTTCAGCCCCTCCTATCCCGAACAGTCTCCGCACCATCTCCTCCAGTCGCCACAACACCTAGCAGGTCACACATGGAACCGCATCTACCCAACACTCAGCTGCCAATTGGCAATCCATTCTTACCAACTCCCTCTGTATCAAACATGACAACTGCGGCATTGACAAACCATACACAATGTGCCACTGATAGAGCACTGTTGAAGCGGAAGAGGAAGCCCACTGAAAAAGCGGCGCTCTATGCAGCATCGAGGAAGTCTCGTAAGTTGAAAAGAGGGGCAAAGAGTGCTGCGGTGGTAGATTCGGATGAGGAGAACGGGTGGGAGGACATGGATAATGTTTAATACACTGCATTACAATTTATTTGCCCATTGTATAGGTCCTATATACTGTTTGAATGCATTATATTGAAAATAAAATTGTTATATATAAAAACGCGCCCAAAATGGAGCAGAACTGAGCTCGTTGTTGAGCTCGTTGTGCACAACGATGAGCGGAGCATTGGCGGCAACAGTGGTGGCGCGCTATTACTGAATATAGTGCTTGTGTCAGCTTTCCCACGTGCTACCCAAGGCTAACAATACTTAATGTTCTAAGTGACGTTGATTTGCTGGTCTAGACTGCTGGTCCTCACAAATAATGCTTTTTGGCTTAATATAAGGGTGAGTAGACGTCTTAGGTACCACTTTACTATATTGGAAAGGTGGGAGTAATAGGTGCAACTTACTATATAAACGCCAGCAGTAGCATGAGCGCATCTCAGCTTCTTTCAAGAGACTGAGATGTGAGTTATTAGTATTGTTATATCGATCAGAAAACTAAACTAATGAGTCATTAGTATACTTGTTTTATTAGGTACATAGCTCGTTATACCGAGCTTTTTTCAAGAGACTGAGATTATACTTGTTTTATTAGCGTGCAGTCAGCTCCCACTCGTTATAACTCACAACAGCATCTAGATTTCAATGGTGACGGTACCAGCAAGATCTTCAATATTGAGATATTGGGTGATGTCAAGAGAACGAGGGTGGTAAGGAATGAGACGAAAAGGGCGAATTTGAGTTTGGAGACAGAACTGTCAATGTCGGTGAGATGGTAAGCGATGAAATGAAGCGGGGCAGGGCCACAAACTTGAACTTGGATGTGAAGCTGTTGACTTTGGGGGAACAAGTGGTGGAAAATAATCATTGCGATCCCATCCTTTCTGATTCTTGTCGCATGCGAGAGCTGACTTGTTGCGTGTGCTCAGATAAGGTGGAGGAGTAATGGCAGCAGTAGCGAGAGTGATGGGTAACAAAATGGCAGCTTGGCGCTTGTGGCAGTGTTCTGCGGCTTCTTTGCGGAGGTCTGGACTATTTGCAAGGAGGTCGGCAATGGAAACATTGGGAATAGCGGTGTCGAGCGTGTTCTGGTGGATACATGATACTGCGTCTGGAATGGCTGCTTTGGACTCATAGGTGAAGGAAGGGGGATCTGCTATGGGGACTTGGATAGGGGGTAATGGAATAGACACTGGCAAGGAGACGTGCTTCTTGATGGGAACTTCTTCTGTGCTTCGTGTGGCTTTTGCTTTTGACCTGGCTAACACTTTTTCTCGCTCATCATCTTCTTCCTCAACAGTAACTATGGTGGCGTGCTTCTCGGTGACAGGAGTACATTGCAGAAGGTAAGATTCAGATATAAAGGCGGAGGAGGGGATTTCAGTGGAGTTGTCTATGGGAATGGGGTTGCATCCAGTCATGGGCATTGAAGGTGCGGGAATAGCATATCTAGTGTCAATAGCTTGCTTTAACGTCTCGTTCCATGAACATCGTATATGAGATTGGTCGGGATATGTGAAGAAATGTCTGTCCCGGATAATTTGTCCGGCTTGTAGGTACTCTCCCGCGATTGAACAAGTGCGCATGACGTGAGAGCCGCTGCAGAAAAAGCATGTCAGGTTTGATTGATGAGCAGAGGAAGGTGGAAGGGGAGGGAGAGGGAGGTATGATAATGGGGCCTGAGCTGGGGCGGTACTGATGAGGTGATGCAATTTTGGGGGTGCCCATGCTTGAGCTGCAGCTGGGGCGAGGCAGACGAGATGCGTGTAACATTCTGCATAGGCCACATCTTCGATATTGAGGCTGTGCATCTTCCAAGCAAGATCTTCAACTTTGTTCATTGTCGATCTAGCAGGGCTGGAGGAGGAGAGAAGGCTACATGTTTCATCTGTACTTCTCGCCATACGTCTTTTCTCTCATCTTCTTCATCTGAATCCTCCATTGCAGCGACTTTCGCTCAGCCTGTTCGAGGCACATTTCTAGACTCTCGTATGGATCTAATCCTGGTTGCTATGGGTTCATTTAGATCTGCATCAAAGGCATCATCCGAAAACACGAATTTCCCAGCCTCTAGAACTTTCTCAAAGTCAGGTACCTCATTCCGTGTGTAGTTAGCTTCTTTGAGTTGAAGGCGTCGGTCAATAGCTTGTCGCACTGAGTGAGGAAGCCCTTGCCAAAAATACCGATCACATTCATGAGCTGAGATCTTTGAGTTAGCTTCTAACCATACAGCAATAGGACGGAATTGGCGATAATACTGAAGGAGCTCTGTCTCCGTGGAAATGTCAGAATCTGCCGCGTTGAGGACAACTCGTTCTAAGTCACAGATTGTACAATGTCTACCCTGACACGTGTGGGGATATGTTGCGAGGATGTCCTTTTTGAAGGCAGCATAATCCTTACATTCATATCCGGTCAGCGAGACCCAAAATCACTTTGTCAGAATGTCCGTATATCGAACTATAGTCCTGCACTTCTGTTCATCCATAAGTGCACAGGAAGCGGCTAAGTCTTCAAAGAGTTCAAAGAACTCCAGAAGCTCGGATGTTTCGCCATCAAATGAGGGTGCCTTGCTTGATCTGGGGCCTGTTACGGCTGTGCTATCTTGCTTCTTTTTCCCTTGATCCACACTTACTACGCATGTCTCTTATCATGCTATATTTAGTTCGGTATTACTCAGACGCCTCATTGCTTACGCATGTGCTTACTGATACATACCTATTATTACGTCACACCCTGTACCCAGTATCCTATATAAACCCTGGCTAGGTGACGCTGATTCTTCAGCTTAACCTACGCTGGTTTTCCTCTGAAACATCTGACTTGATTCTAAGTTACCTCTTCGGTACTTAGCCTTGATTTGACTTTGGACGTTCTTAAGACTGTTGTCTTGAACATATTGATAGACCTTTGGTCTTATTGACTATTGTTTGCCTGTGTTATACTTCGGCGTAACAAAAGGTTAAGCTCTATCACAAGACGACGCTACCCTAGTAGTCGTCACAACACATCGTGGCTTATAGAGAACAATGACAGTACTCCTCGGAGTCAGACCAAGAAGAAGAGCATTTCTCTGAACCAGGCTCTCCTATCCAACAAGACAATAACGAATACATTGACGGATACGGACCTGATCAACCAGGACCATCGAACCCACCACCCAGATCCCCGACTCCGCCTCCCCCATCCGTACCTAGACCACCACCTAAGAAAATGGGTGAACTCAACTTGAACCGACCACCTAACTTTGATGGTGCACAGAAACAGGCTAAGGCCTGGTGGACAACTGTTTCCACATATATCACCATAAACAAAGATGTTTACAACAACCATGAAAAATGCATCGCATTCGCAACGTCATTCATGACCAAAGGACACGCTCAACAATGGGCCACTGGATGGATCAATTGGAAACATGATACCGCGACCCCTATGGGGAAATGGGATGAATTCATTGATGAATTCCAATCAGTGTTCTACCCTAAGAACGACACACTCACCGCCGTCAACGTAATGATGAGAGCGAAACAAACCTCTACCATCTCGGCATACATCGCCTACTTTAAGCGAATCTCGGCAGCAGCTCGATGCGTAGACGCAGACGTCGAAACAACGTGTTTCAGACAAGGACTTAAGAAAGAAGTCCAAGAAGCGATTCTCATGAGAGAAAAGATGCCCGCCAATATCAAAGAATGGATTGAAGCTGCTAGAGAATATGAATCTAGAAGACTCCTCATGAACTCCGGAGGAGGCTTCTCAAAGAAGAACGACCTGTATGCAATGGACATAGACAAGGTCGACATCAACGAAGAAGAAACAACTACAGTTCGCAACGCGCGACTTTCTCGATCTGAACAAGACAGATGTCGCAAATTAGGACTCTGTTTCAAGTGTGGAAAGAAAGGGCTTATGAAAGACTGCCCTAACCACAGAGAATCTGCCCCCGGTTGGCAGAAACCAGCCGGACGACCGGTCCGTGAAACCAAGATCGAACAAGACGATCAAGATGCAGAGTATCAGGAATTCCTCGCTTGGAAAGCTTGGAAAGCGTCGAAAGTACCTTCTTCTTCTAAGAAGGATTTCTAAATGGGGAGACCGGACCGGCATCGGAAACCCCTAGTACATCTATCGGACTCATTGTATCTTCTGTAGGCGATTCAAATTCTATGTGCATTCCTATTTCGATCGAATCCTGCAAGTCCGATAAAACCGCCGAAGCAGCCGCCCTAATTGATTCGGGTGCCGCTGGAACATTCATTGACTGGAAATACGTACGAAAGAACAATTTCTCAACTCACAATCTCTCTTCACAAATCGAAGTCCGGAACGTGGATGGAACAAAGAACAAAGCAGGAACCATTAGTAAAGCCTGCAATCTATTCTTCTCAGCAGGTGGTCGAACCATGTTCACTACCTTCCTTATTACCTCTCTAGGACGCGAAGACATCATCCTCGGACTTCCCTGGCTCAAGAACGAAAATCCAACAATAGACTGGGCTAAAAGCAAAATCTCGCTAGAAGAAGACCCAATCATGATTCAAACCCTTATCTCAGATAGAAACAAACATGCTTCTATGCAACCAAGAATAGAAGAAGTCGAAGACGAAGAAGCATACATATCCTCGGAAGAAAACCCCGAGGAACAACCAGAACTTCTACCCGAAGAAGAAGAAGATCAAGAAGAAATAATAGAAGAACTGCAAGATGACGAAGTTCTTATCGCTTACGTTAAAGGAGAAGCATTTGTGGGAATGTATGAGAAAATCGATTTCGACTCGCCACTCACGCAAGAACACATCTCCACTACCTTCTCTTTCCTGTCTCGAATGAATAGAATCTCTAAAGTTCCTAACTCCGCTCGATTCATGTTCTCTCCTCTCCCTGTACAAAAGGCTGCAAATGTCGCTCAACAACTGGCACAAGAAGCATATGCAAAGGAAAAGCCAAAGACGTTCGAAGAACTTGTACCCGAAGTTTTCCATATGTACAAGGACGTCTTCGACAAAGCAGCCATGGATACCCTA